TCGTAGTACCGACGCTAGGTTACTTACGCTCGTCAGCGTATAAGGGTGCTGTTCACCTAGCTCCTTCTCCCTCCCTTTCAGCGCTCGCCAGCTCAGCTTCTCCGCCTCGTTGTACTTCCCCTGGACTCGTAGTACCGACGCTAGGTTGCCCACGCTCTTCAGCGTATCGGGGTGCTGTTCGCCCAGCTCCTTCTCTATCCCTTCTAGCGCTCGCCGGTATAGCTTCTCCGCCTCGTCGTACTTCCCTAGGGCTAGCTGCATGTACGTCGCAACCCTGTTAAGCACCTGAGCCCATTCATTCACTGACTCGTCGTCGGATAGCTCGCTTTTATACAACGATTCAACATGTGGAAGTAACTGCTGGCACTTTGCCCAGTTCTTAAAGTCTGCTGAAGGGAATTCTCTTGCCATCAGCCCTAGAAACTCTCTGTTCCATTGTTTTGAATTGTTAAAAGTAGACAGCCAGACTCGCGTGCAGAAGTGCACTAAAGCGTGCATCTCATACATACCACTGTCCGCCGTCGCTGTTATAAGAGAGTACGCCTGCAAGGTGTCAAGGTCCTCGTCGAACGCGCTATCAGCCTCGCCTTCATCGCCAGTCTTCGCCACGCTCCTGCTGTGCCTTCGAAGGATCCACTTCGGAATTCCTTGCGGATTGAAGAAGCTCATAATCGATAGCAGGTCTGTAGCCGAGCGCCTTTGCTCGCGAATACACTCAAACGACATCTGCCACGTCAACACTACTGAATTCGATGCGCCCTTATCTCGGCGAAGATCTCCTGAATCCCAGTTAAGAAGGCTTTCTCTCTTCTTGTCATTCCCCCGAAAGTCGTCCAGATAGCCGGACGCAGTCATTTGAACTCGCCGGTTGATGAATGCTGCTGCCTGGGTAATAGCAAGAGGTATATAGTCGAGCGCACGTAAGAGATCTGGGGCACCTTCTTCGTTTGACGCGTGCTCCAGCTTATTCCGGAACAGACCGAGGGCTTGGCTTTCGTCCATTTTGGGAACCTCTTTAATATATGTACGACCTCCTGCCAGCCTGGCTGCTGCATCTTTGCTTCGGGAGGTGATTAGGATCGATCCGTTACGGCTCTGAGGGAGATAGGTCGCCAGCGGTGTAGGCGCCGGTGGGGAGGATTCGTTCACCGTGCGCGTTTGCTTCGGATAGAAAACCTCGATATCGTCTGCATTATCAACAATCATCATCCACTTTCCATTTGTCTCGTTGCACAGCCAGTTGCTGACCAGCCGTAAAACGTCGACTCTCGGATCGTTTCGTTCGGGAAGCTCGAGCTCGTCTGCAATGCCTCTGTACGCTTCTTCGAACCGGGCTTTGGTGCTGGCGTGCACCCACAAGACAAACGTTTGCGCCGACGCATCGCGGATACTATGGGCATATCGGATAGCGAGCTGCGACTTTCTTTGTCACATTAGAAACCATACCACCTAAGAAGCGGATGTTGACATACCCTACGCCGCCAAGACCGACCAGCGCTGCGCGAGCGCCTGGTCCCGCGCACTTATCGTCGATCCACTCTAGGATCTCGCGGCGATCGACGAAGTCACGGTCTGGGGCAAATGGGATGGTGGAGAAGGGCTCGCGTTTTCGGCTCAATCTGTCTGCGCGTTGACGTTAGCATAGATGTGGTTGTTGGTATGGCTTGCGGTCGTGGACCTCCGAAGTAATTGTTCATGGTAGCGCCAGTCTCGAAGTGCGAGCCAGCAATGACGTTGCGGCCGGCAATGTCACCATTGAACTCGCTTGATCCCGGCATCTTTGCTGTCTAACAGCGGTGCAGGACGCAGATATATTTTGTAGTTTGTAGATCAGAGTGATGGAGACAGCAGGTGAAGCCGTAGACAGCGCGAACCGCGCTTGCAGCTGCTCAGCCGCAGCTGGGGTATGTAGGCCAGCCTCAACTCATGAAGCTTCGCAGTTTCACCAGTCGATTTGATTCTGTTATTGAGCTTTAAGTGCAACTATCACAATCACTGCTAATTTGCATAATGTCTTTCTTCAAGAAGCTCGTACGTCTAACGGCGCCTGATACCAAAGCCGGTACCGGGCTGCTAAAGGGCAATGAAGATGTCCAGAATGCCCATCCCGACCCACCAACGGATGAATTGTTCTCCACGGTTGGAGATTATGGCCTTCAAACATTATCCGACAACGTTGATGACACTCTCGAGTAAGCGATCTACCATACCTCGTTAGCTCTGCTAGCCAACAAAATAGCATCGTTTTCGTCCACGGTCTAACCGGCAATCGCGAATCCACTTGGACCCACAAGGCCGCCAAGGTATTCTGGCCAAAGGACCTACTCGCAAAAGATCTCCCAAAGGCGCGAATCATGACGTTTGGCTACGATGCCGACATTATTCGAGGATTGAGCATGGCCGGAAATGGTACACTGAGAGACCATGGGAAAGCTTTGGCTGAGGATCTGGCTATGCGGAGGAAGAAGACAGACTCTGTAAGGCCTTTTGTCGCGCTATTTGCAACTAATCGTACTTATAGTCGGCAATGGCTTCCTTGGAATTCCATGCAAGTCAAAGAAGCCGTGAAGAGTTGTCGCCAAAGTAGCCGACATATTTCATTAGAAGTTGGTCACCAAAACCCGCAGGCTGACTTAAGTGACAGAACCTTCGCCCTCTGATCTTCGTTGCGCACAGCCTTGGTGGATTGGTTGTGGAGCAGGCAAGTCAAACACTAGGATATTTACTAACCGCTAGTCTATTAATACACCAAGGCAGGCACTTCTTGTCTCTCGCGGATCGGCTCAGCAGCATGCTAAGGACTTGCTTGAAAGCACCGTGGCGATTGCGTTCATGGGCACTCCACACCTCGGGTCGAGTCTTGCAAACTGGGGACACCCAATCTCGCAACTCTCAAATCTGCTGCGCAAAGCCAACTCTGAGATTTTAGGAGTCTTACAGCCAGGCTCTGAGATGCTCGCCGCGGTTCAACAAGAATTTCATACCATGCTTGACGACCGAAGTAGAAATGACAACAAATATATCAACATCTTTTGCTTTTATGAGGAAGTTGGATACACTGGGCTTGGCGAGGTATAAAATCACTTAAAAATCCTCTTTTTCAATCGAAGTCGAGTGTTAAGCTCTTGCAGATAGTACCGAAGCAATCGGCGATTCTCATGGCATATCCGAACAATGGCATTCATGCAACGCACACAGGGATGACAAAGTTCAAGACTGCAAAGGACGCTGGCTATGTTCGAGTACATGATCAGCTTTGGCTCTGGTATAATATGATTGAAGAGAGTCAAGATGCATGGAAGGAAAAAAAGGATGCTACGAAAAGGCAACAACAGCACCTTCTTCGGCCTGCTATCGTCACCGAGAGCGATCGGGGAGGAACTTCGTACAGCGGCCCTGTATTCAACGGCCCCATCTCTGGTCGCAATGTGCTACCTGGAACGCAAGTCACTGGCGGTACGGCCAACTTCAATTTCTCCTAACGAATGGACATATTAGTAGTAGGTAACAATCTATATTATTCTTCTGTGTATTCTGCGATCGTTCGAGTAGCGACTTGAGCTTCTTGTCCTCGACGCGAGGCATTATAAGTATATCGCTTGGCTGTTGGTTAAGGCCGCTTATGACGCGGTTTAGCCTCTCGTCAGCTACACAACGTAATTATGGGACGTGCAAGGTCGTTTCGCACTAACCAAAAATCGTTGGTCGTTGTGATTAGAGGGACCGGCCCGCGTGGCGACCTTGCACAATAGCCACAAGGCTGATAACGATTTCTAGTACAGTAGTGAGGCCTTAGACCTCGGATAAGACCTTTTTATGAGTATCAGGAGTAATAAGAGCTCAGTAGGAGAGCTGTGGTAAAGGAACCCTATTACGCTATAAATGGGGACTCTCCGTAAATCAGGCGCGAGGGCCACGACGCGAACGTAAATTTCTAGCAGGAGGGGTTTAGAGTATTCAGGAGTGGCCACGGAATACAACTTATGCAAAATATAGGAGATGTCGATGTGCGCACAGAGTTTGAGATGCTTAAAGTCAAAGTACCTATCATTTTTCTCGGCACGGTGGGTTTCTCGCTACCTACCTAGGTAGGGAGGGACGTTATTCTACGAAGTCTTCTCGGTCTAAAATACTGTACCTTGTCACACATGCCCCTTTTTAACACCACTCCATACAAGCCAATTACATTTATCGCCCACTAATACAACTGCCTAATATCTATTGAACCACTGAGTCAGGACAATGCTTCCCAAGTTGAGGAAATAATTGGTATATTTTTAGATTGGCTCTTTGTTAATTTTCATTGTTAAACGACCTATACAGGTATTTAATTTCTGTACTCCATCAACAAAACTCTTTACACTTAACAGAGTATGAATCTTGAGGTTAAAGTGATCTGTTGTGCCGTACCGACAAAACGTCTTGTATACCACAAATAGCAAGATGGCATTACTTTCTTTCTACAGAATTACACACTTCTCGCTCTGTAGGCATACAGAGTGGTCATACGAGCATCGCTCAGAGTGTAATGGTAAGCCAGACCCCGACCCCAATTATCGAAACATCCATTGTCATGAGCTCTGTGAAGAATTACATGAGGTCGTAGTAAAGTGCAATGTCTTCGGGGATATAGACGCCATGCACGACGGAAAACCGCGCGTCTGCCCTCGCTCTGGCGCACACTCTTGCCAAGTCCAAACCATGGTAGAACTGGACAGTGAGCTGAAATGCCACGGGTGCCGCGGCCCTAGCTCTAAGCCACTTGTCTCCCATAGCAAAGAAATATCAGCGACTTGGCTTCGCCTGGCTAAAAGTTTTCAGAGGGTGTGGCGCAACGCTTGGTACTATGAGAAAAATCCTCGGAGAATGGAGGATTGGTTCTCCAAATTCATATTCTTTCAAAAGATGCAGTGGTTAAACGATACCCCAAGGGCTGTGGTGCTTTATAACCCCCTCGAACGGAACGGGTTCCTCACTGACGTACAGGTCAACAGTCTCTCTCCAAACAGCGAGTGCGGCATCTGCCAATTGTCCTTGCTAGAAGACGATCCAGTAGCCTTGCCATGTCACCACAAGTACCATCTCTTCTGTATAAATGCATGGCTCAGTGGCGCGTCGCTCGAGAAAACTTGCGAGGGCAAAAATACTTGTCCCATATGTCGTCGGGAGTGGAACCTGTGTCGTGCTCTTGATGCGGGGTTCACGCCTGGAGGTACTCGGTTTAGCCATCGGAATTATGGTGATAACGAGTGTGATGGCGACGAGAGTGATGACGACGAGAGCGGTGACGACGAGAGTGATGATGACTACTACTACTAGAGTGATGATGACTAGAGTGGTGATGACGAGGGGGACGATGTTAATGAAGTCCAGGAACGTGAAGGTCAGGTCGACGAAAACGCTGAATAGCGCGGTAGTCAGACGTTACGAATCGAGTGGGACTCAACTAGTCCTGCTAGATGAGTGGCACTGCATTGGCTTGTCAATTGAATATATCTTAGCAAAACACATAAACCGACCTATATACCCCGCAAGTGACATATTGAGTGAGACAAAATTTGAAAATATGAGGTAGACGAGGATGAACCTAATAACGTGTATCCCTGTGTCGAGAAACGTACCCCGTGACGAGACAAACTATCGGTACTTTGAATTTAATTGATTCTAAATTTGTAAACTTATTGAAAGTTCTGTGTCTGTTATATTGTGTGACTACTCCTGAACAATCTAAACCCCGGCTACTCTGAAATTTATAATTACGTCGTCGCTGTCGCGCCGCCACATGGGTTGGTACCTCTAAATTAAGCGATCAAGGGTCCCTGGTCACTTGATAATAAAGTAGATACTGGTTACGGTAATATATTTATTACAACAAATAAATATTGTGGCTGCTGAGCAGTGGCTGTGTGTGGCGGACTACTAAGCCTTACCCAAAAATTCCGTTTTCCCGATATACTCCAAGTTACACCGTACCCTCTCAAGCGGGAGCAAAAAGAAGTTGAAAATCGTTATTTACTATATTATTACGTGACTCCCGATGCTGCCTCAGGCCTGTCACAAGTCACAACAGTACCGAAGTTAGGCATCGACTCACTTCCACGATCACGTGATATGTTTGCTTCTGCCTAATATTCTCTATCTTATGAACCCTCTGACTCCATTTCACTCCATCCCTTAACATAGTCGTCGCTGAATGATTAAGTCAACATGTCAACTACTACTTCTAGATGGTCACCAAAGGCCAAGGGTAAACACGAACCTAGAACGAGCAAAGACCCTTTTCCTGGCAGTACCTTCACTTTCTTGGCTCTACCAGCGGAAGTCCGAATCCAAATCTACCATTTGGTTCTTCCTGAGAGAAGGGTCTGCAGGCCAAACGCCAGTGTACGATTGCGAAGGAACCTCTACGGTCGTAGAACTCCACAACCCGAGACTCTTGCGCTTGCTCGAACCTGCAAGCAAATTGAGGCTGAACTCAGCTCTATTCACTTCGGGGACAGGTCTTTTCACTTCGAATCAGTATACGACATGTATCACTACCTTGACAAGATTGGCCCTGGACGTCGCTTCTTTATTACATCTGTTCGTGTCCGTTTGGACAAGAATGAATGTGTGCAAACGAGAGCACGTGATAATCGCAGCACAATACCTATGAGAGAGCTGCTCAAGGCTTCCTTCAACCTACTTGGTGAATGCAAAAGCCTGAAAACCCTGTATCTTCAGGTCAACAGAGGAACAACAATGTATCGGTCTTCGCAAAACAGAAGCTCCAGAAATGTCCATAACTTGCTGGCACTTAGAAGCGAAGGCGTTTTCGCCGCCGTTCATGGACTGGAGAATTTGGACCTCAGAGTCAGAGAGAGCCCCTTCACAGGCAAAGCTACCCCGGATTTATTCGAATGCCCGATTGAAGCCAATACATGGTCAGCTTTTACAAGAGAGCATCTACAGTCGTTTGAAAAGTCATTGAGGAGAGACATGAGGAGTTCCGGCAACACAGCGTTGTCAAATGTTAGCAAGGGCGAATCAAGAACGAGGAAATCAGGTTCAGATCCGGTTGAGGTTACTCTTCGAACAAGGGAAGGAGTGAAAAGAATTAACTGACAGTCCGGAGAGGCGTCGTGTTGGTAGCCTACCATCACAGTAGTGTATACAATAAAATCGGGCTGCATCTGGAGTATTGAGGGTCAGTAGGAAGGTTGTGATTTTATACTAAAAGAAAGTGTTCAGCGAATGGTTGGATAGAGCTATCCCTTAATAACAAACTTCGTAGACTTGCTAAGAAGAATTTATGATTCCAAAACTACAAACTTGTCTCGTGACACGGTGAGTCGGGGTGCATTTCAGCAGGTCAATGCTTGTATGTAGGATAGTCGATAGCGCTGGTAGCGGAGGGGCTAATAAGCTGACCAAGTTTGCCCATTTTCGCTTCTCAATTGACGCTAGGTTCTCACTTGACGATTAAGTCCATTGTACATGTGGTTTAGAGCTGAAAATGGTAGTGATTCAAAACTCTCATTCGTGGCTTATAATAATGGAGCCTTTTTGGGCTCCGATTACAGCTCAAGGCGGACAGGAACACCCGAAAGGGAAATAGAAGTTGAACATACATATATTTGATCATTTGATCTCCAATTCGCATCTATAAGCAAACCAGGCATAACCATAAAAAAAAAGGCGAGGAGTCGATCAAGGGCCGGGAATCAAGGTTGAGTACGCTTGCGCTTTCTTAATAACCAGTATGGGCCATCAAACCCTGTATTCAAGGCTTCAATTTCTCGGGCTAGGCCCCGTACACCAACAGAGAGCGAATCTGCTGAGACGGAGGGGTTGGTAGTTTCGGCTGGTAGCTTGTCAGGCGCAATCAAGTGTGTCTCTGAATGGCATGAGCTTGCTACTGCGCTAGTTGGTGCACTCTGGCCTTCAGTAGGTAGTACTTCGGAGTTATATCGAGCTTCGATTGGTGGTATTGCATGACCAATTAGTACTGTCAGAGCAGAGGAGATTGTTAGTGTTGGTGTGGGTGAGAATAATGGCGGTTGTGCTTGAGAGATTGTTGGCGACGGTGAACTTGACTCCGGTTGAGGTACACAGGATTCATTGATGAAGGGTGGGGTAGTAGGTGACATTTCCGGGACAAAGATAGTTGGTGGTCCTCGCTCAATTGCTGGTACAGCTGACTCTAGCAAGGCTCCCGTAGTAAACGATCGCACGACTTCAGGAGAGCGAGCGGGCTTTCGGCTATCCCATGTATTTGGAAGGGCGGGTGGAGAATTAGAAGGCGACAGATGCGATATGCTCGAATCCATCTCCAAGGATTCAATGGGGGCCTCAAATCGGGATGCGGTAGTATATAATATTCCTCCTGCATGTGAAGAGATATAGGATCCCGGCGAGGAATCTTGGGAATAGGGGGGGCCGCCTTGAGAGGTGCCTGCCTCGGGACGCTTGTTTATGGGGTCTGACTGACTGGAACCCCTTTGATTGTGTTGGACAAGGGCGGCATCAGAATGGACCATTTCGAGTTGGCCATGTTGGGGTTCCAATTGATCGTCGCTGGTAGAATCATCCATGAGGTGATCTCCTTGTCCGTTTTGGAGATCCTCCTCCTGCTCATCCTCGGCCTCCCACTCCCACTCAATCTCCAAACCACTCCGACCTTCTGATTCATACTCTGTTGCTAGTTCATCTGTGTATTCCACACTGTCATCCTCTGGTTCAGATTCGTCATCCGACTTTCCGTCTTCCTTAAAATCATACTCTAAGGCTTCGTTAAATCGAGGTTTGGTGGATATCTCATGTAGCGATTGGGTGTCGCTACGGATGAGAGTGGGCACTGCCGAATCTGAAGGATAACTCTGACATGGATCTAGTGCAGGCAGACGAGGACGATCTGCCGGATATGGCCTCTGTAGAAGCCCAATTGTTGCCCCAGGGGAGCGTTGGACATTTCGACATGGTATATGCATACTCATTGAACTGTAAATCATCGGTTAGCAAAACCAAATAATAGTGCTAGAGAAGATTAAACTAACTACCAAGCAAAGTTGTAAGCCTGGCAGTACACCTGGCCCATCGGAGTGGGATCAATCGTAATGTCCACTCGTGCGATAGCGTTAAGTCGACGTATACCCCATTCTGGGTGATTAAAATAGTCCACAATGGCACTAAGAGTAAGTATTGCATCGTCTCTGGGGGTGAAGTATCCCCCATCATGTTGGAGTTGGGGGATTGCAACCGTAAATACCCTGTTCCTCTTTCTCAATGCAACCCTATGTGCCACCTTTAGAGCTAGGAGGATACTGCTATATTTAACCCCATTTCGAGTTTCAATATCCGTAATATTCAAACCACATACACGTTGCTCGCTGAGACTTCGAGGGCGCCTGTATAGAGGAGCACGGGTGTGGACTATCCAGTCACAATTGCTCATCTGGAAGCTAGGGGTGTAACGAACCGCGCGAAAGAAGCTTCCGGACGGAGAGTTTACTGTGTGGATGTCTGAAAGATGAGGCGGTGGCATTTCCAAAGGTTTTCCTTTATACTTATCCGAAATCCTCGAAAGAAGGGGTGGCCCAGCAGCTCGGTACAGTCGTTTAGTAACGGTATTCCAATCGTCGGACATGTCCGCATCTGCGGGGTTAACAATCATATCCGCAGAATGTGTGATAAAATCAGATCTGACAACCCGGATCTTTCCCCCTAATCCAACGTGGAGTATGGGGTTTGAAGAAGCCATCGTCACCTCAACGGTGGGCTCCCAAACTGACGGTGGATGAAAAGGAACTGCCAGCTTGGGTACTCTGTTATCCAGTTTGAAAAAAAGACTGTATCGCGACACCAAGATTTTCTGTGCTAAGATGCATCAATAGTTGTTTCCGCTTGAAATATCAATATTTCAAATAAAGTTAATGAAACATTGAAACAAAAAGCTTGGTCTTTATTGTGCTAAACATTCCAATCGAGTGTCGCAGGGCCAGGGTTGGCCGCTCTTTGTTCAGGGCCGACCGCCGAAGTAAGAACCACTGAGCCCATTATAGTGCAATAGAAACAAAGCCTTTTCCGGCGATTCGATTATTCCATCGAGAAAAATAGAAATAGTAGCAAGTAGCGAGCGAACAGCGCCAAACAAACTATACAGTGGTAGTACAGCAACTCCCACAATCACAAACTACACCTATTAACTCGGGAGACTGGGGACGTAAATATTGGCTGGCCATGGACTCGCTGGGGAGCCAGTTGCTTCAGGACATGCCAACATGGTTGAATGAGGATAAGACGATCAATATAATATATCCTGATGAAACTGCTGAAATACGTTGGGGAAAGTGGATGATGAGGTTGAAGCGGAAAAACGAGGGGGCGGAACTGTCGGAGTGCGTTTATCAATTCTAGTCATGTGATGGCGGAACCACACGGCTTTAGGGATTTGCAAGCATCATCAAGTTGAAATCATTTTGTAGATGTTGAATCTCGACATCTCCGGTCCTCAACACACACAATTGCAATGGCAGCGACTGCAGGCAGATTCACCTGCTTGTACACATACCCATTGCGTCAAGCATCAAGAACTTTCATATCCTCTTCTACAACATCCTTACGTTCCTTTGCTTCCGAAGCAGCACCTCCTACAGGCTCCGAACCATCACCATCTGCAACCCCGAAACGCCGCCCAACTTACTTCAAAGATAGCCCCGTCCCCACGCTCACCGAATTTATCAGTCTCCTAGAAGAACCCCTCACGGTTGAAGATGCGCTCGAACTACGCACAGCAATGGTCGGACCGGCCGGGAAGAAGAAACAAATCACCCGACTACCGGAGTGGCTGAAGACACCCATTCCCAATAATTCGAACTACAAAAAGATTAAAAAAGATTTGCGCGGTTTAAAGCTACACACCGTGTGCGAGGAGGCGCGCTGTCCCAACATCTCGGAGTGCTGGGGCGGGAGCGATAAGAGCACGGCGACGGCGACGATTATGCTTATGGGCGATACATGTACTCGCGGCTGTCGATTCTGCAGCGTCAAGACCTCCAAAACGCCTCCTCCTTTGGATATCCATGAGCCCGAACATACTGCCGAAGCTCTCTCCCGCTGGGGATTAGGTTACGTTGTCCTAACATCCGTGGATAGAGATGATCTCGCCGATGGTGGAGCCCGTCATTTCGCCGAGACCATCATGAAGATCAAGCAGAAGAAGCCAGAGATGCATGTGGAGGCTCTCACGGGGGATTATGCGGGGGATCTAGAGATGGTAGCGCTAGTGGCAAGGAGCGGGCTAGATGTTTACGCACATAATATGGAGACGGTGGAAGAGCTGACGCCGTTTGTGAGGGATCGAAGGGCGAAGTTTAGACAAAGTTTGACGGTGCTGGAGGCTGCTAAGAAGACGGTGCCGAGCCTGATCACCAAGACAAGTATTATGCTTGGACTGGGCGAGACGGAGGACCAACTCTTAGAGACGTTGAAAGGTATGAGTAGCTATCCGTACTACTAACGAAATGTAATACTGACTTCCAAAATAGAACTGCGCAAAATCGACGTAGACATCGTCACGTTCGGTCAATACATGCGCCCAACCAAGCGGCATATGAAAGTTGAGGAGTATGTCACTCCGGAGAAATTCGAAGCATGGCGTCAGCGAGCGCTCGACATGGGATTCCTATATTGTGCGAGCGGGCCTTTGGTTAGAAGCTCATATAAGGCTGGTGAGGCATTCATTGAGAATGTGCTAAAGAAGAGGAAGGCCAAAACTCTTCTAGGAGACGAGGTTATGAGGGTGCAGAAAGACGTTGTATTACCATAAGTATTAATGAGACGCTTCCACATGCGCTGTGGGGTTGGTCAGGTGCTTTGGGTCTGACTACCGGCGTTGAGCGAGGATTAAATTAGGCATGTAGGATAGATAAGTTTGCCCGAAATAATTATCCGGAAGGCCGAAATTTTTATCACGGTCAAGGGCAAAACAACGCGTGGTACGATCCGCCCCTTTATTGACCCCGTTCCCATTCCCGCTATAAAAGTATATATGTATGTCACAAGAAGTGTACCCAACGGTTACTCCGTGTACCCAACAGAAACCTAAGGCAGTCGCTGAATCGTTACTCGAGACGATTAAAAATTGCATCTCGGCCTCTCAGTTAGGTTCCAATGCACGCACGCTATACGCTTCTTCTTCTTCGTCTTCATCTCCTCATCTCATTCATCATGAGCGCCAGTATCCTTAAAGCGGAATAAAACACACAAGGGAATTCGCAATCCAATTCAGTCAAGGAAGAAAAAGTCTTTAATAACGTGGGTGGTGTCGCCCAAGCTTGTTAGACCTCTGTGCAGTGGTGCCAGTTATTGCATCCCTCAATGCCCCATAAACGCCTCCTCATACAGACTAAATTATATTATCCAACAGAAAACAAAACAAAGGAAATATGATTTATGTGCTAGGTGTGGCTGTAGTTGTGGTGACGTCGACGCTGATGGTGAGAAGTGGAAAATTTGGATTATCGGTCAACTTTAGGCGGTTGCCATCCGTTCAGGTATGCCATAATACCCATCCCAATCACGACAACTCCAAGCATAGAGGCATACGGCGTGGCATGGTATAATAGCGGATCGCGGCCTCCCGGTCGTCTCGATAATGTGTTGATCGTGGAGCCGCCAGGCTCCGTTTTTTCCGGCGATAGGTCGATATTCCGATTTACAAGCTCATCCTTTCGCAAAAGTGAGCCCAGTGATTGGCGTGGCTCGTCAGATTTGCCGTTGAGGGCGTGGTTAGGTGAGGCATCGGCCGTGGAAAGTGATCGAGTGCGCTCGGTGGACGATGACCGCCTGGTAGCTTCGTTTGCTCTAATCTCTTCAACCATCTCGGCCAAGGTCGTCCGGCCCGCATCTCTTTCGGCCTCAGCTGTCTCCGCCCGCTGTTTGAACGATTCCATTTGATCCTTGAGCTCCTGCATATCACCGAGCATACTCTCTAGACGCTTCTCTAGCAATAGAGTCGATTGTGAAATAGCGTTAGGATCAACTACCTTTCCATTGGCTGCACTCTTCTCGGGCTCATCTCCCCTAGTTTCGGAGTTTTCGGTAGGTGGTTCAAAGGCTTCCTCAATGATTGATCCTTCATGCGCTTTGGCTTCCGTTTTGACTTCGGATTGCGCTTCTAATCGCTTAACTAGCTCCTCCGCCAGCTCTCGTGCCTGCCTTTCCTTTTGGAGCGTCTCCTCTAAATCCTGCAATCGAGCACTCTGGGAATCAATTTCCTTTTTGGCTGATGCTAAGGCTTCTACCAGTGTTATGATCTGGCTGGGCGATTCTTGACGGACTGGGGACGCATTGGGAACGGACCGCGGTCGTTCGGTATTGGACCGTTTTAGCGACGGTGAAGAAGGCTCAAAAGTGTGCGGGCGTGTCACATCTGGCTTCTCCGGAAGCGGCTGTTGAGGAGGAGGCGCTGGTGGATCTGAAAATCGAGGTTTCGCATCGGTCCGGAAGGGTAACACCGCTCCGTTGACCTGTGGAGCTTTAACAGGCTCGCCAACCGACTGCTTCTCGATTTCCTTGAGGCTATTTTTTGTAACTAGAGAGCCAAGGAAGTTATCCGCGCGCCCAAGATCATGGGTCTGCAGCCGTGCTATCCTCATCTCATGCTGCACGTAAAGTCAGTTTACATTCCCGCTGACATAGGCTCCACAACTTACAGTGAGTCTTTTAACAATTTGCTCTGTTGTAACTGGCGTTAACCAGAAGTTCATGGGCCGCTGTTGGCCCATGACACTCATGTGGCTTCCAGCTGCGCTCGCGGGGGGCCCCATACGGCCGTTGCTTCCTACGGATCCTTGACTGCTCGACCGACCCCTCATCTGCATCGATCCCTGAGAAGGCAGCATCATGGCACCATTTGCTGGATCCAAATCTCCAAAGTTCATATCCAGAACGTTATTTGTTGCCCCGAGAAAGCCGGCGTGTTCCACCTTTGCGGCTACTTTGTGATGTACTACGGTCTTTTGATCCTCGCTAACAATATCAATACCCAATTCCAAGTGATCTGACGTTTGCAGCTCGTGGGGCTCCGAGTCTCGGTTCTCTGCTGATAGACGACTTCCATTTACAAACGTGCCATTTGATGACTTCACATCTCGGATGTAAACCTTGCCATTTCGATCTGCCCAAATCTCCGCATGCTGTCTTGACAGGACCTTGGAATCAAAGAATCCATTGGCAGGCGTGGGTACGGTCTTCGCATTGGTCTGCCGCCCTATTCTCAGGCTATCGGGATAGTATGGGACAGATATAGTCTTTCGCTCGAACGTTGAATTCATAGACAACAGATAAAGGACAGGATTTCCCTCGCCAACGGGTGTTGCGGTTGATGCGGTACCGTTTACTTGCTGCGAAGGGTTCTGGAGAGCATGCTGCGATGACACAACGGCGGACGGCTGGTGGAGGGAAGACATCGTGGACGGACCAGTAGACGGGCCACTGGTTGTTAGGATTGGCTGCGGACGCGCAGTAGATACGCCAGCTATTGCTTCCGATTTATTTGCTGGCCATGGGACGGCCCTTTGCGGCTTCTTCCTCGCCGCAGCAGTTCCCCATGAATTGAGCTCTGATGACGACTGCAGTTGCATGGGTACACCATTGGTTTGTGGGTGTGGAGATGGCTGGGAAATCGTGGTCGTCGATGATGTGGAGGAGGTTGAAGCTATCGAGGACGACGAGTTCGCACGCTGAGCGCTCTTCCGTGGCATGAACATCCGGGCGACTTCGTCGGGATTCATGGAGTTCAATCCGCCTTGTCCGACATTAGCACCCCATGGCGACCTGTTATTCGGTTGGAAACTGGGTGGATTTGCAACGGCCGTCATCTGTGGATGTTTCCAGGTCGCCCGCTAAGTGTTGGAGGATGTGTTGAAAAAGGTTTTGGCGGAGAGCGTGATAGGAATGGAATGTGTCGAAGCGCAATCAGGACTTCCCCGTTGACCTCACAGGACCTGAATAGCGCTTCGCTCCAGACCTCCGCTCCCCTGGGTTGAACTGTGCGCACTATGGCTACAGATACTTGAAGCAAGAAAGATATATGCAGGACAGGATCGCGCTATAGTGTAGAGCTCCGTCAGCTTGTTTTCTCGAAGTTTTAGCATCATAAGGAGGGGGACGGGAAGCGCCGAGCGGCCGGCGCTCGAGCAGGGACGTCTCGCACGATGGCTTCGTATCGCCGCAATCTCAACATGCGGATTGAGGGGACAGCAAGCACTCACATCAGCCTTGTATCGGGCCTGTCGTCGAATGGATGGTGATGAGCGGTTGAAAGGATTTCCTTTGGCGTAGATGTTGCCAAGCTGGAAACTTTGGGAGATCCGTTGCCGTATTCAGTCTGGAGTCGTCGCAGGCGCACGCGAGGTGTTTCTGGCCTATCAGCGCCCGGGATTTGGGACGACCACGCGCGCCTGTATCAGGTGATTTAAAGTGGCGATTCCCTCAAGTTTAAGGGAGGACGTTCAGTATAGGAAGATGAATATTTTTGATCCTGCAGATATATTAAGCTCATATTCTATAGTTATACATATATGGAGAGACTGGATCTTCTTTGAGCTTTGCAGTGTTGCATATGTATCACGTGATATGAGTGATGTACAATGTACACTAAGGAGGTCCGAGCGTCTTGGACCGCGGACCTCGATGAACGAGGAACGAGCCGCATTGGATCTGATTATAATAATGCGAAAAGCCTCCAACCTAGAAACAATTCCCACGCTTTGAAGTTCTACCAGACACTTGTTGACCACCAAGAGACGTTTTCACAATGCCTGTCCCCGTTGGTGCTCATATGGGTGGCCCATCCACCTTTGATAAACGTAGGTAGCAATCTAGCTGGAGCAAGCGACGCTTGAGCTTGCTCAAATGGCGGACACGAGCATGTGCTGATCAGATGTATAGTCAAGATGGGTGCAATGATGGGTGGCAGTAAGTAGTTATAAATGGCACTGTCTCCTAGGTACTTCCCACAATGCTAACGTATATCTGCAGCTGTTGGGGTAATTATTGGCTTCATATTCGGTACGCTGGACAACAGGTTCTACTACACCCACCATACAGTGCTCTAACTCGCTTCTAGGTTCTGTTAATATCATGCGGTACGGTGCAGGGCCAAATGGTGTGATGAGGTCGCTAGGGCAGTACATGCTTGGTTCAGGAGCCACTTTTGGGTACGTCTGCTCACTCAGCTATCCAGCTATCGCCGTTTTTTACATCCAAACTAACAGCTTATCCCAAGGTTTTTCATGGGCATCGGGAGCACCATCCGAACGGAGACGACCTCTCAGCAAGCCATGGAAGCATTTGCTCGGGCTCAGCGCCGTCCAATTATGATGCAGAGTCAAGCATACCGCCAATCCAGAAAGGAGTGAATCGACAGACGAATCGAACGGAGCTAGGTGCCTATTGGGGAGTGGGTTCAGTCATGTGGCAGGGCTCGCCAATAGCACGCATATACTGGGAAAATGGCGTTTGAATGTACATATAGGTCATTGGCAACGGTGCCATGGTTATCGGTCAGCGGCTCTAGGACATCCGCTTTGTATCACCACATTCTCATGTCAAATACCCAATGCAAGTTGGAATATTTTCCCCTGCGTTGGATATGTTGCAAGATATAATTTGCGGGCTTTGTCTTGTTGTTTGCCTGCCGCGTGATAACTCTTTGACAGGTCCCTTTGGCTATTCACTCTATAGCCGTTCGGTTTACTTTGTTAGGGTACCAGAATTCTGGCGCAAAGTCAATGGAGCTATTTTCTAACCATAACGTCAAGTATAGGCTCTGATTTCATGACTCTATGCTCCCCTTTATCAGACTCTATTATATGTTCATAGGTGGTGACAACTGTAGCCGCCATAAGGAGCTAATGCAAGGCGACTAATTCTATCAGCAGTGGCGGAGGCAGGAGGCTCGATATATCTCTTTAGTGGGTGTTTCTATACGAATTAGAATGTAAATGTAGCTAGGAAACAGTGCTCTGAAAGCCAGGAACAAGAGCCATCTGTCGCGGTATGCCTCTATATCTACCTACCTAAGATATGCATTGATTGCACCAGATCCCTATCGCGGAGCAATAAAGACTCCGGACAAATGTTTTTAAGAATTTTCAGGTGGTGTTGAAGTTGAAACTCCCTCTCCGAGTCTTAACTCCTGACGACTCAACTTCATTTCACTCTTAACAAACAGCCCGTTGCCCAGCCAACTCACCCCGCCCTGGTAAACTCTCCCTGCAAGGAATTTCGCAACAACCCCACTACCTTCGTACTCAACATCACAAATACCAGACCCCTCTATTTCCAGACACAATGGCGAACCTACCTCCTGGAACCCACGTTCTCTCTGGTATCGAATCTCAACGCCTACGATCATTCTGCAGTTCCGAAACCTTCTCCACTCAGACCTAGATGCGTACGCCAACCTCCTTGTAGAGGGCCATCTCCCCTCAATCCGCGATGACTTCTCCCGCCGTGTGCAAAACCAACCCGATGGTGACCGGTTAGGCGCTACCCGTAAGGAACTGGCGGATATAGCTTACGGCCCCACCAAAATCCCGCTCTTCAACTTCCTACTTCAACTCACAATCCTAAACCCTCCTGCTCGAACCTCGTATCTTGAAATATCGCGGTTTCTTGCACTCGAAGCATGCGTCCCTGTCGATTCGACCGATTTGAGTGGCACAACTGCATTTATGCATTCAATATCCACAAAACCATATTGGGATCCTGAGTTCGCGGGCATCATGCTGAAGGCTGGTGCCGAGATCAATCGGAGGAATAGATATGGCTGTGTTGCTGCTCATGATATCGTTATGGCGAGGGATTATAGCACAGCTGGTCAGAGGAAGACAGTTGAGGCGCTGAAGTGGTTTGTGGAGAACGGCGGAGATTTGGATATCAAATGTGGCGACGGGGTCAGTCCCAGGAAGATGGGGATAGTCCCAGGAAGATGGGGATGTCGGTTTCGAGGTTAGTGCCAGCAATGCTGAAGGTATTGACTGCAGATACAGATGTGGGCAACGAAGGGACAGCTTCTGCTGGAGTAAGCAGTAAGATTGGAAGGAATGATCCTTGTCATTGTGGCAGCAAAAGAAAGTTCAAAGTCTGCTGCGGGAAGAACTAGGCATCATCAGCCGCGAGCTTTTCATAGCTTGATCTACGGATCAAACTTAGCGACGACGCACCTCCCCAGTACTTCTCCACAGAATTGTGGGAATACCCCAACTCTTGAAGTCAAGGAGATGGGGCGAGGAGTCTAGCCTGCCATTATAAGATAAATTGTCCTTGAAGCCAAAGCTACAATGTAGAAAAACGCAAGCACCACATCAATAGTATAGCTTTAGCTCCTGTTTAGTTACAGGCATCTCATCGGGCATAGCCGCATAGGCATATAATTATTCATGGAAAAGCCATGTTGAATGTCAAGTAGCTTGCAATTTGTGATTCACACAAGCCCCATGGCCCGAGGACTAGGTTATTCCAAGGCATGTTCAAGATTTGTGAATGGAAAATTGCCTTTCCTATTTAAACAGCATATCCTTTCATTATCCATTTCTTCTTCCACTTCCCTACAAAACATACAACAGAGGAACTTCAACAAAGCACTTCAACATCCAAACATCAACTCTAAACTGCATTAACACCAAAAGTCCAAGTCCAGGCCAAGGCTTTACACTATACACGGCCTCATGTCCGGAGATAGCCCCTTTGTAGACCGCCACGCATTCCCGGAATCACAATGGCTCAGAAGCTGGAGCGGTGATCAGCTTCGCCGGGAAACCGCTGCTGTTGCCCTCTCACAGGTCTTCACAGCCAGTTTCTCTTACTGGAATAGTCTTAAGCAACGCATCATCCAGGCAGTCAGGGACCGCAGGTTGGATCTCCTACAATACCAGAATTTCCAACTGATCCGGGTATGGCAACGCAAGTATTTGGCGGATCCGGGCGTCTTTCCACAGCCTCATCTGTTTAATGAAACATATGTAATAGCGAAGGCGTTAAGAGAGTGCATTGAGGCTATTGCTGATCCGGCCCCTCGTCCTCGTACGCTTCTTTTCCATTTATCCTTTGTTCCTCCGCTTTTATTTTCTACTCTAAATTTCGGTAACCGTATGTTTGGCTGCGATATCAACGCTAACCATATCAACAGGAAGCCCTAGCCGTGGCAGGGACAATGATACTTCTCGTGAGTTGGTGAGAAGTTCTAGGTAGAGACACAACTTCGCCCCTGACGAGGTTGATTATCCTCCAAACCCTCGCAGATATCCAACCCCCGATAGATTCGATTCCTCCGACGATGAAGCCAGCTATGATACTGTTGAGCATGATAGAGCAAGATACCCTGCACCGGTACGGCAAGAGTCACAGCCCAGATACATCCCTTATTTGCAGATAGAGATTGAAATCCAATATGGTTAGGATATGTACGGTGGTATCAACCAGGTGCGAATTGGGATGTTTTAGGATAGCGTATGGTATAGAAATGCGACGGGATTTAGACCACTGTTTTACTCCAAACGTTGAGACATGCAATTTAAATCTAAGAGTTTAAAAATAATAGAAGTAGCCGTTTTATTATATTGAGACTCCATGGGTTATAATAGCGTGACCCAATTAAAAAAATTAATGCGTTAACTGTCATATCGCATTTAAGTAGAGAGTTTGTAAAAAGGCGGTATAGCCAGGAGAGTTCAACTCCTGAGCATCACAAAGCTAATTGAGAGAAACTTACTAGGAGAGATATCCGTATATAAGGGGCGTATAGGTGCAGAAGTAGAGACTTTAGCAGGATTTGGACGCGATAACATACCTGTGGAAGAGGAACGTTTATAAAACGAATGGTTGTTCATGAGGGAGGGAACATCGGTATTTCAACAGCAGGCTCTACCGGGTGTCGAAGCCAAAGTACATCCTACCAGATAGTTGTAAATTAGCATCGATTATGTATCTCTGGACAGCAGAGATTTCTAGTCGGAACTCATCCAAATCAATTAAATGGAACTAGGGAACAAAACCAAACATATCAAATTTAGATAAAATGCATCATAATAACTTATCATAAGCTAACCTCCCACAACCATGTGATAGTGATAGTCTAACTTCAGGTAACTTATGGTTCAGGGCAACACGAGTTCTAGCTCATCTGATTCGCGTAGAGGCGCCGGATCAGTGGGCATGATTTCAGTAGCTAATTGTTTGAATGTATTTCGAGGATGCGGAAAAGGCTGGTTCCGGGTAATTGCGTAGCCATGGCGTGCCACAATGGCCCAAGAAAACTGGACATGGGCATGCACCCTTCAGCCTGCCTCATTCAAAGTACCATCGTCCACCGACTTATGGCGGGTATGATAGCCAAGGTGGGGAGGGCTTCAAACTTATACTTCAGAGTGGATACATAGTCTCCATATTGAGAGTGGTTCCCCGGTTGGGCGCTTCCGTAATGAGCGAGTTAGCCTCGATTATGAAGGGCTACGCCGCATCAAGACCCAAATAGTCCGAATGTTCAATGTCTGAATGTTGCCAAGCCCACTCGCCCTCAGCACCGCCATGCAGTCGAGTAAAATTTGAGCAGCAAGCAGTCATAGGTATGGTGGGCCTGGCGTGCGGCAATGTACGTTATTTCGTATTCCAATTTTATGGTTTCGTCCTTAGGGGTTTTATATCGGGGATCAAGCTGAGGTATGATTCCGTTTTCCGCGAGCCATCTGTGTTGGCGATGATGTCGACCCTGCTTGAATTGTTAGATCGAGCCGTGAACTACCTAGTTCAAAAGACCATACCTCAGCCTCCGATGATCCGTTAATTATAGGAGATGGATTGACCCCTTAGCAATCGACATCCATTAAAAGTCTTCAAGACCTTCAGCAAAACACTCCGTATATGGAGCAATGCTTCAGCGAAACCGCACCCCAACCTCCAGACAGCTCGTCCGTCTCACTCTACTACCCAATTCCTCTGCTTCCATATCTGCATCCACATCCCCATCCCTCCTCGAGACAACATCATCTATAGCACCCACACTCCCCGTCCTAATGCTAACAGCAAACTCCTTTCCCTCCCCTTCACTCATAAACCACGCGGCCACACTCAACAATCTCTCAATAGCTTTCCCCGTAGCTTTTAAAATCACCTCCTCCCCGTCTCGATCCTTCAAACTACTCTCCACACCTCGAATAAAAGCCTGGTCATTGCCCGTTTGCATCACAGATCTCAATTCATCATTTCTACTTTTAGCATTCCAATTTTCCCTATTGTTCTTGCCAGGACGAGGGCGGCTCGATTTAGAAGCCGCGTATTGCCGTGCTTCGATTCCGCTGAGGAGTTTTCGGACTCGTTTTATTGTGGAGATGAAGGGCGTCGAGGAGGATATATAGATTACTTTTGGGGCGGTGTTGGAGGAGCTGTTGGGCGAGGCGATCGGCGGGTGGAGGAGTGGACGCTTGGAGATCTTGTGGTCTAGATTTTTAGGGGAGTTGTTAATAAAATAACGAGGGATGTCGGATAAAATCTTAAAAGATGGGTTTAAGTATAATATGTAGTACGTACGATTTGAAAGCCTGGGCAACTTTTTCGATTTGGTTTTTGGGTCCTCGTCAGCGGTCTTATTTTGTTTAGGCATTTGGGACGCTGGTTGGACCTTCGGGGGTGGTAATAGTGCCATCGCTCCTGGTATTGAATCTGTATGTCGGGTATTCAGTGCCAGGGGGATGAGTCCGAGGGGTGTTGTTAACGCCATTGAAGCTTTGGTCCCGCGATTTGATGGTCTCGGCAAAACACCGGCGGAGACAGCTCCCCAGTCACAAGCTCACAACTTCACCTGCTTTACCGTACTTCGTCCTGGTCCTACATAGTTCTCACTCCTTATCTCGGCGAGCTCTCTATCCAAACTAGAACACTACGTGCCCACTAGCATACCGCGAAGATGGCTACCGCCATATATCCCTACATTGCACCAAAAGAACTCAAAAAAGAAGAAGACGATTCTACCGTAAGCTTATTCCTCCATAGCTCCCCACTTACTTCCAGCTAATCCATATGCCGTCACAGGCCCGCGAGCTCTCCTGGCTTCTCGACTCCGTACAAGAAACTCTCGCCTCGCTGAAATCAGGCCTAGAAGAATGCTATGCTTTGCTAGCACCGATAGAACCGGGTTCGACGCTCGTAACGTCGAGTCCGCGGAGTGAAAGCGTGAAGGGACATATTACGAGGGTGGGAACGACGATTGTTAAAGGGGTATGTTTGCTGATAGTTTATATATATATATACCGATGATTGCTATTTATACGGTGATGCTCATACTCTAAGCTAAGCTAACAAACGAATTACTAGTCGCTCCACCTCCGTCTACGCACCTATTCTCCCCTCCAACTCAGTATCTCCCAAGAGCACCCCCTTATCCTCCCCCAGCTCTCCCGCCTCCGCGCGCTCCTAAACCAATCTCTCGACTGCGTCGACATAACCCGCTGGACGGGTGACCGACATTCAGCACCTTTTATAACGTCCCAACTACACCTCCTCCACAGCATCCTCATCGAGGCCCTATCCCTATTGAAAGGCCCTGTACTCTTACAACCAACATCAGACACACCACCACAAACCCCATCCTTGACAGATATCGAGGCCTCGGTTTCAGCTCACTCCCCGCCATGGAACGAAATATCCTACGACGCTCAAACATTCACGCCTGCCCTTCCACAAAACCTCTCCTTGCATTTCCTCCCCACATCGTCATCGTTAATTCTTACCGTCCGTGTTCTGGAACCGACTTCCACCCCGCCGTCCACATTCAATAAACTCGCACTAGCCATCGGCGCCCAGAGACGCTTGGAGCATGATGAGATTGATGAGGTGTTTATGTACAAGGGCGAGGAGGTGAGGGTTAGAGAGAAGGTTAGAGTGGAGAGTAGTGCCGATCCGGTGCTACTTGTGCTTGGGGCGAAACTGGGGAGTTTGGAGAGGTGTGTCGAGGCGGGACGGATGGGGTTGAGGGCAGTGCTAGGAGTTGACGATGAGGGGTAGATGGATATGGTTTTATTAATGCTAAGTAGAATCAATGTGTTTAGGAGGGAGGGAGAATATATGGAGGTGGGTATTTGATACCCGTATCTAGCCGTAGGCGATACAGATCAACTCCCCAAGCCCATGGGTGCGGCAACTTTCGCTATATCACCCGAGAGAGCGGCTGACTGAGATGTATACATTTAAGACATGTTTATCTACATACGTAGGCACCCTAACCGGAGACATTGTTCAAGGCTCCCGACGTGCTGCAGCATGGTTATCTGTACGAGTAAAGGAGACGAAATCGATGCCGGTTCGTGCATCCAGCCTAAGGTAGATATAGACGAGCTTTGAGTAACAGGAAAATCTGTTTAATTCTGATCTGCTTGCTAGCTTTGCAATACCTGGCTTTGCGCCTATGTGCATAAAATGAACCCATCGAATGAAAGTAAAATGATGTATACACACACCGACGATCGCCATTGCAAACCGCCATCAACCATAGAATCAATCCGTTCCTAGCCGTCATGGAGGTGCAATTAGGACAGCGATGCCAATTGCATGCAGCTCCCTTCGAACCTCGTCCATCTCCACCTCACACTCCTCTATAGAAATATGCTATTAAGCGACAGGTGACCAAGGCATTGGAATCAAAATCCGACTCTTCATGCTCTGAATCAATGGCACAGTCTTATGCACCGTATCTCCCCAACCCTCAACACTCCAGCTCTGCTCTCTCCGAACCTTTCTCTCCTCCAAATCGGCAAATTGCCAGAGATGATGCACCGTGTTCAAATCGCCAATTTGCACGAACCAAGCTCCTACACCCTCCATCACTTGTCTTCTAGCACCTAGGCCACGTCGCCAGTGGGTCTCCCATTCAAGGAGGTTGCCTGGATGCAGGGTGTAGGAGCGAAGCTCGAAGACGCCGCCCAATTGGCGGGGGGAGGTGGTCGGCCAGAAGGAGAATTCCTGCATGAGCGAGGTACGTTTGGCAGTTATGAGGGATTTGAGCTTCTTGTCGAAGGCGGGAAATTCGGGGTGGCTGGCAATGTTGTGTAGGGAGGTGTGATAGCCTTGGTAGCGCTGGTATTCCCAGATATGGACTTGTTCCATGGTCAGCAGCTGTACAAATAATCTGGCAGATCCGTGAAGAAGGGGGACCAACCAAAAGTATCGCAATCGCCAACCTCAGTCCTCCAACTTCCTACTAAATGCACCTTGTTCTCCGCCATGCCCGCCATCCGGGGATACCAGCTCCCAACCAATTCAACATACTCATCCACCTTATCAGGCTTCACCTCATGGAACACAATACTGTGGACATACTTTCCTCTCGCTAGCACCTGCGAGAAGGAAAGCTCGATCTCGCGTTCCAACGCCCTCCCCTCTTTGGTACCATAGATCAAGCTGCTGAGCTTGCCCTTGCCCTTGGAATCATCTTGCTCGCTCGCGGCTGCGGCGGCGGCGGATTCTGCAGAAGCGGCCCGTGAGTGAACTGTTTGCGCGTGGCACGAACGTTAGATAGGTGTGGACTCGCATTGCTCGCATTTGGAGCAGTGGGAGGAAGGAAATAAAGGAAGGAGGGACAAGGAAGTTAGTATCTGAGGACCTACTTGCGCTTGCTTCTTGCTTCCTGGCCTGTTCTGCTATGCGCTCTCGGAACACTTTCTGCTTTGTGTCGAATGACTTTACGCCATCGGGGGTGATATCGGCCAGCGCGGGGGTTCGAGAGAGTGCCGTGCTACTGGTGAAGGGGCGGAGGAGGATATTGGGATTGGGAGCGCCCAATGAGCTGGGGCTCTTGAGAACGCGTCGAGCGAACATGGTGCTATTAGCTATATTGGTGATATAACTGAATTGACGGAGTCGAGTATCCAGATCGTGTCTGGTATGAAAGCACAAAGGAAGAGGAAGTGCGTTGAAGTGCGTTGAAGCTCGCACGAAGCTCGACGGATGACGATGTATTGTGGTCGTGCCTGTCTACGACGTAGTACCGGCACTCGAGGACGGACCAGCAAGCTTAAACGAGAAGTTGGCAATGACAAGGCTCCTTGAATGAGTGATCTTCGCAGCAGGTTTATTGACGGGTATTTTTGGAGGTTATTAAAGAACACAAGTAGAAGAGGAGACGAGAGTTGAGCAGTATGAAGTAGAGTAGAGTAGAAGTGAGGGGAGTACGGGAAGTAGCAACAGGAGCAAGGAGTGATATAGATGTACTTGGTACTTCACACTATGTAGTCTGCACTACGTAGTACGCAGTCCAGGGACAGCAGAGCAAACAGGGAGTGTGATTGGTGGTTGGATGATGTGTCAGCATTCACCCCGCACTGTTGCATTAATGCCTCAGGCATTTACCAGTTCTCAGGCCTTGAATATCAGGCGCAGATGTGAAGTACTTGGTTACTTCGATGCGAGCAGTGGCACGTGATACCTCGTCGGCTAAACCAGATGCGGGTAGTGATTTTCGCTGCGGCTCCCGGCTTTCCACCGCAACACCAGACCAGAACGCCAGGACAGGAACCTCCAACACCACAAGAAACCCACCTCCAATCCCTTCAATCTCCCCAGTTTCTCTCAAATACACAATCGCCATGTCGTTGTTAGGAAAGAAGTTTCCCGGGGCTTTCGGTATGTCCATTGCCTTCGCCCCCCCAAGCAAGCAAGCAAGCAAGCAAAAGCTTTACCAGGAGCATCCACAGCTAACGAAAGAACGCAATAGCTAAGCCAATGGCTCCTTTCTTCGTTGCCGGTATGATATGCGCCCAAGTCGAATTCGTTGTAATGATATACGGTTGATGGTGGAGGGGATGGGATGGCGAGCTTGCACGGGATGACAGAGGTGCTAATCCGGAGATAGGCCTCGTCATGATGTACGGCATCAATTCATTCCAAACCATGCTGATGAACAGTGAGTTGTTTTTGCTTGCCCACCTACACTCCTCTGGTGTACTTTTGCTGATGGAATACACCTGTGTAGCCGATGAGTTCAAGAGCGACCCCCGGAACCCCAACGCTAAGAGCGTGAAGTCAGCCGAGAAGCACTGACGGGGAAATGAAATGATGGATCTAGAGGATATGGTGCGGATATGTTGATGACCCATAGAGTTTGAGTGGCGTGGCTGGGGAATGCTTGGAGGTGAATGGGCGCGGAGGAGACATTGTATCATATGGACACCATGAGAAGCCAGCATTCCCGTTGTCTCGAGTTCACAGTACGATTTCGCTATATCTGGAGTTTTCTATGTGTCGCTTCCAAGTCATTCTACATCAAAATGATCTATGATGTGGTTTGATACGTCACGATAGTGTACCGTCGTCTGGTGGTGTTTCAAGCTCTCGAACGATTCCCCAAGGTCTTTTCAAGGCGATTGAACCCGTTACCATTTGCTTCTCAAAATCTCCCTCCATTCTATCTATGCCCGGTTTCCTCGCTTTCCAAGCCCGTTTATTGTTCCCGTTTCGATATTTTATGTTAAATAGCCACTGATGCTTCTTTTACTTCGTCGCTCCATCTGCTTTGCATTAAACCGAGATCAGTGGCACTGTCCCATTAGTCGGGTAATATAAATATTCGAAGTATATTTGTCAACCCGTACTCTAAGACATCAACACTACAGAGAATTTCTGGAATAACGTAGATCCCTATTTGAGAAGCTTCCTATCATTCAATGCATAACCTTGATAATTCCAAATCGTCAAAACACACTGATCAAAATAAAATAACAGCCACTATGCTTGAGACTAACGAGACGGGAATAGAAGCTGTCCGATACAAAGGTGATGAATATAGAAGTTTGGTTGGGAAATGGTTGGTATATAACTTAGGTTCCCAGGAGAGAAAACATTGAAGACGAAGAGTGGAAAGTGCTTATACTAGTAGACAAGGACTTACCAGACGAAACTAAAAATGCAGATCAACATGCTCCTAGTGGAAGTCTACTAGTAGTTTATCACAGAGTACTAGTAGGTCGATAAAACTAGTAGTCCTCTTAAAAAGAAATCTAGGGATGTTTTTAAGCGTTTATATATATAGAAGTAATATCCAACAATTCTTAAGAAAGTTGGCTGCGACCTAAGAAAATATTAGTTGGAAATAACCTCGACAGTTTATAGATCGTTCGACTTTTCTAGAATTGGATCATGTACCAACTCACAGTATATACCTAAAGGGTTGGTGTATATTATCTATATATAAGCACATGTGACGCCGACAGTATAGTATAGTGTCAAATCCATAAAAGTAGTCAAAGCAAGCTCTGCTGTTAATCTAAAGGTTGCTGTTACGTTTATATTAACATATGCTCTCACTTTTTAACATTGTAAGAGAAAACACAGTGCCAAGCACCTCTAAGAAATAAACTTAACTAGTCGACAAAATGAATATCTATGGAGTTTGGCCGCCGGACCGACGCCACGCATGTTTGCGGCATTGTAAGATCTCGCTGTTGATGGATTATCACAAAGCAAAGAAAACAGGTAATGAAACCGAATTAAACCTACGCTGTGGTAGCAGTGTGAACTGGTCCTTGGTGCATTAGCTGAGCATGTCGTAGAGTTAATGACTCCTCGCTGTGACTTTCATTTTCAAAAGCTTGAATATCTCAAGGAGATGAGACGTTTGGGATGAAGAATATCAAAATTTCCTGTAACCATTGTCCAAAACGCCCACAATGCATTTAACCCACAACTCCACCCAGGATGATTTTGAGGCTCAGATATCCTTAGCGATCTTCTTTGCTACCTTTCTTTGCTCCTCCACACTTAAGGACTTCTCATCAGTCTCCTGAATTGCCCTTCCAATTGACAGTGTCCCTTTCACGCTCTTGCTATCGACCCACAGTTTTCCATTCCTGCCCACGGCGATTTCAAATGCCACTCCCTGCTCCCCAAGCTCTTCTAAAATCACGAGCTTCCCATTTTCCGCTGGCTTAGGTAGCATAAGTCGTCTTGCCATTCCCAGAGAAATATTAAACACCATTCCTCCTATTAGTGGGCCGAGTCCCTCTGATTTTCCTGTCGACGAGGACACACATTCTAATTCTGGGTCCATGTGTTTATTCGCAAGCACAACACGAGCGTAGACCAGGGCGCCGAATGCGAGTTGTGGGCGGGTCTTTTTCGTTGCCCCTTCAAAGGAGAGTTGGGGAAGGGAAGCATTGGGTGTGTAATCGCTGATACTGGCGTAGTACACGTCGACGGCCGATTTCTGTACGGTGGCTATGACAAGGTCGCCGGCGATTGGAGTGTACTGCAGTGGTCCCATTAGCTAGATTCTCAAAACAAGCAACAGAAATAGGCTCTGGACATACGCGACCACCATTGAATTCAACCCAGACGGCATTCTTCCTCGTGTCGGTGCATAGCTGGCCCGCGACAGTGGGTGTGATAGTATTTGGTGGGATATGTCGCAGCCCCGGTCCGAGTTTAAGAGGCAATTTTGGATGTGACGGTAGAGAGCTAGAGTCCAATTGTTCACCCGGAAGGACCAATGTTGCTGTTGCCATGATTATTTCCGGCAACGATATTGATATGGAGATGAGATGTGAAAGTCGTTTCGAGGGGTTGAAGTTAGAGCTCTCAGCCTCGCCAGTCTCGAATCGCGCGAGGCAGAGCGGCGCTAGCGAGTTTTCTCAGTGACCGGGGACGAAAAAAGTTAGAATTCCGATTCAGGTTCAGAATCACAAAACCACAATCAAAATTTCTGTTTTTGCTCAACGCGCAACTCTGCCTTTCGCTCTTGTATAACTCTAACTCCGATTATAAGATGGCTGCAGAAGGGGCATCTGCTGGCGGCCCAGCGCCGGACGAGCGTCATGCTATTGGTATCTCGTTTGGGAATTCCAACAGCAGTATTGCGGTTACCATGGCGGATGATAAGGTCGAGGTCATTGCCAACGAAGATGGAGGTAGGATATCTATTTAGCTTTTATGGCCATATTTGGGAAGCCTGCTAACAAGCTCTATATAGATCGTCAAATTCCCTCAATTCTATCATATGTCGATGGCGAGGAATATAACGGCCAGCAAGCTCGGCAACAGCTTATCCGGAATAGCAAGAACACTGTGGCATGCTTCAGGGACTTCCTGGGACAAGAGTAAGACATAATGAAGTATTCTATTCAATATTTGCGTGCTAATTATATTTGCAGCTTCAAGTCAATAGACCCTACGCACTGCCACGCCTCTGCCCACCCCCAAGCGCACAACGACACGGTCGCATTCACCATAAAGGATAAGGCGGGAGACGAGGAATCCACAGTCACTATCTCTGAAATTGCAACCCGTCAGTTCCGCAGACTGAAGCAATCTGCTTCCCATTTCACCGGCAAGGATGTGAACTCGGCGGTTATTACCATTCCCACCAACTTCAGCGAAAAGCAGAATGAAGCTCTCACTAAGGCGGCAAAGGATGCGGGCATTGAAACCCTGCAGCTCATTCGTGAGCCAGTGGCCGCACTTCTAGCATATGACGCAAGACCAGAGACCAAAGTGTCCGATAAGAATGTGGTGGTCGCAGATCTTGGTGGTACTCGGTCTGATGTGGCTGTTATCGCATCAAGAGGGGGCATGTACACAATTCTGGCTACCGCTCACGATTACGAATTTGCGGGTGTGCATCTGGACAAAGTTTTGCAAGATCATTTTGCAAAGGAATTCATCAAGTGGAACTCAATTGACCCTCGGGAAAACGCCCGAAGTCTTGCAAAACTGAAACTCGAGTCCGAAGCTACGAAAAAGGCTCTTAGTATTGGAACCAACGCGAATTTCAGCGTGGAGAGCTTGGCAGAAGGCATCGACTTCACATCCACCATCAACCGCCTACGATATGAGACAATTGCACGAAAAGTCTTGGACGGATTCAATCGTCTTGTCGAAGGCGTCGTCAAAAAGGCAGGCCTCGATGTTCTGGATATTGACGAAGTTATCCTATCTGGTGGAACATCACATACACCTAAAATTGCCTCTAACTTCGGATCCATCTTCCCAGAGACCACCAAGATCTTTGCTCCCTCAACTTCTGCTACGGCGATTAACCCATCAGAGCTTCAAGTGCGAGGAGCAGCACTGCAAGCTTCCTTGATCCAGGAATACGAATCAGAAGATATCGAGCAATCTACCCACCCTGCCGTAACTACAGTCAAGCACCTCACCAACGCGATCGGCGTCCTGGCCATTTCCGACGACTCCCACAAAGGAATTTTCACGCCTATCGTATCCGCGGAAACCGCCGTGCCTGCGCGTAGATCGATCCACATCCCCGTACCTAAAGAGGGCGGCGACGTTCTTATCAAGATTGTCGAAGGAGGGAGTCACATCAAAGTCACGAAGCCCGAATCAGCACCAACGACTAATGGAAAGAAGGAATCTGATGACAGCGAGGACAGCGACGAAGATAGCGACGAGGAACCGGAGGAACAGCGAGAGAAGGTATGGAAGGTTGGGAATGTGCTCGCCGAGGCCGCAGTTAAGGGCACCAAGAAGGGCGGACAGGTCGAAGTCATGATTAATGTCGCTGTGGATCTGGCTGTTACCGTCACGGCTAGAGAAGTTGGTGAGAAAGGAGGTGTTAGGGGGAATTTGAGCGCGCCTTAATTTTCCTCTTACCATCGTTGTCAAGTGACTGGACGGATCATGTCTTGTCGGGGCTTTTAGAGGGGGAAACTTGGATGCCTTCCTTCTGGATGGATGGATGGATCCACTGCAAATTTTTAGAATGTCTTGGGCGCTGAGCCGGCGCACAAAATGCTATAGAGTGCGAGGCCCGATTGCGCCGTGTCATGAAGTATAGAGCACGTACAGTTGAGAAACAATGAAAAGCTTCCCAATATCAAGTTGACTTTGGCCTGCGTCTATATCCACAAGAGAAGTATGACGGAGTCAACATTTCCCCCCGTTTGCTCATGCTCCAGATTGCGGGGAAAGAACGGAATAGGGGCCTTTGTGGGAGGGTACCTGCAGCTTTGTGGTGTGGTTCAGGTGGTACTCCCCCTTTCTTTCTCAGATCTGATCTAGATCTCGCGGAGGATCAGATCTTGGTTTGGGAGCAAGGGGGCGTGGTGTTGGTGACGGGCCGCCGGAACATTCCCGCCTTGCAAATGGTGAGTTGACTATGGAAGGGCCGACTTGGTTGGTAGGTGATAGTGATGGATGTATTTTGCATTAGGGGGAGGGTTCTGATGCTGTGGCACTAACGGCTCACGGAACGGTTCCCATTCCAGATTCCCATCTATAGGGATCCTAAGATCCTACTCTATAACTCTGAAGGGCAGTATTCCTAGGATCTCCATCCATATTCCGGTATTTGGGTTCCCGAGCGTAAGAGGCCATTTGATGGATGGAAGCTCGGCCCAGGTATTCCTGGGAGGAGCCGTGGGTGTTCGAGAACTTAACTTGATACTGTACTGGTGGTACCAGTTCCAGCTGGATCAATTGCTCTAATTGCTGATGGACTTTGCTTTGAGAAAGTTATTATTGGGGGCAATGTGCAAATCAAAATATCAATTAATGTACTATGTTTCCTTCTACCTGGTCTGATAGTATGGCGATATGATATCGTACTTGTCCCCTACTAAGTTCTCAACACCACACACAACCACGCGAGTACCATCGATCTCTAGAGATCGGATGTCGGAACGCAAGCATGCACGATCCTAAAGGTGTGGCTCTTCGGAGAATAGATAGTATCTCAAGATCAATGCTCTAACTTACTTTGTACAGGCCACCGAGTTATTCCTGTCGAGGCCGCGTCGCCTGGAAGTTTAGTTTTGCTCTACTCGAGTATAGGACCACTCATCGATACTATCTCACTAAGCCCTGAGGATAAGACTTTTATTAACCGCACGTATCACATATGCGCAAACCGGGCACCCTCTGAGAAGCCTGCTTGAGTAAACCACCGCAAGTATGACGGCCGAAATATCAATACCATCTGGGTACCGCAAAAACGGATGTTTATTTCTTCAATATGGAATGGCCGGCTTCGTACCCTCAGGTAGCTGGGACAGCGCCAGACAGCGGCATCCAGCCTGGGTAATGCCAGGGTTACATCTTGCGACATGCGATTAAGCTTTCAATCGGCGATTCCAAGGAATGGCCACTGCGGGCAATCTGGTGTTAGTCTGGCATTGTCCCGAGGAACCTACCGATACATCACTATACACATCGCTAAGGGCAAAAATAGGATGATCGATCGTGGGAACAATGTATTCCCACGTTACAGTGGAGTAGAAACACTGTATCTGCGTTGGCACGGCCGTCGCGTCGAAGACTCGAAGTAGCTGCCGCGAGCATGGATAATACCGAGTATATATTGACGCTCGCGATATTAACATTTTGATTTGGTGGACAATTTCGGGATAAAGATCAGCCAATCTGCCGCTGGATATGCTGGCCAAGGTTCCCCGCCTTTGATGTCCTTGTTGACGTTGTCGCTTTGCTGGGTTTTCCGTCGACGACGAGTCAAGATGGTCAACGACACTCCATCATTCCTCATCTATCGTCCAATGTGACCCTTAGAGCTTAGAAGGCTTGCCCGACACCAATGATGCCGTTCCTTTTCTCGGCTGCAGCGCGCTGAGATGCTGTATTAGGACCGGCTTTCCCGAATCCCAGAAGCCGCCGACTTATATGGCACCAGTGCGACGTTATGAGGCCGTATGAGAGGGCGAGGCCGTATCAACATGTCCTGGTCCATATACCTAGTCCCTACGGGGTCTCTGGTCCGAGTAGGCGACCATTGGCTGCTCCCACTACCGTTCTCACATCCGGGAATGCCCTCAACGCTCGCTCTCTTCACCTAATAATACCACCACCACTAGCATCCTTACGGGCCTCCTTTCTCGCTATACCCTAAGGAGTTGTCGCTTCAGACTCCGTCGATTGTTTACCCGGCCCAGCAATAGGGAGAGGAGACTCCTGCTCGGCAGCCCTTGGCTTATGATTTGGCCGCTTCTCGTACCATTTGGTGCTGATGGTCCGAGGCCTCACGGGTTCCGCGACTTGGTCATGACTTGGTCATGTTATCTGGAGCGGGACTGGGCACTATGTGTTTGGAAACGGACTGGAATCAAGCGCTCCACTATCCTACTGCTATTTTTTTTTGACTCTGTTATGCTCGGTCTCCATTATTGTTGTCCCTACGCGCTGCTCGTACCATATTGCCACCATAATTCGGAGCACAATATATGCATCTCATATGTCTTGTTCTGCACCGCCTTGTTCCGACCAGGTTAAACATTCAACCGAAGAATATTTTGTCAGATGCCTTCATATCTGCCAAGAAATTCCCCCCTATGGGGAGACGCTGCTTCATCGTTTGGTCTCTTTCTTTTTGCCACCTATCACCATATTCATCGGGGGGAGCGGCGGGCTGTTCGCAGTCGCCCAGCCTCAAATATATTTCTGAAAGATTCGTAACCACATATCATGGAAGAATCTGAGGCGTTTCAATTTGAAACTCATATCATATGCTGTTGTCCACCCACATAGGTGACGGTCGTGCAAATCAGAGCGCAAGGGTGGAAGTTTCTTACAGTTATTTGTTGCATCCTCCAACCCTCTGCCCGGCATATATCCAGGGTAGCGGAGTATCAGGCGGCCTTCATACGCCCCTCCAAATCCAGATGGTTTGGTGTACATTTTATATTAGCAGGGATACAACGCGGATACTGAACCGCCGCCCTTGACAGGGGAAACTGAAAATGCGGGGGACCAGCAAGTCTGTGTGATACCAGGCTCTCCTAATCACTCCGCCCCTTTATCCACGCCAGCAAGTCAAGATTCAGCAAGGTCGTTTGAGGAACTTTCGCTCCGAGTAGCTCATCCCCAGATTAAGTTTGTCATTTGATTCGCCGGATTGGTATTTCTGCTGAATCATCCCTGCCATTGCTCGACAGCAGCCTTTCCTTTCCTGAAGTCATCTGGCTGCCAAAACTCGCTCCCAAATATGGAGATTGCCATACACCTAGTAGTAGTTGGCCAGTCCGATACAGGCAATATGGAAGAAGGAATTGATGCCGTTTACTGCCCAATGCTGCCGGCATATACTTCGGGGCGACTGCTTCCACCGCAAATGCTGATTTCTGGTAGATATCGGCCGTTGAAAATACCGCCAATTAGTTTAGTGCACTATGCTAACACCTTCAAACAGATTAACGACGGCTGTAAGGACATCATTCCCGTCTATCCGCCTTGTCTTTAACTTTGAGGCTGGTGCTGAGCAAGATCAGCGTCAGAGCCATTGGTATTGCCTCAATTGATAAGTATATAACTCTTCTTTGCTCGCCCTGTCTCTCAAGCTGCTTTACTCTACGGTACCGCCTTTTCTCTACCTGATATTCAAGCTCTTGTTGTTATCAAAATGTATCGCAGTCTTGCTCTTGCCACCTCCCTGGTCGCCGCTGTGGCGCGCGGCCAGCAGGTAGGAACACAACAAACGGAGACTCACCCCTCGATGACCTGGTCGAAATGTTCTTCCGGAGGTTCTTGCTCAACTCAACAGGGCAAGGTGGTCATTGATGCCAATTGGCGTTGGGTCCACGACAAGACGGCCAACAGCTATACTAACTGCTATACCGACAATAGCTGGGATGCCACACTTTGCCCCGACAACAAGAAGTGCGCGGCCAACTGTGCTCTCGAGGGTGCTGACTACAAGGCTACATATGGTGCTGAGGTCAGCGGCAATTCTTTGAAGCTCACATTCGTTACCAAGGGTACTTATGCTACCAACATCGGATCCCGTCTGTATTTGATGGATACCGATACCTCATACCAGCAATTCAAGCTCCTGAACAACGAGTTCACCTTCGACGTTGATGTTTCCAAGCTACCGTGCGGTCTCAATGGTGCTCTTTACTTCGTTTCCATGGATGCAGATGGTGGAATGAAGAGATTCTCAACCAACAAAGCCGGTGCAAAGTATGGTGTCGGATACTGTGATGCGCAATGCCCGCGCGATCTCAAGTTCATCAACGGCGAGGTAAGCAATCCAGAGTTAGGAATCTACACACAGATTGGCTAAAAGTTCCGTAGGCCAACGTTGAGAACTGGAAGCCCTCCAGCAATGACCCGAATGCCGGTGTTGGAGGACACGGCTCTTGCTGCGCTGAGATGGATATCTGGGAGGCTAACTCCATGGCTGCCGCCGTGACACCCCATTCATGCAAGACCGTCTCTCAAACCCGATGTGATGGTGACGACTGTGGAGGAACCTACTCCGCCACCCGATATGCCGGTGTTTGCGATCCCGACGGATGCGATTTCAACTCCTACCGCCAGGGTGACACGAGCTTCTACGGCAAGGGCCTCACCGTCGATACCAGCAAGAAGTTCACGGTCGTGACGCAATTCATTGGCAGCCCCTTGACTGAGATCAAGCGCTTCTACGTCCAGAATGACAAGGTCATCCCCAACTCTCAGTCCTTGATCCCCAACGTCACCGGAAACTCCATCACCCCTGCCTTCTGTGACGCCCAAAAGGCCGCCTTTGGTGACAATTACTCTTTCAAGACCCAAGGTGGCTTCCCATCCATGAGCTCTGCTCTCGATGCTGGCATGACCCTCGTCATGTCCATTTGGGATGATCATTACGCCAACATGCTCTGGCTCGACTCCACATACCCAACCACCAACAGCGCTCCAGGTGGACCCAGAGGTGCCTGCGATGTCACCTCCGGTGTCCCAGCTGATGTTGAGAAGGCCAGCCCCGACGCCAGCGTCATCTACTCCAACATCAAGTTCGGCCCCATCGGCTCCACATTCAAGCAACCATAAATGGTTCCCTCTTAGTTCCTTGATTCAGTGGGCTAGTTGGAAATGTATATAGGGTAGCGAGAGCGAAGGGATTCCTTTCTTTAATATTGGCTACTGATTGAAGCTGATTTGTGCATATTACTTTCGTTCTGTGGAATGAATGTAAATAGGGGTAGGGCGAGAAAAAAAAACATAAAGGACTGTAGATAGCTTCTAAAATGCTACTGTCATTTTGCTGTTTTAATAATTACCCGCTCTGTGAATTCATTCGTGGCTAGAGTGACTCGTGTATCGCATGGTAACTACCCTTACCCTTTCTCCGCTGGTTGGAACTTATGTTATATTTTATCTCTCCAATCTCGATATTACAATTATATGAGGTTTCTTTTATCCATCATTATGCTTCCAGCTACCTAGGACATTCCCTCAAGTCCTCAAACCACGCACTGAAGAGCCAAACGTTTAGCTTCTACAGCTAGATAATTATAATAATCATTTAATAGTTTGACGTTCCCTCACCAAACTTCTCAAAAGATTTCTTCAACGGGAATTGGTTATATTGCTTGTTGATTTCTCATATTATATGTATTCCTTTACTAGCTTTAAATTCCGCTCTCGCCTTTAATTGTGAGATCTAGCTCTATCTAGTTGGTTGATGTGAGTCTCTCAGGGGTGAAATGCCTTGTAAGATATTTTGATTTTAGAATTTGGAGAATAAGCCTAGTAGCGGAGCATAGCTAGTTACTGTATTATATTCCTTAATCTAGAACTTTTAAGAAAAACTATATAGCGTCATGAATATAAGCTAGGTTTGGTGATACCTTCGCACCGATATCAATATTGATTTGTAGGAGCGGATACTATACCCCTTTGTACTCTCCGTTATATTGGCGTTATAAGCTTAGAAATTCATAAGAAGGATAAATGCAAGATATCAGAAAGCCTCGAACGCTGAGATAATTAGATCTCTAAAGTCAAAATATAATCTATGGAATAACTTCATAACGAAGTAAGGAAGACCGGAATGCCTAATCTACAACGAAGGCGGACACCGCTGCCACAGTGGGAAACATCACAGTCTCCAGCACGTCTAGGGTGGATCACCTATCTAACTCCAAAGCAGCCCTAACATCAAAGCTTACAAATCTCCCCCAACACATCGACCCTGCATCAACACCAAGCATCCGTATCCAGGTAATCTTTAACCCTCTCCTCATCCACCTGCGCGCCCCAGAACTCAGCGACCAACATCTCGGGAACCCACCATGGCTCCTGATACATTGTCTTCTTCCCCTTATCCTCTTTCTTCCTTGATGCTCCTATCTTTTGAATCCCTTCATACGGCTCAATCGGCAAACCCGTCCCATCAAGCTTCACACACGGACTTCTAATCTCACCACTCCTCCTCATGGTCTCCTCAAATGTCTTCCCTGGCTTGGGCATATGCGCCGTATATCTCCAATTGGCACGATCTGACACCATGGGACGGAGGGGGACATACTCACCGTCCACATCCAGTAGCATGAAAATCTGACGGGCATTATGGCTCCCGCGGGTTAATACGCGCTTTCTAAGGGTTTTGGCCGGGTCGGAGGAGTCATTATTGTGGATGACGATGAGTTCGATGCCGAAACAGTCAGCAATAATTTGCCAGAGCTCGGGCGTCACATCGCAGAGTTCAAGGTATGGCCCATCCGGAAGGAGTTGTCGTTGTAGACTGGCAATTTGAAGGTGTGGAGGGGGATTGAGAGTACACCGACGTCGTAAGGTGGCCACGTGGAGATCTTGGTAAAGATCCTCCCGGGGATGGTGATTTGCTGGTAGAGTAGCTGCTTGGTAGTAGATGTTTGCAGATGCTTTTACTTCAGCCCCTATTAAAGCAAACAAAGTTAACCATCGGAATATATAGGCAGCCCTTACTTATCGACCAGAGAAAATTACAGGGAAAGGAATAGCCAAAGACTTACAAAGTTTAGTATCACCTAGTAGGCCCTGTGACAAACTGGTCCAAAAAGTATTTTGCCTCTTTCGACAAAACAAACTATCCGCCGCTCGATCGATCGCCCAGGTAATACTCGTCCCCGCAACATTACGCAACGCAGGGTCCCACGTATGATAGGGGTACGCTTCGGGCGCCTCGTTCTCTAGAACACCTGGTGGGTGCCTGTAGACAGGTACGCCCTCATAAGGAAATGGGCTCGCATACCCATTCTTCCCTCCAAATTTATCATACATTTCTTTTGCCGTAGGATCTTCAATCTGCTTCCATGCTTGCTCGATAACTAGGGTAGGAAATGACGAGTTAACAGAATTCCATCTTTGTGTTTCACTCCCTGTCCTAGACGTACGTTTTCTAACCCGCGTCCTGCGTCCTTGGCAATTGCAAGAAGGATCATCTAGAGCAAGCCGAAGATCGTCGATGTTACGGGCATGCTGGGCCCAAGTCTTGTATCCCGGACATCGGAGAATATCGTAAACTGTGCGAATATTTTGTGGAATCGTTTTGGTAAGCGTTTCGATTGTCGTAAAGAGCGAGTGGATAGGTTTTGCATTGCATTTGGGTGCTGGATGTGCACGTTCGACCCTTGCTCTTACTTTTCTTTTTTCGCGGTTGGGCTTGCGTTTTGAAAGCCTGGCTTTCAAATTTGCATTTGCATTTGCATTGACGATTGCCATATTAATCTATATGAGCTCGAACGTCTAAAATGGGAGATTGTGAGAAAGTAGAGATGGGATGAGATCGTGAATGGCCTTAGTAGAAGCGAGTATTGAACTAAAAAGTTGTCAAACTACCAAAGCGCCGAAAATAGAATATTATAACTTGGAATTTATCTGGGCTTCGCGATGACAACAAAGTAAATATACGCAACAGGAATGAATGAAAGCCATCCGGCGTGGCTTTGTTTAAATTGGGGAAGAATGGAAAGCTTGATGAATAAAGGGACAGGACATAGACATTAACTTGTACAAAAGCGACTGGCAAAGAAATTCTAAGAATAAAGTCGCATAGATTAGGCCGCAGGGCGGTGCAAGAATTTTTATAAATCGAAAAGGCAATTACGGAAATGGCCACGCTATTGAATAAGGAACGCTTAAAGAGACGCTGGAAGGACGCTTAAAGAGTCGCTCGCAGAATAACACGAATGCTCAAATACACACACGTAGAGAAGAGTGAACATTGAAAGGACGCTCGAGTAGAGTCGCAGGGGAGCCTAACATAACCCCTAAAAGTCTTATTTGGAAGGGAGACAAAATAGGATTTGCGCTTCGGGACAAGATTACGCAGGTATAGATAGCTCGGTTTTCAGAAAGCGTGAACGAGCCTTGTTAGATGCTAATATGCCTTCTTAATGTTTACTTAGGCGGGCTCTACCGTTTGCTTAGGTTGCTCAAGCTACCCCTAGCCCATGTTCGGGCTCGATTCAGGTAAAGGCGGGTGCTGTCTATGTCTAGAGACTGGAACGGAGCCGGCGAGACTCAAAGTAGAGTTTGACTTTTGGTGGTAATACTTTGTAGGACCCTGACGTAAGCTCGAACCGTGATAGAGACGACGATGGGGTTTCTGAAGTTGTTGCATGAGGAAAGAAATCACGACCAAAATTGGACTGATCAATAGCGCTATATCAGATTAATCCCAACCTACCACATATGCACTCCTAGTATACATTGGCAACCAGTCCGCCAAAAAGATCACCCCAATGCCGTTTAGGTTTGACATTTCGCTCATCAGACATAAGAAAAATATACTTTTTTGTGGGCACATGATTATGCAGCCCCTGTCGCCTCGTTGCCTTCACTTGCAGGCTTTGCTGCACCACCATCTGACTTCAACACCTTCGCTTCCTTGCTCTCATCCGCCTGGACTTCTCTTTGCTCCATCGGCTTATCCTGGGTATCGGGTTCGGGTTTGCCCACTGTTGATGAGTCAACACCTTCCACGTCTGGGTGAGGAGGTGCGACGCCCGCTCCAGTATCAGGGTCGATCTCGTTTCCTTGAGGGTCTATCATACGAGTTCGGGTCTCGTAGCGTGTCTTAAAGCTAACCTTTCCCTCGAGCGCCTTGACTTGCTCTGGGGATAGGAGGTTACCGTCTTGGTCCCGATACTCAACCTTCTCCTCACGAGAGACGATGCTGTGACCTGCGGGAGCAGCTATGGGTGGCGCAGAGACCAGAGGCTCAGGAGCCTCCGACATGTACACTGGAGGGTCTTGCACGAGGGGTTGCTGTTCCCCGGCCGGTGCTGGTGGCGGCTGGGGAGCATCAGACGGGATAAGAGGGGACTCTGTCTTGTGAACATCGTCGTGCGCAGCGAGGACTGGGCTAGAATATTGGGAATACTAGGAAAGTCAGCACATTCTCTGACTAACCCGCGCGGCCGCGTTTCGGAAAGGTTCGGAGGGGAATTACCTCAGTCAAGAAAGTGTTGCAATCGAAGTCCCAGGTGTCAAAAAGCTTGACTTTATTGCAAGCAGCCTGTGTCCATGGATTGCCATAGGCAAGCGGGGAGTACAGAACGAAAACGGTCGCGCTCAGGATCAAGAAGATGAGTGCACCGAGACGACCTATAATGGGGTTTTCGCGAAGCCCAACGCCAGGGATACGGGCCGTAATGTAATCGTAAGTTTGGGAAAGAACAATTACGGCGAAGTAAAGTGCTGGGAAGTAGTGATGTAGGAAGAGTTGGCGTTGCATCAGGTAGAATGGAAAGTAGTGGAATGCCCACCCCAAGACCATAGTACCGATTTCGTAGTCGAAGCGCTTAAAAACGGGATTCTCATAATCCTTAAAGCCTCTTTGCCAACGCAGAACTGCAAGGCCCTTGAAGGCGACATAGACGACAATTGCCAAGCTCGAACTCCACCAAACGACGGGGTTGCCAATGAGGTATATCTGTCTGTTGTCCTTGCCCCAGAAGTTGATACCACGTCTAAGGAGGGGCCACGACTGTGGGCGAGAGTCCCAAGCATGAGACTCGACAAGCCCCGCATTTGTATGCCACATAACCTTCTGTAGCTCCCAGAATTTACCGAAAAACCCTGGGTTTCTGTAGTTGACCTTCTCGGCAGACTCACCAAGTTGAGGGTGTTCATTCTGCTCGACGTACCAGACACTGTTAGGGAGAGTTCCTCCCTTCGCGCAAGTAACCTCCTGTTGCTCGGAGGCCCAATCAGGAAGCTTGACTTTGTGCGAGAACAGGACACAGCCAGTCATAACATGAACAAGCTTGAATTTTGTCTGAATTGTTCGAAGACGCTTCTTAGCTTCCTCGCCATCGGACATCTTCTTGATAATTTCGACTCGGAACAGATCATTGGCATCGCCTTCAAACCCCTCATATCCATAAGCGGAGACTTCATTTTGCCAGTCGGCCTCAGTCACAGGTGGGCGGACATCATGAGAATGTAAACGGCGGCTGGTTTGGAGGTGGAAGAGCTTGATAGTATCGCCATCCTTGATATACTCTGGGTTAATGGAATCCCAAGCAAACGAGCCGTTAATTGGCTGTCCGGTGACATCGAGCGGCTGCGTTTGATTTTCAAGCAAGAAAACATTGTTCTCATCCTTATGCGGGTAGAGGGTAATTTGTTGCTGCTTGCTGCCAGTCGGGTACATAAGGTTGTGTGAGTGCAGGTATCCACCTTGAGTGTTGTGATGTCTAATGCTAACTCGGCTGCCAAAAACAACATCAACCGGAACGTCCTGCATGCCCTTGGAATTGAGGGTGGCTTGAAACTCGGAGCTCATGAATCCATCACCATCGCCCGGGTTCTGGAGAATGAGGAAGTGGATTCCAAACATAGCCATGTAAAACGCTAGGGGAATGACGATGAGGCAGAAGATCCTGGCAACAAGGTGTTTGGCAAAAATTCGCTATGTATGTCAGCTTGCAATCAAATTCCTTTATCGGGGGACTTACCGGCGTCACAGTCTTGACATCCCCAAGCAGGACCCATAACTGCACGATAGTCAAGCTTCCAACCCAAGCAATTGTGAAAAGCCCAACCCACTTAACGCTAACCGTCGCACCTAGCCCAAGGCCGGTCGTCGCAAGCCAAAACCACCATGATGGCTGGAAAGCTTTCGAGGGGCCTTGCTCATGCTGATTCGTGAATGAGGCAAATGCCAATGCAGTTAAGGCGGTCATGATCATAAGGGGAGAGTCGAGCAGGATCAGGCGTGCTTGGGTGAGAAGGCCATTTTCTGAATCGATACTGTTAGTAATTGTAATTGCCACGCTGCAAAGGACAAATCAAATGGATTCTTACCGAAAATGATCAGAGAGGAGCCTAGAGCAGCCGTCGCAGTCCTGCACCCGGTTGCCTTCAAGGTCAAGAACATAACCGGGACCAGAAGAATACCGCAAATGGCTGGCAACATTCTCATAGCCACGTATGGCACACCAGGCTCGAGATAGTCCTTGCCAATGTCCTTGAAATCAAACTCTCCATCAAATCCAGCTAACCATCCGGCAAGTGTGAGAAGCAGCTTTGCGAGGGGAGGGTGCACATCCATGAAGAATTTGCCCTTGATGTATTTCGATGCGAATCCGCCGAAGCTGTTTACGCACAATAATTAGCCACCGTCGCAGATTGGGATTCAAGCGGCGGGATAACATACTGTACTTCATCGAAGACGACACTGCTTGGCTGGTATATCCGGAAGAGTCTGACAATCGTTGCCAGTACCGTGAGGCCAAGCATGGTCTGGTAGTCGGACCCAGGGAGGAGGAAGATGTCATGGTCTGCCACTCCTTCTGAAGTATAATCCTGTGGTTTCTGACGGGAGATTTTCCCAGGCTGCGGGCTCCGCGATGGCCTCGCGCTGCCAGATTTCGTAGATTTGGCCATGTTTGCAGGTGTTTGTTTCGAAACGAATCGAGGACCAGGCAGGAGAGGCTGTGGCGCCGATCACAGCGCGCTGACGAGGAGCTCCCTACGCCGTACTCCTAGATCTCTAATTACAACAATCCTTAAAGAAAGAAAGAAGAGTGTATTAAAAGGTTAAAAGCAGTGCATGGCAATTGATGATGCCAAAAGATGGTCGTGGACGGAGGAAGTCAAGGGAGAAATTTCGAGGAGTGTGGTGGCACGGAGTTTGGTTCGTATCCCTTTAATCGTGGCCTCAAGCCAGATTGTCGGCTTTGCGCTGGCCCCCTATCCCATCCTATTGGGGAACCAACGCAAGCGCAGGTCAGCTTTCAGCCCCATGCGATCCACTACGAGGGACGAGGTATGTGCTACGTACAGAGGTACTGCAATGTACCTCATGGAGCTGATTCAGCTCAACTTTTAAAGGTCGCTGTTGATTTACTTTGATCCTAATTTATACTGCGCCTTCTCTTTTATATTACAGCGTCCAGAGCTGCCCCGAGACATTCAACTTATGAACTTATTAATATATATTTCTGCGTGTTTCAATCCAATCAATCCAAGTTTAGAACCGATCTATTCCAGATAGGGGAAGGCGCCAGCTGGAAATGCCCCGTTTCGCCGCTAGGCTCCTTTGAGATAAGGCTGAGGCTGAAGGTTGGAGAATTGTGAATTGGGAATGGAGAATTGAGAAGGGGATATTTGTACTGGGCTAAGTAAACACCACGCAGAAGCTTCATATCGACGTGTCAATATTAATGTCGAAGAGAAGGCGGACTTTGTCAGAGATCGGTGCAATGACTTCGTGAGCATTTGCTCGGTTCTATTTTATTGATCGCTTCATGCCTCGCCTACTTGTACTTGGGGTGATACTCTCGCTCGCATTGTCCTTGGACCATAGAAGGCGCTACCATGAACGAGATCGATCTTCAATAGATTCAGTCGGGCTGTTAAAAAGTCCCCACTCTCCACTTGCCTCTCTATGATTTGGAGCTTCAAGGCAGCAGGTTTCCTACGAGCAACTGGCTTAGCGCCGGTTCTGACATGGCCCAACCGGACTCTGCTTTGCGTTACGAACATGATGCCATGTTTCGGGATCAATGGCAATCGTTCTTTTCAGACCTTCCATCCGTCTCTTGTATGAGTCCGGTGCGAGAGAGTGTTAAAAACTGTGGAGAGATGAAGGAACTTGACGATGGTTGAATGATTGATGTCGCTGTCCGGTACCAGAATTCAATTTTCCATGAGATCACGGGAGCAAAGTCTCTGTGACTTGATTTGCACCAAGCTGTTTAAAAAGTACTGACAAGCTATCTCACTTGACGGCAAAGCCACGAAACCACAGCTTCTATTTCTAACAATATTTACAACCGAGACGTCCCCGGGCAATCGATTCGCGCTCTGTGCTTAAGCCAATGTCTGCCAATCACAATTCCTTTCCAAACTTGTTGTATTTCTCGTGGAGGTGCTGTTGATAGGCAGTCAGCTCAGGTGCAAGTTCAAATCGGGAAGCACGATATAACTAACCTTAGGGAGGTTGACATTAGGGACGATGACGCTGTGTAGGGCACTAGGAGCATCCCTCGCAGGAGCATGGAGATCGCCCCCAGGGTGGTAGCGGTATTTGAAGTCGCCATGCTGCGGATCTTCTTTGGTATCAACCTGCCATGGCATGCTGTTCGACACGATGGGGACCTGGGTCTCGGAGGTTGCGGCGGTGGGCTTGCTGCCTGTGAAAACGGTCAATTGGGCTCGGAGGCGCGGGGGAACTGGGGGATATTACCGAGATAGTATCCAACGAAGCCAAATGCACCCGACATGATGGCCCCGAGGATCTGTGTAGGACGCAGTAGATCAGTAACCGGATTTGCCTGTGCCGGATGACGGGGCATACATACATAGAGCTCAGGATCTCTTCTTGCGCCTTTCGTCAGAGGGCTCTCCTGGGACGCCATCTTGCCAATCTTCCCGCCAACATTCCGTGCTGCTTGGGACATTGTGTAGTGCAATTGAGGTGCAGGTAGTGGTCGTGGTTGTGTTTGTGGTTGTATTCAGCGGATGCGTGTGGAAGTGGTTCGACTGTGATGTTGATGCTCGGCAAGCTCCAAGGCTTGTTGGTGCCTCAGGTGTCGATCCCGCACATGCTCCGACCGAGAGAGGGAGAGCGACAGCACGTGATTATAGGTCATGTGCCTGCTTGAGTTAAGACCCAGTTCAGGCGACTTTGGGTAGATTGAGCCAAAAAGCAAAGAAAAATAATAATAATAAATTATAGATTCCTCTATAGTACTCCTTTCTCTTCTTGTTCCATAACCCCTTTGTAGCTTTGTAGCTATTCAAGCCTTACTTCGTACTCCATAACCATATATAACAAATCATATACGCAGTAGGTATGGTATTTGACAATTGAACGTCCAGCTAGTACGTAGTATCCATTTGGCATAACATTCGGAGGAGTCCCCATCCACGGCACTTCGAGTCCTCGATAGGATAGGAAATCCTCTTAGTGCTTTTGTTGGTTCTAGTACCTGCATACACTACGGTGCTCTCGGTGCTTATACAAGTCCTCGTCCCTTCGTACCTTAGGCACATACCTAGTGTTGAGTTTATTAATAAGAAGTGCGCACCAACTGCTCAGTACTACGTACTTTGTGACATGTACTATCCCCGACTCCCCTTTGTCTTGCCATTGCCATTGCCCGATGCCTGCCGCCCGATCCAGATTGGATTGCCAGGAGTTAATTTGGCGATCCATGCTGGTGGCTGAGCGAACCACCGCGTCGGGCGCCACTGTTCGAGTGCAACACTGCGCTTGGACGCTTATCGAGCGCAGGAAACCCAATTTCGCTGGATAGGAGAGGAGAAGTCTCACAACAACTGCAGCGCAACTCCTCACAATCAGATCTGGTATCATACACTCCTTCACCACCGCTGTGGCCCTGAGTTAATAATTCTCCTCGTCCGCGTTTCCTTCACCCCGTTGCGCCGCCTCTTTCGAACGCTCTCTGTGCCCCAACTGTGATCTTCCGGTTTCACTCTCGTTCCCCTTACGCACGTCACATCACACAGCACGAACCCAAGCGCCGGCTTCGTTATCGTATGACCACGCCCGAGGGATGAGGGAGGAGAGAAGGAAGAAATAGATCAAATTTATCGGCAGGAGGGTTATATTTCATGCTGCGATGGCGTCTCGAGACCATTCATCCAGGCCGCGCTCTCCGAACATGGATTCTTTCCCAAATCCCCACGTCGCCCAGTCCGATGCTGGCGATGTTGCGAGTATATTATCATCCAGAATGACGGATATTGCCTCAGATGATGGAGGAGAATACGAACACGCAACAATTGACCCTGGCCGCGTAATCACACAATCACCGCGGAATCAACGGCGGAGCATACAAACTGCGACGGGAGAGGGAGCCTCGAGACCGGATACTGCTTTGACTGGGGTCTCATCGCAACGAGGAGCATGGCCGCACTCGCCTCCATCCCGAAGGGGATATCCTGCTGGAAACACTCTGCAGAGGGGCGGCACTATGGGTAGTATATCTGGCTCGACTGGTACCCGGCCCCCCAGCTCAAGTAGGACTCATGTGCCTTCCCTTACCTCGCACGCTTTTTTCCATCCGATGAGTTCGCAGCGGCTGCAAGCTCAGCGAGGGCCCCGTCCGCCCACGGTACACCAGAACGAAGATGGGTCTGCCGAAGGTGGGAGTAGTGTGGGTAGGCATAGTGTCAATTCGAATAAGACACTGAGGCAGGCACACCATTCACAAGAGGGCCGATATGGTCCAGTACCGCCTTCACCAGGGACTGAGATGACCGAACAAGATACAGCTGGGAGAATTACGGCCAACACCAGCCCTACTTATGGATTCCATACAACGGGTAGTCTCTCGGATAGCGTACGGCCTCTTCAGAGCAACCCTGCCAATACTAAAGGCCTGAGTGTAAACATCGATAAAAGTTACAAAAACGGAACAACTGTTCCCACGCCCTCTAAATCTCCCCGATCCTTCCGTTCCAGCTTCTTATTACCGTCGAGAGGGGATGTTGCTCCGAATAGCCCGAATCGAAGTACACACGGCAGGGAGAAGCTATCATCTGTCGCATCGTCACCTGGTTTGACACCGGTTGATCCGCCAAAGGCTCCACCGAAGCTGAAGTCTGGAAAAAATTATGAGTATTTCACAGGAAATATGGTCTTCTGCTGGGGAGGTCGACTGCAGAATACTCGAGACAAGCCCATTAATATAGCCACGGGCTTATTTGTCGTCCTTCCAGGAGTTCTTTTCTTTGTATTTTCTGCGTCTTGGTTATGGCACAACATTTCACCAGCCATACCTATATTATGTGCCTATATCTTTTATATTTGCTTGTCCTCTTTCATTCACGCCTCCGTTTCCGATCCCGGGGTACGTACTCTCATCTCTCTAAGCCAAAATGTGCTAACATGGTTAGATCCTTCCTCGAAATCTCCAACCAATGCCACCGCTGGATGAGAATGAAGATCCTCTAACTCTGGGCCCGCCCCTGAACGACTGGGTCTTAATTAAGTCTGCACAATCGAGCGCTGCCGCCATGGAGGTACCGGCCAAGTACTGCAAAACTTGCAATATATGGCGTCCGCCTCGAGGTCATCATTGTCGGGTCTGTGACAACTGTGTCGAGACACAAGACCATCACTGCGTATGGCTCAACAATTGTGTCGGTCGACGTAACTACCGCTATTTTTTCACCTTCGTCAGCTCTAGCACCCTCCTTGGACTTTATATCATTGGAGCTAGTCTCACGCAAATCATCACCTACAAGAACCAAAACCACATTTCATTCAACGAATCCATCAGTCACTTCCGCGTCCCATTCGCGATGGTCATCTATGGAATCCTAGCTACCCCATACCCGGCCGCCCTAATGGGCTACCACCTCTTTCTCATGGGCCGTGGCGAAACTACGAGGGAATACCTCAACTCGCATAAATTCCTGAAGAAGGACCGCCACCGCCCATTCACGCAGGCCAATGTCTTCAGAAATTGGATCGCTGTCCTCTGTCGGCCGAGGCCGCCTACGTATTTGAACTTCAAGAGGAAATATGAGGACGGCGATCAAAGATTTGGCGAGCGGAAAGACAAACGTACTGCGCCCTTGAAAACGGAATATCAGGGTGGCGTAGGAGTTGGGGTCGACATGGAGCTGCGCGATGTTGCCACGGGCTCTCAAGGGCCTGCTACTACGCGGAAGCCGCCAAGTCCCAGAGTATGATCATATAATTACGCATTGCGGTGCCTGTATATTTTCGGCCTGTCTTGTCGTTGTTTTGTTGCCGCGTTTTAGCGCCCTCTTTTCCGTGTTTTTATTTACTATTGTGAAATCGACCTGTCAGGGGCGAGCGAAGGCTTAATTCTTGAGACGATACGGAAATCCTTTCTTGGCTAATGCTTTTTATGACTATATCTTACCTAGAGCGCTTTTGGCCTCAGTCTTTCTTGTTCTTGTATATCATACGATCAGGGGTTTTGGGGAAGAAGGAAAAGAACAGTATGAGATTGACATGGCGGATAATCATGTATATATAATATAACCCTATATATATATAAATTGTGGGGGCATATCATACTTAGACTGGAATTGGCCGAATAATAACTGATTCCACCCCACAAATGTCCTATACTTGAAGTACCAGCCCCCATGCTATGCGACCCACGATGTTGCTGACCCCATTTGATGTGGGATCGTGGTTCGGCGTTGAAAAGGCAGGTGAAGGCCGTTAGCGTTGAGCCAAGGGAGTTTCGGCGCTCAACATCTACACCGGAACCGATGTACTTTAGGCGTCATTTTTCATTACGAATACGCGGATATAAACATCGCCTTCAGCATGAAGTATTCCCCTCACCAGTGATATCAACGATGTTACCTACACCTCACCTCTTTTTCTCCGCAACTTGAAAAGGCCATTTTATTCCGGATTCGCTGCCGAGAATTACGGCACCAGTCTCGGATCTGAGCTGGTCGACGATTACATCTAGTATAACATTGACTGAACCCTTTATAAGTCCCGGCCTCATTCATTTTGGTGGGATACGATCATATCATTCATCCCCCCAAACTCTACCCCCAAACGGCCGAACCAACATTCAAAATGCGCGTTCTCCTCCTCGGCGCAACAGGGAATCTTGGGTCTCGTCTTATACCTGCGCTCCTCGTCCACAAGCACACAGTTACCATCTACATCCGCTCTATTTCCAAACTCCACAAATTAATCTCACCATCTCTCATTCCTCTGATTACAATTGTGATTGGCGACGCCACAGATTCAGTCGGCATCAAGAAAGCCATCCTCGACCACGACTGTGAAGCCATTTGCGATGTCGCGGGTAACCAGGTCCTCCCTTGGAGAGAGCATCTACTTGAGAAGATAGCAAAAGCCGTTACGGATGCGGCGGTAGCTGTAGGCGAAGAGCGGGGAGAGCAGCCGATGAGAATTTGGTTAATAGGCGGCATAGGATTATGCAGATATCCTGGGACGGACAACTTGATACAGGACTAGTATGTCCCTTCCATGCTCTCACCTACATATGTCTAGGCCACTGACGCAATTTTCTAACTTTACTTCCACGGTTTAAGCATGCCAAAGCCAGGAATTATTCAACACCAGGAAACCCTCAATGTTGTCACGCCTATCTCATTATCAAAACTCCGCTGGTCTCTGCTGTGCGTCGGCATGATGGTGCCAGCCCGTCCCAAAATTGAACCTCTCTCTGCCCCTCGACGCCATAAATTACTCCTCAAAGATGGCGAGCCTCCGGCTTGGAAAGACAGCTACCTCAGAAGAGTACCTCTTATTGGGGATTATCTAAATGTCGTGCCTGCGATTTTGAATCACACGACCGAATTGGAGGATGTCGCGGACTTTTTGGCTGAAGATTTGGAGCTGGGAAGTACGGAGTGGTTAGGGAAGTCGGTGGGGTTGAAGCAGAAGGAAACGGACGCCGCTTAGAAGTTCTATCTTGGGTTCCCGTAGGAAGACTGTTTCGAAGACGGCGGGATATGTGTCTGGTTATTTTGCACCAAGAGGTCATGGCTATTAGTCTTCTGATTCGACAAGGGGGAGATGATCAAGTTCCCATCCAAGGGCGTCCTTAAGACCTCGCACTCCATTTTAACACCGCCACGTCCAGAACATCAACTTCTTAAAGCTTCTTGATAGTCTCTGCTTCTTCAATTTGCCAGAGCTTTTGCTCTCATTGACCTTCGAGACGACGATCCGGACCTGTTCTGAGCTTGAACGCGTCCTGCTGGGCGTGCCTCCTCTCTTTCTAAATCTCCCTCTCATGGGTCCGTCCCGTTGCAAGACTTTTTCTGTTGATGGAATAACCAGATTGGTTTGTGAGGTTGTTCTCGTCGACCGATCTCTTAAACTGCGAGCCTTGATGTTACCATGGACCACTTTGCCCTCGTCAAGCGCGCGCCCGGGTTTCTCTTCAAGCTTCTTTCCAATGAGCTGTCGCAAGTCAATGGATTGCTCCGGCAAAAGCCACCCAAACGTTTCCGAGACAATATCGGCGGCAAATGGAATACAGGCTTCCGGGTCAGCACCAGCTTCGACGAGCAGCCTCATTACTTCGATCAAGGATATCAAGATCTCTCGGTGCTCGCTCATGCAGAGCCGCTTACAGTTTTCACAGACGTATTTCAGGATGTACTTCCACACAGAGCTTCCACCATAGGGCTGGTTAGGATTAGCGCCCGATTCGAGTAGGAAGGCAACGAGTTTCGTGTTGGGAAGTCTGGGACTTAGATATAGCGGAGCGGGCACGGCGGCGAAGTACACGATCGACCGGCTTAGTTGGGGCATATGCAAAGGGGAATACCTCGCCAGACTATTTTCCACGTACTGGCGAAGGCCAAATGATGCTGCCAAAGACAAGCAGCAAACTACATTGCGCTGCGGGGGTACCATTTCTACCCAGTCATGCTGCAGTTTGACCTGACCGAGTCGTTTAGCGTTTTCATCTTGTGGCCGCAGTTTCCACAGCGTAGTTGCTGTCTCAAAGAAACTATCTAGCAGTGATAGTTGCATGTCATCTGACCTCCCTTCAGCGCCGGCCGCGAATTCCATGAACTCTCCAGTATACTTCCCGAAAATTTCTTCCGCCCACTCAGTGCCGTGTAGTGTTTTCAACTGGAGAAGATAAGATCGCATCAAGGAAATATCAACATCGAAGTTTGGTGCGCTTTGAGAGAGTATCCGGTTCCATATACTCGGTGTCTCCAGGAAGTCTTTGACGGTCCGATGCAGGAACTCGACTTTAGAGTCAAGTCCGAAAGCTGAACTACCGTTACGAACCTCCAACAGGCCTCTACATCGACTATTCAGTCGACGTACCGTATCCTCGAATCTGAAGACCATTTTATTACGGTCCAGAGGCATCTTTGCAAGTACGGCGAAATTAGGATCTTCCTCATCAGCAAATGAGACTGCCAATACGGACAATGGTTGTCGAGCTGCGGTGACTATCTGAAAGATGTGAGAAGCCTGCTGTTCGTAGAATGGCTCGAGGCTTCCGATCATAACGAGATAAAGGTCCTCGAGGTCGGCAGGGAGTTGGCGTAGTCGTCTTTGAAGATCCGATATTCGATCCGAATTCTGGAGGCCCTCTAGTAGAGATTTCACTACAAGAGTTACCCAAAGGAATACCCCGGCGGACTTTTCGACGATCTCTTCCACCAATAGAGGAGCCCGCTCGGGTTCCCTTTGCCTTAGAGTTATGAATCTTTTATGTTTTTTAAGCTGACTATCGGTTTAACATACGATGTCGCCATGAGTGAGTTCATGAAGCCGGAGTTTTGGAAATTCGCTAAACCCATCTTCAAATACGAGTAGCGGTCGACTGGAAAGACATATTTTAACGTTCGAGGAGGACGTAACACTTTTTAAAAGATTCACGATGTCGAGATGATCGCCATCATATTCGTCTAGTCCGTCAACGAAGAAGCAAAACTTTGCGGAGGCTCCTGCTTGCTTCGGCAAGGCCTTGAAACCTTCCATCAACTCCGTGCGAGTCCAAGGGCAGGAGTTATCTCCAAATGTTTTGTATGAACGCCAGCGATGGGGAAAGACTTGAGGAATCAAGTTCGGATACTAATCGAGGGACTTGAATAACAGCGATTGAAGCAGTCCCGTTTGCGATTTCTATATTAGTGTCCCCACGTTCCAGAAGTAGAAACTCGCCGTGCAAAGAGGAAGGTCTCCAGCCCATGTTTGAAGAGAATCTCGTGTCTTCTTATTATGGACTAAATATCTCATCAAAGTTGATTTGCCTAATCCAGCCTTTCCAGTCACCCAATACGCTCCCTTCCTTTTTTGAAGCCAACTCTGGAAACTGCTCCGAGGCTGCTTCTTATTATTTGCGTATATCCAGTCAAATGTTGTGCTGTGAGCGCGAACAATTTCCTGCTCTCTGTCTAACATTGTGAGGAATTCGAGTCGGCGGAGAATATGCTCTTGAAAGGATGTCATTCTTTGCTTCTCGGTCATTTGATCAAATGATTGGGAAAACATTGCAACGTCGTCATGGCTGTCCCCACGCCAATGGTGCTCTTTGATGGTCTTTAGGACTTCTCGCTGGTTGCGTCTATTCTCTTCCCGCATCCTATCTAGCCCATCCCCGATATACGTTGCCTTCCGATCAAGAACTGGGAAGTGCTCGAGCTGCTGTTGGGACAAGGTATCGACTTTAGTTCTGAACCGTGATTTAGCATGGCACCACAGAGATAAAGGTGGGGATTTGACCTCAAACAAAACAACAGCTCGGTATGGAGGGCTTTCCTGTACTCCGACAAGCGATTGACGATGTTATTGACCTCCTCCTCGCGCCAAGCGCTCAGGAGGGCTTGCCGAAAGCTGTTCCACTTCTTATGCTTCCCTTAACCCTGATAACTTTTAGAGCAGAAATCAGTTTTCCAGCTTCTTCTGCACATTTTGTGTTGATCACTCCAAGCTCTTTCTCAGCTCGTCCTGAACCTCCATGTCCGAGGGAAGGATATGCGGTCGTTGAGACAATCTGGTGACGGAGATCCTCTTGAAGTCGCCCATTTAATCGATTTAGGTTACTGGCAATTTCTTGGAGATCGAGATGCTGAGATGAAGCGCCATCCACGGAATGATAAATCTCTCGACTTTTTGAGATCAATTTGGCAGCGAAATCTACAAACTGAACGATGTTGCCCGCAACACCCAATGCTGTAAATGGGTCCATGGGAATTGTGAAGTGCGACACATTTATGGAATGGAAAATGCGGGGAGGCAAATCTTAAAATCATGGAAGGAAAAAGTGACGTGTCGAGAGACTGTGTTCTATGAGGCTGACAGCAAGGCGTCTAAAGGAGGCCTTTCGGTCGGAACATAGGCCGGCACTGACCACCAGGTCCAGTTGCGAAGGCGTCCGCACTCCTGCTGACCATTCATTCCTTCAAAAGGGGAATTATATGTAACACGCTCGCCAAAAGTATAGACTAGCCACACGACGTATCGCCTTAATCGCAATCGCGTGGGCTGCGGATCGTGTGGACTGTGGTTACGATGTGGGAGTTTCAGCCTTGGTACATTGTGTGCGATGGCTGTCACAAGGCGTTTTGCACATTGTCCCCAGTCTTGTTACAATGCTCATGAACGTGATTAAAACAGTTGGTATAAACGGCCAATGGAAGTCGTGGTATCTGTTGAAAAAGCTAAGGTCAATCTTTAAAGATTGATGAAGGAGCCAGATGAGGAATTGGTTTCTATGCTTCTGTTTGGACTTTTGAAATTATCCTTTTAAGACAGGTCGCAAGCAGCCGTTAGCCAAAGAGTAACATTATTTTTGCGTCAATCATCCCTTCTTTGCCTTCTCCCCCAAAATTTCAACCCCCCTACCATTGCTCCTCTCAGTCTCGCCCACTTATATTGGTAATTGGTAAGAAGTTCTAATCTAACGGGTCCTCACCCAGTACAGCAAGTGCTCCGTCGTTCGTCTGTTCTGTCATACTAGGCACGATCTGCGGGAAATACGCTGGCTATGCAATCGAGATGCAGCTCTTATTTGGCCACTGACATTGGTTCTGGTAATACCGTATCAGAGAGACGCACTATCTTCAGCTATCCTACCAATACATTTTGGATGCAAAAAGAGAGTATTACTGGGAGTGGAGTGGTTGCAGCTAGCTGCCTTAAGACAATACGGTGTACAATAATTAATAAAACGGCAAGTGGCTTGCAAGTGGCTGGCTGCAGCTACTCCGTAGAGGCATTTTGCTGCTTCCGGGTTAAAAAGCAAATAGCATGGCTTATGGGGCTGATACATCTTCCAATCATGGTCACCAAGTGTCCCATCGAAATATTATGATCTACACCTTGTCTTCACGTGGACAGCTCGTTTTATTCTTACCTCTCAATTTGAAGTGATTTTCTCTCCGTGGTATGAAGTACTCCATATTTAATTCCACTCCCCTGGCATTCAAGATTCAAGACCAGAAGTAAGTACTGGTGCTTTCAACCATGGCTTCTGCAAAACAACCAGCTCCGAGTCAATTATCAGGTGCCCGACCGCCTCCAGTTCATGCATCAACCTCCTCGAGCATTATACACTCAACTGAAAAGCGCTTCATCGATGAGAAGCACATACCCCATCCAGACGCGAAATTCCCCGACCATATAGCAGTCAACATACACCCATCACAGTCCGAAATCAATTTTCCTCACGAAGGAGATATTCCACCCAACGGAGATAACCCCCTCCAAACCTTCCACGCCGCGCTAGGCATTCCACGCCCACGCCTAATCAAACTCAAACCCCGCCGCAACCTACTAGGCCGCAAGAAGCCCCCCCCTCCCCACGAGGAAAAACCAAAACAACCCAAGCTCACCCCAGCAAACAAAGGTGTCTATCGCCAAGTCCTGAGCAACGAGCGCCGGTCCCGGTTTCGTTACTCCTTCTGTGATGGTCTCCTAACAGGCGCAATATTCCTCCAGATACTAGTCGGAGCAAGTGTAACAGCCTTCGGCGCCGGAAGCGTGAGCCATATCCTCATCACAGTATTCGGCGCAGCGAACACAGCTTTGGCAAGTCTGTTAGCTGTGATGAAGAGCCAGGGGCTGCCAAATCGCTTGAGGCAGGATTGGAATGGATGGCGTGAACTTCGAGAGCATATTGAGGAGAAGGAGAGGGAAATTGATATGTTGATGCAGGGGCATGCGGAAGGGGCCGCGAACTTGGATGTCTGGGCCGCCGTGAGGGAAGTAGAGGCGAGATATAAGACGATGAGGTTGACGCTAGAGGCTAATCGTCCGGATACTTATATCCAGGTTCCGCCGTCCATTTCCTTACCTAGGTGAGGGAGATGGAATAGTCTCTGGGGAATACTAGATGATTCAGGGCCTGGAGTATAGAGTTCGGGGTGCGAAGTCTCCCGTTGAGTTTTGTGAGCAGTTGCCACGGGGGGCAATTTAGGACTTTCAGCGTATACCTTGCCGTTTATATGTAATAGGTGCGAATTTGGAACATTCTTTATCTGTCCGTTTTGAGCTGTTGCGTTACAGAAATGAAGCAAAGGCAAATACTAAGCTTGTGGAATAAAATGGTAAAGATGAATTTAAATACTTTATGCAAGCTAGATCAACGAGGCATGGATTGGATTGGATTGGATGAAAAAGGGGGGAAAGAGGGTACAGCAGGCGTAAGTTGCCAATTCTCGATTTCTGTAGATGAGAGAAATATAAAGAGCACTGGCTACTGTTATTATATCCAAATTTTTATGTTAAACCACTTGGTATAATGGAACCACAACACAGGCAATTGCGGTCTCCATTTAGAATTTCCCTATGAGAAGCGCGATCAGAGTTAAGGAATAAATTTGTTGAAATTCATTTGTATCTTGGGCCTCCTGTTCTCGGTTGCCGGAAGGCCCGGAACGTCCCATGGGCAAACAAGTTTGGCATGAACTCATCAAATCAACAGAAAGATGGTAACGAGAGGAAGCGTGGGGAAATACCCGGGACTCTTGCTGAAGGCCGAAGGACCGCTCTGTGTATATATATATTTTATTCCTCGTTTAATGTTAGGCAAATACGGCCACAAGCCGTCAGCCAACACCTAATCCCATCACCAATCATATACGCAGCCCAGCAATCGCAGACATCTCGTTGGGTTCCATCTATCCTCCTACTCGATCGGACGGAATAGATTTACGAATTAATTCGATCCATGACAGGCTGAACGCTATATGGCCAGAACATGAGAGCTCCGACGACGGGAAAGTACCTAAAAGCACACACGGATTAGCCTTCATATTCCAGCTTCAATTCCCCGCTTACTCGTATTGTTTCAAACGAAAGTACGCAACGCAACGCCTTGATGTCCTCGCTGTGCTGCGCTTGCAACACATCGCGAGATTCGGCTGCGGAGAACGAGATAGCAGCCGGATATCTTACATCAAAAACGTGCCTCCCACGCGCCGCCATTGGGCTCCCCACGCCACTGGTGCTCGACCAGATGTCTTCGTCGAAACATGCGAGTTCATTTGACGGAAGAGCAAGGGCTTCGCCGCGAGGACACGAGTGCGGGTGAGGCCGAGGAGTGGTGCCATGGTGACGGAGTGTTCGGGTGGAGGGAGAGGGAGGGAGGGATGGACAAGGCAGAGAAGAGGTAGACTCGAGTTTGACGGTAGAAGGAGGACGAGGTTCTTGCTCTTTCTTATTATAGGAGACAGTGAAGGAAGTTAAGGATAACTTTGGTACCTGGGTATGTATTGTAGGTACTACACAGGTACAGTATGAGAGTGACGAAGGGGGGGAGGAAGGAAAGAGCCACTGGACATCCTCTCTTCCCCAACTATGCGTCTTTACCAAATCCGGACTGTCACTTGTTGTCACTCACTATCCCTCGTCCTACTGGTTGGAAACGGTGCGGGGAAGGGGCGCTGGAACTTGTGGTGTATCGAAGAAAGACTGCTAATTAGCTAAATTAGCTATTAATAGTGACCCCGGATAATGGGGAATGAACGGAACCTAATAATGCCGCTTATGCACCCCGCGACAGGGGCAATATTGAAGTGGGGCGAGTGTTGCAATTGACTACAACCAGATATATTATTTAAATACATGATGATAGAAGTGAAATAGTGACTGAAGGGAAGCTGGAGATGCGGAGAACAGTGATCCGCATATTGGCTATGTGTTGTTATGTTCTAATCCCATGTTAACCGAAACATAAGCAGCGCTGCAAGCACGAGAATATCGGGTTGAACCAAGCAGAAACTCCTCGCGCGACTAAATTTACCACCGACATCAAACTACCTCCTCAGGCGGAAGCTTCTCCCCTACAAAGGTAACCGATCCATCCTCTGTAACATCATACGTTCCGTCGCCCCACCAAAGCTTCGGCTCGTCGAGCGGCACTCCGTCTTCCCCTGCATGTGAATACAAAGCCGGTTGTTGACAAACAGATGTTTCATTGGTCTCTTTCCACCTGAGTTCGAACTGTTGAGGGGATCCCAGCATCCGCATTTGTAGGGTCACGGCGTCGATTAATGCTTCGGTGACGTCCTTTTGTGTATGTCCTATGAAGGCACGCCCACGGTAGCTACCGCCTGGACAAAGCATTTCTGGTTTTCCGACTGGGCGGAACAATTTATCCAGAAGATCGACAGTGTTCTCCATCTTTTCTATGTTGATTCTTCCATGTTCCAAGGCGATCTGGGATGGGATATTCGCAAGGGTTCTTGAGAATTCTGGGCTAACTGCAAATTCAATGTCAGTAGTGTTCAAATCGAGTGTGCAGTGAATTACTTACACTTCTTTCCCTTGATTCCCTCCAAGAAATCTTTTAGATCCCTTTGGACCGCTGGCGAGAACGGAAGCAGGGTGGATTCTGGATCGCTATCAATTGATGTCTTTGCAAGGCCAATGGAGATTGCGATATGTTGCGCGGCCTGGAACCGAGTGTTTTTATTCCGAAGTAGCTTTAGAAGAGCTGCTGTTGAGGCGCCCCCCTGATATCCAAGGGCTTCTAAATATTGTCCGAACTTATCATCACCTCCTGGTTCATTAAGTACAATATGAGGCCACTCTATGTCCCAAGCCGAAAGTCCATGGAAAACCGATGTCATATCAGATTTCCAATCCGGGCTTGATGCATCTGATAGGACGTAGATCGGTGTCCATCCTGGAGCCGGGATTGACTTTAGCTCTGGCTCTGGCCTTGGCATTGCCAGCTGTCGTAAGTTTGCTCTCGCTTCATCTGTCAAGGGAGGCTCCTCTGGCTGGGGCGGGGGGGCTAGCTGTGCTCGAAGCTGTGTATTATCTGCGCCGAAAGCTCGAAATTTGAAGTACAAATATATCGAGAGACAGGCTAGGCCGGCGATCAAAAGACATGTTGGCAGAAGTGCGGCTAGAACTGCTACGGCTACTGGTCTCATATTGATGCAACGATGGTTAGGGAGATGGATTTAGAAAGTGAGAGAGTGGAAACAAGTCGATTTGGTCACAAAAGGGGCTGTGCAGCATTACTTGCAATTCGGATTGAGACCTTGCGTGTCTATGCCCTTAAATAAGGGTATAAAGGCGTCTCGGGGTTGTTTGCTGAGAACAAAGGTCCTCTACGGTGCATATTTTTGGCCAGATGCATCTCCCAGTAGCTCTTGGTCTTGATAAAGGGCCACGAAATTTTCCAGTCCAGATACGTTTGTCTCGGGGCTTGGTTTGAATGTGGAGTATTCCTCCAGCCGCCACCTGGCCGGTATGGCTCTAGCAGCCAAAGCGGAGCATGACTATGCGCTAAAACATATCAAAGACTACGAATGGTTGCTTAAGTCGTTTGATTGATCTCAAACACATCTCGTATTTGCAACCGATCAGCACTTTGCCGTAAGTCTTATTATAGAGCATCCCGAATTCCCGATTCGTAAAGATATCATAATGTTTCGGAAGCGGCTACCTGAACCCGAGATCCGACGGATTCTACAGGCCTAAAGGCCTGTAGGATCTAAAATAGAGGCGCCTGGCCGGGCGTTTGTTCTCAGCCCCTACATCTTGGGTTATGGCACCTCCGACACCTGGTGGTAATGTTCCCAAAGCTACTGTAGCTAACCGGTCCTAGACAACCAGCCTAAACCAGTCACCAATATTAATCCAAACGCCAGAGATTCCAGCTATGACTCTACTGCTTTTCACTCCTCGTGAGTAAATCCTCACAGTCCTCGGTTTCTTGGTAATTATCTCAAATGGCACTACGATCTGAGAGTACCTTTGTACTGGCTGGAACTAGAGCCAACCAATCTAAGCCCTGAAAGCCGAGTTAAGTAAGGCATAGTACTCAGTCGCAAATCAGACAAGCCTAGAATTCATTTACCAAAGGTAGCCAGTGCTTGACAAAATTTGGGCACGTCCTGTGAAATGCATCATGTCTCGGGAGTCGAGTCGGGTGCTTGCATTTTCCCATGGGCGGCTCAACGCTAGCTTAGTCCTACATTTCTTGTAATGGGCTAGTAGAATTTGCTTTCTAGTTAGGGCGGGGAATTTTACAGCAGACGGAAGTATACGTGAAGATACTCTCTTACCATTTCAAATCTCTATTGATATCCAAACGTGAAGATACTCTCCTACCATTTCAAATCTCTATTAACATTCAAACAAACTTTTGTCTAGTCAAAATGGCCCTAAAAATTAACATTTCCATCCTCATTGATTTGGGGATGACAGGGACTGGTAAGTGTGCCCCTCCTTCGCCATCTTGCATACTAAAAGCTGCCAGCTAGAGAGTACGCAATACGCCAACCGGCTGGCGAATTTAGTTCAGTTAGGCACCACAGATTAGACAAAGTGCCCACCCAGCTGTCTTACGGAAACACCAACGAGGTCGTTCCGTGGGGGAGTGCTTGTCAGACAAACCATGGCATCAAAAAGCTTTTCAAAGGAAGCTTTGCGTTCAGCCAGGACAGTCGCACTTCTGAATTGTCCAAGAAATGGATATCAGATTATCTCCATCAGTTCTGCTCCCATATACTTGATGAAGTATTGATTAGGGAAGGGTTCACCAGGGAGCAACTCAACGCAAAATGGTGTTTGACGATGCCCGGCTGCTGGAGTGATCATACCCAGTTGGATTTTAAGATGCATGCCGGCAACGTTCTGCGTAGAATTCTACCAGAATGTGAGGTCATTGCAGATGTCACTGAATCGCTAGCTAGCTGCGAGTTCTTGGCGCAAAGTTTCCGGTTCCCAAGGGGTACTTGGGCAATTACATGTGACATAGGCGGGGCGACTTGCGACACAGCGCTTGCTACTATGAACACAGATGGAACGGAAGTGCCCGAAGTTTTCCCTGTCTTGAGCACAGAGTGTTCCAGCACCAGTGCGAGTGTTCAAGTTGTAGATCGCCTCCTCCACCGCCAAATCATGAAGTTGCAAGGTAGTATTAACACTGAGCAATTCAAAGATTTAGCTACACAGTTAGTGGATAGCACACCATGGAAGTGTGCTAGGCATGCCTTTGATGGTTCGGCGGATGTTATATTCACAGCAGAACAGGACTTCGGAAAGCTGAAGCGATCTGTGGGTGGGCTGTCTATTGACGGCTCTGAGATTAAAATATCAAGATATTTGGGTCTTTTACCCACACTCAACTACTTGGAGACCCCGAACACCCTCAGCTGACCTCCTACAGTCGAACAATGGAACATATCTTCGTACCCTTCCTCGATGGCCTTTGTCGTGAAATTGACGAGTGTATTCGACTTATGGCGGAGCGGACTGGTCGGCATTCAAAGCCGGTGAGTACCTTCCGCATGCTGCCGTGTTATGCTAAACTTAAAACGTTCATAGAACATTATTGCTCTTTGCGGTGGCGGAGGTACCATGGCGTACCCGCTAAAGCAGCTGAAGTTTCGGTACTCGCACATCGAAATCAAGGCCTCTTCATCGACGGAGGAATCGTTAGTGTCTTGTCCATTTGTGTCAGTGTATGGGCATCTGACATTTTCTAGGCGTCTTGCCACCATAATTGGGCATAGCATCTACCGATCCCGATACGCCATGGATGATTACTTCGGCGAGATCGTTATGGGGGTGTCTTCTGCCAAAAAAGTATCAACTCCTCAGATAACCTGGAACGAGGTAAGTAAGTCTTCAATACAAGAGCAATGACATAGCTTACCATATTCAGAAACCGACCCGGACGACTGGGTTCGATTTCAGCTCACGAAAGCAAACCGCTCTTCATGATTTCATCGTATACAGAAAAGACTACCTCGAAGCTCTACCCATATTGATGGACATTTTGAAGAAGGGTGTCAGCGAGCCGTGCCAATCGAAGGGAGTCTTGGTCATACCTTTGCGTGTTACTTTGAAGGCAAAGTTTCTTCACAAGCAAAAGTACTTCATCGAAGTTACCTGTAGCGAACAAGATAGGTTCAGCTTCAAGGCTTGTGACGCCGAAAACCCCAGTGTAGAATTTGATTTGGTCTGGGATAATTACGACCTTGGATGTTAAATTTCGTGCCATAGGGCAATATTGAAGTGGTTCCGTACGTCTAGTTTCAAGATATGGCAAAGTTTCACTCTGAAATTGTAATAACCCAAATAATGCGTCCAATCCCGTAAGATGTCAACAGTGCCAGCTTCTAAACTGATATTACCGTCTGATCTTTGGAGCGGCGGCAGAAAACACCACCTTAGCCTCAAACATACTTGTTTGGAGACAGCATGACCATTCATTCTAACTACTATTCATGGTTTTGCAACACTTTCATAGACTATAACACCCCAGCGAATCTGGAATTTGTTAGTCTTGTGAGTCAGGCGGGCGTTTTCCTTGATCCGCTCTGTTCCCAGGTAGAAAAGACAGTTCGCTATGTGAATCATTCTAGAACTATTTTCTCCGTTTCCGAGTGTACGTGTCCACCTGCATTCTTGGTGCCCGATGAGAATTTTCCTCTAGTTAACAAACAAAAGCCTCCAGGGAGCTTAGGGGGGTCTCTCCTTGAAACAGTTCCCCCGTGATGCCATCTAGGTCTCATACGGCTTGCGGTTTGTATTACTATAGGGGAGAGTCTGAGTCAGGAGCTCGTCCTGGTGTACGTGCTAAATAGGATGTTTGGAGGAGCGAGCCTCGCTCTAGACCCCAGCTATGAAAAGGAGCCTCTGGGAAGAAGGCTGTCTAAAATTAGCCGTGCAGCCATGCTTCTACCGTTCTATGGTGGTAACGCCCAAGTCTCACGGGCCTCTACGTTTCGTATTGCTTTGCGGGAAGATGATTTGAGTCAGGAGTTCGTCAGGCTGCAACAGCTGTGGGCCTGTGGCCATAGCTGGGGCCCCAAGCCTGTATGTAAAGTAGATAGGGATATCCGCTCCTTGTACTCTCTGAATATATATATATATATCCCGCCTGGCAGAAGAACAGCGACCATAATATCATCAACTCTTAAAGATTCCATCTTTGTATCACCAACTCCACAGCCTACCTGTTACGTCAAATTCATTCTCCTCAAACATATATATCATTTTAAAATTTCCAAAATGTTTCCAACAATCTCCGCTGGTGATATCATCAAGATATGTAAGATAATCATCACCACAATCAAACGCTGCCGGGCAGCTCCGTCAGCAAAAGGCGACCTCGCCATTTCCCTTTCCCAACTTTTGGATGCCACCTCCCTGCTGGAATCGTCCATGGTCCCATACATTCTCTACGAGGATCAGTGCCATAAGTGGCTCGCATCCCTCAGTCGATGTGCAGAGACGGTTCAAAAAGTGGAGAAGAAAATGCTGCCAGCGGGACGAATCAGGCCTGCAGTTAATTTCACAAAATATATTGTGTCCGGCCAGTGGAGTTTTGAAAAGGATGTGAGGAGATTGCAAAGGGAGGTGGCGAACATGGAGGGATTGAAAATCAAGTAATTTCCCTGCGAGGTTGTTTTTGGGTCACAGTAAAGACTAGCGCTAGTTTCAGGATCCAAGAAGAAGCAACGAGAAGAAGTGGCTTACAGTCACTGAGAAATCCTGGCAATGGTACCAGCTACGAGAGTAGCATGGATAACGATTACCCATCGACACAGTCCAAGGCCACATAATCCGACAAACTAATCCCGACGCACAAAATGAGAAGGTTTCTAATCTGCTGGACAGCCTGTGCTCTCTCAGTTGGCGGAATGGTTGTTGGGAGAGAAGAGGAAGTGATGGTGATGGTGGGGGTGGTGCTATTGTTGTTTGTGGGAGGTTAATAGATAGTCGGAAGTTTCGTTTGTGGGTGATTTGTGTGTTTTGAGGTTGAAATGTTTCCACCTGGATATCGTCCACATTGGTTTCCTTGTTAGACGTCATCTCGATATTCTGTCATTACTCTTAGTAAAATATATTCAATCCTTAATTCCATGTCCTCTAACCTACTCATTGTATATGTAATTATTATTTTAATTCTTCAGTCTTACTTTAATAATTTCGAATTATACTTCTTACTAAGATCGTAGAGTAAATACTTTTGTATCTTATCTTGGTCTGTTAGCCATGCATACAGGGCCCCTCTCCCCTCACTCTGCGTAAAAAGGAGATATAGGGCTTAGAGAAGCTTAACAAGGCGCCAGGAGGCAGCGGGGATACATCCAAAATAATTAACTAAGTGTTAGTCAAGTCACCCCCGCTTATTCCCAGCAAAACCTACAAGATATACCAACCTCCACTTCCTTACCACAAGCCAGAGGTAAACCCTATACAACTTTAGAGCGAGCAAAAAGTGATTTATTTAAACTTCTCGGGTATAAATGCCAGCTGCTAAAATGAAAAGCAAAGTATCGGGGTGTAACAGTCTGCCAAATACATTATGCTATAGTGAGTTATATAAGATAGGGGGAATAATAAACTAGGTAAGGAAAGTAAAGTTTAGCCAATATTATTATAGTTTAGATTAAGATATTATACTTAAGTTAAGTAGGTTATAGCTCTCGATTTAATAAGAAGCCATTTTACTTATACGAAACTTTATTTTTAATTATCGATTTTTTATAATACTATAGTTTATATACTATTATAGTTTTACTGCTATAGTTTTACTACTTCAAATAATAAATGAATTATTTACAGTTAAAGGGCAAGAAAGTAGTTATTCCTCTTCTTTGTAGTTACAAAGTATACCTAGCTAAATATATTTCGTTTTTATATCACAGTAATTAAAGTACGCCGCTATATAAAAGTTATCCTTTAATTATATTGTTTTACAATATCCCGTTCTATATACCCCTAATTTGTTCAAACATACCTAGTACCCTCTATCACTTACAATGAAACCGCAAACGAATATGAGATAAAGTAAAGTAAAACGTATTATTGCCTGGCCGCCGGCCGGACGACTGGTTGGCTCATGTGGAAAAGCGCACGCGAAATCTGGAACCCCACAAAGTTCTGTGAATGGTTCTTAGTCGAGATTCTTATTGACTGCGCCTAGGAGGATGCATCGCAGATGCTGGGCAAAATCCTGCGTTTGATCTAGGTCTTGGAATGTTTTCGTATCGACGATCTAGAACTTGATTAATGATTGAACTTGGTTTGGAAACGGTCATGAAATAACTTACATCGCGAACGCCATACTTCGTCTTGAGATCATTATCCAGCCGTTTTAAATACTCAGCTGCTTCTGGATCATCTCCAACCTGCATGAACTGAACCCCCACCTGCGATTTTGGAGCATGCATCTCGTCCAACTGCTTGGCAATGTCCACCAACTGCTCTTCGGTAGTTTCCGGGTCGTCATCCTTACCGTCTGTCAGAACAATGATGTTCAATGGCTTGGGTTTTGTGGCTTTCATCCTTTTTCTTGTTAAGTCGAAATACTCCTGGTAGTTGGCCACGTACGGGCCTAGGATGGTTGCAAGTACAGGCTCGAGGTAGGTGCCGCCAACGCCCTGCTCGAGATCGACTCCTGCGAGAAGGTTGAGCACTTCTTGTCCATTTGAGATATTTGTTTGGTCTAGATGCGAGGAGATGAGAAAGTGAATGTCAACGCCGTCTTTGTCGTGCTCTGAAGCAATATTGGCAATATATTGTAGACTTTTCGTCAGGACGTCCCATCTGCTTCTGGGGTTTGAATTCGCTGCCTCTGAGGAGCTGGCGGCCATTTGCATGGATCCGGTGTCGTCGATTACGAAGATGGTGTCGAAGCGAGCCAGCTGACTGAACCCCGCGTTTTTGTCTTTCTCTATTGTCCCGATTACTTGATCCGGGAGGCGAAGAACTGATATGATCTCTTTGCTACCAGTAAGGTCTGGAGTGGGTATGATCTCCAGGCCCAGTTTTCGTTTGATCATGTTCACGATCACTGTAATTGAATGTCTTGCCTCATTCGCGTTTTTGAACTTCACCATGTCTCGATGATTGGCGTCGATCTCAACTGGTGCAATCTCGGTTCGGAAGGGTATGGTTCCTGAAGTTCGAGTTGTCTGCCAATAAAGTCAATAACACGCAGCACCTGCTGTAAGAGACTGCACGTACGACTTTTGAAGGGCCGTCAGCCTTCTTCTCGACGAATAGAAGAACCTCGAAATTCTCTTCTGTCTTGATGTGGTTGAACAACATGTTGAGCTCTGGAAGCTCCCGCGAAGAAGTCTTCAAGTCTGTGATGAAGTTCGTGTTCATTCTGGTGATTCCTGAGATGATACTCGCCACGGGACTGATGAAGTCGGCATTACGACTGCCCTGGAATGGTGTTCCAAAAAAGGCCACTCCTTTGACCATGTGCTGGATGAACGCGTATTCTGGTTTGACCGCCGGCTTCTCGAAGGCGAGGACTAGGGCCTGGTCGTGTGTTAGTTGATTCGTTTCTGAAGATCTAGTTAAGATGGCTTAGCATACCTGTTCAACAACAATGCCACCAAGGCTGTGGCCAACAATGAATATGGGCCGTGTACATCCCTTGAGTGATATGTCAGCAATTTCTGCGGATGAACAATCATTTGACGAATGCTGACCGGAGGTCTGTCTGCAGCTATGTACTTGAGGATTGATTCAGCCGCATGGTGAATGGTCTTCAGTTGACCCCCGTCAAGGACCTTGGCGTCATACCCAAGTGTCGAGAATCTACCGCGCACCCCTAGGTTGAGACATTGTTCTGGAAGGGAGTCTCTCGGCCACATGTGACCAGATGCGTCGCACACCCACGAACTAAAAGCATCGCCCCCAACTCCGTGGACAAAGTATAGGCTGTGGCCTGTAAGCGGGGGTTTCTGCGAGACAAAAGCCGGGATGCTTACTCAAATTGAGCATTGTTGTGCTCTGCTAAAGTAATCGAGCCAATAAAGGAGTCGTCGATTTCGATCTTGGACTTTCCTCCGCCTATAGCAGGAACAAAGTCGGAGCCGTTGAATGACAGAGCATCTCTCCTCCTGGCCGGGTTGATGGTAACCGTGGTGCAGAGAAAGTTGCCCGCTGATTTCTGTGTATCTTTGACCAACGGGTAGACAAAAGCATCGGCATTCCTGAGTCGCATGTCAAAGAAGCTCTTGACATCTTCAGTAGTGGTAAGCCGGGGCAGATTCCGGACGACGATGGCGGATTTGTTAGGCGACATTTTTGTCTGACTTGAAGTAAATACTCGTATTGAAGAGCAGCTCCGAAGAGAAGGCTGCGGTGCCAAGTGCTACATATTTAAGCAACGCAGCCCCGATCGAAGAGCGCAGAGCCTCTCCAGTCGACGCCGGGGAGGGCGTGAAGAGGGCAAGGGGGCCAGAAGTGCTCACCGCGAGCAGGTGCTTTGATTCGCCATGGCTAGATCAATTCAGCCTTTGGTTCGCTAGTTTTGGCGGCTGAAGCTTGTGTCAATCAATGAGCATATTCCATATTATGCCACAGCTCTGTCTGAAGCATGGCTATTGGTGCATGTTCGCCGTGACGTTGACGAAGGTTGTGCGCCATAGCCAGCACTGCTCTGGTTGACTGGAGGGCATTATTCTAGCGCATGCAGTCAGACTCTCCGGGTCTCACTGGGGAAGAAAAAGGAATATGATAACAATAACCGGAAGAATGTCCCAAACCGAACCCCGAACACAGCCTGCCTCTGATGTCAAGGTACATAAGGCACATACCTTAGGCAGGTAGGTACTGTACATTCACATGCTTCTATGACAAAAGCTACAAAGGAAGACTTCCATTGTTCGTTCTGCCTCGCTGGAGCGGCGATTGTGCACATCCCTGGCACTGACGCGCAGCAGCGGGCACCAGCCACAATTCTTTCATGCCGAGATGAACATGAAGCACTGCCAGTGTTTCAATTTCTGGAGTCTGTCCAGTGTGTATGTATATCTATCGACCTCAATCAATGATGAATCGTGGCATCGTGCCGGTGGTACCAAGTCATTGTCGCAGCTCAATTGATGATTCCCCGTCTACGCATTGATTCCAAACGTCACCATGCATCTTCCAGTCATGTCGAGCGACACGAAATCCAGCCGGACGAGCCTCGCAACCACCATCACGATGGCTACAGAATTTCCAATTCTGGACACAATGTCTACGCTGATGGATCCCGAGCCTCCAAGAATTGTCTTGCCTCCTCCGCCCTTCCATCTCCGGATCGCGTACTTCGTCAGCCTGTGGTCTTTCAAGGCTTTCTTTTCATTCTGTCTCGGTGTGAGCCGATTGTTCCAAAGGCGAAGGGCGGGTTTATTACGACCGGAAGTGAAGGCGTATCAAATACGGCCGGACCTCAAAAACCGGATATTCCGTCCAGAAGGGTCTGAAAATGAGAAGCTCCCACTCTACTTGGACGTTCACGGCGGCGGCTGGGCCGTCGCTGATCCAGAAACCGACGATGAGTTTTGCTCCTTCATCGCCCAAACCTTCAACATCATCGTGGTGTCAATCAACTACCACAAATCACCAACCTACAAATACCCCCACGCGGCTGAAGATATTGCTGCGATTGCAGATGCAGTCATCAATGACAGGACTCTGCGTATCGACGAGAAGAAAATCGTAATCGGTGGTTTCTCCGCTGGTGGAAATCTCGCGTTTGCTGCAAGCCAGCTGGAGATTCTGCGAGGCCGAATTAGTAGTATAGTGGGCCTTTATCCCGCATTGGATCTTTCTGAAACGCTGAAAGCCAAGCTCGAAAGGCGTCCAAAAAATGCGCCTTATGATATTTTAAAGACAAGTGCGAATTTCCTAGATTGGGCCTATGTGCCGCGAGGTGTTGATAGGAGAGATCCTTTGCTCTCGCCTTGTTACGCTAGGCGCGAAGACTTGCCTCCCAACGTGTATCTTGTTGGCGCCGAGTATGACATGCTTTGCTATGAGGCGGAAAGGATGGCCGAGGTGTTGGCAGCTGAAGCTGGGGGTGAAAGACGAGACATGCCATCAATACCGAAGGGTGATGGGTGGCAGCAGGGCAATGTGAGGTGGGAATGTGCTCGAGGAAGAGATCATGCGTTCACACACATCACCAAGCGAGGGAGAAAGGAGAGAGAAAGGGTGAAATTCTGCCAGGAGATGTATTGTCGTGTAGGAACATGGTTAAGGGAAGAGGTATGGGCGGATAGTTCTGTACCTTGATATTCAACTTTTTTTGATAGACAAGCATCATCGTCATGGCCGTCGCGTGGAAACTAGGGGTGACGTGCTGCATTTCAACAGACGAGAGCCCTGAAATCTAGCGACCAACCCCCCTAAGAACCGGCCGCGAGTGCCTAGACCCGAAACCCAAGGCCAGCTTGGAAGCCATCCGGGAGACTAACAAGAAACACTATGCTTTGCCGACAACCACTCTATTATATCCCCATGTTTTATTAATGCAGCAACGAGCACATCTGCAGCCTCGCTGCACCGCTGCAGCGCGTAGGCTGTCATTTCATTGCCTAGGATGCGACACCAGTTACCGCCGACTGTCGCTTCGGTGAGAGGATTGGGACACAGTTGTGGCTTTCGGTGTGGTGGGGTGGCTGAGCTGGCAAATGCGCCTGCAGGTTTCACACTCGCAGCCTCATCACCTGCCTACGAACAAATCCTGTCAATCATTTCCAGTATGATTTCAGACTCATATCAATTAATTTCATTATTCGCTACCTTCCCTTCCCTCAAACCTGCCTCATTGCCTCTTCCCAGAGCACCACATTGCTCTCAGTCAGCACATAATATCTATTCTTAACAGTTCCAACACTTGAAGCAGTTCGTCGCATCAAAGATGGCGGTCCTCGCTAGATGGTGGATGATTTTCAGTAGGATATCGACGATGCCGTGGATGTGTCTCCAGGCAGCAATTGAGCAAATTCTCCAAGAGGACGATGCCCTGAAGCAGGAATCGCGGCTTCTAAAATGGCAAACGCTAAAGAACTCGGAGCTCCTGAATGTTAGTTTCATTGTAAGTCATCATTCCTTTTCCTCTGTCCCATGACAAGCCTTTGAATGGCCAAGAATTCATCCCGAATCAATGCGACTTAAAGCGAATGCAACTTCTTGATTTTCTAAATCTCACACCTCAACAGGGAACCCTGATCGCCTCCGCCTGCACCGGCTCAATACAGTGGTCTTCATTGCAGACAGCGCACTGGATTGTATCTGCTGCCTGGTACGGCACATTAGTATTCAGCCTCATGAGCGTAATGGTGGCCTTCTACCTCAGCATCCTGCTCTCCAACTTCTCCATCAACCCTAGTGGTCCAAAACTCTTGCTCCAAACCCTTCATAGGAGCGGAAATAAGCGCAAAGCGAGATGGGGAAGTCTGTTTGCGCTGCAATTGCCGCTTATGCTGTTGAGTTACAGTTTGATTGCGTATGTGATCGGTCTAGCGGTTATGGTTGTTCAGCCGCTTTGGAGCGAGCCTTGGGGGGATAAGAGTTTGGTATGTGTGGGTGCTCTGCGAAGGAAGAGTGATGCGCTAACAATATCTCAAGATTGCGATTTTCTTTTTGATTTTTCTGACTTTGTCGATTGGTGGTTTTGGTGCTGTTTGTCAGTTTATATACGTCCAATGCGAGGAAGTGCTGGAGGTTGAGTGAGGACTTGAGAGCTGGGAAAATATGTTCCATATTGCAATTCATAAATAGTAACAGTTAGGGTTGGTAAACGGCGAAGCCGCGGGTTGGGACTAGAGGGTCAGGATTATTGGTTAGGGCTTGGGGTCAGTGGTCATGGATTAGAGTTAGGAGAGAGGTAAAGTCTTGCTGTCCCTCTATGGGTCTAACATTCCGTGGGAGTTGTGGATTCTCAAAACTCCGGTTCCACCTCGTCTCCAATTATCGTCATCTTCGGGTGTGTTGGCTTAATAGGATACCGTGAGCTATACTTTCTAAGTTTGTTGTCTTTCCACTAGTGCCAACAACAATATCTGGGCTATCGTTCGCAGATCATGGGCGTCGGAAGATTCTTAGTTCACACAATCAACCCTCTAAAATCTTAATAAGCAAGGATTTCCCTAAATCCAAGGACTAGAGTGCCGGATTTGGATTTACCCCGAAAATCTTTTTAGATTCGGAGTACTACAGTTTCAAGTATTTCTGATTGAAAAATTACACCTCGGAGTGATTGCGTCTAAAGTATAATACCTAAGTATATTATAAGGTAGCGTCAATGCTTTATTTATATTTCAAGCTAAATTAGTCCGAATTGCAAAGTATACTCCAGTAGCTGGCGTAGCCGTTATCTCAAGACTTCTAGAGGCTTTTTCCAAACCCTCAAGATATCACAACCTCGACTTTCTCACAACCCGTCAACCCTTACACACCCTTCCTCTCTCCCTTCCCTGCCAACATCCTTCTCAATTTAACCAGCCCAAACATCCTCGGCAACACCAGGTCAAAAACCCAACCACCCAACCACCGATGCACAAATTCAATGATGCCCGCCTTATTCCCCCTCCAGAACCACTTTTTCGGTGCACTCTTCAATGCCTCTCTCACAACCCCCCTCGCATACTCGACCGTATCCATGGCCTCCTCTTGACTATGACTAACCCTCCTCTCAAACTCGCCTTCTATAGCCGTATATAAGCTACCCTCCGGTAGCACCCTCTCCGTCCTCGCAATCCTACTCTTCACACCCCCCGTAACGACGACCATAACACGCACGCCATAGGGTTCGAGTTCAAGACGCAGGGTATTAGAGTATGCGTGAAGTGCAGCCTTGGAAGCGTTGTATACGGATCCAAACACGTAGGGAACAATTGCAGCAACGGAGCCGATGTTGAGGATTAGAGAGGGGGAGGCGGTGATGAGGAGGGGTGTGAAGGCTTGGGTTATGGCGACGACGGCGAAGAAGTTGGTTTCGAAGGTAAGGCGGGCTTCGGAGAGGGGGACGTCCAGGGCAGGGAGAGTGAGATTGCGGCCGCTAAATTCCAGTTAAGTACTCGCTCTTTATATAGGTATGGTGTTTTAAGGTTTGAAACAAGGGATCCCCAAAAAAAAAGCGATTACTTACGCGTTGTTGACGAGCATATCCAGCCCCCGCCCCTGAACCAATTCCTCAACTTCCTTCCGCGCCATAGCAATACTTTCTTCACTCGTGACATCTAAACTGACTGTTGTCATACCGATATCCTCCAGGTCTGTAATGGCGCTCCTGGAACGCGCTGTGGCAATAACGTGTAGTCCATTGGCGTGGAACTCCCTGGCTAGGGCATTTCCTATTCCTCCTGGGGCACAGCTAGGGTGTTCCACAGTTAGCCTTGTTCGCGGGATTCTATGTCGTGGATGATGGAATGCATACCCAGTTATGACAACAGTCTTCTTCCTTTCAACCGCAGACATCGTATTCTCTCTCTGCTAATTGATGTTGATGTTGCTAAACTCACAGAAGCCCAGCTGCCTCGGCGTTTAGGAACCGTGCTCATGCGGGTAGATAAGACATACGAGTGCGAGCAAGTACGAGTGCCAAGTACGCTAATCCCCAATACGATTTCACTAAAGGGGGACCTTCGCTTAAAAATGAGGTTATTCTCACATCAGGCGAAGGAGTGCTTCAATATATCTTCGTAGAATTAGAGTTAAATTTTAATTTATTCTCTCCAACTTTTTTTTATTCTCAGCTACCACATATTTTGTATTTCCCATGTTATGCTGCCAGAAAACGAAAAATAGTATTAAATATAGAAATTTTTATCTCGAGCATAGGAAACAAATGGCTAGACGACATCGAAAACATATCTGTATGTTCTTAAACAACCATGGGTGTTAGCCCATGGATGCTAAGATATGTTATTGTTCGAGCAACCAGAGGATTACATAGTAGTTTTAGAGTCCCCCCCCACTAGATCGTCCACAAGTTACTCAGTCTTCTGCAGCGCGGAATCGTGATTGGCACCGCCCAGGCCATGCTTCTGAGCGGGTTCCCCACCAAGTTACTCTCCAGACGGAGTAGCGGTAGGGCGCGGACCATACTCATTCTGTGAGGAACTTGAAACGACCGGTAGGCTGAATCCTGATGTTGTGCTGGAACTGGAACTACTGCTGGAGGATGTTGGGAGCCCTAAGTCGGATGTTACTGCAGAAGTATTGCTAGGAACAGCTGGTATATTAGTGTCCGATGATGCAGGAGAACCGTAACCACCGCTCGAGGCACTGGGAACTTCGAAAATTGATGAGGTGGGTGGGAAAGAAGTACTACGGGTCATCGATGGAGGTGGCGGGCCTTCAGTTGGCCTAGTGATAGTCGGAGCAGTGAGGGTTATGGTCAAAAATGTTGATGGGTTTGATTCGGTGGTAGAATCAACAATAGACGATGAATCTGTCTCAAACGACGACGATGAGACCACAACACTCTCTGAACTCCAGGCACCAGAGCTGGTCATGGGAGTTGGAGTGGCGGTACCAGGCCTGGTAATAACAGTGGTTGTTATGTTCCATGTAGGGAATGGAACTGAAGACGACTTAACAGTAGCTGTTGGAAATCCTTCCGAAGCTACGGACGTGAATATCGATATGCTGTCATCAATTGAGCTTGGTGCAACGCCATCCGCAGATGACACTGCTGTCCCTGATGGAACTGAGTACGCGGGGCGGCTGGTAAAAGCGGTTGAAAATGTCGCCAAGCTGGAATTTGTGGTTCCAGATGGAGCTATGCTTGTTGCACCACCATCTGCGGATGATGAAACCGTGGTTCTAAAGGAGAATGAACTCAGGGGCCCACTGCCAGTAGCGGTCGGCCGGACCAGGGATGTAGAGTTCGAAATTGGAAACGGAGCTGCACTCGTCGTTGCATCTGAGCAGGAAGACGACCCAGTGCTAAGAAATACAGAGGATGTAAGTACAGAGCCTGTGGAATTCCCCCCATAGGACTGTGATGGGGAAGCGGAAAGCCCAGTCGATGCACCTGAACTTGGAACGATACCACTGGCAGTCTCTGTGGAATTGGCTGTTGGGAACGGTGGCGTAACTGATCCAGTCAGTGAGGGAACGGGGTCTGTGATAGTACCACTTGTGAGAATACCGCTGGAGACTGTCGAGGCTACTGCTGAAGAGTTGGTATCCGGGCCAGATTGTGTCGCACTCGGAGATTCGGGGACAGTTACAATGACGGAAGATGTAAAAAAGATTGTTGAGCGAACATAAGTGGTGGTGATAAATGTTCCTGAGGGCGGCACCGATGATGCTGTGGGTCCGAGGACAGAGGAAGAATTGGATGCCCCGTATGATATTCGTGCCGAAGAGGATGGTGAGACAAATGAAGTCGTGGTTGTGTCACCAGTGACGATAATGGTTGGCGCCGTGACGGTGATAATAGAAGTACTTGTTACAGTTGACTCAATAGTGGAAGCTTAAACGTATCACTCGTAAGACTTAGGGTTATGTGCTGGTGGATAAGGTCACTTACTAGCTTCCGATGTCAAACTTGTCCGGGGTTCACCTGAATTATCGGACGAAGAGGCGATGGAGCTGGATTTCGTGAGGGTAGGTCGTGGACCGTAGCCTCCATAGGTGTAGGTGTCGTGTCCATCCTGTCTATCATAGACTTTGTAGTGGTGCGGAGCGAACTTGTCACCTGCAATACCTTTACGTGGTAGAAACCATCCAGGAAGAGCCTGAGCGGCAGATATCAGGGATATAAAGATGGCAATTGACGCGAGGCCAATGCTTGACGAGGGATTTGCTCTCATATTGACTAAACCTGAGTTGGGACTCGATCAGCAGATATAGGGTTATTCGACGATGGGGAAGGGGCAAGGGAATATCTATGGACTAGACACCTTGCTAGGGCAATGGGATGAATATAGGTACGTGTGTGCAGCCACTTACAATGATGTGATGTGACCTTGTAAGTGATGCCTGCAGGACAAGAAAGACCAACGAACGTGGTGTGCTGCTTTAAAAGCTCGAGAGTGAGAGATTATACGAACTAGATGACTCTCAATATGCCTCGAAGAGAATGGAGACTCGAACTCGAAGGGTCAAGCAAGGGGAGCAGTAGGGTTGGAGGCGTGGGACAAATAGAGAACGAATGGAACTGTGAAGGAGGGATGTTCTGTATATAAAGGGAGCAGATAAGAGAAGAATTGAATAAATATGTTAGAGTGGGGGGGGGGGGGGGGGGGGGGGCGAGATGCTCCGATTGTGGAGTTCCTCATTACAAGGCCACAGCCTTTAGTGTAACGTTGTTGATATTGAGCTCCAGGTTGGGGTAGAAGAGTGTGTTGCGGGTGGCGGGTTGTAGAGGAACGACGAAGCAGAATTTGCCAGAAGAGTAACTAACTATCACCTGAACTACAAGAAAAGACATGTAACCGTAACGTATATTCCATCATTGTGTACACTCAACCACCATATATTAATATCGAGACGTTTCCTTCTCCCATCCTCGGTAACCATAGATGCATATACGCAGAAATAATCTTACACATATCTCCATTCCGTGTTTCATCGTCATCTGGCAGCCCGTACTCGGGATGGCAACTAGCCGTTGTAAGTATTGGGATCTCGACATTTCAAAAGCGAGCCGACCTAAAGGAAAAACCCAACCCAAAGCTTGCCGGAGAATTGACAACATCCCGTTTTCTGTACGACGCTCTTCTGGACGTATCGATTTTACTGCCCTGGACAAACCAATGATAGCTCGATATAAAGGTACACTGGCGCGGGAAGCCGGGTCCCCAATGCAAGCTCCCGAGAGATATGTAACATGCATATACATATATGTGGCTTGCAGATCCTTTCCGCCGCCGTGTTTCATGAATTGGTGACATGGTGAAGGGCTGGATCTGGATCTGGAAACTGGCATCTGGTACGGCCAAGTTGTGCCTGGGTTTTGCAACGTTATAACTGCCAACGGGAACTGCCTTAGCCTAATCCACCTTCGCCAATGCAAGGATACATATCACAACTTCCGATAGCCAGGCCGCATGATCTTGCCGCAACAAACGGGTGTATGTCGTGCTACTAAAAGAATGGAAATATACGAACTGCCAGGTAGGAAGCCTCGATCCTCCACTAGAGTCTTGTTTGACTGTTGTCAATTGAGCATCTGGATTGGTGATATTAAGCAAAAGAAGGCGGGGCAAACAGATATCGCATTGCAAATTTCACGGCTTCAATAAATTTCGCGGCTGCCACTCGGCAGCCCACAATTCTCCAGTGGGCCCCCACAGAACAGATGAAACAAACAACCCTCCGACGAATCTTCATTGATAATACTAACGGTGGATCCCTCAGGCACTGGCCTCTGGGAGGATTGCTCAACCCACTATCAATAGTCGTTGCACAGCGGTCATGAAAAATTTAATTAATGCATTTCTTTGCTGTCATTCGATCACGTATCAAGCCTTCCGCATATGAAGCTGGGCCTGCAAAGTTTGCTCACGGCAGTAATACATGTCGCAAGCCTTGAATCCAATTCCCACCAAATCTTCAACACGCCATGCTTGCCAAACCTCGAAAGCCAATTCATTTCGAATTATACAGGACACATCGCTCACGACATGAGATGGGATAATTTGTTGGCATCTTGCACTTGGTCTAGTGGCACTAGAAACTTAAAGTGGCCTGCAAACGATCTAGAGGCCGAGTCGTGATGGTACCGGATAAGCCCACATTCCGGGAGATTGCATTTACGCCGTTTACTCAGACTTTTTCACGTCCTTTCCTCCCTTGGGGGTTTGCATTTCTGTCATACTAGTGTTGTTGTTTTCAATGTCGGCAGCCCAAAGTGCCGCACCAACTAGGAGGTGTCAGTGGAATCAAAATGCGGTGAAAGGGAGCTTACCCGTGTTGGTGAAAGAGAAGAATATTGAGGCAACCGGGATGAGTTCAAGTAAAGTCGCCACGGTTCCAAACCTATTGCTATGTTAGTCCAAAACGTGGAGGGAAATTGGAAGTGCGGTTGTCATGAAATAAGCGGGAAGTGGCTATTAAGCGGGAAAGGAATTTGCAGTGCGAAGCATCAACAATCAGAAGCTTACGCTGTATAGGGAGCAGTATTCTCCTGCAGCCATTGCTCTCTCTTGGAATTCGACCATTTCTTCAGTTGAAAGTACTTAAGCAAGTTAGCACCTCAATTCCGCCAGATCTACATCGGAGCTGCTTACTCGGGTGTGTGCGGAAAGTCCTCTAGTTTTCCCTTGCAGAACCACAAACAGCACCGTCCCCACAAGAGGGATAAAATTCAAAGGTAGATACATCACATATCTAATAAGAGCCTTGGGTGTGAACTTTTCAAACGGCGACTTAATAAGCTTCCCCAATTTCGCAATGGGATCATTAAAATTCCCCGACCGCAGTTCTCGCCCCTCAGACACCACGGAGGTCTGATTCCGCGCAACTAGAACTCCGTCAAATGTATCGACCAAAGCATCGTGTATCAGGAAATTCCTCGAGAGGAGTGTAATGATTGTCGAGCTCTCACTTAACGTAAGGAGCACGGTCGTGAGTACGGCGACGGGTCCGTTGAAGAGGACAAGAATGGAGAGCTGGGGTAGGTATGCGAAAATAAACATGAATGCTATTACCCCGACGGATAAGGTCATTGTTGGCACGAGTTTGGAAATGAGAGGCTTCCATAATGTACTATGGCTCGCGAAATAGAAGATGCCCTTGAACCGTCAAAATATTAGCAGGCTGCTTCTTTTTGATGTGATGTTTTGGATGGCTAGCGGGAAACGGGAATATTGCCATTGTCGCCTTACTTTGATGGGATACAGATATGCTCTGGATTTTGCTGCTTGTTCTGCTAGGGCTTTGGCCTTGTTGAAGTCTTCCACCCTGTATCGCTCATACTAGCATTAGAATTGGCATCCGCATACGCATCGAGGGGGGGGTTTGCTGTACTCACGCGACTTCTTTCGCCTTGGTCTTCACACTGTCGAGTTTTCCGGTCATGATTTATTTTAATTCAAAATACCGCAACGATTCATTAAATGTGGTTGAGAAAATAATGTGAAAAGGGTTTGAAGGAGTTGTGGCTGGCACTGGCAACTGGCATATCACCACAACGCAACGTTGTGGTGACGTGAGGGATGGTTGATTGATAGAGTGACGTCATCGTTGGCCTTGAACTCGAGTCGAAGTCTGGAGCGTAGACATGTGACTTAGGACTCGCCATAAGTAAGTCTTTGATTAGTCACCCGTTGGTGACATCAATACAACAAACTTCCATCCAAATGTCCTTCTCACTTGACTACACTGTCAAGCCACGTATCGTTGCACCTCTAACCGCCTTCCCAATCCATCATCGGACGCTACTATCCCCACAAAGCCACCTGTCCCAAAACAACGGGTCGGCAATCTGTTCAATCTGCCGGCCCCGGTGTCTGGGGATAGTCGCGATATTAGCCTACACGAAACTCGATCGCGCTTCCAAATACCGTACCGTGGTGGTGCTGTGTGCCTCGTGCGGGGTTCTACGAGCGTTTTGCGATGTACTGCACGTACATATAACCCCGGGAAACGACGGTGTGATTGCTCTTCTAAGAGGTGACAAATCATGTATCTGTAGGTAGTCTGGTTGTGTGGGCGAAAATATCACTTTTGATATTTGAAATACTCTGCATGTTGAGATGGAGAAGAAGGTAGGCGATTGTTGATGTTTTATGCATCTTTCTTTTGGCTGTGTATAGGCGGGGGTGGATGGAAAAGGGGGAGGGGAGCTATGCGTGGCACTGGAGACACTGGCTTTCCCTACCTGGTGAAGCAGGGCAAAGGGTAGTTGGGATTGAAGAGGCCGGTGAGTGAGAGGCAATGGTTGAGAAGCCTTGTAAGATGGGCGAGGTGCCCAATGAGCGAGGCTTCATCGTACTCCTGAGTTCCAGATGCAAGCACTCGGGGAAAGCTCCCCTTATTGTATAGACGAAGCGCAACTCCATGATGCCAAGGCTGCATCTATTATCCCATATGAGTTTTAATTCTCGGATCGAGCTTGTTTGGGAGCTGGCGATGATTTGAAACAAGCAATGGCTCTTGGATGGCTAGTGTCGTGGCCTGATAATTCCTACCCTCGCTAGGTGTTGCTGCTTGCTGGCTCTTGGTTGACTACAGAATGGGTTGAGATTTATCCTTGTCGTACGATGGTGGCTCGTAGCTCGGGCGCCTTCCCTCCTTTCTTTGAATCCTTCGAAATCGGAATTGTTGATGGGTAGTTTCCTACATCCCGGTATTTGGTCGCCGCGAAATACCTGTCACAGCCCCTTGATAGAGGCAGCTTTTTTCAAGTTTTGGCTATTTCTCAGCGATGACGACGCACGGGGAGCGAGCGCAAAGAACAGCTCAGTATCTTGATAGCTTGAGATATTGCCACAGCGGAAAAATTCTTGTATAGAATTCCGGCATCGCATTAACTGCGGCTCCGCGGAAGGAGATCTCATTCTGCATTGAATCATCGTTCATTTGCACTGTTTTGAAATGTGTGTTCCTTGCGACCATACTGGTTATTATCTAATAGCCCACAAGCTTCAAGAGCGACAATGAGTAGCGCAGCTAGGGCGAGTTGGTCAGCTAACCCGTTCACCTTGGCCTGTGGCACTTACCTCCCATCTAGTCCCAGCTTTGAAGGGAAAGTTTCTGGCTTCAATTTTTACTACCCCACCGGAAGTATTGAGTAGATTTACCGTGGAGGGGGTGTCTTAGGAATCTCGCGGTATATTTGCAGCTGGATCAACCTAGCTCACGAAGTTATACACTGCTCAGCCCCGTGCCATTCTGAGATGAATGCTCTCTTCCGTCCCTTCTTCAGGCGCGGATGATGTGGATTTCATATCCAGTCCATGTTACCCGTAGACGGATTATGTCTGCAGTTGGAAGGTTGTACACACCTCGGATAAGGGGCCGCAGAAACATGATACGAGCAAGGAAATGATTTCAGATCTGTGCTTTGGAATCATCAAATCCTCCATCAGGCAGCATTGCACGCGCAATTATCCTTGCGATGCCTTTGGCAGCCGGCAGCCGGCAGCCGGCGATAAAGGGATGGCCTTCCACACCCTACCACGAGGCGGGAGACCTCCTTTCTAGGAAACTGCTGCGTTCTAGCCAGCAGCGCATGTGCAGCCTTCGTCGTCTCAATTATCCGCGCTTATGGTGGTGGTGTGGTGGTGGTGTTCAACGGGTGTCAGCCTCGCTAGCAAGGCTGACGCCATGGGCCGCCCTCCGCCCCGCCTTCCTTCCTTCCTTCTCCAACCCCACACAGCAAGGACGGGGTCACGGGGTATGGCGACATCACATCTCGTCGTCCGTGGCGGTGGAGCATTACTGCCTGGAGACAGGACCTATCTCCGACAATTATCACGGTGTACTTCGTACTTCGCACATGATATCGCCCTCCTAAGCATTGCCGAATTATGACTTCCTCTTCTCCTGGAATTGATCCCCTCCAAAGTCAGATGGAAGGGCGCACTACCCCGTACTACCAACTTTTCATGTGCCATCTCCCTCTCCCCTTGACAAACCTTGATCGTGCTGCTGGTACATGTACAGTACATGTACCGATCTCCGCTGCCCATCATGATATCATCCCTTGGGGTTCCTAACGGGAACTGCGGCTCCTGGGGGCTCCCCGTAGCCTGCACCAACCAGACGGCGCCGGTTCCTGGCGGGGCCCGACAAGCCCTGCCAGCGTCGCCGCAGCGGGACTAGCGCCGATGGCGTGACGGCGCTTTCAAAGATGCAAAACCCTTCATGCTTATTCAGCAGCGATGGCGACACCGGAGACCGGAGAACGTTCTGTCAGGGACTGCAGAGCGTAGACGGGCAGGGCAGGGCGAGTTACTTAGTGATGGGAATTGCAAATTGCAAATTGCAAATTACAGTTTACCCCCCTCCCCCATTGGTAATTAATAATCGTGGGTGAAGTTGCCGGCGGGGGAAGGCCACAGCTCAGTTAATCCATCCCGATTTCCAATCCGGGTGTTGGTGTGTCGTGTGCGTATTGTTCGGTTCAGAAACAGAGGACTTGTATGAAGTATATATATATACATGTATCTCTCTCTCCGCAATTTAGCTACTCCCCGCTGCTCAACTCAAACTCCACTCCAGATTCTTTGTCTTTGGAAGCCCCGTTCATTGTTTGCCCTTCCATTCCTCCACCGCGAATCTGGTTGTTGGTCCCTGTTCTCGGAAGTCGAGCTGGAAGGATATTATTCCACCCCCACCACCCCGCCGCCTCCCTTCCCGGCGTCTTCCCCTAGCAGCAATTGCACCATCGCACGGGGTATGCCACCATAGAACACTCTGCCAACTATACTGCGTACACTGCCTGCTCCATATACCCTATACCCTACCCCCCTTCCTCCCCCGCCGAAACGCACTTCGACTGGTGAATAATCCAGAATCCATTCTCCGGCTCTTTCTCTTTCTCTTTCTCTTTCTCAACCCACGGCCAGGACTTCTTCTCCCTCGTCCTCTTCTCCCCCTATCCCCCAAAACAACAAGGCCGTTCACTATTACCTCCCAACGACACAAGTTAAATTAGGACCTCACAACCTCCAATACTCTTGAGTCCATCCCATCTTCATCATATAACGCTTCTTTTGCCCGCCATGGGTCTTCACGTCCATTCCGACTCGGGCGTCTCGAATTTGGAGTCCGGCTATGCCTCAGGCGCCTCATCCTGCGAGTCCCTCCCTCGCATCGTCCTCACCAAGCACCACCTGAAATTCCTCAACAATACCTTGAACGAGCTCTCTCCCTTCGAGATCCTGCGATGGTGCAAGCTCACTTTCCCCAACCTGTACCAGACCACCGCCTTTGGCGTTACCGGGCTCGTCACTCTGGATATGCTGTCGAAACTGCAAGCGGAGACACCCTCAGCCCCCACCATCGATGCCATCTTTCTCGACACCCTCTATCACTTCCAAGAAACTCTCTCTCTGGTCGAGAAGGCCAAGGCCCGGTATCCTAATGTCAACCTGCACGTCTACAGTCCCGAAGGCGTCAACACAACCGCCGAATTCGAGGCCCGACACGGCAAGGAGCTCTGGTCGACAAATGCTGATCTCTATGACTGGGTAGCCAAGGTCGAGCCCGCTCAGCGAGCCTACTCGGAACTACAGGTTGCGGCCGTCCTCACTGGCCGTCGCCGTTCGCAGGGTGCTAAGCGGGAAAGTCTCGACATCATCGAGATCGACGAAGCGGGACTCATCAAGATCAATCCGTTAGCCAGCTGGAGCTTCAAGCAGGTCCAGGACTACATCAGTGAGAATGACGTCCCGTACAACGAGCTCTTAGATCGGGGGTACAAGAGTGTCGGGGATTGGCACAGCACCGAGCCGGTGAAGGAAGGCGAGGATGAGCGTGCGGGTCGGTGGAAGGGAACCAACAAGACAGAGTGCGGCATCCATAATAAGAGGAGCAAGTATGCACAGTTCTTGTATGAGATGGAGCAGAAGCAACAGCAGGAGGAGCTCGCGGCTGCGTTGACGGCGGTCGAGGTTAGGGAGGAGACGCCGGCCTCGTCGCCGGAGCAGGTCGAGACTACCGAGGAGGTGGCGCCTGCACTGGAAAAGGTCGATGCAACCCCAGTATCAGTCACTGCATTGGAAGAGGTTCAGGAGACTGAGCCCGCTGCCCCTGTGGTGGACAATGCCGACCCTGTACCAGAAGTATCAGCTTTGGAATCAAAGGTTGATGTCCCCGCGCCCACTGTCATCTCAGAGGAAGTCGAAACTATCGAACAACCAGTCGCCGTATCCGTATCGGAGAAGGTCGAGGTTGAAGTCGAGGTCGCTCAAGAACCGCTCCCATCCTCCGAGCAGCCAGAGATCACAGAATCCCCAATCGTGCGATCAGAATCCATCGACACCGACACGCCGCTTCTAGCATCGACATCGTCAACACGCGATGCCACGCCAGGCATCCTGACACCAACTCTCGAAGAGAAGCGGTCGTTCATGGAAGACATCGATGTCAACAACCTGAAGTCGCTCAACCCCGCAACATCGGCATTCCAAGACGTCGGCATAAGCGACGAGCTAACCGCCGCGCTGGAGAAATTCGGCTTCCGAGACGAGCAACGCAAGGAAGAGATCGCCGTCCGCGGATGATTCGTTCCCAGCATTGCATTTGAATATATAAAACTTTTTTTTTGTGTCATTGTGTTATTGAAGCTTGCTTGGTTTAAGCGGTGCATCGCGCTTGGCGTTCTAGTGGAGTTGGAGGGCTTCGGCTGCAATGCCGGTCATTCACGACCGAATGATGTCTGAATGAATGAGAAAATAATGGTGGCGTTTTGATATATGATTTGTGATGGTTCGATGATGAAGGGGAGCGGGAGCATCGGATGTGATGGGCATGGAGTGGAGAGGGAATGTCGTGTGTTACTACTTACTGTACCTTGGACACAGGTCCTAAGGTCTGCCTCATCCCTATTGAGAGAGAGTGGATGCAGAAAGCAACCAAGTAGCAGATAGATAGAACAAGTAATAGAATGAATAAAAACTTCAGGTCTATTCTTACATGCTATTGTGCTATTGTGCTATTGTTTCTACGATGTACTGCTCCCGTTGGTAATCCTTCGCACATGCGTAAGAAATAGTTGTTCTCATTCTCCCATGCTCCCAATTAAAGCCATTCCACTCCTCCGCACTCATTCTTCCATGCAAATATAAAGCACACATACGCATGCACGCCCGCAAACTCAACCGGCTCCAAGTCCTACTATACCACCAATTAATTATTAATTAATTCGATCCCGAACATCGCATAGTCTATCCTCACGCAGAGGCAAAATCGAGTTAATCCCGTTCCATGCTATCGTCGTACCTAACAACTTGCCTACATCTAAATCTTAATCTAAATCTGCCCGGATGCAATACGAGTGTACTTTTGCAGCCAAGTTGGTTTCGCCTTGCTTGTACCTAGTAAATCGCTGCTACTACATGCTAAGGCATTCCACAGTTCCACGTAAACCACGTGAATTTTACAAATGTACGCCTCGTGTTATTTACATTCTTTTTTGTTGCCTGTTCCTAGTGGGCATTCGGGGTGTGGCTACGAGGCTTTTACCCTCTAGTGACAGGCGTGGTCCCGCTGCACTACCGCACTTACGTGGAGATATTGAGATTGATAAGGACAGGAGGGATTTAGGGATGGTGAGAGTCAAGGGTATTATTTATTAGAATAAATAAATTATGCGCTAAGTAGAGTTTTGCTAGAGATAATTCTCTTCCCTTTGGTAATATTTTCATTTCTCTATGTAGACCTAGTTAGGTCAATACTAGATCTGAATTACTAGAGTTAGTTCCTGCTACTCTATTATGCTAGGATTAGTTTATGGTTTTATTTTTAATTTTAATCTTCATCATTTATTAAACAAATAACCATCTAGATAGTCATTTATTTCTAGGTGTAGAATTTCGTTTCATCAACTTCCCAGTTGTGAAGTCTCGTCCTTGGCCCGTCGTCATTCGCTTAGAGGGGAAAAACGCCCCCGGAATTTTACTCCGGTACGAAGCACGAAGTACTCGACCCCTCTATTCTGTTGATCGGCACCACTTCACTTCCTTAGACTTCTTTACCCTCGCTTTGCGACCAGCGACAATTCGAAGCCCACGGCCTCGCGCAACGCAATACAATCACCATGGACGCCGCTAAAGGACCTAAGATTGGTCGCCCCAGCTTAGGCGCCATGCGGAGCAGTTCCTATTTTCAGGAACATCAGCAATATCGTCCCCCACAGCCCGATGGCCACGAAGGTATCGATAGCATCCTTGAAAGCACCCAAAATGCGACGTTGGCCCCGAAGGCGACGCAACCACCTAAAATATTTAAATACAATGGCATCCCATCGCCCGAATTCCCTCCAAAGATCATCGATAGCGGCCTCAATCATACGTTGTCGCACTCGAATTGCCAGCCCGCACCAGGGACCTCGTCCGACCGTCTCGTCGCAACGATATTTTATAAATCAAAGTCTCCGCGAGCAGCAATCACCGACTACCCTGGCGGTCGCGCCCCATCCCCAATCAGGTCTACAAATACAAGCTCACCATCCTCAATTATCCATCCAAACCTCGCACCCACGGAGGATATGTCCCAATTTCCTCTTGAACCGCCACCACCAGACCCAGAACCGCTCGACCACCTCTACGGAAGCTACATCTCCCCCCTTTGCCTCACCAGCTTCCTCCACCTAATATCCAGTCTGCCCTCTCGCCGGGGGACTCACACACTCACCTCCTCCCACCGCTGTCTCGACAACCCCACTCACCCCTCCATCGTCGAACTCTCCTTCTCCCCAACCCCCGACCCAACCTACCTCTCCCTCTCCGACTTCCGCAAACACGAACTCCTCTACCGCTTCGAGCGCGAATGGAACGTCGACGTAATCCTCCAACCGGACACCGTCCTGCGCCGCTACCCCCGCCTAGTAGTCTTCGACATGGACTCCACGCTCATAATACAAGAAGCAATCGACCTAATCGCAGCTTCCATCGGCGTCGAAGAAGAAGTATCCTCGATAACCGCACGCGCAATGAACGGCGAGCTAGATTTCTCCTCCAGCTTCCGCGCACGCGTTCAGCTTCTCAAGGGCGTAGACGCAAATATCTTCACCAAGCTCCGGGATGTAATAACCCCCACTAAGGGAGCTCGGGAACTGATCAAGGCTCTCAAGCGCATGGGCTGCAAAACCGCTGTTTTGTCAGGTGGATTTATCCCCCTTACGCAATGGCTGGCCGACTCCCTCGGCATCGACTATGCATACGCCAACACTCTAGAAATCGATCCTGTTTCGAACACCTTGACAGGCGAGGCTTTAGGCCCCATCGTAAACGCGGAGCGCAAGCGGGATCTGTTGCTCGAGATCGCAGCAAAGGAAGGCGTGCCGGTTGAACAGGTCGTCGCTGTTGGTGATGGCGCGAATGATCTGCTCATGATGGGCGTGGCGGGGTTGGGCGTTGCGTGGAATGCGAAACCGGTTGTCCAGATGGAGGCACAGGCGAGACTGAACGGGGAGACTTTGCTGGATTTGCTGCATGTTTTCGGGTTTACCGCAGAGGAGATGGAGGTTTTGATCAAATAGTTGGGATTTTGGTGGATTGATTGAATCCCGCGATAGGTAAATAATAGAAAAGACATAAGGTATGAAATAAAATGTAGTTAGGATAACTAGTTATAAGAGCTTGAATAGCCCTTAATAAAGATTCCTGATCAATGATACTAGCGAGGGAGATAACTTCACATTACTGTGAGAAGACATAGCCATAGCAGATGATCGCTTTTTGACGAGAGAGAAAGCCTGTTAGAAGACTTCGACAGGATAGATCGAAGGGGGGATGCTTCTGCTTCTGGTTGGCGATGTCTCTTGAAGAACCGGCCCATTAAGACAAATATTATTAATGCCCCTTTCGGTGACTTAGCGGGGGATGGGACGAGCCGACAGGATCTAATCATGGATTGGATTTCCCATTGGTCTACCCCGCAAGATAGGGTAATAACGATTGGTTCACCTTGGCTTATTACGACCTAATCCCAAAGATGTAGAATTACTTCTTGCTTATTAGTTATCCCCGAAGTACGTATTCGTAGTTATCGAGAGCGTGAGAGTAGGTAGGCATATATGTTGGCTCCAACTGCATGAGAAGCGTTAGAAAATACTATAACCATACACTGTTCCTTCTCAAGCATAACCTAAGTCTGAAGCATTCGCTTGCTTACAAGAACTATTACTATCCCACCTATCGCATCACACTCATTATGTGCAAGTAGATAAATTATACCAAAAGATGCAGGCGCTGTGGGAGGACACCCGACAAGCATACACACGAAAAGAAAGTCATTACGGAAGAGTGCGTCAATGAGAAAAAATGCCTTTATTGTCCCAACTTGACCAAGGACACTTCGCAAGCGGTTGGGGGTGACTGTCCGCTTTGTCCTCAGAGAGTCGAGCAGCAAGTCACATCAATCTACCCATCGCTAATACGAGTAGACGATAATATTAGTCCTCCTCGTATACCACACCCTTACTACTCCCCTGTATGATAGAATTTGGGCAACCTTAACCTTAGGATTTAATGATGTTAGACCGGGCATGGATATCGGTAGTGATGGAGGCTCTATAGTCTGGGTCTTTCGTTTCAATCTATCCAAGCCAGACAGACCTCATAAATCTGAAGTTTTTGAATAAATTACCCTCCTTTCAGCCTTCGTGATTTATATGCCGTAAGTTTTGAGAAGACACTACATAAAGCAGTATCAATGATTTGATGTTGTCGCGATAATCTTGGACCATGTGACCCACAGGATATCGTGGCTCAAGAGCAGCACGCTAGCTTCATATAGTCAATCAATGCACAAAGTTATTCTGACTTTAGCGGTCTGACCAGGTCGCACTGCACGCAATTCTACTTCCGTCGGATCTGAGACGGCGTCTCTAACTCATTGATTTGAATTCTTGTTGAAATACAAACTCATCGGTCGTCTTTTGCCTCTTTACAGTGCCACACAAGCTCCTTGGCATCGGCAGGTCCCCATCGTGTCTACAGCCAGCGACGGAAAAGACTGCGCTCAAAGGCTATGAAATCTGGGATGGGGACCAACATTGTGCATATAGAGAGGAAAATGGATGCGAAAAGCTTCTAGCGCAAGAAGACTGGGTGTATCGGCGGCTTGGCGAACATGCTCACATCTTGAAGTGTTACGGGCTCGTCGAGGTTCATCCGGGTGTTTATTCACTACGGTTAGAGTGAGCACCGTATGGCAATGTCCGCGAGTTTATCAGACACAACAGAACTGCCCCTCCATCTCAAGATGGTCGGCTAAGGATGGCTCTAGGAATATCGAGCGGAATGGCACATGCGCATGTGAAGAACGTGATGCACTGCAATATCAGCTGCCGCAAGCTATTCTTATTCCCTGGCTGGTGTGTCAAGGTTGGGGGTTTTGGAAGTGCTGCAGTTGATGTAGATCTTTCTAGGGGCAATATCGTTGAGGAGATCCACTATGAAGTGCCCCTTCGAGGCAGAGCTTTCGACCGTCGCCCCTCCCTCAAACAGGAGCTCTTTGCTTTAGGATCTGCTATTTACGAGATAATGGCTTGGGAAATGCCATTTGAGGAACTCGAGACTGACGATGTTGAGAAGAAGTATGCCGCAGAGGAGTTTCCCGATGTGACGCGGCTTTTAGTAGGAGATATTATTCGCGACTGCTGGGCTGAGAAATTTGAAACATCAAGACACGTCGAAAAGGCCATAAGGTAGCTCCAGCAAACGCTCGAATCCGATTACTTTAAGTCTCTTTAAATTTTAAACTTCCTCTTCAACAAGACGGGAAAAGAATGGCGTTGCAAATAGAAATTCCAAGGTTGAGGGAAACCATATATTTCCAAGACATTTCTATCTAAAGCCTACAGCACGCCAAGCCAAGAAGCCAAGTTTCCGAGTATCTCATATCCAAGCGAAAGGCCAGTAACCAGTAGCCAAACGGTATCGCACAGTGCCCACATCATCATCTGGCACCAAATGAACAGATATCTTTATCGGTTCTAAATCAATTCGTGCTCATTAACTCTCATTGCTCACTGGAGCTTCATCGCTCGCAGGCTTTTCGTCTTCCGCTGGCTTTTCATCGCCAACATCTGCCGGACTAGCAGCCTTAGTAGGTTCATCAGCCTCCGGGGGAGGAGGCGGCGGATGTTGATTTAGAGATTTCTCTAAACTACCTAACAAATCGGGGAAACTATCATCGTCATCGGTGCCTTCAGCTTGCTGCTCCGCAGGCGCCTCTGGCTGCGAGGTCTCTGCTGGTTCGGGTTCCGCGACAGCCTCGGAGACAGTTGGAGGAGGCTCGATGATTGCAGGTGGTGGGGATGGATTGGAGGGGGGTGGTTCTGGCGCTGCTGCACCTATATTGGAATTGTTTGCATTTTCAACGATGTCGAGAAGCATGGCCTCTTCTTCCTCTTCCTCTTTTCGTACTTCTACTGCCACTTCTTCCTCAGCTTGTGTGGGTTCTGGTGGAGGTGGCGGGATGTCGGTTAGCGCCGCGGTGGAGGCTGGCTCTTGCATTTCCTCGTTAAGAGTGGATATGTCGGGTTTGGGGATCTCAGTTGTATCCAACTGGGGAGGAGAAATGGTTTCAGCAACAGGCGGCGGAGCAGAAATAGTTGGTGAAACGGTGGGAGACGTCACAGTAGAGGTAGCCAAAGCTACGATTTTCAGGGGACTGCCGGATTTCCCTTCCGACTTTTCCATCTCGAGACGGGCGATGAAAGGCGGTCCGGCCACACCAGTATTTGGCGGAGGTGGGCTGAGGTCTGGAATTTCCTTGATGCTTGGTGCGGTAAGTGGCATAGGTGAGGGGGCTTTAGGTGCTGTCGAGGGCGAATTTTGTGTTTCTACGGATCCTTCATCGTCATCGCCGTCTTCACCATCTTCTCCATCCTCACCATCTTCGTCGTCCGAAGCCACGTTCGACCCATCGGCCATTTCAACATCTTGAGTATCAGCAGGAATTGTGTTGACATCCGTCTCAGTTTTGATAACCTGCAATATATTTAATTGACGCCATAAACAAATCCTAATTGGGTGTAATCTTACCTCAGTACGCGGAATTCCAACAGTTGTTCCATCAGTTGAAGTTGTCCCATCAATTGACATAGGTTGAGGCGCACTTGTAGGAGCGGCTGCTTTCTTTCTTCTACCTTTAGACGATGCCTTAGCTTTCTTCTTGGATGACGACTTCCGCTTAGGGGGTGTGGGTTGAACGGCGTATGGATCTGTCGCTGCAGCACTTGGACCAGGAACTACAGTTTGAGCGATGACCTCTCCCTCGATTTGCTGGCCGTGTGGTACTACAACATCCTGTATATATTCATTCCCAGCTGCATCAGTTCGCCGGACAGTTGCCTTGGTGAGAGTTGGCTCGGCGGCCTGTGGTGCTTTTGGGGTATAGGTAACCAAGCCCTTCCTCCGTTTGGCTAAGTGCTCCTCGCCGGGACCTTCCAGATGTCGCGGTATTTGCTTCCAAGCTTTAGCTGAGAATCCCCTATCTTTGCCTTCATCATCCTTCTTTTCTGATTTTTCTCCAAGAGCAGCTTCCGGGTCAACTTCCTCTTCTTCAGCGGGAGATGGACGTTTGTATATCCTCCCTGATCGTGCAGCACGCAATAGATCTTGGCTATGTTGAGGTAATAGATGTGAATCTTTCGGCATACCATGCGGAAGTTCGACTGCCCATATATCATTCTGAGACGTGTTGTTTTCTTGAGCTGCGGGTGGTGCAACCGTAACATAATCGCGTCGCCAATGCCTTACAGGGAGGCCCTCGAACACGTCGTGATCCGCATATCCTGTCCGGTTTTGGCGTCTGTTCTGCGTTCTGTACTGCTCTAAGAGTTAGTCGAAACATAAGTAGCCACTGGGTATAGACTCAGCCTACCCCGGGTGCCATAGCTTCCTATAAATATATTGGGTTTGTTCCGCAGAAACCGCAAGGTCGAAAGGAAGGAGAATGAATGTGATTGGGTTCGATGACTGAGGTTCTTCGAGCCAAGATCTATAGTAGATGGAGAGGAATACTAGTGTGTGAACCCGCGCGCGATTGTTTATATGGAAGGAAGGCAGTATCTAATAAGTCTGTGAAGGCGTGGTTGGTGCAAATCGTAGAGTGGCGTTTGCTCAAGTTCTGGTGGATTACTCAATTGATAGCCGAGCAGTAAGTCCAGGCCTGGAGCTGTCCAAATATAAGTATATATTCCCCAGGAAAGTCTTGAATTGGTCTCTCAGCCGCACAGAGAGTCTCGGTTTAAGTTCCAGATTCTAGACAAGAGTGCCAAGTTAGAATGCGCCCGGGCTAAGGATGAGAGCAGGTTACGGGATAGAGGAAAACGGTTGCATCCTTACAGTAGCGGTGGGTAAGCTGCGCGGTATAATGTGAAATTAAAGGGTGGAACACATAATGTGGAATCGGGAATGGTCCGAGGGGATTGTGTCGTGGAGCGCGTATGGTGAATTGTGAGGTTCCAATTGTCGATATCGCGATCGGGACGTGCAATCTTAGCGCGGCAGGTCACGTGTTGACTTTAAACTCCAGCCATCGGAAAGGGTCAATAAAAGATAATTTAATTTACCGGCTCTATTGATCATTAGGAATTAGGATTTACTAATACTGAGACCTATTGTATACTTAACAAGAAAGTAACAGCTTTACAAAATTACAAAATCTTGCTAGAAGGGCACTTGGCCATGAAAACGCCGAAACAGGGTAAAATTGTCAGTCACCAGCAAGTGAGGAATGGATATGTACAAGCGTAGAAATTATGTAAATGATTTCAACACTTAGACAGGCAGTTTCCAGTTCCATAAACTCGAGATATTCTCCGTAGATGAAACACCGACGCTAACTAACGATGATTTCATCAGAGTGGTGATTGCAACTGAGTCCCATCCGGAAATTACCTGGTATAAAACCTTGAAACTCCTTCAATATACATAATCATACAGATGAGCGCTTCAAGGTATAGCTTTCCTCATTAATATATCGCTGTTCCATGATGCATCTTTATCTCAAGGTCCACCAACTCTTCTCAATCCAAGCTACATAATGTTAGCTAATGCGCAGCAGCTTGCGGTAATTCGGTATATGTTGACTCACCCAGTATCCTTCTGTCTGACTATACTGCCCGAGCTTCCTGTTTCCTTGCCCTGTCGTTAAATTAGCTTATCCTCTCGCAAAACTGTTTTCATCAGGCCCTCTCGAGCCTTTGCGATAGGGTTTGCATACTGCTTTCCCGCCCTCCACCACTAATTTGTCCATTTGGTAGAATTGACTAATAACCGTTTGCCTCTGTGTCCCAGGAGTCAGCAAACGTCTATTGGAGCTTGAACTCTGTTGTTTCGATCGGCGCAGCTCTAGGTAGCACCCCGATCCCAGCCGCGAATCTCTAATGAAATCCAATCTGGGGTTTATATACCTTCATCACCTGCAACTCCTTCAACCCCTTCTGCATCAACTCTTGTATCTCCCTTGAGTCCTGCACATCCCTGTGTTCTCTGAAGGAATCCCGGGCCCTCCGCTTCGCATATTCGCGGAAGTTGTATGCGGCGAATTGCTCGCCTTGCCGTAGTAGCTGTCGATACTGGTAGAACCCCAAAGTTAGTAATTGTTATATTCTGCGCGCGCTCGTATTGCTCTCATAGAGTCATCGCTGAGCCTCTATGCCACCAAAGAGCTAGAAGAGCAACGGAGCTAACGAGAAAAGGGCATACCAGTGATTTTGCTTGCTGGCTAGATTGGGCCTTGGTTGCTGCAATGGCTGACATGATTAAGGAGTATAGCAGCGGTGTAGTTTCTCGGTGACGGCGGGGATAGACGGTGAGAAGTCCAACAATCAAAATATTGACGTTACGAACGGAGACTCGATCAAGGTGTTTGGACTTAGCGTCGGTCTTTTGGCTGTTGATCCGAATTCCGAAGTTGAAGATTACTCGAGTAAGACTTTCGGAGATAAGATAAGATTTTCAGGGACAAAGGGCCATCACGTGGTGTATACTTTTTGAGTGAATGGAAACAACAAATTAGGGGCAATACAATGAAAACACCTATGAGTAAAGCAAAGCCTCCATATGATGGAATATAAAATCCCCGTCACGAACACAATTATCTACTCTGCCCCTGCGTACCCCATATCCAGCCCTATCCTCCTCGATGCCCTTGCCCATCCTCCCCCATAGCCGAGCCCTTCGAGCTGCCATATCGAGAACCCGGATCTCGGATTCCGACTTGTTGATGCATAGCTTCATCCCCTATTTGAAAACATCTTTGATATTAGTAAATTACCCTTGGCCAGGCCCTAGATTTTCACCCAGGTCTTCGATGCTGGGCGAACCGCGACAATCAACTGGTGCAGCGGGTATGATGGATACGGGAGAATGATTCCAAATGCTTCATACCTATTCAAGCCAACTCGGCGCAACTCAACATCACAATTCCAGTTGTTTCACGTTAATCCTCACCTCCCTTTGCAGGTGCGCCAAGCTACTCATATTGTAATCCCTCGCTGCTTTTCTCTCCCTCTCTTCAGCCCTCTGCTCACCTTTACTCGCTCCACCCTTGTAGTTCGTAGTTCAGTCCCTCGCAAAGGAAGTCGATTTTGAAGCTAGACACTAGAGTAGCACGTTAGTTTGTACGACTCCCCGAAGGGCCAAGGTGTTCGCGCCCAGAGTGTTATACTTTAGCGTCAGGCAGGATAGCGTACGTGGCTGATTCTTATTCTTACTACAGGCCAATCTACTTTTAAATCTCGAATAATACTCCGTGCACAGTGCGTCTATTCACAAATAATCGTGCGTTTAATTTTATAAATTATAAATATCAACTGCCTGGTGTGTAGCGGGTAACTTTTCATAGCTGGTCGAAATTTGGAAATCATCAAGGGAACCACTTTTAAGCTGCACTGGCATCTTCTCGCCTTAGCTATAGCTTACAGTAAAATATAACATTTCGACTAGAAATTCTCTATGGTTCACAAGCTTGACGATTGGAGAATCTAGTATGCTGACAGCAATAATCCTTGTTGGCGGGGATTTTGCAAGCATTGAATTAGAAATCGAATCCGGTCTACACAGTATTTGGCTTTTTCACAGTCAAGTAGCCACTTGATGGCTTGATTTATACCGTCGTTTAAGAAGGTGTTCTTAGAAAGTAGTAATTTGCAGCTAGAGTCTAGCTGAATACATTGCTTTAAACGGCAGCAGTTGTCGGCGCTGACTTCGGCGTAGAAAAAAGCACAACGATTTGCAGCATTCTACCGCACAATGATAGCAGCTTACTAGACTTTGCTGTCACTAAGCTCTCACTTCCGTTTCCGCCCTTACACTCCGCGTTGGCGGTCGTGCAGGTTGGTAGTTTAAGTGCATCCGACACGGGTCGAGCTAATGGAGATGTCGTCGTACCAGAAGGTATTAGCATCGCCACCGTACGACTCCCAACCGAAGTAGACACCGGTGACTTTAGGCTTGATGCTGCTCCTCTGCCACTGGGCGGCGTTGCTATTGGGAACACCCGCTTTGCTAGTAAGACCAGCAATAACGTTGCCATTTAACCAAGTCTCAACAGTGCCGTCGGTGCCTAAGTGGTATTCGAAACATTGCCAGCTGCCAGTGGGAAGGGCGGTGGAGGTGGCAATACCTTGGGGGGAGAGGTCGGGGAGGGTGGCATCGTCGGACTCGCGGTTGTACATTAGAATTTTGCTCTGGCCACCAATTCGGAGATGCTTGTTACTGCCTTGGGCAGAGTCAGGCATCGTGATAAAAGAGACGTGGGAATCGGTGAGGGCCTTGGAGGCTTTGCTAGAAGAGGATATATGTTAGCATTGCCTTTTGATGCTAGTTATAAAATTGCTTCCCCCTCCTAGCGTTCTAATCGAGTAGTTCTGCCACCACAAAAACTTACACATAAGCCCTGACGTAAACATCGCCGCTAGGGACCTTCGTCGTGCCAAAGAACATGTGTCCACAGTAGCCACCTGCACCATCGACCCTTATGGAGTTCTTGCCGCTGTGGGCGGTAGAGCTGTCAAGGGTGACTTTGCCGCCTTGGTTACAGTCGGCCGCGTAGGTAGGCCATGCTGCTTGGTCCCATCCAGCTTCGAAGTCATCAGAGACTTGGGCAAGAGAGAAGGGGAGGAGAGCAAGGGTGAGAACAGCGGTTAGGCAGAGCATTATTGCGGATATATTGCCGTAGGTAGTACTTCGTAGGTAAGGATATGACGGGCAAGAAAGCGAACTTTAGGAAAAGGGCGAGGTCAAGGTATTTATACGCTCAAATTCGCAGCCTCCTCCCTCCGTTGCCGTTGCCGGAATAGTTGTATAATTGCATCGTTATCTTCCCCCTTCCACGAGTCCACCCTCAGTTCTCCGCAATTCGGAAATTCCGCCCACATTTCCATAGTGGATATATTAAGTTCGTATTTAAGTTATTAGGCAGTGGCAGTTATAGCGCTACCGCCGGTCGCAATGGCGGCTCCGGTGAGACTCGAGCCGCGAGCCTAAATTCGTGGTGCTGCTAGAACACTCAGGGTCAGCGCAGGGTCTTTGGCGATAGCAGCGTCGACGAAAGTGTCTCGCTCGAAGGTTAATCCTCGACCAGATAGGCGCCGAATCTTGTAAAGTAGTAACGTGCGTAGATCTGTTACATGATCCATGAAAACCCGTCCTCCTGCAAAGATAACTGACGATGTACGAAGTAGAGAAGGGGGAATTTCGATGGAACAAGTTCTAGACGCATGTAACGCCCTACAACATAGGAAGAGCACTGGCTCTCGAGGTATGGACTTAAAAACTGATGGCCAATGCTAATCTGCGAGCCTTGAACCTACATAACACATCGGATTTCCATTCGTATCACGATGTTCAAACCGCGTGGGCCAAGTTTGCGGTGCGCATAACAGGAATGATCGGAAGGGAGATTTCCCTCTAGGTCATCGTTTGGGTTATACGAAGTAGTGGGTTTCAAAACAACCTTCTAGCTGTGCCAGCATCGAGTAAGGTACAAGTTACTAATTAAGCGTTGGTCCAGGGAGTGGAGCGGAGCGGAGCCAGGGAATCGATCGATCGTAGATAATTCAATCTGGCTGTGGCAAGCGGATTAGATTTAGACTGACCGGATAGTCTCCGTACATGTAGTCTTCCCTCGGTGTGACTCTAGTTTAAGTCTCTGGTCTTACCTTCAGGTACTAAACTTAAAGCAGCCATGCTAAGTCAGCCACCGGAGATATCACGGGACTTAGCGGGAGGTCCCGAGTCCACGCGGAAGTTGTGGCCTGGATTATCTGCAAGGCCAGATAAGGCCGCATAAGGCCACATAAGGCCACATAACGACGCAGCCAGCCACGTTAAGGCATCATCACAAGGCACCACAAGGCACCAATCCGCCGCCTCGCCGCCGGGCCAAGCCCTGCAGCCAATCATGGCTCGGATACTTGGCAGGGGGTGACGAGTGGGCGCGGCGCAATTGCGTGCTCGACGAGGCTGCGCAGCCCTGCCGGCCCCCCCGCTATTATATTTGCCGTCGGCCACTCAACTACGTATTCAGTATTTAGTGTTCCTGCGTCCCGGTCCCTGGTGCCCTGGCTTTATTCTACTTTTCTTCTTGGGATTGTTGATCTATCGTTCTTCATATTATCCTTCTCTTCCTCCTCCTCGTCCTCCTGCTGCCAATTGCTCTTCCCTCTGTCCAACAGTCTTCTCTCTCGCCCGCGACCTCTTACTCCTCCCCGATTGCTGCTTTGTGCTGATTCCCACGTCCTCCACCCCCACTCAAGCAACAATGGCGAATCCTCCTCACGGCGGCGAACTCAAGTTAGATTCCATATTCCCGGCTTCTGGAGGATCTCCCTTGCTAACAGGACACGCTGGATAGGGATCTCATTGCCAGAGATTTGCCACGCCACCAAGAGCTCGCAGCTGAGGCCGAAACTCTACCAGCTATCGTTTTGACCGAGAGACAACTGTGCGATCTTGAGCTCATCCTCAATGGAGGCTTCTCTCCCCTTGAAGGTCGGTAGTCTTCATGTTGGCACATTCTTCGGTCTCGGCCTTCGGCCTCGGACTCCGTAACAACGCTGACGGGACTACAACTTCCAGGGTTCATGAACGAGAAGGATTACAATGGGTATGACGAGACGCGCTCATACACTGGTCGTTTTTGTACAGTTGCTAAAATTCCTACAGCGTCGTTGAGAGCAATCGATTGGTCGATGGCAACCTTTTCAGCATGCCCATTACTCTCGATGTTACCAAGGAGCAGGCTGAGGAGCTATCCGTGAAGCCGGGGGCAAGAATTACCCTCCGCGATTTCCGTGACGACCGAAATTTGGCCATCATTACCGTTGATGACCTTTACAAACCAGACAAGTATGCTTATCAATCCACTCTGCACCCTAGTAGGAACCCGGTCTAACACATAATAGGCAAAAGGAAGCCAAGGAGGTTTTTGGTGGAGATGAGGAGCACCCAGCGGTGAAGTATCTTTACAATACTACCCACGAATATTACATTGGTGGAAAGTTAGATGCTATCAACCGCCTCGAGCATTACGATTATGTTGCCCTCAGATGTAGGAATTCCGCGCCTTTTGGAAGCCGCAAAGCTAACTCCCAGAAGTTACCCCAGCGGAGATGCGATTGCACTTCGATAAGCTTGGCTGGTCCAAGATTGTCGCATTCCAAACTCGAAACCCCATGCACAGAGCTCACCGAGAATTGACTGTTCGCGCTGCACGAGCTCGTCAAGCAAACGTCCTCATCCACCCTGTTGTTGGTCTCACAAAGCCAGGAGATATTGACCATTTCACTCGTGTCCGTGTCTACCAGGCCCTGCTTCCAAGATACCCCAATGGAATGGCTGTTTTAGGCCTCCTTCCTCTTGCCATGCGTATGGGTGGCCCTCGTGAAGCCATCTGGCACGCCATTATCCGCAAGAACTTCGGAGCCACTCACTTCATCGTTGGGCGTGATCACGCCGGACCAGGCAAGAATAGCCAGGGCGAGGAATTTTATGGCCCATATGATGCCCAATATGCCGTTGAGAAATATAAGAGCGAGCTTGGTATCGAGGTTGTTCCCTTCCAGATGATGACATACCTTCCTGATAGCGACGAGTACCGGCCCAAGGATGAGGTCCCAGCAGGAATCAGAACTCTGGATATCTCAGGTACCGAGCTCCGAAATCGTCTGCGAACAGGTCGCGAGATTCCGGAGTGGTTCTCCTACCCCGAAGTCGTCCGCGTCCTGCGAGAGTCCCACCCTCCACGGTCGGCGCAAGGCTTTACCGTCTTCCTCACTGGATACCAGAACAGTGGCAAAGATGCGATCGCACGCGCTCTCCACGTCACGCTCAACCAGCAAGGAGGCCGCTCCGTCTCCCTTCTCCTTGGTGAGACGGTCCGCGCTGAACTCTCCTCCGAGCTTGGATTTAGCCGTGCTGACCGTACCCGCAACATCGGACGCATCGCTTTTGTTGCCTCGGAACTGACACGTGCTGGTGCAGCGGTCATCGCCGCTCCCATTGCACCATTCGAGGATGCCCGCCAACACGCCAGGGAATTGGTTGAGAAGTACGGTGATTTCTATCTCGTGCACGTCGCGACCAGCCTCGAGCATGCCGAGAAGACCGACAAGCGCGGTATTTATCAGAAAGCTAGAAATGGCGAGATCAAGGGCTTCACCGGTGTCGATGATCCCTATGAGGACCCCGCCAAGGCAGACCTGACTGTTGACATTGAGAAGACGAGCGTGAGGAGCGCAGTGCATCAAATTGTGCTGATGCTTGAGAGCGCAGGATTGTTGGATCGTTTGTAGTGGAGGAACAATTGTCCGCATTGGGCGTTTTAAAACTTAGACAGACAGCGAAAAAGACTGTTTTGGTTTTCCATGCCGTTTTTGGCGTGCGTATATGGTTAGGATATACAATATGCTTCAGATCGTGCTTTTGCATTGGCTTCCCAACTAATATTTGTCGTCACTGGATAATTGCATGTCTCCTACGCTGAAAACCATACACTCCTATACCTCAAGCTTCCCTTCCGTCAAACGCTCCCGAAACCTCCTACTTCAACCACAATTTATCATTTTCCTAATTCTACTATAATATGTAGCGATATAGAGTACTGCCATGTGGATTTTTCCGCCTCCTCACTCTCACTGCTATATTATTTGAAAGCATCCTTAATTCCTTGACGGATGTCTAACAGGTCAGTTTCTTTGATTAATAATATAAGAAACCCACTTTGCTTTAGGCTCAAACCGTAGAAGCTAACGATACCCATACCCAGTCTAGCGTAGTCGCCAGTCTCCCAAAGGTTAACTGAACTTCAGATTCACAGACCTTATCTCGAGTCATTTATTCTGGAAAATCGTTTGTGCCGACCTTTCAGACTTCAAATCGAGGCAATATACCATATTCTCAACACCTTCAATGGTTGGTTGTGTGCTTCCGAGAGAAATATGCTGGCAATGAGAATAACGTTGATTTTGCTGGGTCTTCAATATGAACATTGAATCGCCCAGCAATTCTACACATCTTCGTGCTCCATACAAGTATGAGCGCCTCTCAAGTTCGAAATCTATACGAATCGTTGAGCTGCTACCTGAACTATATGGCGAAGGAATTCAAATCGATCTCCATGAGACTACTCTCCGAGTTGCACTAACATATGAAACTCTATCGTATGAGTGGGGTGAAGTGAAAGGCTCACAATTAATTAGTTGTCACGGTGGTAGCCTACTGGTTACAACGAATCTACTCACGGCACTGAGAGGATTGAGATACCCGACGCTTCGGAGGTATCTATGGATAGACGTGATTTCCATTAACCAAGACGATATCGCGGAGAAAAACCAACAGGTCGCGATCATGGGCGATATCTATAAGCTCGGTCGTAAGGTTCTTGTTTGGATAAATTTCCTTCCTCCAATACTGTCGCCAAAATGTACTTACGCCGCCCCCATCTCTCACACTATCATTAAACCCAGGATCCCTAATGCCTTCTTTTCTCTTCATTTTTATCATCGACCATCTGAATCAACGGATCAGATCCTTTAAGCAGACTTACGGTAATTGACTTGGAACACTGCTCCATCGCTTCCGTCGTACCTTGCAGCGATTCATCTGTGCCATAACCCCCCGGACCACGCATAATCCAAGCCAACGGCGACGCCTTCCAAACAGGCGTCTTTTGCCTCGCAGTGTTGATAACTACCAACGTCAACAAAACAAGAGTAGAGAAAGAAAGTGCCGCTGGATACGCAAACCACCACCATCTAACATGGATGCAAGTTGCAAGCTGAAGCACCTCCCCAATCGCATCTTGACGAGGCCCATCGCTCGGCCCATCGCTGCTGTGTGTTCGCATCCATGCCGTCAAACTATTCGAAATATTGCTGTATGTGCTATCAATCCGTTCGAAGTCCATATTCCCATTGTTCAAGATCTCTTGGAATAACTGCGGTCCACGAAAGTGACCATAGAACGTCATCGAAGGATTTAACATCCCCTGTATAGAACCAGCATAGATGTCGGCTTCTAGGCTCGACTTTAACGTCGGCTCTATACTAGTTTCTAATTGTCCCATCTCATACAAACAATTCCGATATATCAATGAGGATCTCAAAGATTGGTCCCTACTAAAAGACTGTGAACCAACGGGGAGCCATTGCGAGGAAGTATTGCTAACATTGTACCCCAGCTTCTGAAGTCTGCTATTATCTTCTGGTGATGTGCAGTTGGTATCAAGCATACCTCGCGGGTGTATCGGTGGAGAAGTGTCTCCGCCCCAAGGGAGCGAGCCAGATGTCGAAACCAAGCGCTCAGTCAACTCGCCGTTGATTATAGAACCCTGGTATAGTCTTACACAGGGCATCAGTGTACAAATAGCAGCGCCGTATCCTCGACAGCGCCACGTGTCTATATTGTCGCAATCTGAAAGAAGTTGTCCCGCGGTGAGGTTTGACTTCTGTACCGAAGCGGTCGTCTTGCCGGCAACGATGATGGATTTAACTCCAGGCCTTATACCCCACTCATCGTTAGCTAACCGATAATCTATTTCTTGTACTCCCGCGGTAAGCATAATCTTATTCGTATGGTTGAAAGTCATATTAGCCCACCCGGTAACGCCCGCGAATTGGGTGGCTAGGCCTGATGATAAGGTTAAAGCCCCATTATCTGGGCAGATTCCGAAACTTTGGGATGCTGAGCCGTTGTTGTTTGGCTTACACGTTTGGTCGAAAACGAGCTTCATAGAAACGTCCTCGCAAGAGCTGCAATATGCAACAGTTCCGTAGGGTTCTGTGAAGTTGCAGTTGCCTGTTGCGCATTTCCATGACATAAACTTCCCTGGGTCGTAGACTACCGAGTCTAATGTTGTATTTAATACGGGACGAACATCTGGTGAGAGAAACTCTCCATGCCAGATGTTAGTACGAGGTAAAGTTGCGGTTTGTGTAGGAAGGTGCATGCTACAACTAATCGGCGAAATGAGCTGCTGGGTAAAAGGATCAACGAGTACGGAAGCGATCAATATCAAAGCCCCAAATGCAGTCAACGGCTGCTTGATGTGTTGTGCCCAGAGCAGCTGTAATGACCCCCAAGGGCCATTTCCAGCATTGCTATATCGAACTAAATCGTAAAGCGGTCGGGCGGATGAGAACCAAATCCATTGGAGCTGTCCAATACAGGATGCAATTATGAAAGCGATACAGGCTTTGAAGACCACCGTATATATCGACAGGAGAGTGTTGATGGAAATCCGGAAGGGCCATTCTGGAAGCGGGTCTCCTGCGTGAGGGTAGATCGTAGCAACAATTATGAACGGAGTTGCCAGGACTAAGAAACCTGATGCTGTCTCCCATTTCCAATAATGCCAGAAGTGGTCGAGGCTGCTGAGATCACTGTTTAAGCGTTTGGGTTTTGGGGGGGTTGGTGATTTTGATAATTCTGATTCGATGGATAAAGGTATTTGGGAAACTAGTTTTCTCGGGTTTTGGATAGATGGTGGATGAGTGAAGGGCGGTGGTGGTGGTGAGGGAGGTGATCTAAATGTCGTGGGTAGCTCGGGATGAGACTGGGAGTCACGCGGGACAGGGTTGTGGCAAGGGAGCAAGTTTTGGCTCGCTGGATCAGCCATTTGGTAGAGTTAGATGTCGAATTAACTGGAGATTTCGACACATTAAAACTTTTGGATTATACCTGATAGAAACCCGTGTATGAAAATGACAGCTCGACATTATTGAAGTCTTAATATACCTAGGTACGTTAGGCAACTGTAAGAACGAGGCTGTGCATTTCGCGCAATGTTTTCTTAGTCAGCTTGTAGAAAATTACAATCCTTACAGAGCCTAAAAATAGGTTACGTCCGTTCCTGGGTAGAGAAAAACGTACTATACTAAGACGAATCTATTGCTTAAGGGTCTTAAATCTCTCTCTTACAAGTATATAAAGTTATAGTCAGTATACTATTATTCTTTAGCTACAGTACAGTATTTCTCTACTGGGATTTAATTTATCTAAGAAAATACTGTGGTATATATCGGTATAATCTGTCAAATATGAAGCTTTCTCGGAATTTAGAAATAAGACGAGATTTGAATCTCGTCTATTTTGATTCTTTGACAATACTATGATCTAACCCCTATTATTTAATTTGTTTGATGGACTTTTCATTTTAGGCGGTGTATATCCATACTTGGACGTGGTTCGACTATTCAACATTGTTCAATTATTTAAAATTCTTTATTCAGATGAATAGATACCTGTTAAATTTGGACTTAGGCAATTACGCTAAGCGGGAATTTGTGCAGATAGTAGGCACTTATGCTAGGTAATACAGTATATATCTCAATAATCAAGTTACAGCTAGCCTTGTTTGCCTTTCAACTGAAACTTGCCAGACATGACATTCGAAACCTATCCACCAACAACCCCACCAGCACCTGGACCGCCTATAAATGCATAGCTTCCCATATCAGTCCCACTCAACAAGTGAGCCTCATGGGTGTATCGTGTAACATCCGTGTCTGTAAATACGGCATTGTATGGCGTACTAACGTTGTTCGTGTTGGTGTAGGTCATATTAAGAATATAACCAGCGTGTCCATAGCCCGTGTTGGCAAATTGCCCACTTCCCATGTCAGTAGTGGTGAGCGTTTCTTCACTATTAAAGACCTCGCCATAATAGTGGATGCTGTCTGAACCTCCGGCCAGGGTCGTGCTGGCAGGATCCGAGCTTATACTGCTGAACAGTGATGCAGGATAATATCCAATCCAGCGATCCTCTACCCCAAGCCACCAGTGATCTTGAAAGAGAGCATATTCAATTTTTAGGTTGTTTTGAGCACCACCGTCCGTACTGAGAGGTGTAAAAACCGAACCAGGATGTATTGTCGGGTCGACCTGGACCCAGCCTGTGTGCTCCGTGTTCCATCCGCCCTGGTTATCTCCATCTCTGATGTAACCATTTGTGGTGTAAAAGGTGAAGAGATGCGGTTGTGCCACCTGGTCAATGAAATTGATCCATCCTGCCTCTACAGTCTGCGTTATAGGCGTTGGCGGACCCCGGCCTCCGGTCCACAGGACATTTTGTCTAGTCACCGCAGTTTGTAGCAAGGAGAAGTCCGCAGTTCGTTCTGTAAATGGAGCAAAAAGACTGAAAACACACGAGCCACCGATATTGTCCACAGTTTGGTTAGACGACACGTACCAATGCACGCCCGCATTAGAACTCTGTCTCTTCAAGGATTGCGTTCCAGGTAATTCTTTTGCGCTAGCCTTGGCCAGATAATCCGGATCGGCCCGTGAAACTGGAACAGTGCCTGGAGGCCCCAACTCAGCTCCTGGTAGCTCGAGTTCTGCTAAAGGCCTGGGAGTATTTCGTGGCGTTCGTGGTGGTGGCGCCTGTGCAATTTCCCCCTGAGAATCAAGTGAGATCCAGTCGATTGTTTGTGTATCGGTAACGGTAGTCTTTAAAACATTGAGACTGGCCCGTTTATGCTTGGCCTGCTCCCCATTCTTGTTGGGATAACTTGTTGGCTTTGAAGCACCGCAAACAAAAAAAGTCGAGAATAGGAACAAAAGCAACAAGTCTCTCAATGGAGGTGAAGACATTATGTCGATTGAAGCGGTAAAGGCAGTTATGAAATGACTTTAGGGTAGCTCTATCTAGTTTCCTTTTCTAGGGGGCATATACAGAGACTTTATAGACTTGGCTAGTCAGTGCTGATATGGTTTCTCTTAGATATGTGAGCCAGGGCTTCTGGTACACTGCCCGAGAGATTTGCTACTTCTACCATTACAGGGCATGAGTTACACAATACAAATTTTATTTAGCTATACGATAACGAAACACGCCTCACGAGTTATACTCTCGTTACCCCTTTTAGCTATTCGAGATAAAAGTGACGTTGGACTTGCTTCTTCTAGTTATACGACGAAGCCAAAATTTATGTAATGGGTTCTTATGTCTTCGTTTCATAATTCAGTTGTGGTTTCGGTTCCATCTTATTGGTCCCAATTCAAAATTTTATGGTAGTCTTACTGCGCTCAGCCACCCTATACCATGCTCCACGGGATGGAGGATGAGAACTTTACGATACGAATGAGCGAAAGCTATTGAACGAAGTGTCACTCGACAATGCGATTCAAAATCTGGTTGGTCACACTATTAAAGCCACGAATTTTCCAATAAAATAAAGTCAATGCAGTTCATCCGAAGGATATTTGCTTAGGTTTTAGTAAAATACAACGGAAACAGAGGAGAATTGTGACTTCGCTGTAAGCCACAGCGGCGTATAATCAGCACTAAGCTTTCCTGTAAAGAGCCACGTATGCTGAAGGTACTACTCTAATGGTCAGCGGCAAGCTGCATTGACATCGACTTCAAGTCTCACTCGTTCGGATGCGGCCCGACAGGTTCCAGAAGTTCGAGGCAAAGGGACGACCTCGAAGCCGTGCCGCTAATCGACATCACGGGCGGCGACGGGCGGCGGCGGGCGCCACGGCAAGGCGTTTCGTTCCCCAACGTGCCCGGCAAGCTCGTGCTACAGGGCCCGCCGCCGATGATTCGTAATATCAAATAGCTGGACAGCAGCATTTTCCGCCAGACTCACGACATCTTCCACGGCTAGCTATCGAGCGGCACGTGGACAATTGACATCAATGATCATGAGGCGCATCGCCGGCGCCATGACCAAAGGACACTCGAAGCTGCTTATAGTATCTTCGAGCGAATCCTACTGGCACCGAATGTCCCGCTCTCTCGCTGTATCCGGGCCTCCTTGATGTCAAATACAATGGCGTTGCTGAACGGTCGCAAGAGAACCAAGGAAGAGTGGATGGCGCTGCCATGGACGGCGGAACTAAAGGTTGTTATTTCCATAAAGTTGACCGCGATGAGTTGGCTCTTATTAAAGCAGAGCTTGCGTGAAGAAGGGTGGGGGAGGGTGCAAGGAACGTGTGTAAATCTAGTAAAACGGCTCCGATTTCTAAGATTTGTAGAGATAAAGTAGGCTTTCACACACGACGATGCGCTGCGGGTGATTTGAATTGCTAATACAATAAATAAAGCAAACTAAATGCTGGCGCATGCCTATGCGAACAATATATTTTCCCAGACTGCCCGACACATTGTTGCGCAATAATCCCTACTGTTGACACAAGTAAATTAGTCGATGAAATGTGAGCTTTCACTTCAAAGGGACAATTAAAACACAGCTATTCCTTGGTTGCTTGCATAATAAGGCACCACTCTCTCGGCTTGTACGCTTCCATCATTGCTCTACTGAGAAGAGTCTGGCTTATTCGCTATCATAAATAGAAGCTGGCCACTCTGACAGACAAACCTCTCACACGCTTACGCTGATAGCTTCCCCCTGCTCGCATAATCTGGTACATCGCCGCAGCAGGAACTTTTACGAAGGCAAGCACAGAAGCCATGTTTCAATCACTCGATCGAAACAGTTCTACCGAGATGAGATGACTCTGCCAAGAATAATCTCAGCGCTTGACACGGAACCTAGCAACATATCCAATATCTCGACGTGATTCCGTTAGTAGGATAAATCCCACCCCGGACTTTGGACGGCGATTAAAAAGCCCGGGAGCTCGCCCGAAACCCGGCGGTACAGAGTGGTACGTACTGTATTCTTGTGACAAGCAATGAATTACTACCGAAAATAATCTTAGCTCTCATGACAAGGCGATATCCTGATAGACTCGCTCTTTTACCTATCGCATTCCTGGAATCCTTCTAAGCTAGAGATCTTACAAAAATCTATTGGCTGATATCTTTCACCGCCTACAATGGTTTCTTACAAAGAAATACAAGCCTCCAACGCGCTCATCAACGATGCAACGGCCCCACGCGTCGCCGTCTTCGTTGGCGGTACATCAGGCATCGGAAAATTGACGATTAGGGCCTTAGTCGCTACCGGTGCGACTGTGAGAATCTACCTAGTCGGGCGCAAGAGTGCTGAAGAGCGCACGCATGCTTTCATCCAGGAGTTGCACGCCATCAACCCCAAGGCGGAAGTCATTTGGACCGAAGGCGAGGTCGCCCTCCTCGCGGAAACAAAAAGAGTATGCGAGGTCATCAAGAGCAAGGAGTCACGCGTCGACTTACTGTTCCTTACCGCGGGCTACGCACCATTTGGCACACGCAGGGAGACTACCGAGGGCTTGGAAGTCGCTCAGAGCCTTTCCTACTACTCGCGAATGCTGTTCATTCTGCATCTTCTCCCCCTCCTAGGCGCAGCGGAAGCTCCCAGGGTCGTCAGCGTTTTGGGCGGTGGGATGGAGCGGGCGAGTAGTATCAACTTGGGCGATTTGGACTTGAAAAAGCCTGGGAATTTTGGCGGCATAACGGCTCAGACGCAAAATATAGCTTTGAACACGACGACTTTGGAGAAGCTGGCCAACGACAATCCCAATGTGACGTTTATCCACTCCTGGCCCGGGTGGGTCAACACAGGAAATGTAAGAAGGGGTTCACCGGGCTTGATCATGGCCTGGTTCATCCGGCTTATTCTTGACCCTCTTGTTCGCCTATTGTCACTTAGCGATGAGGAGTCTGGACAGAGGCATTTGTTCCAGTGTACCAGCGCTGCTTTTGGCGGTCGTGGCGTACAATGGAAGGGCAAACCAGGGATAAATTCGCTGGAGAAGCCGGCGGATGGACTATTTCTCATTAATTTTAGGTGCAACTGTACTCCGAATGCAAAGGTCATGCCTTTGCTTCGAGAGAAGGCGCTAGGGAAGGTTTGGGACCACACGCAGGAAGTTCTTCGTCCATATTTGTAGACCGGGGACTCTCATATATTATCCTGCAATGTTAGCGAGCTCTGTTTAGTGGATGGATTCATCATATATTAATAGTTAGGGAACCTGGTTTAGTTTATAGTAGGTAGGTCGATTTAGCTGACGCCGTAGGCCATGCCGGCTGTTACTTTGGAAACCAGGATAAGGGAGGCAAAGTTATAGGATAATGAAAATAAGCTTTGGTCTAATAGTTTCGTATTCATCGAGCGACCTTGCTCTTGAGTGAATTGCCAGGAAACATAAGCATAAATGCTTTAGATATTTTATCCGTAGATGATAAGTATACCTATATACTAAGAAGTTATTAAATGCCCCTACTGAATATTATATTCTTAAAGCTTATACTTATAAGTATACTACCTAGGTAGTATAATATAACTATATTTATATAATAGTTCTTATAGTAACTTACTAATAATTATATAAACATCGGCTAGTATGGTATATAAAAGAAGTTAACTATAATTATAAAGTTGTAATAATTAGATAATGAGATTATTAAATTACTATTGTTGAGGAGCAAGAAGGACCCTTAGCAGTACTAGGCGGGGTATGGGGATCAATTCAGCGGTGGTCGCGTTGTGGGATTATCGTCAGATGGCCATGGAGATGGAGAAGACTAAAACATTTGTGTAGTGTTCTCAGAGGAAGTGAATATTCAGGGCGCACTCAGGAAGCAGCATTCAGGACGACTAATAGTCACAACATCCAGTAATCCATATAAGTATAGTAAATTCAGTAAATTCGGTAAATTCAGTAAATTAGAATTTATCATAACTAGCCAGCTTTTCCTTAGTCCAGCTGTCTTGCTATTGCGTATATATATATATACGGGAGAGTGAGAGCTAGGAGGATATATACCAAATTGGTCCTACTTAGCCACGTGGCTATCTAATATAAATTGGAAGGCAAAAAACAAACGAATATCAGGTGGTTGGAGTCGCCCCTCTATACTATTACATTTATTAAGTCAAAAGTTGTTTTTAGTATAAATAGCTAGGTAATCATAGATATAGTCTTAGAATTAAGGTATTGAATTAATTACTTCCTCTATTAAGGGAAGAATAGTAATAAAGTATATATACGCTAGTTGAGCGATAAACAGACGATAATTCAAGTTAAAAAACTAGCACTTTAAGGCTTGTTAAATATGACGAATAACCGTAACTACCCCTATTACCTGACTTATACCACTGATTTCACTCGTAGCTTAGGATGCTAGGTAAGGATCCCATACCCAAACCTCAACAATACCACTCATACGCCACTTAGTCGCTTCTCTGAAACCTCGAATAACTCCTCCCGGTCGCGCTCCCGCTTCCCATCTTCGTCCATATCATCCAAATCACCTTTTAATTCCGGAGCTTGTATATTTTCGTTGAGACCACTCTCATCGACGAATATGAACTCCTTGAAGTTTGCCGAGGTGAGTTCGGGATCGAAGTTGTGAATATCTATTTCCGGCTTAATCTTGGGCTTGAATGGAGGAGTGATGAGTTTCTTGGTCAAAGCCTCCCAGTCAATATCAAAGAAGAATGGGTGTCTCTTCAATTCTTCTGCATCATCCTGCACACCGAGACGATGCTTTGGGTTTCGGTTTAGGAGACCTTTAACGAAATTTCTACCTTCGGTAGTCAAACTATCTCGAGGAAATCGAACTTTACCGAAAGCAATATTCTTATACATTTGCTGAGTATCTTCCGAGTAAAATGGACTCCAGCCGCAACACATCTCGAATACTAAGACACCTAAAGACCAGAAGTCGGCCATCTTGGTATATCCAACTTCGTCTAAGAGAACTTCTGGAGCCGTATACTCAGTAATTTCACATACTGTATTAGTAGTAGTATTAGTTAAATTTGGCTTTAATAGGCCGAAATCACACAAGGTAATATGGCCGTTTGCGTCTAGTAGAATAGTCTCCGGCTTTAACTCGCGATATATATCGTGTATATGAAGATGTTGGAGAGCTAAAATGAGTTCTGCAATATAGAACTTCGCTCTATTCTCGTCGAATCGGCCTTCTTTCTGTAAATGCCAGAAAAGTTCTCCTCCAGACATATAGTCTACAACGAGGTATAGATCTGTTGGTGTCTGGAATGAGAACTTGAGCCCAGCGATGAACGGTGAATCTTCCATCGCTATTCTGACGGTGTGCCGCTCTCCAACCTCCTTCTCCTGAACATTGACCTTGTTTGGAAGTACTTTCATTGCATAGAATCGCTTAGTGCCTCTCTTTCGTACCTGGTAGACCTGTCCAGAAGCTCCTTTTCCAATTAACTTCAAAATCTGGAAGTCATTGGGCCCATAGTACTTAGTTTTTGTTCCTCGAAAGGCCGTTTCAATATAGATCTCGCCTTGTACATTGTCGTCGTTACTGTATCCTTTTAATGGGTACCATCCACGAACGGGATTGTCACCGGCCTCCAGGAGTATTAGTTCGAAGTTGACATGGCCAATAAATCGTTCGTCGGTTGTACCACGATCGTAAATCGAGATATCCAACAGCGAGTCAGATCCAACAACATCACTGCATAGCATTATTAGCCCCAAGACCGAAGCTAACTCTTGACTCTTGACTTACAAAACTGCCTCTATGTCCCATTTAGGGCAAGTTATTAACTTGTTCACTGCCCCCAACTTGACATTTCGATAATCACCTAGACTGGCTACACTGCTGTTACTACTCTGTCGACTTCGCAATGTCTTCGCCAATGGCGACCTCCTGTTACCACTTCCGCTTTTTTCAATGGGGATGCCAGCGACTGAGCTTTCCTTCCCGTCCTCTCCTGCGCCATCTTCATATCCCACCTTCGAAATCAACTCGTTCTTTTGAAAGACCGCGACGAAGTAGGGCTCCCTACATTTTCGCAAGCCTCTTGCTTCCACGATCTTGAGGTCCAAGAGCCCCTTCGGTACTAAAATAGGAGTTGAGAGGAGGTCTGTTTGTTGGTGGGCGGTGACCAATGCAACTGCTTCCTCAAATCCACTTTCCGAAGCAATCTGGAGCGGCATTTTCAGCTGACGGTTTTCAGCAAAAGTATTTACTCCAGCATCAAGAAGAACTCTGCAAATATCCAGGCTTGGCTGGCCACGTTCACATGCGAAGTGTAGAGGAGTATCCCAGAATTTGTCCCTGACATTGACCTTCGCGCCGCAATTTAGCAGTTCTTTGACCATATTTTCATCAGAGTGCCAGACAGCAAGATGGAGGGGTGTTTGTCCGAATATGTCGGTAGCATTGATGACACTTGCTGCGAACGAGGGCAAGGAGGACGAGTCGGCCTTAGATTCTACGTAACCCCAGAAGACACGTAGCAGACCTGGGTCTGAGGTTGCAGCTATGTGGTGAAGTGGCGTCCTTCTCTTTCGGTCGCATGAACTTATATCGCCTCCACGATCTAAAAGGAGGGTCATGGCTTCTATGTTGCACCCGTTTGCTGCTGCAAGGAGAGGAGTTCCGTATTCGCCGCCATGAACGTTGCAATCTTCCCCTAAATCTAAGAGACATTGAACCCAAGACTTCAGATTGCATTCGGCGGCGAAATATAGTAGGGTCGTCTCTGTGGAGATGTTCTCTTGGAGGGAGAGCCAGCGCTTCCAGGTGTCTTTATTGCGAAGTCGCTCGATGATCTTTATTGGATCAGCTCCCTGCTTTTCGGCAAAGGAGGCGTGGACAAAGATCATGTCAGAAGCATATGACAGAAGTGCCGGAAAATCCTCAAGGACCTGTGATTGACCCGCCACAGACTGAGCGGCACTGGCGAAGGCAACGGCATCTTCCAATGCTTCCGGTGGAGCTGCTATGATTGGGTCATTCAAAAACTCTCGTAATGCAAATGAGGTATCCTCCTCAATACTATCATGGGTTTCTGTAGAGATTCCAGGTGTTGTTATTGTAATTGATGCTGCTGCTGCTGCCGCTCGTAGGGCTGATCTTGCGGAATGATTTGAATGAACGGATGGAACGTAATCTGATGCTGAAGTACCAAAACTCATTACACTCAAAGCCTTTTCGCGTACTCCACGATTCTTCTCCGAGTGTGGTCGCGATTCCACGACGTAAGATGAAAGTGGAGGGGAAGCCGATCCCTTGGACTCTGCCTTCATTCTCGCTTGAACTAATGCATCGAGTTCATCAATACTAATGTAGTCAAGGCAAGTGTTCAGGATGGACAGGTGCCCTTCCCCTATAAAATGAGGTCCAATATTTGCATCCAGAAATGAGAAGCCATTACGGTAAAGGAAAAATTCACGAACGGACTCGTGTATGAACTGTACCACTCTGTTCTCACCATGATCCGCATCTTGGGATCCAGCACCCGCCCAAATAGAATCCCATTCATCATGGGCGTGGGCTGGCAGACTTTGATTTTGTTGGGTCTTTACCTCAACGAGACCCCTTGATATGCTTCGAATCTGCCACTCGAGCTGTTGGTCATTCTCAGTATAGTCTTCGGATCCTCGCCACTCGCTCAATGAACTAGGGGCTGTGTCCTTGGTAAATGCGAGAATGTGGCGCCACTCACGGAGTCGCAGGGTCCTTCTAGCAAGGAGAGCCCACTGGAAGAACCGGGTCGTTGTGTACGATTCTTGTGAGCTTATCCCCTCCAGAATTTGAGCGAATAATTCTTCCAGCGCCTGTGGTACCTGGCGAATGCGATTTTCTAGGTGCTTAATGTTTTTTCCGTTATCTCGATCTTTGAGCAGAATGTCCACTACCAGTACAAGCCAGAGAAACACTCCAGAAGACCTCTCAAGTATCTCGTGAACCAAATGAGCCCATTGACTGTCACTGCTGATACCACTAGTAGCGAATCTCTGTTCCACATAGCGTATCATATCTTGTTCGTTGAAATCCTCCACGATGATTTCAGGACAGAGGCGGATCGTGACGGCCGGGTATTGTCTACTTGATAGGCAAATATCGAGTTCCACTCCATCTTTATGAGCAGATGTCGTTACGTTACGGAAAAAGTAGGCAAGTTCTCTCATGCCCTCCCCCGTGCATTCATCGAGTGCGTCAATGAAAATTATAGTTCGTCGCACTCCAGGCTGCGTGAAAACTGACTGAAAGAAGGACTTGAGCGCCCCAACGTGCCATAGAACACATTTGCTTTGATCCTTGTTCATACGCCGATAGAGGACCAAGAACTTTCGAAAGACGTCCGGGGATTGGGGCAATAGCTGGTACAATAAAGATCGAAGGAGACCAAGCGGACTTCGTTCTAACTCTCCCCCGCATGCATTGAAGAAGAAGGATGCCGTGAAGAATTTTTCCTCTGCCTTGTGTTGTTCTGCATATCGAAAGGCTTCTCTCATCAGTGTTGATTTGCCGGAGCCCGGTTTTCCTTTGATCCATAGAAGGCCGTGATGATTTTCCAAATTTTCACGAGCGCGCCATGCTCTGTATGTTGGGGCTTGTAGTAACCACAAGCATGTTTCCTCCAGAGGTTTATCAATTGTTTGTTGACGGGTTTCAATTCCTGGAAAGAAAAGAGACTGGAGGCAGGCTTATGTCAAAACCAGTCATTAGCTTGGAAAAAGCCATATACTGGGAATATTCATTACCTTTTTCGATAGGTGTGAACTCCCTTTTGCTATTCTCAGATCCTATAAGCTGTTTAGCGTCGTTCACTTAGCTATTGAAACAGTGCATGAATTACTATAATTCTCACTCCTCCGACTAACTGATTTAGCCTGATAATTATTTCCTTCAAGTGAACGACAGATAATCTTTAGTTCTCCAGAAACTTTGCGGTAGTTTGGGTCGCTGGCGTTGCTAAAGCGGCACATGTCTATGTGGTCTGCGTCAAGCGTTTCGGCTCGTTCCCGTGAGTCACCGAGTAGAGAAGAGAAGTCCGGAACGATCTTCAAAAGAGAGAATTAGCTCCATTGGTCCCAGCTGCTTTATAAAATCTGTACCTTTTCGTTTAGCAAGCCAATTTTGACTCTAGTCATAGGAAGGCCTTCCTGAAAGGTTTTCACTTGAAATTTGTGTGATAACCACAGCCTAGAGAATGACTCCTGGCAGCGCTCCAGCTCAGAGTTCTTCAAACCAAGAGCATCTAGCATGACAGAGTTTGTGTCCATCATAACGGCGCTAGCTACCTTACGAGCCATTTCTCCTACGCTTGCCAAGTCCTTGCTACCGCGATGTGGCGTTCCCAGGAATACAACTGCAGTCGTTGACTCAACGATATTCAGGAGCTCGTTTTCTGCAGACATGTATGAGCGCGCCAGCATCTATATCGAGAATAATTAGAACTCTTGCAGTGTTTCTCTTTCTTGCAGACAACTCACTTCCTTAACTATAATACCTCCTAATGAGTGTGCAACGAATACAAGTGGGCGATTGAGGTCCCTATTTCGCTGCAAGGCAAAAAGGAGATCTTTGCTGTGCGAAAAAATACCATTCTGGTTCACAGCAGCAGTCATATACTTAGTAATCTTGCTATCATACCCCCAGGTCAAGATTCGAGCTCTAGGACAATCGGTAGGAAGTAAGTCTGCAGGCCAGAAATCAAATGACGGAGGAGAGGTGTTATCTCTTTCTACTGGTCGTTGGTCTTCGCCGAAAGCAACATTCCCAAAGGTGGTTCCACTTTGCGATGTACCTATGGACGTCTTTGGATGCCGCGATATGAGGCGTCGAAGAATTTTCTTGGAGCGTTGCTTGCTAGGCCGAGTATCGGACAGCTTCAGGCTTAGCCCAGGAGCCTTTCCATCCTTCTTGCAAGCCCAGGTCTTGTATGGATGGCCCTGCAGACCATGGACAAAGACGATACTAAGGGTCTAGGTAAGCTATTTGATTCATCATATAGAATATATGATACGAGACCAGCGTAGTGCGAGTAGAAAGCTGTTCTACATCACGTGGCTAGTGGTGGCATGGGGATTGGACGGGGAAATGTCGAAGCTAAACCACTCAATGGAATCGATAGTAGATCAGCCCGCCCAGAGAACAACTCTAGAAAAAATATGCGTACTCAACAATCGAATTAGCATTCTCGGGCTCGTAGAGGACCGTGATCTCGGTGTCAAATATTGAATGTTCTACCATCTCGATACCTAGGTAAAGCGAGGTGGGTAAACGCAACACCAATAGCGACTCAGCAGGGCAGTTAAATGGTGCTTTCGGATATTCGCACCGCTAGCCGCGATATCTAACTCAGAATCTACCGCGAAATGACGGCAATTGCGCAGGTGAAGTGAGGACTTGAGCCCGATATTTTGCTGAGCTATAAGGCTGCGGCTGAAGATAGAATTAAGGATGCACGTGGCTTAGTATGATTCGCCAACGGCTCTAAACCTTACCTAGGTAGAGTAACGAGCATGTGGGACTCGTAAATAATTGCCTACTTAAGTCAATAATCGAAGTAACACTCCTGTTCCCCCTCCGCCTTCCATCACATACGCAAGTCATGTTTATTGCATTATTAACTTGTGCGAAAAGGGTGCGATTGCTACAGATTGCTGTAAACCGACCACTAAACTTCCGGTGTCATTGGAGACCTAAAGTTTAAGAACAAGATTGAAGATCTAGATATGAGAATGTAATGCGAGGAGCCAGGCCGAGGGTAGCGGTCGGCTCCAAGTGTAGGCAGTGCACCTATTGTTGTCATATCCCACAAATATCTTTGCTAGTCGTAAGGAAAGCGAGATCTGTTTCGATCATACATGTTGGTTTGTCGAAATACTAATCCTCAATAGAATTGCTTCCCTTCCGAGTTGAGAAGCACAGGGATCCATTTTCCTTGGTAGGGTCTATAGAAGTAAGACTGTCTAGAGAGTTAATATGTGCATTTAACCTGCATCATATCCAGAATAATCTCCATATCCACGTCCATACGTTGACCAATCGAGGCCATTTTATCCAAGGCCGACTTGGGTTTGGATTAAAGGTCGAGGAATAATCAAACACTTTCTGTCCACCAACCCAGGTTTCGCGGGTTTCGAGTTTTGTTAGCGTCCAGCCCGTCTCATCACCCATAATGTCCTCGTCGATAAGCACCCAGTCAGCTAACATACCAACTTGTATCCCTCCCATCTTCCCTTCCTTAAACCATCCATATGCCGCATTCTCAGTGAACCCCCTTAGTGCTTGTTCAATGCTTAATCTCTCCTCCGGATACCATCCATTTTCACCAGATGGACTCGTGTGAGTGGAAGGAGAGAGCCGCCTCACAGCTGCAAACATGCCAGCGAATGGGTCGGCTGGCTCGACTGGGAAGTCGGAGCCTAGGACAGGGCCAGGGTATCTGGACGGAGGAGGTACAGGAGGGACGAGACTACGCATACGGTATGCCGAGTGGCTCAGGCGAGATTCGCCGAGACGGGACAGAGCATAGGCCATATCTGATGTTGCGTGAGTGGGTTGGATCGAGGGGATTATGCCAAGCTTGGCGATACGGGCTTGGTCTTTTGGGTGCTGGGATGGAGTTAGTAAGCAATCAGAAGAAACTCAAGGAGAAAGCGAACTATTATTTGTGCGTGCTCGATTCGGAGCCTCCTTTCAGAGTTGCAGTTGTTGCAATCCGGCCCCAGGACATTTTCAAAGGCGTCGACGGCGGCACGATTGGCTCGGTCTCCGATGGCGTGGATGTTTACCTGAAACCCAGCTTCATACCACTGTTGGCATTAGTGAGTTACACAATAATATTTCAGCCCAAAGAAGACTTACATCTTTTACTACACTGGTGAGCTCCGTTTCATTAATAAGCATCGTCCCGCTCGTTTCCGGTTTATCAGAATACGGCTCCAAAAGGGCGGCGCCCCAAGAACCCAAGGCGCCATCAGCGAAAAGCTTAACCCCACCAAGCATTAACATATTCCCACCAAAGCTCGACTGTTGGTCGAAAAACTTCAGCTTGTCGATTTCCTGGGGACAGTACGTGTTTCTCTCTTCGCATTCGATCATGACATTGATCCTAATGCTTAGATCTCCTTTTTCAGCCATGCCACCTAGAATGACTACATCATCAGGTCGCATCCCCGCATTTCCAATGCCCACAATACCCACTTTGTTTAGTTCCCTCATGGCTGTTTTGAACCACCTGGTCTTTTGAGCAACATCAGGCACTGGGGCCAGTGGGTAGATAATAGCATCCATGGCATTGTCGCAGAATACCCCTGGCCCCGGATCGGTTACTATAACACCTCCTGGTGGTGCTTCAGGGAGTGGGATGGGGAGTAGATCGAGGACCTTTTTGGAGGTAAGAACGCAATGGACATCAACGCGGTCGAGCATAATATAAAGATCTGAAAGTGCTGGATCGGCGGCGAGCTCATCCTATTTCAAAATTAGCACATGACCATATTGTTGCTTTTCAAGGAAAATTTACAGATAGAAGAAGCAAAGGAGTGTCGCAGCAAACTCACAGCCGTGGGCATCACGCCCCCAAAGTTTGCTTGATCCCATCCAATTCCACGGACCCACTTCTCACGTGTCCCATATCCTTCGTCTTTATGTTCCTGTAAAAAGGATTTGATACGGGCTCTCATTTGTTCGACACTCTTCACGTCGTACAATGACACAGACTCAAGCATCTCTCCATATTGCAAGATATGCCCGTGGGAGTCAATGAAACCTGGCAGGACATATCCATCTAGCCACGTAATCTCTTCTTTGCCATTGGTAGTTGGCACATCGCCTAGCACTTCAGTAAAGATCCCATCCTGAACTCGAAAGCAATTGGCTTTGGGTAGAGACGGATCGAGGGTTGTAATGTACTGGATGGTGGGATCAGCAACACAGTGAAGGGTTGGGAACGAGTTGTTTTGTTGGAGGAGAATGCTAGCGACGAGGGTGATAAATGCTGTGGTTAGGATACCTGTACACGCCAGTGTAAGACCTGTTGCTCCGACCATTTTAGTGCCCAAATTGGTTCATTGCCATAGCATCCTGTGCATGTGTTGTTAATGTGTTAATGCGATGCGGTGTGGATGAGAGGCACGAGAATTTAGATTTATGCACGGCTTATCGATAACCCCACTTTACTGGGCAACCAACTACCAACCCTACCTAGGCAACGAACGAATGGCTGCACCGGAAAACACACTTAGACTTAGCAGCAAGAAAGCAAAATAATTTAATATTTGCTATGAGACGCCACTCCACGCCTGTACCCATGGGCGGACCGAAAGAACACTCGCACTAGGGAGTGCCGGAATTCGCTGGCCACTATTATAAGTTTACAGCACCTTCTGTGTGGTGCAACACTACAACCACTCTTGTGGAGCTTGTGATTTTTTTCACTAAATTAATTTAGGTTCTAATTAATTTACTCTTCCAACATTTAGAATGTTCATAAAACCGCGTTCCCTTTGAGTTTCATTAAAAGGAGATCAATTCCACAAGCTTAAAATAGGGGTTTGCGGAGGGCATTGGTCCGAGCACCTGAAAGGGGTATCTAAGCGAAATGTTAAAGGGGTGGCTACAAAGTAAACAACTTGATTTATTGACGCCATTTTAATTCATAACCAATGTAGTCGGGCTATTTTGATCAACAAGCGGTGTAATCGAGCGGCCTTGGGCAATACTTGAAGCAAACGAGCGTCGAAGGCTGAAGACTCAGCAAAGTGCTAACAACCAGTAAACTACCACCTCCATATTGCCAAAACCAACCAAGGAAAACAGACACGATCTACCCATTGCGCCTAGGAGAGCAACAAAAGCAGAGACCAAAGCAAGAGCAACTGGCCATATCCAGGATTGAAAAGAGTCAACGATCGTGGCCCTCATGCCGACAAAATTCGGTCGGAGGCAACACGGAACGGGACTGGCCATTAGCCATGGGGCCTAGACGACCAAATATCGCTACTATCGATACCATTGCTGCTCATCATTTTTGTACGGCGCCTGCCCCGATCACCGCTGAGCCATTTGCCGAGGGTCATTTTACCAAGGTATATTAGCTTTGCAATGCCAATGGACGGGTTGGCTACGTCTTCCGCAACACTCCTCCTACCGACCCTTTCTACAAGTTGGCCGAGATCCGGATGAATATTCACTCCACATTTCTTCTCAACCGGCTCTGACTTTCCGAGCTCCTGCAGAGCCCATTTGATCTGCCTCCTTCACATAATTCAGGCAGACCAACTACACCTTCATCAAATCAATCAGCTCCCACAACGGCAGTTCTTGAGGATGTTGAAGATGACACGCTTCTATTACCGGTACCAACAGGTTTCTTCAGATCTCAAAGTGACAATAAGAAGTGGGTTGTCGGGCCAATTTATAATTTGTGGTACCCTGGTAGTATACACAAATGCGGCGACTTGCAAGACTTTAATTGCGGGTCATTTATGAATTCAGCTTCCTATCTACGTGGTATGACGGAATTTGCTCTCGCCTCTCCCAAAGTTTGCAACTCGTCTAATAAGGAGCTGGAGCCAGTAGAAATTGCTATAGTTATAAGTGTTGTTTGCGAGGCATAAGACCTTATGCTAGACATGAAACATTGCTTCACTTCAATGGAAACAAACAGTATGGAGCATTTCCTTGGTCACTGGGACCTTTCGGGAGAAAATATTTCGATTAATCCTAAAACCTATAAAGTCACGGGGATTCTTGATTGCGAGCACATCTCGAAGGTACCAAAATGAGAAATTTGTTCCCTTCCTCGATTACTCTTGAAGAGCGATGTCCCTCGGGAACAAGTCCTTGATGAAGCACTATTCAACTCTTAGCCTTCCCAACAGTGAAATGCATTGATTATGAGATATAATAGTAACCTTATTTTCAAAATCTTCGCGTCGGCAGGTCTCACGGCAAGGAACTGTGAGAGACTCCCGGAAGGCATAAATGATAAATTCTGGAACAATATCTCCTTCATCTACATCTCTCATGGCGTTGGTCAGAAGACCTAGAGTAAAGAGCTGAAAATGGTCTGTAAATGGGTCGCTTTTACATATAACTATTCAGTCTTGCTGCATTGGCGTTCATTTACACCAAATTGTTTTACTTCCATAATAGCACCACAGCTAATTTAGATTCACAAAAGCAATTGCACGCTACAATAAAAACAATTTCAATAATTTATAGCCGTCCCCGTGTATGTTTATAACAACAGGTTTAAATTTCTCTTGCAATACCTATAGCTTTCTCGCTTTTTACAAAACCATCTCTCCAGTTACATATATTTCAGGGGTTATCTTAGTTAGAAAAGCGATGGTGTTTCTGTCTTTAGCCCCGGGCCCCAAGTCCTCTTTCTACATATACATGACGTTATATGTTGTTAGATACAACTCTCTACGCATTTCAAGATAAAGATTTAGGGTGGGAGAATGTATATCATTAAAAGTACAATGCTATGCTATTATAAAATCCGTATTTACCGACCAATCTATCGATATCAGCTATAGCATGCAGAGAAAAACTATAGCGTACAGAGTTTACCAACCTAAACTCGCTTCTACTGTATCATTCCACTAGGAAGGATATTAGACTATTGTAGGACATTTTCTACCTCGATATGCTAAGATTACGTGCTAGATCAGACGTCAAGTTATACTTAGCCTCTAATTATTCAATGACTTTGCCCTTGGATTCTAACCTACTATGATCTAGTATTTCAATTATCAACCCGGCACATCAGAATTGGCAATAAGATCGTATCACTAGAACATAAAACCCGTATTAGAGCCTTTTCTACTGTCCTCATTCCCTAAGACGCAACCACCGGGGCGAGGTTTTCATAGACCAAATCAAGGCGAATATTCAGAAGAGAGCCTTGTCTACGATTGCAAGGGTAGTGCGTGAGACCTGTCACATTTCACCACAACCCAGCACATTACGGAGTGCTTATCCTCCAGCCAGGTTAGTCGGCCCACACTTATTAAACATTTAATTCGGATTTGAAAGGGGACGAGAATCTATATTCGGAAGCTCTTCCCCGTCCCGTGATCGCATAGATTCAGCCTACTTGCGACGAGGAACAGAGATGGTGACCCGGGGCTTACACATGCTGTCGGAACATTCATGTTACACTGCAGCCGATAGAGACGCCCTAGAGAAGTCTGTGGAAGGTGGTGGTGCTTTAGTTAATTTAACCAGAAAAAGAAAACAAGGCAGAATGGCTGCAAAGAGACTAGGTTAATGTTACTGAACCACGCGCCCTCTACATGTAAGTATGTAATAGTTAGTAGTAATAGAATAGCAGGTAGTTTTGGTTCTCAATTTGTATATTAATCTGTGTAAAATATCTAAACTAGGTTCTTGATCAGAATTGCCAATGTCTGGCGGTAATATTGGTGGCGGCTGACAGCCCCGTAAGTTCGTATTCTTGGCCTTACCTTGATAAATTCTCCTGTAGGTTTCAGCCCGGTTTAGCCCTCTCTATTACTGTACGTGCCGCGATTGTATCGCCACCCTCCTTATACCAACATATTTTTAAGAGACTCTTCTCAGCCTAGTATGCGAAGAATTATTTTACTACGGATTAAGGTTTATTAAAAAAGACCTGCAGCCCTAACCTCGGGATGAGACTGCATTTAGTGCCGCAGATTGTAGAGTTTGTTGACCCGATTACGTCGATGAGTGGCAAAATGCGACAGTTCAACACCAACATATCAAGGTTGGTAGGGAAGCCAGTTAATTAATTTTACGTTAATGCAACCTGCTCACCGAGTGGAAGTTGTCCTACTGGCTATGAAATACAGGGTTGCTGTTCTACATTTCAAGATGTTTTGGTTTCTAGGCAGATACCAACATTTTTGGTGCAGCAGCCAATCAACGTTTCCGCGGACAGCGGTCATGAAACTAACCTGCCATGGCGCTGAGCTGAAAACAGGGGACGACCAAAATACCGGAATCATGATGTGACCTTCTGTCTGCTGGTGTGGCTTGATTTAGGGTGCCACACGCGAGGATTCAGGATACACTTTGTACTACGTCAGCAACGAAATGATTTAGGACTTTGGAGGGGGCTCTGGGTTGCTCTGCGAGTACACAGATGCCTAGGAAGGTTTAAAATCTCACTGCGATGGTGGCCGAATAGTTTGAAAGGTAGGAGATTTTCAAGTTGTATTAATAAGTTTAGCTATTTAATTGTCGAACTAAATATGAAAATCGTTCTTTATATTAAGGGATCTCACGATGGAAAATCCTTTCAACTGTCCTCGTTATCGTCATCCGTCCTCGAAGTTTGCGTGGTATCGCCGCAATAAACCCATGTCTCGAATTCTTTTGTTTGAGGCAACTGCCTTTGGGAAGCCTTAAAATGTTTGTTCATTCTTGCCTTTGCCTTTGTCCAAGATTCTTCTCCGCCATATTTGTCCACCACAAGTGCTGCTCCATTGCCCCATCCGCATTGAAATGTGAGTTGCGCAATGTTTGACTTGGGTTTGCCAGATCTATTACACACAAGGGCAAACAGATCAGCAAGACTCAGCCCCGACATTACTTTGTTTGAAACAAGATTTTGTTCGTCATCGTCAGGCATCCCATCAGAATCTTCGATAGCAAATCGCAATCTTGGTTTCGTGGGGCCATCTTTCTCTGTCGAGGAGCTTATCCTAGTGAGCTGTTTGCTGCTCAACTCACTGTTGAGCAAATGGGGATATTCCACTTTGCCCACAAACGAGCCGGTGAGTTGGTAACGGCTACTAGGCCTCCTGTCGAAACTTGTAGCTGGTGGGGAAATAGACCGGTCATTTGATGGCTCGGCTAGTTCGGATTTAGCAGCATGTGAGTCGGTTGACATCAAAGTGATACCTGTCGAGGGGTTCGTATTAGGAGAAGGGAACGTGGATGCAAAAATTACCGGGCGAGGATCAGTGGTAGTAGCTGAACTGGCCGTGGTAGAACCTTTGGGAACCCTTGGTGTCACCTGGCGAACGGTAGTTGGGCTCACAACAGGTGGGGTATGAAGGACCACCTCCACCGGAAGTCTAGCTGCAGGAGCATTTCCAGTTGGATCTGGCGCAGGTTTGCCAGGTGAAGCATTGCTGACCGGGTCTGGCGCGTGATGTCCAGCAGCGTGGTCGGTTGGAAGAGAGGAGCGAGGCGGGGTTTCGAGCATATCGAAAAATGGCTGAAGATCCACGATTTGATCACTTCCAACTTTATCTGGGATAGAAAAGCTTGACGTAGGTGCACCGCTCGATTCTACCTTGGACGCTGGGAAACTTCTTGTCACCTGCGTAGTTGAATGTTAGTCTCGATCAATTTAATCCACAGTAATATAGAAGTGTTTATCTCACGTAGCCGGATGTCACATATGCGACATTATCCATATCATCTTTCGCTAGATTATCTAACTGAACGGACGTGGTTTCCCGACTTGGGCGGGAAATATCTTCGGCGCTGGCGTGGTCGACCCGCTGTCGCTTTGCGTTTTCTGGTCTTAGGTCATTGGTAGAAACAGAGCTGAGATCGATAAACTCGGGTTCCTATGACAGGTAAGTATCCGATTCTGTTCACTCTATGTAGATCACTTACTCTTTTTCTATTAACGATTGTGCGTGGCGGAGGTGAACTTTCGATTTTCAGACGCTTACCATCTAGTATCGGGGATACCGAGGAAGGAATCAGTCCGCCCCACCACTGATTATGGCGAGTTTTCCAGGCTTCTTCAAACTCTGGGCTTTTTGATATACTCGCCCCATGCCTTTCTAGGAAACCATAGCCTCCATGTTCCCATTCCATCCACGACCCTACAAAATCCCCCACGAAGTTCGCAATCAGATCCTTACATCGATCGTGCAGCCGCCGGTGTCGAAAGCTCGAATTTCCAAGGTTGTAATAACGAACGCAATCATTCACGAACCGATTGAGTTTAGCCGTGTCATTGGGCAGATAAAGATCAAGACTGTGTAGGTTCCGAATAGCAAAACGGTCGATATCCTTAATAGTACTCAGGCTGAACGTTGGCTATTGCAATACTAACCGTCAGCTTTAAATATACAAAGTATATCAGACAGCCGCACCTTCGTCAGCCAATCATGGGACTTGGCTTCGAGAGACCTCTCAAGAGGATATATAAAATCCAAGTGGATTTCGATGTTCTTCGTAATGGCTTGATGCTCCCTAGAGCATGTCAGTTAGTATTGTTATACAAATTGCAACTAAGGATTACCTCATTGATCGCTCCCAGGGTGGTAATCGTCTATCAAAAGATGATAGCTGATCATTCGAAGATGTTCGCTGATAATCCGTATCGTCGTCCTCCTCAGATCCGTCTGACGAGTCTGAACAGGATGATGTATCCTCAGCCTTGGACGGCATGCCCCTCTGATTGTTATAAATATATTTCCTCCTCCAATATTCTTGCTGGCAAATTAATTTTGCCAGAGAACGAAGTATTCTAAAATCAGAGGTCACTCGCAGCTTTTGATTAGAGTATGTAGAGGAAACTTACCGTTCGTTTTCTTCTGGGTAGACGGGCCACCCGCGCTTCTCACCCTCTACTGTCCACTGAAAAAGCTTCTGATGGGCCGGTATACGCAAGAAACCCGCCGCATATTCAGTGGCCTCAACTGAGGTTGAACAGTCACTATCTAGCCGGAGTTGACGAATGGGCAGCGAAGAAATTTTGGGACTATTTCGGTGTCGTAGGAGTGCATGTTGCAAGTTGCTGGATTTCCTGCCCGGTGTTTCTGCATGCCCCATGACTATATCTCCTCCACGATATGTCTCCTTGGGTGGGTAGCCTAGGGTTGCACATAAATAGGGAACCTTCCCATAATTGGGATCCGTAGGTAGTTGACGGATAGACATGGTGGAAGCCGAAATAATGAACAAAGATAATATATTATGTGACCAAGTGGGGAAGTGTAGATAGAATAGTCAATACCACTGGCGGTAATATATGCAACAGAAGAGGGATACGTAGAAGGTCTCATGAGAGAGTGAGCTCAAGGAGGTATCGGGCGTTATACAAGGGTCTGCTCCCAGGATGCATCAGCGGACCTGGGACCGGAAAATACGAAATACTCAAGCCTCAATCCGGCAAGAGCAGAATGCCTATTATTCTTGAATCTTTTCCTTGTTTCGTAATGTGTCAAGCCAGCATGTGCTAACATCTATAGTGAAGTACTGACAAGGGTGAAAAAGGGGTGTGTTGTCCTGGCAGTACTGTTATTGGCATTGATTCTGTACTGGGCTGCAAGCCACCCACCCACTAATAGTGTTAAAAAGCAGTGACAATCACTCAGCAAATGAGTCAATTATTTGCAACGTTTCGAAAAGAGTTAGTCCTCGGATAATAATTGGCCAAGCTCTTACTAGGAAGCCGAGTAAACACCCACTCGGTACGGCCCTGCAGATGGACTCTGAAGAACCCCCTAGAATCGGGCTCCCCGACGGCTCGGCTCCACTCCCCGCCCGGCGGCTTCCGAGGCTGCGGGCCGATCCTAGACGGGAGAAAAAAGAATAAAAGCTACGAAGGACGTAGTACAGGGTACGGGATGATTACTATGTGGAAAGACTCTCATTAAACCTAATTATATATCAGAGACATGCATTCTAGGGCTGTAAATTAGAAATATGATAGCCACGGGAATCAGTGTTCCGGCTCTCCTCATGTATGGGGAGAGGTACAGTTATAGAACAAAGTACACAATCCTCATAACACGGATGCTCAAGATGAACACTGAAGTTCCCCCGAATTATACCTTCCTCTGCCTGTATACTTGATGGTAAAAATAGTTGTGGTCAGTCGCATGATGGGATGTCACACGGAAGACAAACGAAGGGTGGCAAAGCCTGATCGCTGAGACATAATATACCTCCTGAGCTAGCCTATTAGGCTCACTCGCCCACCTCTAATTAACCCTCCACGCCCTCTCTTATAAAGCGTGGAATCTCATTACTATTCCACTGCAATCTTACTCTACCAACCCTGGCACCTTTTGTACGACGTAAATTTTATAGGCGCCAGCCTCTACTTTAAGACATACACCCTTTGCTCAACTGTCACGTTGTAGGTGCTATCTCTACAGCACGTCAAAAATGTCGGCCATTGATTCTACATCGACAGCCACTTCTGGTTTAGATATTGATCCTAAACGCTCATCGACTGCGACTGTGCGAGACGCCCTTGTCAGGGTCACCGGGGAGAAAGGGTGGGTAGATAAAGACCTGTGGGCCTTTTTTGGGTGCGATACTCTCCTGTTAACATTCGCAATTGACAACCCCTAACAAGTAATATAGACGAGACGATATCTCCTATTGAGCGACATTGCCAAAGACCATAGTCGGGACTGGAAGGACCCCCTCGTCGGGCGGCAGATCGATAGCGCATTTAAAGAGCGGGCGAAGGGTGTACTCCCGGATTGGGCTCTATCTATAACCCAATACTCTATCGTTGTGGAGCGGATGCGGCGACAACATGGGAAAATAATAAAAACAAGCCCCCTTTGGCCTCGGGGTCGGGCGACGGTGTTATTAGCACGTCTGTGGTTACCGACAGCCCGGGCACTACAGCTCCAAGCGATGCCTTGCAGAATCAAAATAAAGCAGCGGCTTCGGATATTGGGATAATGTGATGTGAAAGGTAGCAGAGAAAATCGAAATATTTCTCGGAAAGAAGGCATACACTGGCCGGCCTGAAACCTAGCAATTGGTGCTGGATCAAGCACAGAATCGGCAATTGTGGCATCATCCTGCCAAGCCTTGGGGCCCCGCGACCTGCATTCCCAAGTGTAGTGATCGCTAGTGCAGACGATGGCTCCTTCACCGTCGCCTTGCGATCCCGCATCGTCAGATAACCGCTTCTTTCGGCCATCTACAATGTCTGTCATCTCTGTTAAGTTCTGTCTGCGAGTTAGGATGGCAATGCGTGATATTGGAAAGGTCCCTGTAATGGTGAGGATGATTCTTCATCGGGTGATCAACTGGGTCGACATGTCGTTCATGAGGTTGTGGATGAAGAGGGTTAGAAAGTCGCGCAGGTACTGAATCGAGAATCAAAGGCAGACCTTCGCGAATTTCTGGAATTTAACAATTAGAGCAGCAACTCCAAGCAGAGAGTTTTTGAATTGTCCATCTAGATACGGAAATACGCGGCGAAACTGGAATAGTGGTAAGGATCGCTTTTGATTTAGTCTACTTCGTACGGAGTATATCCTACTACTTTATGCGATAACCTTCTCCTTGCATTCGATACTAGAAATTTTATTAGGACATGAATTTTAAAGGCATCGGGGCAAGAAATACTTACCCGTACTTCTCCTTCAACTCCTTCATCAAAGGGTCGTTAATTCGAGTAGACATCGGCGCAAGAACGCCCTTGTCGGAGATAGTGCCATTGAGGACCTGCTTGACAGCTGTGTAGATAAAACGTTAGAAATTCTCTTTTTTACAAGTGCGGGTGTTTAGACGGCTGCTCTAGGCCTGGACCGGCGAAAGGCGATCCTTCACATGGCAAAGCGCATCATAAAGCTCATGGCAACGCTGGGGACTGAGACGACTTACCGACGGCACATGGGACTCCCACGAGCTTTGCCATTGCTGAATAGCCTCCTGAACCAACTGGAGCACCATACTCGCAAAGTGTTGAAGTTCTTGTTTCTTTACTGCCATCCTTGTTCTCGATCTCAAACTTGTGTTGGAGCATGACAAGATCTGCAATTTCTATTAGCTTCATTCTTTGAAAAGGGTTTAGGGGAATATTAATTTGAGTGGATTTACTTACCGCGCTCGCCCTCCTCGAATTGCATCTTCTTCTCAAGGGTGGCGCAGAGGGTGTCAAGTGGATTACCTCTGGGGGTAATCTTTTCCGAAGAGAACTGGACTGCAGTGTCAGCATTACTCTTTATTAGGAACGTATATGATTTGAGGACAATGTCCCAATGGCTCCGCGTAGGGAGCACGTGGATTTGCACCTCGATCTGCCCACCAGGGGACATTGCGCAAGCTACAGAGGAGAACACAAGGATGTTCAGAGCAACTTACCAGGCCAATCCACCTAAGTCCTGCCATGAGCTGCGCTTTTTGCTCATCGTCCTTAAAGCTTGCCTTGCTAGTAATGGCCAAGCTGAGATCCTTCTCGCTATCACTTGAAGCTCCGAGAATCTTCTTCGTAGCCTCATTCCAAGGAATTGGCTCTTTCAAGGCGCTGTCCTCCTCGTCGCTAAGGAAACCCACTGAAGCAATGATTAGCAATTATTCCTTCGGGAAGATTTTCCGTATTGAGATGCGGCTTTAGTCCTGCGGTATCTGGTGCTTGACACTTGTCATCAACCCTAGACACTCCACACTGTGATACACACGGTATCTAAAACATGCTCAAAGGTTTGGATTTAAGGTGGGCAAAACTTACTGTCGACAAGGAGTTTGATGAATTCTCTTTATCCCTGTAGTATTAGCATTACTGGTTCAAGAATGTTCTACATGTTTGGACACTGCCTAAGGTGCAACATCGTATGAGACCAGTAATTGCACCTTAGACAGTGTTTCGGCGCCCATCTAGGTCGAAATTGAGAAATTTTCATGCACAGAGTTACTTACGGGAACCCAGCATATCGTAAAGTGCCCCGAATAATCGTCTGCGCTTCGGGAATGTTGTATCTGTCAAAGCCAGAGGTGTTAGCATAATGACTCTTTGAAGAAAGGCATCGGTATTTAGCGATAGATTCGGTCCTATAGTAAACAGAATTATCTAGACTTCTAGACACCGGAACACTAAAAGAAAAGTTTCTGAGGACGAACCGCTCCTTATATGGCGTAGAATCTCTATTGGGATACGCAACAAATGCGAACCCAGGATATATCGGATAGGGCTTTGCCTCAGCCATCAGTTCGGGGCCAGCCACATTGACAATCTTGCCTCCCTGATAGTAGCTGGCGGCGTTTCGCAGAGCCAGCAGAACACCCCTATCTGAGTCAGCTTTGGGATCAATGTTAGGTATCTAGGCAATGTCCTCTGGGCTGGAAACCATAGGTTTGCAACCCAGGGTCTTTTGAAAATCGAGAACGGCTCGAGGAGACCAAATTTACCTAGATGACCAACTAAACTTATATCCGAGAGGGTTACCGGAATCCTCTGCTGAAAATCAGTGTCTCTTCTACGCCGTATATGAGTATCTTTAAACACATACCTGGTGATGGCAACCCGCCGCAATAGCTTAAAAACGATATAATCTTTCCTCCAGCTGCATGGACCTCAGAAATGGTCTTGATGGCATACAAATGCTTTATCTCACGGTGTTAGCATTGCTCGTTCTTAGGTGTAGCTGTAGATGGTTCGCAGCGGCATCTGCACCTAGATTGGACAGAAATTGGGCATCGTTCAATACGTAGGGTTGCTTACGTCGATTCCTGGATCCAAGCCGATCTCGTTCATGACTGTTATTCCCGCATCCTTGCATTGTTGATCGAGCTCTAACATGGCGGGCGACACGTAACTCGTGGTGACAACATGCTTCTTCTGTCTGATCGCGCTTTTAATGACCGTCGCATGGAACGTATAGGGGATAAGAGAGATGACGAGGTCGTTCTTTGCGACCTCCGCATCGAGAGCCTTCTCGTCCGTGACATCGAGGGAGATTGGGCGGGCGAGCTTGACGCCTTCCGAGAGTTTCTTGGCGCTTTCGAGGGTTCTGCAGGCTATGGGAGGTTAGCAAACGGTATGAAGAGAGGTTGGATGGCAGCAACTCACCGACAGAGACCTCAATGCCAGAGTCACTGACTGTTATACAAGTATCAGCATGCCGCGCACCAATGTAACCATGGACCCCACTAACGAATTTGAAGAGTTGGCTTGGTAACAAATCCCGAGCCGAGCATCAAGACCTTTCTGTTATTGTTAACAACTGGAGATTAGTAGTCGCTGAGCCCAACTTACTGAGTTGGTGCCATGGTTGCGGATATGTGGTGAAAATTGTTGTTGGTTGTTGGTGGTTGTTGTTTTTAAATTTGATGTCTTTAAAACCCCACCAAATTCAAATTTCATGAGTCAAGCGGCAACGTCAAGAGCTCGCCGAGATCGCTTTCAATTCCTGATATCTGACGTAGTGCGTGCTGGTGTGGGAATAGTAATATATGGGGTCGGACGGGTAATTGTAGCGCTACACCCTCAGACAATTTAGTTGCTCCTTAATTGTTTTTTGTTTTTCATCTCTATACCAACTATAATTAATCTATAGTCACTTGTCTAACCATGAAAAGCTGTTCCGTTCTTCCATAGGTTGCTAATTCTACGGGGTGATTCCACTGAGTATCCAAAACCGGCTCGAGTAGGAACACCACTTCATTTCGTGTAGGAATCGGCTTAAAAGTTCAGCACATTGGGTGTTCTCGCAAAATTTAGCTGGGACTGTATGTCTTAGGGTACGTAGAGCCTATAAGGTCTAAAATGGGGGCTGCGTTATAGTGGATACAGTAAATCATGGCTCCCTAGGGTGTGCTTAGGAACCCAGGAAATAACCAGCATGACTTCGACTATTTGCTGGGAATTGTTGAAAAGGGGGATAACCGGTTAATAGGGACGGACTGGCTGGGAAACCTGTCAGACGACGAAATGCTCTTTACCAACGACGACGATGATGATTTACCGTTGGGTGAGCATGATGACTGGGACAATTCGGGGCTGGGCTGGGGAGGCTCGCCATTGAACTTGAGACGGATGATATGCTGTTTGGGAGCGAATGGCGAGAGGCTGACGGCCAGGATCTAGAAATGCTTCTGTTGGAAGTCAGTGTCAACGAATGTCATGCGACTGAAGTTGATGGACGAGATATGTTGCCACGAGAACAGGGTGTCGCAGATGAGATGCTGATTTAGGTTTGTTCGGTCAATGCAACAAGGTGTTCCTTTGGACATGTATATGTGCGTCACGAGGTCCGAATTGCCTTTGGTCCTGAATATCGACTCTCATATGGCACATGCATTAATCGCCAAATTCGAGTCGGAAAGCTTCAGCCTGATGCCCGAGTGGTGCGATGTCAGATTCGAATATGCTGTCAGCCTGGCCCGCCTATCGGAACTCAGTTCGAATGCCAACGAAGGAAAAGTTATGTTCTATTCATGGGCCAGACTTACAACGACATATTTTCAGACTGTTGGTGCAGAGTAACAGTGATACCTGGGGAACTCGGAAAATAACTACGGACTTGTCGCTTGGTTCCTTTAACTAGACCAAACTTCCATTATTTCTTTCAACACAACCCATGATTAGCAATTGTGGTTCCGACTTTTCCTCCTAAGCGGATAGTACTCGTACTGCATTTGTGGTCGCAAGCCTTTATGTGGCTGGCGTGGCTGTGTGTGCATAGCAAAGTTGCAAATGCATAGACGGCTCCAGCCTCACACTTCACCTCTTTACTCGTACCCTTTACAACTGAAAGCCCGCTGGCAGCATCAGCATGCGCAAATGGTCAACCACCTTCTGGAATCAGATACCTATATTGGATGGCCATTAAATCTCACCATGAGCAGATGATGATTACGATGATGGCTGGTTTTGTCGCCGTTTGGAGGCCTGGTGCCAAGATGTGAGATTTGTGAATTCCGCCATTTAGTTCTCTGGGAATACCACTTCGGCTGCAATTTTTACTGCCATAACTATCCAGCGATGGCTTTTCCACCGTGAGGGATTGACCGACCCTCCAACGGCATAAAATTATAATGTCAATTGCGCCTAGAATTTTTCCATCTGACATTTATTACCCTCCCGCTAGGTATATAAGGTAGAGCAATACCTTTCCATTCCAGCTCATCAATTGCAACCCATCATCACTCCCTTCTTCATAACATCAGATCTCAAACAAATAATCGTCCTTCAATCAGAAGATATCAAAATGGGTTCCGTCGAAGCTTTGAACAACCTCAAAACTTGCACTCAACTCGGAGGCGGTCCACCCGACGGCCCAGGGGGTGAGGATCGTCTTGCGCTTGACAGAAGCTTGTGGCCAATTGGTTCAGAGCTAACTATCAACATGTGGGGGTACGTCTTCTCTCCTCTTGACCTATTCTTTCCAACTAACAGCCCCCCCAGCCAAAGCGATTTTGTCCATGGAAAGGTCATTCAATATGCCAACGAATGGTCTCTCTACGCAAACCTAACCTTCAAATTCATGGATCGAGACGCCCCAGGCGACTCCGACATCCGTATCTCATTCACCTCCGGCATTGACTCTTGGTCCTACATTGGAACTGGTGCGAAAACAATTCCACAGAGTGATCCTACCATGAACTTCGGCTGGTTCGACGACGAGACCTCAGATGAAGAGTTCAGCCGGACCGTTATCCACGAGTTCGGCCATGCCATTGGATGCATCCATGAGCAGGCCTCACCGGTGGTGGATATCCCGTGGAACAAGCCAGCAGTGTATGAGTACTACCTAAGAGAAGACGGCTGCGATAAGGCGAAAGTGGATGCAAACGTTTTTGAGAAGGCGGTGCAGGCGAATACTCTGAACACGAGATTTGATAATACTTCCATCATGTAAGCAGCCCCTCCTCCGTCATCAGCACTCATCAGCACAGAGAAACAATACAGCATACTTACAGGATGAAAAGGCAATACCCATACCCACCCGAACTTACACTGGATGGCTCCTCCGTAGGCTGGAACCGCATCCTGTCGAACCTAGACAAGACCTTCATCATGCGCTGCTACCCGAAGGAAGGGATTGTTCGCAACACCCAAGACGGCGTCTATCTTGTTCGGCAACAACGACGGGCAGCAGGCTGATGACTACGCGGAAGTGTCAAATGAGGGATTTGCTTGGTGGGAGAATGGTTGTGAAGGTATTATTCACCTCGTTTTTATTTTCTTCTTGACGTCTGTTGGGTGGCGGCGGCCAAGAGAGGGCTTATAGATCTGGGACTGACACAAGACATAGTGCCTTTCGGAAGCGGTGACAAGGTGAAATGGACTCTGGCTGAAGATGCTGGAAAATCGCCGCTCTACAGCAGAGTCGGGTTTGCGGACAAGGGGTCCGAGAAGTGGAATGTGTACAGGGACGACGGCCGTGTTCTGTACGAGCGCGATGGATGGCAGGTCTATGCTCTTTTCTGGGCCTTTTAGATCTTGAGTAGTGTTGTAGAGGGTGACGTATGAGCAGGTGTGCTCCTCGTGGGAGAAACGACAAGTCGGAATCAAGTGGAAAACACCAAGAAACCCGATTCCACTTAGCACTATGTCATATACTCCTTTGCCGTCCGACAAGTATGCAATCGTTTACAGTAGTATTCAGAACAATTATTAATTGATTTCTAATCTTTATCCTCCATAATAACCTTTGTGAGGCGTCTTAGAGCTGATTCCTTCGTAGTAGTGCGCCGTATATGAAAGTCGAGGCAACCGTATTCTAACTTTGTGAGGCTGGTCTACTGGTCGTATGCTCTTTAACAAGAGGGATCTGAGGTCGGCTATAGGAGGTCGAGATTGGTTCTACATTATAGTGCGCAGAACTGACCCAAGTCTGCTCAGGCATACTCAGACTCTATTCGGGATAAAGCAGCAATTGCTCAAACTCGCAGACTAAAACGGAACCGGCACAAGAAAAGTTTATGTCAAGTTCATGGGTATTGTGTATCCTCGCTGATGTGCAGTACAAAATCCAGGCTCAAACTCCATAAGCAACTATGAATCCCCCCACCGAAACTCCCGCATGCTCCTCCAACGCGCCATGCCAGAAACCAAATCCAATGGATTCCAAGTCGAGAGATTGACGGCCAGAATCTTTACTATTTATTGTCAGCAGCGTCTCGAGCGTGGAATTGGGGGCACAAACGTGTCGATACATGTAGCGCAGAGTCAACATGAGAATTGCAGCAGAAATCACCCAAGTGAATGGCTCTCCAAGAACATCGCGAAGAGATCCGTTGAGCTCGGTGGCGAGAAGGTTGGGTGCGGTCTCGATCGTCAGAACAGGAATGGGGTTGTCCCGATACACATAGGCGATAATCTCATCAAATCGGGAATCGTCTCCAATGTGCTCCATTTTCAGATCGTTGAGCGTGGAGACCATTTTATTGACCTCTTCGGCCCGTTGGTGGACCATTGTAAAAAGGTACGGAAGGTTGACCTTGTAAGTGATAGCCTTCTTGTCAAGCGTATCGTCTGGTGGACAGCTGTTAGCGGGTTCTGACGATTGCCAGAGGGGAATACTAACTTGCGTAGCCAGTCAACAGAATGGAATTGTCGTTGGTAAGACAAATTCCCTTGAACTTCCGCGAAGCGGTATTGGAAGACATTTTGGCGACTGTGTGATCTGACTAAAACCAATCGAAAATTAGGCCGTTAGGCTGCGGTCAGGATCGCAAGTGAGAGCGCAATAACGATTAAGTCTTCTGATTGCCTTGGCGATGGCAAAGATGAAGTTGTGATGTATTTTGTTCCTGATCTAAAAGGGTTCTACAAAGGATATTAAACCACACCGCCATTCGCCTAATTGCGGAACGGCATTAATATTATTCCCAGGTGCAAGAACAGTAGCTTTTGAGACGCCTTAGGCACAAAGGGCCCAGAATAGGGCCGCCGTCAGACGGTGATAGCATCTCTATAATGGATGGGGATGGCATGGTCTGTTCTAAAGGCTGATGGATTACCAAGGGATGCCACAACACTGTGACGACAGGAAATCGACGAGCTTTGGATCTCGGCCAAGAAGTGGATAAGCAATACTTCGAGTAGATGTGCAGGAATTATAACATTCCTGATTAAACTACTAAGAAATTACATAGCCTCACTCAAATTCAAGGTTAAGCAGTAAATGGTTCAATGTGGATAGGCTACATCTCCGACTACTTAGTGACGATATCCAATACTTTAGTTCGGGTAATATACTACATCAGTATCTAGTTATGCGCTTGAGTTCATTAGCTAGCTCCCCCGAGCAACGTCAGAAGCTCAGTTAAATGTATCAGATTCCCTATCTCGCATGTAACCTGTTACTAACTTTATTTACTTACTTGATATGCTACACATTTGCTGATGTTCTGTCCGCCCCTCGGTGGTACGATAGAGAATCTGATAACGAAAAGTTGATTTACGAAACGATATCAACTGTTAGGTAAAGACTCTGCTAGTATCTGTTTACCAGTATATGTTACTTGAAATCCCGTCGATGAAACATATAAGGGTAATTCTTAAAGTGTTCCTAATTTGTATTAATCTCAATTGTATATAGATTGAAATTAGCAACACTATTACCTTAGAAAACTATAGCAACTACCACTGTTACAGTGTTACGGTTGGGCAGGCAGGTACTCTTGTTAGAAATACGTATACGGACTAGTGTTACCGAGTCAGGATTGGCGTAAGTACGTCCTATATATCCGGTCCCTAGGCCTATACTCTTGTAATTAGATTAATCGTCCTAATCTATACTTTGGATTACTACTTACTTTGACTATACCACTTATGAGTCATCCTTTTGGGCCTATTCGTAGTTCGTAATCTTGACAACTCTATACATATTCGCGACGTTTTCCAGTATCATATAGATGTAACCTGCGTTCAGGTGCGCTGCCCTTTGCGTTTAGCGCTACTGTTTTGGGGATGGCGCCTCGCCTACCGAGCCGCTGCTTTTGACGACTTCCATAAGAACCCCTTCTTCCCTTATTAAATCTCTCGACTAATTCGACAACGAAGAAGGCGGCCTCGTTTCCGTAGGGAAACCGCCGTAGTAAGTATAGGTTCCTCCGCCTCCGCTATAGGTCTTGTCGATAGGACAGCAGCCTCCAGTAGCACAGCGGTTACCTGATGGACAAAATGTAGAGCAGCCATCTGTACAACAGACTGAGCCGATGGGCATGCAGTGGTTTCCGCAGCTTATCTCGGTTCCGCAGTCAAATGTTTGGCGGGCGAGAAGTTGGGTACCCCCGTGGTAAAGTCGAGGGTTGGGCTGGAGGGAGAGAGCCAGTGGGGCGAGGAGGGCGAGGAATTGTTTGTGCATTGTAACGCCGGATGTAGGAGGATGGGTTTGGAAGAGCTAATGCTCAGTGGTAATAGTTTGGGTGACTTTGAGAAAAGATATGGTGAGAGATAGAGAAATACTAACCTCACGTGCAGCAAATTAAAGAAAAGATAGGAGTTAAGGAGAATGAGAGATCCCAAGACGAATTTAATATCATCTACCGTTGCCGCAAGGTGGCAGATCTGCTATGCTAGAGTATCTTTTTTGTTACGCTATGTAAGCCATCGCAAGCCATCTATTGATCAATTGGTGACCAGAGCAAGACGGGGGTATGATTTCTTTAGCGCTCTGTGTTACCCAAATGCAGATCACATTTAGCTCTACCTCTAAGCTCCCTATAAGGGTAGGGGATTGCGATGAAGGCGGTTCCTTGTAAATCCTTCTAATTTCCAATGTTGCAAGGTGCAAGGCTTCAATCCCTCAGCCGCATGGGGCAGAAGTCTTGGGTCCAGGAACTCCCTGATATCGGTCATATTGAGGTCGGACCCGGCTCGAGCCAGCGTAAATCTCTATGAGGTAGGCATGACGAAGACGTTGATTAGAACCAAAAACTAGCCGACGCTCAAGACGGCGTCAATCAATGGGGATACCGGCGCATTCAATGCGCCAACAAAACGGGCTGCCTTGAACACAATTGCTAGTCCCTGGTGGCTGTTAGGCTAGTAGGAAGTTAGTAAGGACCTGAAGAACATAGTCGCACACGAAATTCCCAGCAACCTGGACTAGTTTAGCCCAAAATGCATTGAGAAGTATGAGGACATTGCACCGCGGAGTGTGGCGGCCCAAGTGCAGCCTTCTCTTCACGAACACCATGGCAAAACTAGCCGAAGAGAAAGGCGCGAAGATCATTATTAGCTCGGCCGGTGAAATAGAATACACTGCAGTCAAGCCAGAATGCTCAGAAGAGGTTCAACAATAAGTGCCCACAGCCAACCATATCCAACCCAATTAGACCATTACATGACATTCTTCCAATGCGAGAATATATCTTCTAGCTCAGGCCCTTGAATGCCTAAACCCAGAATAGACGCTATGATTTCTTAAAGTATAAATAGTGCAGCGAACACGGCTCCCAAAGCATGAAACGGGAACTAGCTCTGTGACTTTCACCAGCCCTCCCAGTGAATGCGGCAAGGGTTGAAGTAGTAGCTAAATTGTTCAAGGTTCTCGTAGGTAGGACGACGACGCTGGACTTGGCCGAGGTGTATACGCTCGGGGTGGTGGAACTGGACGCTGAGGTCGGGGACGGGCCGGAAGTCGAAACGAAGGTTTTAGTGGATGTTGAAGACGAGGCCGGCTTTTTAATCGAGGCAGACGTTGAAGTGAATGCTGAGGTGGATGTTAGAGTGAATGTTGAAGTCAAGCCGATAGTACCGCCGCCAGTAGTAATTGCACCACCCGGGCCAGCACAAATTTTACCGTTGGGGCAGCAACCGTACTCATTATTCGTACCGAGGATGCAGTACTTTGTTGGCGGACAGCCAGCTGCCAGGTTAGGGCAGCAAGTCCAGGTCGTGTCGATGCATCTTCCGGCCTTGGTAAGAGCACGGAAGGAGAGTGGTCTGACGGCCGAAGAGCATGAGGGGCGTATCACTTGCGACAGCAACTGAGGCAATAATACTGAGGAGGAGGAGCTTATACATGGTGATTGATGTGGAATGTCGCAGTGTAAGAACTTGAGGAACTAAGTAGCGAGTGTATGGCTGCGAAAGGAGCGGATAGACGGTCTTGACTAGAGCATAAGATGGGGACTAGTTAGATATATATAATAGTTTATATCTTGCGGCTAAGCGACAGTTGGTATTGGTCATCCTCCACCAATCGCTGTTTTTTTGACTAGGACAGAGGGGTTCTTGCCAAGGGAACAAAACCCCTCCATGACTAGCAAGAATAGAATGTTTAATCATCGCGATCATAGTCTCCGTTGGTGCTCAGTCCATCTCTCAGATTCCGATTCGACTGCATCGTACAACAATAGTTCAAACTACACTCCTCCCACAGTATAGCCTAGAAACTACTTGTCCTTCTTCTCAACTGAAATACTTGGTAGATGGTGGATAGGGGCTGTCCATCTAGGAATAAGACAAGGTTGTGATTTGATATCATAATAATGACTGCTCAACAGCTCTAATATCACACCCGGTGTCGTAGCAACTCTGCAAATGCTTGTGAACGACATCGCAGTGGCAGTCGCTTCCAAGTTGGATGGGTCGAACAATGAGATTGTGTGGAGGATAGTCATTAACCAAGCGAATAGGATGAAAGAATTGTCGTCGCGAATGCCCAAAAGTTCGGCCGTCTGAGTCCGTCTGTCAACGAGAACATATAGAGTGGAGATAAAGTAATGGCCATGATAGAGAGTTGGAATCCCATCCAGCGGCCGAAATCCGTGGGATCCTGAAGCTCAGTGAGAGCGAGCTCCATCTCCCTTGCTTTCATTTCCTCAGTTTTCAACGGTAACCAGGTGACAACTCGTTTGATTCAGGTATCTTTATAATATGCCCACATCGTGACAGTAATCAAGACAAGGCATTGGAAAATCGGGTGCTTCAATATAAAGCGCCTTCTGTTTCTTGCATTCTGGTAGCCGGAAGTCGTTATTGCGGCCCATTTGCCATATAAAGGTACTCTGGAAGGCGGTATATCTCTTTGCGGCGGATTCCGAAATGGAGGTGGGGGTAACGGAGGCGGAGAGATATATTTGTCACTATATCATTTCAGGTCAGACACATCTTACAGAGAGGGTGGAATAATCACCCTAGCATGATCCCCAGAAGCGGTAAACTCAAGAGTGTATTCAGTGAGCGATATTGAGGCATTAAAATGTCGACTTGTCTTTTGAGCTCTATGAGAATACTGGAGTGAAGCTGTTCATCTCGTTCCACTTTTTCAAGGCAGGACTGAAGCCGCAAGAGAGCGTGGTAGTCGTCACGAAGACGTTTCCGATCCATGGAGAGTCGATACTTCTCGTCCTTGTATTGGATCAACGGCAGGCGGTCGTTGGTTTTCATTGCCAATTGAAACCGGGTAGCTTGGAGATCAAGGCAATGTGGGAGGTATGGAAGTGTCGACGGTTGCATCATCCTATCAAGAAGATCGTCGCGTGGCAGAGTCCGTACGTAGGATTGAATGCTTTCATTGAAGTCGTTTTGACTTTGGATCGAACCTTCTTCTAAAAGAGGCAATTCGGCGTCAGGCAGGAGCTTCTTGACTATCAAGCGCGGAGACGTTCGATAGATTGGGGTATCAGAATCGCCTTCAGGGGAGTATATCAAAGCAGAAAGAATGCTCAATCGAATGAGAGGTTCAACGATGTCAACGAGTGCTGCTTCTTGTACACGTGCGTTGTTTTTGGTAGATCGAAGGTCAAAGCCTATTGAAACGATGTTTAGCCATATGAATGAATAAGGTATACGGTTCACGCACATAGTCGCTTGCTTCGAAGAGGCGGCTCTCCACTCCGAGGACGAAGCTCTTCGTTAGATGAGCCTCCCAGCAACGGCGTCTTCAAAGAGCTTTTTGGACCGAGTCTTGCGGTGTGACGCGTTGTGTTAGCTTCCAACCGGTCGTTTGCTCTCAATGCCGCGCAAGTGCACAAGTCTTCTATCCCATCGCACTTCGGAGAATACATCCCCGCTGCTGGAGAGGTCAATGAACGACGCAATATACATCGAGAGTCGTGTAACTCGACACTCGCTCCTGCTTTGCTCATGGTTTCCATATTGCTAACTCATAGTCAACTGTGTAGAGTGGATTAGGAGCGGAGAACAAAGTAGCGCAAGATATATATCCGGGCAGAGTGTGTTGTTACGCTAAGTGCCAAGCTTTCTCCGCCTTCAACCCTTTGTGTTCAACCCGGTGTCGCCGTTGCAGGGATTGGCGGATGCACCGTATAAGGCGTGGGGTATGGCGCATTATAGGGACTATTTGTTGCTAAACGTTTTTTTCAGGCACTAACAGCTATTATCCAGTTGTACTAGTTATATTTCCGGTATCGCCGTCCGATACAATTTACTATACAATCCAGATCTCCTGCGTATAATATACTAAAGTTTATTTATTCTAGTTGCAAATTGAAGTTATTTGTAAATCGTCGCTATATGTTCGTTAGTATTATCCCGGGCTTAGCTACTCCTAGTACTAAGTCAAGTAAGTATATAGGACTCTAGGCGATAGCTACAGAATATGAGGCCCTGAAGTAAAGCTCTGTGGACTTATTTACAGGCCTGTAGCTAAGAGTATCGTAGCTTGGAACGAAGGCCCGAGAAGAGAGAGGACGGCTACTATACTATATTAGGTACTTACATCGCTAGACTAGGTACTTGGAACTTAACTCTAAGCCCTAGATATAGTATATAACAGCCCGAAACGATATTCTGAAGAAGTATTTATAGGAATACACTATAGTAAATACTAAGCTTGTAGTTATAGAATATTACTTAGATAAAGGGGGATAGCTAGTATATTAGTTAAGTTATTTCCACTGCTGAGTTATAAGTGAGCAGGATTTCGAGTTATAACTACAAAGTATAAAGTTCTGAAGTAGTACTCTATAGTAATATTCTATAGTAATATATTTCAGTAAATACTAAACTCTAGCTACAAAGTACGAAAACTTAGAGTAAGATACTTAGAGATAAGGGGATAGCTGTTATCCCGACTAAGTTACCCCTGCTACTGAGTTAAATGAATAGCTTCAATTTGCAACTAGAATAAACAAATTTTAGTATTATACGTAGAAGATCTAGATTATATAGTAAATTGTATAGGACAGCGATACTGGAAATATAACTAGTATAACTGGATAATAGCTGTTAGTGCCTGAAAAAAACGTTTAGCAACAAATGGTCCCTATAATGCGCTATAGTGGGGATTGCTTGAGATGGTAACACGGCATATCGCTAGGTACGGACGAATTGCAAGATGTCGACTGCTGAGGTTTCGCGCATTGAAAGCCGTTTGGCATGCCCTCGGAGAAAAAGCAGCTGAACTCGGATATTTTGACTTTTTCATTGTGAATATTAGCATCGCTCTGTTCTACAATATTCAAGGTGCTTTCTCTTACATACATGAATGCCGAGTCAAGAATGTTTTCGCAGCACTTGGCACCCTTGTGGTCTTCTTTCTCAGATACCCCCGCGGCTACCCAAAATTAGACTTTCTTGGAGCGGAAGAAATTGATACCGGTCCACCTTCTAGAGATTGAAGGTATTTCATCGAACTCATCCACTTTTATTCCCTCCCCTCCCACCTCTTTCGCCGTTGCCAGCAATCCTCCTAGAGATTCGACCTTCCATCCCCCCGCAGTAAGTCATTTGAGAACCAGCTCAACCTATTCCGCAGAGTATGACCTTTGGTCGTGCATAATAATAATCCCACCAGGCTTCAGAATACTTAGGACGTGCGCCGCATTTATCTTCGCGTTATGGATCTGCGGGTCATGAGGGAAGATGCTCCCCAACACGAGTCTGTAACCTAAGCTCTTGACCTTATCAACCAACTTTTTGTTGAAGAGCCCTGAGCCAAGGCGAAAATACTTCGATGACCCTGGATTGACTAGTAATATGACTTCCACCTCTTTGATCTGCCTCTCGAGCTCAGTGAGGGGCAACATAATACTTGGCTCATCAGCCCACGCGTGGTTCCCGGCCTCATGACCCACATCACGAATCCGCTGGAGAAGACCGGGATGGTTTGCGACCTGACCTCCTCCGATGAAGAAGGTTACCTTTGCTCCGTAGATTTTGAGCGTATTCAGAATATTAGCTGTCTCGTCCGAAGGCGCGTCATCTAGCGTCAAAGCAACCATTTTCCGAGTTGACGGAAGAGGCACGTGAAACAAGACATCCGGGTATTTCCATTGAAGGAAACGGATAATAAATGTGGGTGGTTTGTAGATGATTTAGGCGATCAAAAAGACTAGGAAGATCAGAAGCACCAACAGGAGGATAAGCATTTTTATTATGCGAGAAGAAGAAGCCCTTTTATGGCTTTCACCTGACTGCTGCTCTTCGCCGTCTATATTGACATACCTTCTGGGAGCGCTGGACCAGAGACGGTGGGCCCGAGGGAAAGAAGTTAGCCCAAGGCGACGAGCACGACGGAGGAGCGGTGCTATGAGACGCACTGACAGTCACAGGCTGTGGTATATGACACTATCATCATTGGTGATAAAGCTGTTTGGGGGTCTCTTGCAGCGGTGTTTCCGAGCTAGTAGTAATGGGAGTCGGAGATGAAGCTTCAACGAACGTCAAATTGATACTTGTATCACCAGAGCCCCCGATACTTGCTCGACTGAAATCGCTATCATGATCAGATACAATCAATGGTGGAGTATTTGCATGGTGCTTCAAACCTTCCCAACAACGTTTCTCTCTCGTCCAAATCGCCTCTTCCATACCCCCGCAACTCCAACATCCCGTAGACCCTGACTCTCCCCAAATCGTGTAATTGTGTGCCCTGTGTGCGCCAAGTACCTGCTGTGTGTTCTGTAATTGGTAATGTTGTTTCGATAAGGGTTCAAGAATCTGCTGGGCAGGACTACGGTGACAGGAAGTGGCGATGCTCTCCCAGATCCGCAGAATTGTGCGTGCTATGTGTTTGTTGTGTTGTACGGTGTATAATGTTACTGCATCTGAGATCTGGGTAATCCAATTGAGGCTGTGTTGAGGTAGGAAAACCATGAGGAGTTGCCGCCGGCTTCCACGAACGCTTCACTGCAGCCACCTTCCTCCTATGCTGACCACCGCCCGTGGTCGCTCCCTAGCACAATCCCATCTGCCACTACAAAGGGGCGCAAGTACGCTCGCTTCGTCTACTATATCTACCCCGAATGGATGACCTCTGCCATACTCTATCGTAGGGCCCTTAAAAAAGTACTATCTTATTTTATCTAAAATAAAGAGCTCGCGATATCCGCTAATATACTTCCTAATAAGATTATTCTCTACTATCTAGAGGTATTATATGAAGGATTTTATTAAATGCTTATAATCTAGGCTTCCTATAGTTAAGATACTTCCTCTTTTTTTTAAACCTCTTAAACCCTATAATTGCATCTACGCCTCCGGATTACTACGACGCAGTTTATCCTAACCCTCTGTTGTAGTGGAGACCTACACTTTGGAATGAAGCTATCCCCACTTTAGGACCTGGGGAGGTCCTAATCAGTCAGCGGACACGAGAGATGGGTTTCTTTCTTTTCTGTTCAAGTTTACTATACTGGTAGAGTCGCCTACCTAGTTACAATAGACTCTCTTAAAACCGTTGCACGCGCGGATGAGAAATGTCCTGAGGCAATCCGGGGTTATATAGCTGTACAGGAAGCATTTATAAGTTTAGGGGAAAGAAGTAGCCGCAGATATAGGCTTCATAGACACACGAAACAAGGGCTTTGGACGCACATCTAAGATATGATATCAACAGACTTTCGGGTTCTCTGCAATTATACTAATGAAAACAGTAGGAGGCCCCACAAAGAACCAGCAATCGCTCTAGCATCCTATCAAAATATCATGCCTATTATTCAACTGCATCCATGATGTTCAAGGCGTTCGATATCCGTCCAGTGATGGCACTGTCAAGCTTTAGACCGCTAGCATCAGCAGCAAACTTGGAGAATCGCTTCTTCCAAAACCCCCACCGCTCAACGCCCAGCGGCGATTTTCCATCGCAGAGCGTGCCTGTCCTAAGTGCCCGAGCCGTGCCCTCGTCAAGCTCTTCATTCGGGGTCATATACTTGAAGATGGGATCTGCGCAATAAATAATCCACTCGCTCGCCACCCACAACCGACACTCCATTGCGGACCCTTCCACTGGTGGTTCTTCAAGCGCCGTCCTGAGCTGCCAGATCGGGAGATGGAGCCAAGGCGCAAAACCAGTGCTTGTAAGACGGGCAACGAACGAATTTAGGTTCTTCCACTTCGCGAATTCTTCGCTCAGCCCTTCACCGGTAACGGTCGGGTCTGCGGGGGTATTAGCTAAGGCAATGTAGACCTAGGGCTCATTCATGGTGTGGTCAAGTACCGCTCCATTGTTCTCTTGCGCTGAACGATAGATTAGGGAGCTCCTTCCACGGCTGCAGATTGAGATCAGATTAGCAAAATAACCGGTGTTGAACACTACGTCGCTCGCGCTGCTCACCTGGCCATGATCCGAGATTAGGTCGTCTCGCTGGCGGAGATTATCCAGGGACCGGATCAAACTAGCTTGCCATAAATGTCCTGGAGGAACATAGCAGACTACATCAAGGACCACTGTCCAAATACGCCAAAGGATCTCGCCAACATCAGCTCCTTCCTTTGCTGATTTACAGGAAGAAGCTGATGTCGTCGGCGAGTTTGGCGCCTTTCACTTGTGGGTTTGCTGGGTACTGAAGAGTGACTCTCAGAACATTGAAAATAGCTCTTTCGGAATCTGTGAAGTGACTGAAGTCGATAGATCGGAGACTGATTTCCATTTTCGTTTACCTTTAGCAGAGCACAGTGCGGATGGTTGATGGTTGATGACGCTGAAAGGGCAGGAAACGGATTGTGAGAAATGGTGAGAAATGGTGGATGCGGGGGGAAAGTGCTTGAGTACGAAGTATTTATCTGTGAAGCCAGTAATTGGGCTGATACGCAAACGGAAACTTGAGGTGGCGGCAACCTTCGATTGGATGCCGATAAAGGAATTTAATAATGCCAGCCAACGCTTTGTAGAAGGTATCAAAACACTGTATACCAGCCGTCTGCCACCAAGCATGAAAATAAAGCAATGACCAATCCAACATATGCTTCTAACAGACGCTTACGCCAAGCACTCCATAGACATGAATATATACGAGTATATTTTAAACGCGGGACATTATAATAAATATAAGTACCTTACTACAGTAGAAGGCGAACTGAGTGTCGCTTGTTGTTTAGTTATTTATTTTTAGGGAGCCCCATTTCCTGACACCTGTGGCTGTACACCCCTGCCAGGTTGTACTCAAAGGTACAGTGCCTCCTTATGTAATTGGCATCGCAGTACTCCGTGCGGAGTACGATGCCAATTCTTCCCCCATACCTTCTCCTTCTTTTCTCCTTCGTTTCCAACCCCCGCCAGAGTCAGCGCTTCGTGTCAGCCAGCGATGGCGCCTCAGCTGGATGCGGCACAGCATATTTCTGATCAAATCATTACCAAAACAAAAGTTTGAGACCGAACTAATAGCCCCAGAAGCTGCCTGCAGTGTGCGCGCCGTCCAAAGAATCCGTCTGAGACAGCATTTCGAAATGCCCACCCTAAGAACAAACCGTGTCGGTCGTCGTACCTGCATTCCTCTATCGTACCTAGGTAAGTTTCGTAAAAGGGATATCAGAAATATCAGTCGGTCGGACTCTACGATCAATAGGCTAGACAAGAACAATAATCCATCGCATCGCCTAACAACGGAATACCGACCTTCCAGATTACGATCTACATAGGATGTCGAAGTACACGTCTGACCAACTTATCTTTGCTGATGAATCTGGCTGCGATGGAAGGGCTAGATATAGGCGTTAGGGGTGGTCTCTAAAGGTATGACGGTATACACAAGAGAATTGGAGAGGTTCACGCCACGGACAGCATCTTGGTACTGAAAAAGGTGGCATTGTGCCTGTCTCTGTGGAAGCAGGAGCGGTGAAGTAGAGGAAATAACTACCAGGTACCTATGTACATGGTAAGCGCTAGGTTGCAGCCTCAGCCTCAGCCCTACGTATCCCGTGTCAGCTTCTTCCTTTTCTAGTAATGTTTTACGAGTACCTCATTACCTTCGTCGACCGTTCTAATATTGGCAATACAAACTTCAACATCTGCAAGAAGATTTGTCCTATCGCCCAACAAATGCTTCTGATACTTAGGGTTCTCTTTCCCGGCTCAACTTTGGCTTAGGCCATACAGCCACAACATAGGTTTTATCGATAGTCTATCGCCTTGACAGCCCACCGCCCTCCGGAATCTCGCAAAGACACCATCATGGCGGGCATTCTTCTTGCTGGAGCGCCCATCCTCGTGCTGCTCTTCGTAGCCAGGACTCTATGGCAGTATGTGGCGGCGTTTCGCAAGGCGGCGAAGCTCGAAAAGGTGACGCCCATCCCGGTCGTGAGGTCCTACATACCCCCGCAAACCCCCATTCTGCAGCTCCTAGAACCGTATTTCTCGCCCTGGATGTTGTCGCTACCCTATATGTTGCGGCACTGGTATGAGTACTGCGGCCACACGGCGGCTTGGAGTCATAAGGGGCGGCTGCCACGCGAAGAGCTCGGGTCCGATGTGTACTGGGTCGTAGGCCTGGAGGGGAGACGGCTATACGTCCAGGACCCTGAGGTGATTTACGAGATCACGCACCGATGGCGGGACTTTCCTAAGCCTAAGGGGTACTATAGTGACCTTAGGTTGTTTGGCGAGAATGTAGTTACAGTGGAGGGATCGGAATGGCAATATCACCGGCGTATTATCACCGCGTCATTCACGGAGCCGACGATGAAGTAAGTGCTTTTTCATTCTCTCTAGGTCGGCAGTTAGCTCATGCATCGCGAACAGCCTCGTTTTTGTCGAAGCACAACGGCAAATGGCTAGCCTGATTGATAAAATTGGCGGGCGTCAATTTACCCCAGCCTCTGTCATGAGTAAGCTCTCCACGCACATGATTGCCGGCAGCGGCTTTGGCCAGTACATGGACTGGTCGGGTACGGATCTCCCATCCTCTGGATCTAAAGGCCTCCAAGCGCATGAGAGGGGAAAGCCTACCACGCTCGCCAGCGTTGTCGAGGCGTTCGGCGAACACCTACTCCCCATGATCGTCTTCCCAGCCTGGCTGCTCAAAAGCCTGCCTTCGCCGACCATGAACATGGTTGGTAACAGCAAAGAGAACTTCGAGACGCTGGTCAGGGCGATGATCCAAAAGATCCGCGACGCCTCGCAGAAGGAAAAGGATGCCAGCCCGAACGCGGCACGTAAGAGCGACCTCCTGAGCAACCTCGTCAACGCGCCCTCGAGTGTGTCAGGCGGTACGTTCAGCGAACAAGATATCATCGGCAACGTATTTGCACTGTCGTTCGCCGCGGAAGAGACGACATCGAGCGCGCTACAGACGGGCCTGATTCTGCTGGCCATCCACACAGATATCCAGGGGGCGCTGCAGGCCGAGGTAGATGCCATCTGCGCCAACAAGGCTGCCGGTGAGCTTATGGACTACAAGACGGACTGGCCCAAGATGAGGAACCTGATGGCCTTTATGGTATGTTTGGTAGCACTCATGAATCGACTCAAGTCACAGACTAATGCGTCTTGAAGCTCGAAGCCCAACGTACCCATCCTAGCTTCCCTGCCCTTCCTAAAGAGGCCACTACGGATCAGCAAATCACTTACCGCGGCCACGATATTGACATCCCCGCTGGCACCATCATCCTCTACGATATGGTGGCGCCTCACTACGACCCCAGACTCTGGGGTCCCGATGCCAGCGCCTTCCGGCCCTCGCGCTGGCTCATGCCGTCCGGCTACGAAGCTCCTCCGAAGTCTGTTAACCACTGCCGTGACCAGCGCGACATGCTGTGTCCGCCGCGCGGCGCGTTCGTCGCGTTTTCCGAGGGCTACCGCAACTGTCTCGGCAAGAAGTTTGCGCAGGTCGGCTTCTGTACGCTGTTTGCAACGCTGCTGCGCACGCACTCGGTGGAACTAGTGCCACATGGGGACGTGGCGGACGAGAGCGAGGCGAATTGGGAGAGGACGAAGGGGGAGGCGGCACGCAGGATAGAGAACAAGACTCTGGTGATTTCGATGAGGATCAGCAAGGATGTGATGGTAAGATTCGTGAGGAGGGGGACTGAAAGGTTTCCTCCCCGGGCGGCGAAAGTGTAGGATTTGCTTTTCATAGATGCTTCTTTTAACAAATTTGAAAATGAATCAGTAAAAGGGAACCCCCGTCTTGCCTCGCCGACGTCACCTGATGCCTTACTCACCACCTTAATAATCTCATTAGAACTGGTAGCAACTCCTGGTTATATTCTGGGGTTGACACAGCGTATGAAGTATGTCTATTTACTGGTGACTTCGAGTTTGCTATGTACTCAAAGAGTGGAGAGTTGACTTGCGTACATATCGATATTGGCCGATTGCAGCGAGATCCTCAAGGCGGCAATCCACCTTTGAAGTGTGACCTCCACGAAAGCGGGCGTTTCAGGGCTGGAGGTGTGGGCGGTGGCAAAAATAGCTTTTTAGCTAGCTGAAAGAGGGGGACACTGCTTAGGCGCCAATAAAGGGGCACAAAGGGGCTCGCTTCGCTACCAGTGTGACAGCCAACATTTCCCGAATTTTGCCCGGGAATCCGTTTAGGAGCCCACTTTCATTGCTCCAAAGGAACTAGGTACACTCGATATTCACGATGTTTACACTTGATTTGTATGTGGCTCCAGGAGAAATATTTGGAGAGATATAGATTACAATCACTGAGAAAATCACAGGAGCAGTTCTCGATCGCAATCTCGTTCACCGAGACGGCACCCTAACGACTGTAATAAAAGAAGTCACTGCAGCGATAACAGATTACCAAGAAACCAAGTTTATCCCCAAACTATAATATAGATAAAAGAAAACGAACTTTTCCGATTCAAAAGCTGCAATCTCAGACTGTTCCAAACCCAACCAAAACAAAAATTTCCTCCTCAAAGCTCTTCTAACTTTTCTATAAAGCTTTCTAACACAATTTGTTGTCGGCAGTTAATAACTTGGATTGTAACCAAAGCAACAATAGTAGCTTTCGCTTTCGCTTTCTTTCCCCCCGTTTGCGTGAAGCCAATAAGCTGTACAGAATGCGCCACACTTCCAGCTTCCAGTTCCCCACTGCTGTCTGAGGGGACTACAACGAATTGCTGGTTTAACAAGAAGCGATCCTTTAGTGTCGAGCGAAACGTCTGGAGGAAGTCAAAAAACTTTTTGAGAGTTGATGGCACGCCATTGATGCTGTGAAATAATCAGCCAAGTGAACAACAGAAAACGACTTTCAGGGACTCACGTCTCAATATCTTGTGTATTGATAAAGCTTGCCTCAAAAGTATCTTTAAAGATCTGGTCGTTGTCTTGGACTCCTATAAGATAGGTAACGTTGGAGAGAAATGCTTTAATGTTAAGATCTTGGAACTCGGCCTTCAACGGAGGAGTCACCGACAGGATGCTGGCTTCCTCTTCGATCTCTTGCTGGTCAGAGAGCTTGGCGCGCTTGCGACGGGGCGAAATTTGGGCCATGGCTATGCAGGCAATTAGAGAGCGTAAGAATTCCGGTCTAGGATGCCACACTTGGTTTAGGATCTAGTGCGGAACGCTTCCAAGTGGTTGTAGTATTCCAACACGTCTTTTTCAAATATCAAACTAATCTCTGACCCTGAATCACTGTCTAAGATACAATAGTTATATATTTCGTAACGCATACTTTCGGTCACTCTTACGCCACCTTGTACCAAGAATTACTCACTACAGTAATATACCTTTACTAGTAATCCGGCTTACTAGGTGAAAGTCGTTGGAAAGACAGTCTATGTGAGATGTGAGCACTCTGTGGTGCTGTGGCTTGCTTGGTGTGATAATGTCATGTGGAAATATTTGGGTTTCATTTTTTTTTATTGCCGCCTGTCTTGATCGTGTGAGCTGCTAGAGCAAGAACTAAGGCAAATGTACTTGATCTGTTATACTAGCTTGGGTAATGTCTCCGATTGATTAATCGGCCTCTCTAATTAGTCAATATATTACCATATACTTTAATTTCTCTCTATTGGCTAATATACTACCTTGCTACTTAATATATATTTACTTTTAGGGTAGTTGAACACCACTGTTTTTTCTTTCGTCCCAAGGTCGGTTAGTAAGCCTAGCTGCTTAAACTCAGGCGCTATTCACTTCCGGCTCACCCTCGGCTCACCTAGCTCACGTGAGCTACCTGAGCAGTCCCTGAGCAGTACCCACTGCTGACTCACGTCTTTATTGTCCGAACAACGTAACTAATAATGTAGGATTTGGCTTAGGCCCTCATATCAATTTTGTCAAATTTTGACGATTGTCCTGGGGGAGCCTAATCAGGCCCCTAATAGTCCTAAACTTAACTCTCTTTTGGAAGTTTCTTTTTATAGATATATCTCTCAAGTATAATTCATTTGAATATATTCCTCTAGCTAGCCTCTTCAAGTATTGTTATCAGCCTCGCAACAGTCAATTTATTGCTAGCTTCGTGAGAAAGCAGTTTCCACGGTACTACATAGGCGAAGTTGCTGTCTCTACTCGAGCTCATATATCGAAGCACCACCTTCATTCCTCTTCGGGTGTGAAGAACGCGTCGGTAAGATTTAGGGAACTCCTCATCGTCCTGCTGCATGGCAAACTGTAAAACCGTGGCGGCTATTCCCGCCGCAATGACAGTGGAGCAGGAAGAGCCTGCGAAAGGTGGGCTCCTCTCCCCGTCTGGCAACCTCAAGCTAATGCCCTCTCCGAGAACAGCAAAGTTCTCTGAATACCCTACCGGCGGCGGGTTGCGTATGGAAGTCCGGCCGTAGCCATCTGCAGAGTTAATAGTGATAGCTTCTTCGAAAAGCGGTCCGGGGCTATTCAGTGTCCCGCCCCCGCTTGCTGCGAATACGAGGATGTCTTGATAGGCCACATCGTGAAGTTGCTGGATAACTCCCAAACCTAGTTTCGAAAAAGTGATAGTCAAAGCGATGATATCCACCTCTTTAATCATCGCCCAATCAAGCGCCTAGAGACTTAATTAGAGAATGAAAAGGTTGAGGGCTCTGTTAGACTTACTTGAGCGACTTCTGAGGATTTGACTCTCTTACCAGTGGAAAACTTGGCAACGAAGATATCAGCAGTTGGTGCTATAACCGAGAGGAGTGTACTGAATTCAGCACCAAGTCCCTCCGTGCCCTTGTTTCCCCGTTTTCTTTCGCCTTTTTCGGGGGTCCAGACGCGTTGGACTTGATCCGGCCATTTAGGAAGAAAGATCGAGAGATGGGTCATCCACATCCAAAATCGCAATTTTGACTTTTCTCTCGTATACGCGATATCGTACCATGACTAAACGTAGACAGTGGTCGTGCCATTGCTGAATCCATTGGTCTGCCGCTTCTTGTCTAATGAGTAATTAGTTCTGTCTCTGCAGGCGGGCTGGGATAGATTGACTTTGTGTTTTTCTCTGTTAGGATCAAGTCGAGCCCGAGTGACCTGATACCATGATTAGAGAATGAATCCACCTAAAATAAATAAAGGGGGAGGTATTTTGGGGGGTGGGGGTTCTTGGTCGGCGAGGTCAGAGTGAACTCACGTTGTCGAACTGTAACTTTCCTCGGGATAAGTGCTTTCCCGCACTTGAGGGGTTTTATCTTGGCCTTGTGGGGGACTTTCGGTGGACTGACCATGGCTCGATATGACGTGTCTTGGGCTCTCGAGATGCCAATCTCCTGGCTGTTCAATGTTCTGGGGCAGGCCCTCGTTCGAAGGATTCGGACGGGGCTGATGTGGATTATCGAGAAGTTGTTCGAAAACATCAAGCCCGTCCGCGAGGAGGAAGGCTTTGACTGAAGGATGGATAAACACAGCGAATCTTCCTTCGGCATCCTGTAAAACTTCCATTAGACCGCCGGACAAGTTGCCGACGCGGAATTCAATCCCAGGAAGCTCCCTTTCGATTTGTTCGGGGTCAACGGTGTAGGCATCTGAGAATTTGACTTGGGAAATGAGCCGATGAAGGTGAAGAGGTTCGTATGTTCTTGTAGCCCAATCCAGAAGCATATAGGCATCAAACCTGTTATCTGGTTCAATCACGGTGCTTAGAATCTCAGAATAGATCTCCCCTAGCCTTGTCTGAACTTCATCTAAAGCAGTGAAGATGATATCAGTTTTCGTAGGAGCTTGATTCAAGCGCCTAATAACCTCAGGCATCACCAAGCATACCCAGAGAAAGACACCGTGTGACCTGCGTTTGATTTCAGACTCTAAGGTAGCCAGAAAGCCAGACTTTTGATGGTAGTCTCCGTGGACTATATAGGCATCTTTAAATTGACGGTTAATGTAATTTGCAATATCTAGGTGGTTCTCGTTTTCTACGATAATGGTGTGTTTCTCGGTAACTGGGAGGATAGGAAAATGACGACAGGAGATGCATGTTTGCACTTTCACCCCCATCTGCCGTAATCTGTTATCCAGCTGGTGCAAGTGCGTGACGACATCGTTGGCGCTTCCCTGGCTAGCCTCGTCGACTGCATCGACAAATATTATTACCTTTCGCGGTGATTCCTTGAGCATGTCAAGGCCAGCGTTTAGGTACCACCGAAGCAGCTTCTTCTCGTTTTCATGCCATTGATCTTTCAATTCGGGAGAAACCTGCCATCTATCTTCACAGAACTCCGTGAAGCGCGCTAGCGACCGAGGTGCCTGCTCGAGAAGTTGATACAACAGTGTTCGATACAGGCCCAGTGGCGATTTGTGTAGTTCCTGGACTCCGAAGGCGTTGAAAAAGAATGAGAGCAAAACCAAACCAGTTGTCTGTTTCTGGGCTTCAAAGTGCTCAACCAAGTATTCGACCAGAGTTGATTTTCCGGCGCCTGGCTTGCCTTTGATCCAAAGGGGGCCTTGGGTCTCTGTCGTCCATTCGATATATGTCCTGTTGTTTAAGATCCAATTGCATGCATTTACGTTACCATCCGTCCCATCAAGCAGTTGGATCTTTCGGAACATCATCTCAGGGAATCGCAGGCTTTTAAGACAGTCTCACCTCGCGTCAACATGAAGATGGGAAGTATGGAGGGCGGCCGTCTTACCGAGTTGCAGTCGACTAAGTTCGTGGCCTATATGAAAACTAAATTAAGAGAAGGCTTTGTGAAAGAATGCTGGACTAACCACCTATTTCACCACCAGTAGCTTCCCTTCCCCACTCTTGAAGGATTCCCAGGACAAGACCGTAGTTATTGTCTCTCGTAGAGAATATGCAGACTGTACTATGATTGCAACCTTGCATTGGAACTCTGCGTTCGCCGGCACTTCCGATAATACCTGTAGTGTTATCGACAATCTTCACCAATTGTTAGTATCGATGTTGAACGTCAGCTGCGGGTCATGCTCACGCGAGTGTTTGATGGAGCCGTGATCAATTGCTCAATTAATGAAGCAATTTTGATCTGGAAAAGGCGCTCTGAGAAATCTAGAGATAGCTGCTCTAGTGCGGGGGCATCCTTCTCCAGCATTTTAATGAGTTCGGTTCGCGAGCGTCCGATTAGCCTCGAGAGCCCGGGCGTTGCAAGATTGGCAACACCTGCTAGCAGATTGGGAAAAGTTGTCACATTTGATCCGCGATGCGGAGTTGAAAGGAACAAGATGCCGTAGCATGATCTCTGGATATCGCCATAGAGGGAGCTGGTGAGAATGGCAATATTGATCGCCTAGATACCTGAGACAGAGAATCAGCTACTGCTCATGCTCTTCAGAGTAGAAATGAACAAAATGACAACTAGCTCTCTTTGCCACGAGACCACCCATGCTATGACAAACAAATATGATGGGCCGTCTTTTATTCTAGCCATGCGTCAGCGTATGGGGAAATCACTGGTTAGAGCCAAACCCACGGGTCCGACGCGCTTCTACTTCAAGCTTTCCAACAGAGCCGTAGCGAAGTCATCGAGATTGCCCCTAGCTTTTGTGAAGAAGACCTGCGCATCGTAGCCATATGTGAACACACGTGCCCCAGGAAGGTCCTCCAAGAGGAAATCCCTCAACCAGAGGACTTTATTGTCGGCAGTCCAAGTGTCGTAAGCGTCTCCAGTAATCCCATGGAGTGCGACAATGTCCACGGGCTAAGGCAGGCGCTCGGCCATCGATTTGAAGTTGGAGAACGCCTTCCATTGAGTAGATTAGCAGCCGTATCTCTGGTGGTAACTTCCTGAGGCTGCATCTCTGCGGTGGTGACTTCAAGGCGTGATTTGCTTGGAGAAGGCGCGAGAGAGATTCCTCGATATGGAACATCCTTGGGATTTGTCGACGAGTTGAAGTGACCAAGACGGGGGAAGGCCTAACTAGGGACTTATGCTCTACTAGGGCCTGCGGAATCTTCAAGGCAGTAACATTTGTTTCACGCGTGCTTTGAACGTGCTTTGTGGGCTGAAATGGTCTTCAGTCTAATAAAAAAAAGTTTTGTCGTTTCATCTAGCCTGAATATTCAAGGTCCTGACTTGAAAAAGGAGGAAGTTCCCTAACCGTTCAAAGTCTCGAGCAACACATTTCATTGCCCAAATCTTTCATAGCTGTGCTTTTCAAACTGTTGTCCCTGCAAAGCTGCCGTCTGAAACCTCAACTTCCCCAAGCCCTTCCTCATCCCGAGAACCAACTAGGTACAGCCAGGAATTCCCAAGGCGTCCACAGTGGTGGCCGTCAACCCAATCCAAGCTCTCATCGCATTAACAATACTCAAATCCCTATGCACTCTCGTGTATCCACCATCTTTCATTGTATACCCACAACTGCCATCCACAAACGCCTGATCCTTCGCAATTCCCACACAACCACTTAAAGGCTGACTTCCTGCATACAGAGCACAATCACTCAGCCCATCAGGGAAGCCGGAGCCTCCTGCTGCTGTGAACATATAGGAGGACAGAACGAGTTTGATCTGCCAGTCGGCGTCGGTGCGGGAGAAGAGCTGAAGTTCGAAGGCGCGGTGTTTGGCTGGGTCTTTGTCTTTGATTAGGACGGAGCCATAGGATTGCATGTCTCGTGATGATGAACCCTAAAAACTATCAGCCAAGCAGATTCGGCTCAGATAAGAGGAGAAAATGGGGAATACGAACAGGACTCTGCTGATCATGATCATCATTCTGTACCGCAAACCTACTAGCAGGAATAACCCAACTCCCACAAATCGGCATTTCCTTCGGATAATCCGAGCTCCAAATTTTAATCTGATTGATCTCCGCCTGCGTGAATCCCTTCCCGCTCAAAATAGTATTGAAATTCGTATACCAAGAATCAGCACCGCCATCACAAGCAAGCACGGATGCTTCGCCTCCAAGAATGACTTCTAGCCAGGAGATATAGTCGGCTGGCATGCTGCCTCCCATTTTCCTTTTGATGATGGCGAAGATGGCTGCAATGGAGGAAGGGCCAATGTGTTTTGCGGCATCGAATCGCACGCCGCTAAAGCCGATGGAGAGGAGGTCGACGATGTAGGTAGCGATTCTATCTTGTGTATAGGGATTTTCGGTATTCAGATCTGTAAGTCCAACTAGATACCCCTTCGTGACCTGGTTCATATCTGTCCAGGAACTAATGCTTCTCTCGCAGTGGAAATCACTGGGACCGTATGGCACGGCAGGAAACTCCATAGTTGGTCGAGTGCCGGTTTGTGGGTTGAGGAGATAGGTGTTTCCGGATGTGAAGTAAGGAGATCCTGCTGTGGCGTTGTGGCCGCTGTAGAGAGAACAGTCTCTGTTGCGGTGGTTTTGGACGTCCGTTCCTTGACCAACCATGTGGTTGACTACTGCGTCGGCGTAGACTCGAACGCCTGCTGTGCGGCAGGCTTGGATCATGGCGCGTAGTTCAGAACGGGTACCGCTACGTGACTGAAGCCTGTAACTGACGGGCTGATAGACTAGATACCAGGGGCGGAATTGCTTATCGGTTTCGTACTGTTGAAGTGTAAGTCTTCGTCTACTTTAAGATTACAAGGGGACTTACATAGTTGGATCCCCAAACATGCTCATTAGGTGGCCATATCTTGACGCCCATGTAGCCAGCTTTGCCCAAGAAGGCACACTCCTTTCCAACATCAACCCATGGCCATCCGAAAAGTTCAACAATACCTCCCTTTTGGCCGTTCTGAAACGTGCTCTGGGCAGCAGTGAGGGGTGCATTCTGCCAGATGAAGTTGATCTGGTCCAGAGTCAGAGTCTTTCCGCTGGACGTTGAGATGGTCATTGCCAATGCTCCAGAGAAGCTTGAATCGACCTGAAAGACATTGCTTGTACTTGCCGCTGATCCTCCAAATGAGTAGGTCAGTGATTCGCCAGTTCTTGATGCTGCATTGATGACCACAGCTGCGGCTGTTCGAGCAGAATTGTATTGGATGTCTGCATATCCAACTAGATCTCCGTATGTACCAAAAGTAGGATCATACCCTCCAGCGCCACTGGGTGGAGTCTGCCAGCGTCGATTTTCAGCTGAAGCTGCGAATGCAGATACACTATCGGATGGACAGCTATCGCCACCGTTCCAGTTTCCGCAGTCACTTGGAGGCGTCGCAGCAGCTTCGCTAGGGATCGAAGTTGGGATGATTGGAGGTGGAGCACTGAGTGATACTGATCCAGTTCCAGGAGGTACCGTAGTAGTTGAGCTAGATGCAAGTGTTGAGCTGACACTTGTGGTCCCTGAGCTGGACGGCGAGGTTGTGGATGACTTGGAGCTTGTTGGTGATGCTATAGATGTTGAACTAATTTCATAGTTCACGGAATTGCCGGGGTCATAATATCTATGATAAAGTTAAAGACATGTCCATTGTATGATCATTTTGAGAGACATACGATGTTCCGCTTATATCATATCTGATGTAGAACCGAGTTGCACCAGTGGCTGTCCCAGAAAATACCCAGGTTTCGTAGCCACTGGAGCCTGATGCTAAATAACTCGCGGCAATATTTTGAGAATCGCTCCAGTTATTTCCAACTGCATAAAGGACAGTTACGACCTTTGCGTATGCGATGTTCTGTATCTAGACAGACCTCGCTTAGCGCCTCGTTTCACAGTTAAGAGGTCAGGAGTGCTTACATTGATTGACCCGGCAAGGACATTGTTGGAAAAAGTATAGCTGATTAAAGACACTTGGGTTGCTCTTTTGTCGAGAGGAGTTGCAAATGTAGCGGCGAAGATAGCTAGGAGAAGAATAGAAAGCTGTTGAATCAGCCTAGATATCACAAATGTAGCCATCTGATGAAATGAGCGGGTGGATCTATTCGGGTGATAGACCTTGATAAAAGAAGGAGAAATTCGGGATTTATGTATTGCAGCTGCTATGGAAAACTTCAATCATCACCAATTACAACATGTTATACACAAAGCAAAAGTCAAGCAGGCTGTTCCGGTGACTGAGTCCAGGAGCTATGTCGGCCTTCCACTTGTCTAGCTCTAAGATAAAGGTATATCTGGCATAGAATATACTACTTGTAGCGTTTAAAGTCACGTAGGGAAAGTGCGGAAGCTGTTTCTCCAATCGGACCGCCCCTCTCTTGGCAGGCACTTGCATGCAATGTGATTTTGGCTAAGGAAATAAATAGACTTTGAAGAGAATCAGGGACTGCAGATGTTATTCAATCACCGACGAACGACCGAGCCCTCGGAGAACAGACCCCATGGGGGATGAGTGCCGGGCATGCATGGTGCGTCTGGGGAAACACGTGTATTATGGTCGGTAGAAGCTGCTCACCGTCACAATCCAAAAGGTGTACCTCTCAATAACGACCTCACATGATTGCCATGATTTTCTTTGGTCTGTTACGGCTCTATTGCATCTCTTTCGTGATCATATGGATGCTTGGCGGCAGGATCCCTACAGGCTCGCAGTTGTTGTTCCATGACAGCGACTTGGATGATGCGGTAGATTCAGCGTCATAACCAAGGATCAGATTCTTGCATAGCCATCTGGTCCTGCCAAATGTAGCCTCTGAATTGTGCCTCCCCTCTGGGTGAGTGAAGCAGGAGCGAGGAGAAGGCAAGATGATTGTCAATCGCGGGGTAATCACGTGAGATTTATGCACCCCGCATAAGAGATTCCCCCTTGTCAACGTACCCGCTTAGGTTGTCGTAACAAATTCCTTGAATGTGAACGTAAAACAATTCTTGACAAATAAAAGATCTTTTCGAGGGTTGTAAGTCCGCCGGCAATGTCATTTGCCGCTTGGCGCGTAGTATTACAAATCGAAGCGAATCTGGTAATGTTTGACCCAATTTATAGCTCCAATTTATGCCTTACTATTCTCGTTGCAGCAAGTTGACAGCGTGGTACACAAAAGTGATGTCAACTAGAGTAAAATACTGCAAAATGCAATACGCAATATCCTATACCCTTTTGCAAACGAAAATGCCGGGATAACAGCTTATACATACCAACGAGAGATATATTGGAATGCCATCCGAACAGGTCCAGATTGGTAGGTGCACACACCTTCGTTCGCCGAAAGCCCTAGAACGCCAGTACATTTGACTCAGAAATTAAAAGTCATTGCTTGAGGGGACATGATTTGCGCCTTCTTGCTAGCAATCTGCTGATACTATTGCCACTCGCAACTTGCTAGAAAGCACAACGAATCTACCTTCAAGATTGTTGGCTAGTCCTATTTCCATGGGATGAGGAATGGTGAAGGCATGCTTGGTAGTTTCCCAGATCCTTGGCTGTGGCAACGAGAACGAGGCCTGCGTGGATTTTATGGGAGCTCTGTATGGGGCGACTCTCTGATATATATGAGAGTATCTTGGGAACGATGAACCTTACCATCCCCACAGCACTCGCTAATTATGATTTGTGAGCTTCTTTGCAGTTTGATGACTCAATTCAGTTCCTAATTAGCAAGGCTAAGGACTCAATGTGCGAGCACGGCAGAAGAGAATATATTTTAGTCACGTGAGTGTGCGCAAGACTAGTTAATTCCTCTCAACTCTTGAGTAGCAATAGCAGGCCCAAGGACTTATATAGTTCATATGTCATTGTCCATCCGTTTCTATCCGAAAATGCATATAGTATGTCAGATAGTGGGTCTATAATACGTATTATAACCAATACATGGTTAATATAGAAGGCTTAACTGTGAACTACATACCATATTCTATAGTAGCCAACTAAAAAACGTTATATGGCATTACACCATTTTATATTCTATCGTTGATTAGATATAAATATAGGCTGTTTGGCATCAATGTACTTAGAACAATAAGTCAACTGATATTCTTTACAATTTCCTTTAAACACGCCACCATTCAACGTAGTATTACCAAAAGTCTCTCTCCTGAAACTCGACTACCAAACTCCTGAGAAAACATCGGATTGAAAAAGACAAATGTGGCGGCGTAACCATGCCTGCCACTACTACCCTAGATGGTAGCTAGATCATAACAATCGTATAGAGTGTGTTGCCCCTCTTGTCCTCTCCTACTGTATTTTCGTAGATCGAGTCCGCAGGAATGTAGCTGTGGACCTGATTCACCTCTTTTTGGAGAGATCTAAAATGCTCTGTCTGCTCTTCCCAATGACAAGTTAGATGATGGCCCACCGCGAGATCAAGCATAGAATATCCAACCCGTCTAAACCAGCCATTATGTGCACCAGGGCTACCAGAGGGTTCGATCATAATCCCATATACCGAGTCGGAAATTTGATCCATTATGGGTAGCAAATATATCATCCTTTCGTCTGCTGGCTCCACATCCCAAATGCTTTTAAAGGTCAGTTGCTTCCAAGGCAATCCCATGCTAAATTCGGCCATTCCGTCTTGTTGGTACCAATACCCACGTAACAGCTTTCTACACCTCAGGCGTATATACCCGCTAGTGACCTGGCCCATAGAATTCGGAGGTAGTGATTGTATCTGGGCGTCGAGAAGGTTAGCATAAATTGAATTCCCCCTCTTACTCGAAGCCACATGGTGGTGATTCACAGCTTTGTTTTGAGATGTCCAAGACCAAGATGGCGCCTGATATTCGGCCGACTGGCCATTTTCTTTGGGGTTTGTTACACACCAAAGAAAATCTCGCGCCAAATCGTTTTTCCATAGCCCAGCAAGATATTGATCATCTCTCTCGTCTTGGTACCATTTGGCCACACCGGATAGGGCGATAAGCTTGTCAGTGCCGCGTGTCAGCTGCCCCTAGAATACAAGCGAACAATATGCGGCCACAGCTCCTCCAATTTCCAATCCCGGCCAAGACTAACTTCATAATGGTATGGAAAGCCGATGAACCCTGTAGGAAATACCCCGGATGGAATTAGTCGCCTGTTGCATTCCCAGAACACTTGGGAGCAGGTGAAGTGCAATGTACGAGGAGATACGAATCTCTCCTGGAATGGCCATGCTCGCTTAATACGAGCACCGGATTGGATTCGCTCTGTCTGGGTATATAAGTCAAAGATGATGTAATCACCTAGAGGGTTTTGCTTGACAGCTTTATTAGAAGGGGCGTTATATCTCTCGGGTTTCGTCGGAAGAAACATCCTATCTTGCCGTTTTCGGCATCCGCTGCAGCTATGTTGATACTTGAATGGCCATAAATGTCTGACATTAGGGCTGCCTCATGACGCCAATCGTCGGGGTCATCTTGGACGATATATAAAGAATTAATCCAGAGGTAGGAAATATTAAAGCTCTTGGTGATTTGAATTGTATCCGTAAAATTCTTCCAGAGACGGTCCCGAGGAATATCGAGAATGAATTCCTTGTAATTGGATTTCAAAAGCCTGAGGGATTCCAAACCACCCTAGCAGTGACTCAGGGTTTCATATTGGGTACCGCAGGGAATTTCAGAGGAGTCGCATAAACGTAGGGAATCTTTTTCTAAATGTAGTAGTTGTGTCGGAAGGCGGCCAAATCCTGGCTTCAAGCAATGGGGATGATGGTTGATACAACCTTGACACCACTGCCGTATAACTCTCCAAGTCGTCTTGGAATCTGTTGATTCCTCCATTGGCTCGAAATTAAACGAAGACGATACTATAAATCTGGTTCAATTTGAATATGACACCCTTTACTATAGAACACATACCTGGCATTAGAATCAACTGTGTAAGAAATGTCGACCAATTGCTTTGTTGTACCCTCCAGACTATTGACTAAGAGCCTTTGTGTTCTACGAAAAGAAGTGTAAAATAGCAATTTTGTAGATTTGGCATTGTGCAACGCAATTCAGATATTCTGTAGCTCCCAGCTGTAAGTAAAAACCGACAAATATCACAGCCTGTTGCTACCGTCTCCTCGACACATTAAAGAGCGTGATGATGGACAAATAAAAAGTCAGAGCTACTCTCAGTCCCAGGGCCACCGGCTAGCTTGATCTGAAACTCTTGAAGCACACGTTGACACGGCATGCATAGCTTGGTGTCCGTATTTTAGAAGACGTTAAACGAAACAGCTGAGGTGCTTCTAGACTTCTGAGAAGAGTGACGAGGAAAGTTGGCAGAATAGTCGCAAGGCTGTCGTGGTGTCGTAAGATCGCTTGCTTGTATTAAACTCGGAAACCAATAGGCTAGTTGAAGACAGCGAGAGAATGTTATAGTGGGTATTTGATGCTCACATGGATAACGGATCATATAAAGGGCGGTAATGCGTAGGAGAGCGAGGGGTATGTGGTTAGGTAAGATATTGGCCTTTGTTACTTGAGGAAGAAATTGAGATCCCGCTTAAATACACTGCTTTTAAAATTTAAAATTATTAACTAGCTACGAATTATACATTTAAATAAAATTCGAATATATTAAAGTTATAATATTATTACCTAATTTTTTTACTAAGAAATTTCTAGAATACCTAAAAAAAGTCTATAGAATTTTCTTATTTAATGTTCGCATCTAGAAACCCTTCAACTATATATTCGTACCTCATTCCTTGGACAAAGGCATTCGGTAAATTGTGAGATTGAATTACTGTCACGTGCGACTAGGCCAAGAGGGTTCCAAAATCGGCTCCGGAGGCTCTAGTAATATTACTAGATGATGAATTGTATAAACATGGCTGTGTTTGAGGTAGGTAGGTATTGGGACCCAACATGGCCGCTGGGGATTCCAAAACAGGACCCCGTATTATGACGCTCAGGTTGACTCAGGGGGCAGGGTTGAGCAGGCGCACAGGCCATGGTCAAGCGGGGCTCAGGAATGCCCTAGCATGCTCACCCTCGGCTCAGGTTCAAGCAGCCGCTACTCACGTCCGGAGACTAAAACGGAACCAGCGAAAACAAAATTAGAGTCTAACTTATTTGGTAGTATATTAAAAGTTTATTAATTACTACTTGTTAGCTAATCAGCGACTAGTTAATTACGGGGCTTTAAGGGGCTTAGGGCATAGGGTATTTATTTTTATATAATAAAATCACAGGATCTTTACATTTAGGAAATAGTTGGTTTTGCTCTTAGATTGATTCCAAAATTCTTATTCTCTAGGAAATATAGATTACTAATAAATAGTACTACACCTATTGTTAAATTAGACTCAAAGTACAACTCTGTCATATCCTTTCACCGACATATACAATCTAACTCTTTGTATACAATAATATAACGGTTATTTCAGCTTCTCCTACCCATTTTACTCTATGTAACCAGATATATAGCCGCGGTGATTAATATAATAAATCGTCTATAATTAACTTTATTTTACTCTCTCTTATCCCTTCGATTGTGTTTCCGTCGTAAGCAAGTTAATCACTCCATCTTCTCCGCTTTCCTAGCCACTTCACGACATATACAAGCGCTATCAAAACAGGAACCTCAATCAACGGCCCGACAGTTGCAGCAAGCGCCTGGTCGCTATTCGGGCCATAGGTCGCAACAGCTACCGCAATAGCAAGCTCAAAATTATTGCTCGCCGCCGTAAAACTCTGCGTCGTAGCAAGCTTGTACCCGAAGCCCAACTTGTGGCACACGAGAAGTGTGAGGAAGAAGATAAGTGCGAAGTAAATTATAAGTGGCGCGGCAACGCGGACAACGGAGACTATCTGGTGGACAACTTGCTTGCCTTGCGAGGCAAAGAGGACGAGAATTGTAAATAGCAATCCGATGAGCGACCACGGGCTCGCCCACTTCACGAACACGTTATCGTACCAACCCGGGCTCACCAGCTTACGGAGCGTAATGCGAGTAAGGATCGCGGCACCGACCGGGATGCCTAGGAAGACAGCGACACTCTTCGCAACAACTGAATACGAGATGCCGCTCGTGTCTCCGCCGCTGATGACGGTGATGAAGAGGATGGCGAGCGGAGCGAATAGAACCATCTGTAGGAGGGAGTTGATGGCGACAAGAATGGCGCAGTATTCGTTGTCGCCGCCAGCGAGGCCGGTCCAGATCAGTACCATGGCGATGCAGCGTGCGATGCCGACGAGGATGAGGCCTTCGCGTAGGCCAGACTTATCAGGGAGGAAGGCCCAAGAGAGGCCGAGCTAGATGGTATTAGGCATTGTTTGAAGAGTGAGCGGCAATAGGAGCTTACCATGATAAAGGGCGCGACAATCCAGTTCAAGAGGATCGAGAAGAGGATTTGGATCCAGATTTCCTTTTTGCGGAAGACGTGATGGAGGGCCTCGTATTTAACTTTGCAGAGGATGGGATACATCATGACGAGCAGGCCGACAGCTAGAAAACAGTCAGCAAATCTAACACGCTTGAATTTGGGGAAGCAGAACATACCGATAGGAACTGAGACGCCAACGAATTTTCCCTTCTGCAATGCAGGCCCGACATTGTCGACGAAGTTGCCAAGGATGATTCCAATGGCCATGGCGAGTAAGATCCAGACGGCCAGAAAGCGGTCGAGGATTCCAAGGCCTTTGAAAATGGAATCTTTGGTGCCATTGCGATCGTCTTGCTTCTCTGTGGGCTGGGCCTCGGCGTCTATGTCTACTGGCTGGGCAGTTGGTTTCTCGTTGACGAAATCATTGTCCTTTGAGACTGTATTTTGAGTCTGATAGACAGGCCCGGGAGTCCGATAGTCTATCGACATTGTGCCGAGCGTAGGTGGCTGTGAAAGGAATTCTCCTTTGCGATTAGATCGTATAACTGATTTTCAAAAGCGATAATGCAAAAGCGCATATTATTATATCATGAGGTCTCATTGACTTAAGTACTTTCTCGCATAGGTAGCAATCGCAAATGAATTATCTACCTTACCTATCTGGGTATATACACGGTGACAAGCCAGAAGCCATGTAATTCCCATTCTAGAGTGTTCTTCCTCACTAGGTAAGCTTCTGTTCTAGCGTCGCGATTTAGTCCCTGCAATGAGAGCGATACCGGCGCTAGTGGCTGCCATGTGTAAATCAGAAGCCATGGCGATTGGCTAATTTGAGATTTCCTCATCGATCTGTCACCGATTTATTGCCTATCTAGGCCTTGGTACCAGAGAGGGCTGAACACGCTACCAAATCAGAGCCAGCGCCACCCGCCACAAATTCTCCACCCCGAATAAATCGCAAATCCCAACGACAACGCCAGAGCCCGCAGAGGGACAGCGAGTGGAGAATATCAAACATCGTTAGCCAAAAGAACATCTATCGCTATAGCCTGAGCTTTGTGAGCTAAACCTGAGCCAGGCTGAGCCAAGGAGGTGAGCCCACGGTGGACAGGGGCCTCGGCTACGACCGCCGCCGGCTAAAACTGGAAAGAGTAAAGCAAGGGTTCTTGTCGGGGCCGATTCTGGATCCCTATTCGCAAGAGCTGTACTAAACGACTTACCGAACCTCGCAAAATTCAACTTCAACGTATATAAATATATACCGATCTATTAAGTACTTATTCAACTCTTGTCTGTCTACTACAAGACGTTACACTCAAATACGTATAATATTATACCTTGATAGTAGTCGATCGACGATTCTATATAGTTTCAAAGAACTAAAAGCATAATAATATAAATCCTAGTGTAAAGGAGTGGAAGTGGTAGACTGCGAATCAAGTTTTTTGGAGTTGTAACTGCCTAAGGAGAGAATACACATATGCCGAAGTCCCTGTCGCACGCTCACGTGATGCCCTGCAATTCCACCCCACCACAGCAAGGTGTAGGATTATCGTCATATAGTCATCTGGCTAAAGAAGTCTAAACTATGGTTTAGTGTTCTTTGGAGGAGGTCAATATTCAGGGCGTATTCAGGCAGTGGCATTTCAGGACGACTTATAGTTACATGATCTAGTTATTATTATAAGTATAGCAAATTAAACTTATATTCGTAATTATCCCAACTGAATAGCTTCTCCCTGGTCTAGCCGTATTGTGGTGAATTTGGTCGCGGTGGCTGTCGTCGTATAAAGGGAGAGTGAGAGCTAGGGGCTTGTATGCCCAGGTAGATCTACTTATCCACGTGCTAACTCTAGTATAAATGGAAATGCAAAAACAAGGTAAGTAATAGGTGGTCCCTTGGATTCCCACCACAATACATAGCAAGCTGCGCGTGTAGAGTTATTATTAAGTAGAGTATATTTATATACTAGGTTGACTCTGAGTACCCGGTCTAGCTAGGGTGAGGCAGATTCGAAGTAAGACGTAGTCAGGGAATTATACCAAAGCTTAGCTTACATTCCTCTCGGGCATAGTAGTGATCTAGCGAAACAGGAGGAGGAAGGATTTATAGTAGGCCTTCAGGTAGTCTTATTACTCTATATAAGGTAAGTGATGCCGCATCAAATAAAGCCCCCCTATAGACGTGGTTACGACAAAGTACTTAGCTACTTCTTTAACTATAGTAATATTACCTGCCGAGGGAGGACTTTACAGTAGTGCTCGACTAAGTATGGCTACCGAGGCAGTATCCTTCCAGGGACTAGATTGTAGTAATACCTTGCCGCATCCTTTTGCGTAATATTGATCCGTAGCCAGGGAAAGACGGGAAGCTTGTATAACTTGATCGGTGAGAAGGTGGTTCAAAACAAGGGATATGTTAGATGGACGTGCTAGTGCCTAGTGTCTAGTACTTGATCCAACAAAGGGGCAGATATATATAATACTATCCTCATCAGTATTAATCTTCATTAGTCTTTATTGCCCCCCTCTCCAGTTGTCAGAATCAACTTCTATCTCTTGGATTCTACTAAGTCTATTATTCTTTAGTATTCGTTCAAGCATGTCTTTTCTTAACTCTGGATTGGCAATAGACCTCGGCCTAGCAAACCCTACAAAGCAAACTTCCCCAGGATACAGCGATGGGTCAACGAAGACGATATACGGGATATCAATATTACCGCCGCCTTTCGAGCTATCTATTCAAGACTTTATCCCACTGGTAGAAAGGGACGCTATGCGAGTTCACCACATACGCGGTAGTAGATACAGCAAAGGCAAGAAATTTTGAGTACCTGGTCGATAAGCTCTCCGCTTGGATCACTAGCGATCAACTGAGAATCTCACTCAGTCCTAGGTTGCTTGCTGAGCTTAAATGTAACGAGTTACGTCATAAGCGTCCCGTTTTAGACATTTTGAAGAATAAGTCGCTAACGGAATACGTCTTAAACAGTGTCCTCCCCGATCACTTGAGTCGAGCAAAGTCTGAGGTCTATCCCAAGCATCCAGCGACTCCGATTAACGGTGAGCACTGCTATACTTCAATAACCTCTTGGGTCTCAATCCCTCTGCTCCATCCAGCCTGAGTCGGGGAAACGGGGGGAGAAGCGGGAGCGCCAGGACAAGAATACAGAGATCAGCAGCGAAACCCACATTCTATCAACACCGATAACACCTGGGATACAGGTAACAAGGACCCATGGCCTGCAAAGCGACGAAAGCCAGGCTCAGCGCCCGCCGTGACTACACCTCCCCACCTCCGACGGCCTCGCCCCCTCGTGTCGCCTTAGACGACTAGCCTCGAGGTTGACGACGCGCAAGCCCAGGCTGATCACGGATATTCGCTAATATTTATCTATAACGAGCACCACTCTGCTCCGTGAACTTCTCGAAGTCTCTCTGCTGTAACAGAACTAGTACTAGTCTCTAAATATAAAGACTACCTTTTTCAAAACTTTCTTAAACAGACGAAGATTACGGATAATATAATATACAATCTCAAGTTTATACTTCTACGTATCTCAGTTATACGTATTAAGATATTAAATAAATTTAATTAGTAAGAACAAGTAAATATAATTAAAGTAAATAATAACTTAAAGTATAAATTAAGATAATTATAAGAACGTAGACTTAGGGGACTAGCTATATAAGATATACTTATATAAAGCCTAACTCAGCAGTACTAGTTTATATATAGATTTCTAATAGTACTTAGTATAACTAAGTATCTTATAATAAAAATATTCCCTCTACTAAAACTCGTATATAACCCGTGTAAACACGTTATTTTCTTCTTATATACTTCCTACTCTTGGCCACGCCCGCTCCAATAGACGAAGATATTCCGGTGAAGATTGCTCCATCCATAATCGGGAAAAGAACGTTTCGGAGGTCTCGAGCCAGCGGCTTTAGCTCTTCAAATACTGCCGCAAATTGCGCGATGATATTCTCAAACCAATTTTTGTTCATATCCCTTGCCTTATTCCGAGAAATTTGCGTATAGGTCCCAGTACACACGTCCTACGATAGAGGCCGTCCTAGGTGGCTATTTGATCTGCGTGGTCTGTCTTGGATGCCCACTTGTCGCGGGACAAGTGGGCCAGGATGAATTCAAGTTTTGGACTGCTCGCCCAGCAGCCTAGAGTTCGTCCGGTCACAGGACAGGTGTCCTACCTGGCCTGATTGATTGATTGATTGTTAATAAATCAGATAGGGAACAGAGGCGGGCTAATCTATCACCTACTCGCTCTATTCGCACAACAAATTTTCTGAATTTAATAACACGACTCAGAGTGCAGTTCTTGATGTTACGTAAAAGACGTTGTTCTGCCTAGGGATAAATCTTAAACTACCAACTAATTGCTAAAGGAATGAATAGAAACCCGCAAAGTACATCAAATAGTGCAACCAAGCTCCTAACAAAAATAAATGAGTGACCTAAGATCCAATCCTAAATGCGGCCATGCGAATAACCCGGTCGGGAACTTCAAATCAACTTCATAGAAGACGGTAGGTGCGCACTACCTGCCTATGGCGATGACGAAGCGGACATATGTCCAGAAATTTATTTGGGGCAGTTTCTCCACGAGACTGCGAACTTGACTGTGAGCTTGCCGCTAATAGAGTCCACCTATTTCAATTGTTAGTAGTGACCTATGTTACAAATTTCAACGTCTTACAGAGGGAAACTTACAGCAATGAGGGCCGGGAGGTGGGTGGGTGCGAGGCTGCATTGGGTGTTCATGTTCAAAATAGCAGTCTGGCCGCCGCAGGGAGACCAGGACTCGATGCCAGGAGAGGTTTTGAGGTTGAAGTTGCCTGACGAAGGGCCAGGAAGATTTAGGCTATAGGTCGCGGACCCTGGAAAACCAGTGAAGGAGAACACGTTCTTGCATTGGCCTGTTGCACCGCTCGGGATCTGATCAAAACCCTTCATCTCTGTGTCAAGGATAGTGAACCTGGTAATACGCGGTTAGCGAATATATTACTATGCAAGTGTGTGGATGCGTTTGGACATTTTGGACGTACTGGAAGCCAGAGTCAAATTCCATGTTCATGGTGAGCTTGCAGTTCTTGCGCCAGTCCACGGCCTTGGTGCCTGGGCCAGTCTGAATTTCATAGGTCGAGAAAGTAGCCTCGAAAAGAGTGCCGGTGGCATCGACTTGCACATCGGCAGTTCCAGCTGGGCAACCACTTCCTAGAAGCGAGATACCGTTGATCTTGACCTTCGAGGGTGCGTTCCTAGGTGTTACGGCTCCTAGAGCAGCGGAAGCAAGGCTCAGGGAGAGGGTGAGAATAGTAGCGATGTACATTTTGGACGAGTTAGCGAACAAAGGCTAGAATGAGGAATTTAGCAGAGGTAATGGAGATGTCTGATAGATTGAGGAGCGAGCGATGATGATGGCGATGAGAAATAGTCGTGATTGAGGACGAGGACAGCTCAATTTATAGATATTTGGGCCTTCGAACATGACGGTTACACTAGCTACTGGAATGTAAGTTTCCCCAAGTCTCGTTGTTCGTGAGTCCGCCTTACGGTTCCTAAGATAGAATCACTATCAGACGTGGTCCTGTGAGATCTCTTAGACTGCTCCACCCGAAAAAAGCATCTCAGACTCCACTTGCTAGCCGTTCAACCAAAGGCTGTGTTCGTGATCTAATTCGAGCCATGATTCGAGCTGAAAAGGAAGACTTAAATGAGAAGTTCACCGGCTGCCAACAAACTCAGCCCTAAGCCCACGAACATGTGAATGATAAAAAGCGTATTGGAGTAAGCTAAGAGAGTACGAGGTAACAAAACAGGTAGGACACATTCTACTTACAGGCTCAGTGAAAACCAATGATGTGATGCCAAGGAAATATGGAAACTCAGCCTTTCGGAAATGGCGCTCTCAGTTCTTTCTCCATCAGCGAGTGAGTTATTTTATAGCAAGAAACTGGGGAAGACATATCGGAACAAGCCGAGCTAGAAATTCTAAACTCGGAGGTGCTGCTGAGTATGCTGTAGCTGGACAGAAAGTTTGTCTCGGATTTTGACCCTCGTCTCAGCTGAATTTCACTCTTTTCCAACGCACAACAGGCACTTCCCACCCCAGCATGCTGCTTGATAGAATCTGGGGCGCTTAAAACAAGGCTCTGATAGAATAAGCTTTCGTTCGAACATACATAGTAGAGGACGTTCAACACACTTCTCCACTAACTAGGATGGATTAGCATAATTACTCTGTTTCCAGCCAGCGACCAGGGGCAGTTTATTGGTGCTCTAGTAGATAACAACGAGATCAAAATTTGTTGCCTAAATTAGAAGAATCGACGGACGTATAAGAACTCTAGGTCTTGTTTCAAGTATGAAATCCTGCTCATTAGGAGCCAGTCATATGGTCCCGTGATTCGGCTATGTCAGGGGCTCGCGCTGCTCAGCCTTGGGCCAAGTCGGATGTCTCCGTCTCGTAATAGCGAATACATCAAAACCGGTGGTTAGAGAAATGTTCAGGTCCGAAAAGCCCAAAAGGATCAAAGACACCAAAAGTATAAAAAGTACAACTCGCAACCTATAGGATCCATTGTTGAGGTTGAAGGCTCCTGGGCGGTGGAGCGGAATAATGCGACATCTGAGGCTGCCTGTGCTACCGGGTTTTCGTAGGAAGGTAAAACTGGTAGAAATCTGCCGGTAGAAATCTACTAGTAAGCCACCTTCCTGGTATCGGTGTTTGAGAAGGTATTCCCTCCGTTTAAAGGAAACTGACAATTTAGGGCAAAATCGAGTATTATAGGGACAGAGTAGCATATAAGTGGCTGACCCGCGCGAGGTTTATTCTTAGAATCGAGGTGTCCAAAATCTTGCTCCGCACCTTTTTGTTCTCAAGGGATCCTCGGCTGGGATTTTGGAGGGTGCGGGACTGAATCGATCGCCGACGTCATAGTGGTCAGCGGCTAATTTTAGCCACACCAGCTTGCAGAGTTCTACGAAGTAGACGTAGCACTTATTATCCGTAGCCGAAAGAATGGTTTGAGTTTTCTTGCGCTTGTGAAGTTTGTCCCAATTTCTCTTGCAAGTTATCCTGTTCTAATCTCTATTCTGTGGCTATGGCTGTAGCTGTGGTAGGAGGACTTGCCTTGGGCTGGAACCGCTATGCTATTCGAGACCTTCCACACTATATATTAGTAAATAATACAGCAGATCCAACACGAGGAGGCTGAGAATACGGCCCAGTCTACGAGAAGGCCCTAGTCGAGACGTCACTCAACTTCTTCACGGCAAATGTGAGGTGAGTGAATGATCTATCGCGACGGACATCTTGCTTGAATCTCAAATTTCTAGATTTTTGCCTAGTCTGAGATTTGGTATCTGGGAATCGATTCAATGGCATTTCCTGATCTCGCCGGATCCTCGCGCCATAGGTTCGCCCAAGCCGGCTTTGCCCCCCTGTACTATAACTTGTCATCACACCTGAATTATAACTTGTCATCACACCTGAATTATAACTTGTCATCACGCCTGATTCATAATACAGTTTTGCCGGGTGGCCCAAGGGGTGATTTTCAACGCAGACCAGGATCGGTATAGCTACTTTTGTCGGACCAAAGCGTTGACATCCACCCTTCCCACTAAGTCTCAACTTGCACGTCCACATCTTAGACTCGAATCGTAGTTTTAAGTGTGCCCTTCACCTACAAAGAGGCCTCCAGCTCGACTCGAACACGGACCTCGCCCCATCTTGCTTAGACACACGGCGGCGGGAACATTTCTACAATTGCCGCATTTATCGGCGCAGAATGGCAACCTGGACATCGACAAAACTATTTTCAGAGATGCATTAGACTGGCATTCTTGGTGTTTAGTGCAATCGGGGGTTTTTGCATCCTTAAGCTTACCTTAGCTGCTCCTGGCAAGTTGCTCGCACTACCCTCAAACACCACACATTTAACCATCGCATCTTTGGTGAGTGGCGAGAGGTGTTCAAGAACCAGTTGCTCAATACACTGACTGGAGTTTATTATATCCAAGCACGCGTAGTCGCCCTTCGGGCATTTGTCTTGGACTTCTTGAGCGCTGACGTCCACGCCCGCTAGCACGAAGCATAGAGCAACCAGGTTGATCCCAAAGCGCATTGTTCGTGAGTTGAGGTCTTTGTATTTCTTAAGATAACTTCTTTAAAAACCAAGGGTAACAAATTCACGACGTTGCCTATTATATATATCTCCTCTACGCATCTTGATCAATCCCGGGAATCCCTACCCTATACATTTTCTTGCTGGTAAATTACTCCGATATAGTATGCACAAGGGTTAATGTCCTATTAAGGTCGAGATATAGTATCATTGACCCTATTAAATTAGCCGGCTGATATGGTTAAACCTTCGGCTGCTGGATAGCGGTTTATGATTTGTGATTCTGGTGTTGAAGGTTGAAAGTATCTGCGAACTGTTGATTACTGCGGATACAGATTAACCATAGGACAATAGCCTGGGTGAAGTTTTCCCCCAGGGCACACGGGCACACCTAGTACGAAACCGAACAAATCTTTGGCGAGGACGCCAGGGTACTTGTCGATCCTGGTTACGCATCCTTCACAACCTTCCGCTATATTGCAGCTGCATCGGCAGTAGATGACGTTTCGATATTGAGCTGACAGTTCTTCCGCGTCGCCGCAAAGACATTTAATTTGCACTACACGCTTTCAATATCTGCAGTGCCGCCTATAGGATGAGCCATATAATAAACTGTCATCCTCTCGCCGTTCTCGGACTTTATATTTGGCCTTCGAGCAGTTAATATAGGTGGGTCCATATCAGATATCCTAGGGTTTGAGGCACTTGGCAAGACTTATTGAGAAGCCCCACATGAACTTTGTTCTCACACATGGTCTCCTACAGTTATCTTCCTCTTGTGATGTTGATCTTCATTATTCCTTAAAATCAAAGTACAAGTCGGCGACACAAGATGCAGTGGACCACGCTCCTTACTCTGGCGCTCGCTGCACCTAGCAGTGCAGTGGTTCGATTCCATTGCTCCCAGCTAGTAGTTGAGAGACTTGACCCCTTGGTTAACCCGGGTTCAAGCCCATCCAGCCATGTCCATCAAATAGTTGGCGGTGTTCGTAAACCGACCCTTAGCACTATTTCAATCCCTAACAGCTACTAATAGGACTCCTTTAATGCTACCATGGATCCCAAAAAAGATATGCCAGGCGAATCGACTTGCACGAGTTGCCAATTTAGTGAGGACTTCTCCAACTACTGGACCGCGGTCCTCTATTTCCGCGCACAGAACGGGAGCTACAAGCGCGTTCCTCAACTCGGAAACAATCAGTTTACAGATGCCATTGGCGGTTTGACTGTCTACTATATGCAGGATCCTATTTATGATTCGGGACAAAAGTCCAAGGTCACGGCATTCCAGCCCGTAAGTCGCTAGAATAAAGTCCTCCCGAGGCATTCTGATTCTAGATATTAATAAAAACAGGGATTTCGCATGTTTATTGGGGATATTTATGCAAGAACCTTAGCAGAAGCTGCCCGCTTCCGCCAATTAACTTACACCTGCTTAGACACCTTTGTTACTCGGGCTCCGGAGATCATGGCATTTCCTAACCGCCCTTGCAAGGAGGGTATTATGACCTCTATCCGGTTTCCAACGTGTTGGGACGGCAAGAACCTTGATAGCCCCGATCATATGTCACATATGAGCTATCCTGAGACCGGAACCTTTGAGAGTGCTGGACCTTGCCCATCAACGCATCCCGTACGTACTTCGCAAGTCATGTTCGAGGTCGTCTGGGACACAAAGCCGTTCAACGACCTTGAGTGGCCTAAGGATGGAAGCAATCCCTTCGTCTGGTCGTTCGGTGATGCAACTGGCTATGCCAATCATGCCGATTACGTTTTTGGCTGGAAGGACGACGCCTTGCAGAGAATATTGGACACTCCTTGCTATTTTAACTGCACTGAGGCTGGTTCTAAGATGCAATCGGTCGCAAGTATGAACAATTGCACACAAAAGCGAAGAGTTGACGAGGATATTGATAGCTGTAAGTTACAAATATCTATTTACTGTTTTTTGTTATATTATACTTGACCTTTAGGCTTTAGTAGCATTTGCTAACTATATATCTTCGATTTCTTAGGGCTCCAAGTTCTCCCCGGCGGGTACCAAGCTGAATACGGTCCCACCTCTGCGTAAATGCGTCGCACGTTACCAATTGACAGGCGAAATATAATTCCGAAATCCATCCATTTGCAGCACCTAGAAGGATATGTTTGGCTGCCTGTTTATATGCTTTTGTAGCCTAGCAACTAGATTTGACAATAGTCAAGTTGCCTTTGTGTGCGACCCTTATTTTGAAGCTACTTATGTGGGATATCCAGATACAAATGCTGTAACGATGAATTGAATAGTTGAGGCGGATGGAATAAGGGGTGTGGCGGCTTTGTACAGGAATGCCTCGGATACTGGGGGGCCATAATTGGAGATGTTGTTGGCAAAGATCCTGGAAGGCTTTTCTTCATCACAACACCAAAATACTTGGCTTTCTTTCGCCGAGATGTTCGGACGTAGGGCGGATCTTGGTGTCAAAATTTTCAATCCGGATTTTATCGTTCAGAATTTCAGATCGACCGCAATCCTGCACTCTTGAATTCTAATGTGAAGCCTCTCGGGATGCAGCATATATCGTAAAGTCGAAAACAGCGGCGGTCCAGCGGAAACGCCAACCTCATAACTTAACCTCCAATTCATCCTTAATCCGCATTAGAGTCCCCAAATTCACAGCTTCCCACTCCTTCGCCTCCAAACCCTCAAGCACCAATCTCACTTGCTGAGTCGAGTATTCCCTCCTATCATGCATGATAATAATGCCTCCAGGCCTCAACCGACTTAACACATGCGCCGCATTAATCCTTGGATTGTGAATCTGCGGATCATGTGGGTAGATGCTCCCCAGAACAACCCAATATCCCAAGGCCTTGACTTTCTCGACCATTGCGGAATTAAAAAAGCCTGAGCCAGGGCGGAAATACTTCGCCCCTTTATCATTGGCCGGAATAATAGCTTCCACTTCTTTAACCTGTCTCTCGAGTTCGGAAAGTGGGAGCGAAACACTAGGCTCATCTTCCCACGCGTGGTTTCCTATCTCGTGACCTTCCGCCAGCATCCGTTCCAGAATATTCTTAGAACCTTCAAATGAGGATAATTGGCTGCCGATGATAAAGAATGTTGCTGTTGCATTATGCGACTTGAGCAGGTCAAGGATGGCGCCTGTATGGGTGGAGGGCGCGTCGTCTATTGTGAGTGCTACGACGCGCTGGGATGCTGGCAATGGGAGATGGAAAAGCACGGAAGGATATTTCCACTGAAAATAGGTGATGAGGAGGTTAGGAGGTTTATAGACCATATATGCAAGCAGAAATATAATGAGCCCTAGGACGAGCAAAATGAGAAAGAGAGTTCTGATCATCCTGCGGCGCCTTCTTGGGCCCCGGCACGGGAACCGAAGCCCAACAACCATGAAGCAGAATCGATAGAGGCGTAGAGGCGATTTGGTGGCGAGATGTCGAGGATAACTGGATTCATCTGGTTGAGACTGAGTGTGAGCAGGAAATTCTCAACCAACCGCCCCTTGACGAATTGATGTTCGATGTGCCTCCGGTCCATGCCACTAGCTCCGGGAACATGCGTGCTTGGCAGTCTTAGGTGCACCGGCCGGCTTCCAACTGCCGGATTTCCCAACATCAACATCAACACCTCAAAAGGAAGTTCTGTAGATATAATTTCTTATTAAATTTCCTTTTAGATGAGAATTATGTCTAGGTTTGAGAGCTGAGGACGCAATGGCACGGTTTGCAGGCAACAATTTTCCAGGGACGCCATAGGACGCCAAGACCATCATGTGCAACAGAGCCTGAGCCTTCGTGAGGGGCAGCCTCGTTAGCGAAAAATAAAACGCATCTCAAGATTGAATATTAATTATTCCTCCTGCTTCTTCCTTAACATAGTGGGCTAGTCCTTCGTCAATCAAGCCGCGAAAACTTGAATGGGAATGCGAAGGTTGCTATGAGTCTCCGAAAACGGGTAGGGGCGGCAATCTACCTAGCTACTCTACTCGGTAGATAGTCTTGAACTCCGTATACAAACCACAAAGAAATTTAGCTGCAAATTATAAGGATTAAAAAGGAATTTCACTTGCAAATAGAACATTATAAAATATCCAGGGCATTAACATTCTCGCAAGGGAGGTAGGAGGTTAAGCTATTTCGATAACCAGCCCTTTCTTAACCCCCCTGATATTGCTCTCTAGGAGTTGACATTCTTAACAGTACTGCCTAGGTAAACCCTATCTCGAAATCATGCAGAGGATAGATAGGTGTTTCAAGCAGCTAAGGCTGCGTGAGTAGAGGTAAGGTGATAGACTGCACGTGAATCCGGGGTGAGGATGGGGCGAGGGCCACCTGCCATAAGAATTGTTGGGATTCAAGTTCCATAACAACCTGACGTGACTCCAACAACCTTGATTCCTTTTCTAACTCAAAACTTGGGGAACGGGATCGTTCCCTCGTCGTCATCTATCGGCTCGTCGTCTATCGGCTTGTTGTGCAGAAGTATGAGATCTAAAGTTGATAGATCATCAGATGTCGCGGGCTTCTTCTCTGAATGACCTTTCGGCACGGTCACGATGGGATCTGGTGACGGATTATCGTTTGGTGTTGGAGGCGGCTCTGATACTCCATCCTTCATTCTCCCTGGTACGTCTGAAGCTTGAGCAAGTCGAGTAGAAGTTGGATAAGAGTCATCTGCCGCTTCCAGTTTCAACCCCTTTCCTTCGGGTTGTGCCGGCCCAGCAAGCAAATCATTTACTCGTTGGGTATGATCCTTCGATATCTGAAGCGATGCATCGACGTCTCGGGTCAGCTTCTCGATTTCTGCTTCAAGCACCTCGTCCTTGGACATGGCTTTCCTCTGTTCTCTTAACCGTGCTGCTTCCTGCTCTTTGACCTTCCCGCCGACTTCCAGCCACATTCCTTCAAGCTCGTCACGCCACCCCAAAGCGTCAGCGAGCTTTCTAACCCCTTCGTCACAATCCCCAAGTATAACAACGTCGTCCGGCCGACTACCAAAATCCCCCACGATCTCCTTGTTGATCAAGACTCGTGGCACGCCCTCCCGCGCAAATTGTGGTAGGCTTGCAAATGGGTGAACCGATAGACTAGTTCCCATCACAATGAGCAGATCCGCCGTAGCTGGTACTCCCCGATTTTGAAAGAACGAGTCAGGGAGAGCTTCACCGAAGAATACAATATCAGGCTTAACCAGCCCATTGCACTGCGGGACAATACAATGCGGAGCTTTACCATTCTCAATAGCCTTGCGCATGAGATCATCAGGAAAATCAGACTTGCAGTCAATGCACCGCTGCGTCGCAAAGCTACCATGAGCTTCCACGATCTTATCTCCAGGCACACCAGCCCTCCGCTCCAGAGTGTCGATATTCTGGGTGAACAACATCTGGAGCATGGACTTCTCCTCCAGCAGCGCCACAAAGGAATGCGCCACCGTTGGAAAGAACTTGCCGGGATATAATTCTTTTGCCAGGACATAGAACGGATCCGGGTTTTGCCGGAAGTAGGATATATCAAATACTGCTTCAGCAAATGGGAGATCCAGGCGAGCGAGGTTGGCATAAAGTCCCGTGTCTGGGGAGCGGAAGTCGGGGATTCCTGCTGACGTAGAGATTCCCGCGCCTGTCATGACCACGATTTTCTTTGGAGTCCCATCTTTGATGTATTCTGCTACAGCCTCAAGGGACCGCGATGATAGCGTCTTTGTAGGCGTGTTCGAATCGATCTGTTCATGGGAGTTCTCTTGTCCCATTTTGGCACGTTGGTGGAGGTTGCCTTGGCCTCGATGTTGGCTGTGGCGAGGTTTGTGCTTGCGCCCTATTTTGACGGCTGCCTATGTGATGCTGCTGGGATTTTAATTCAAGAGTACGTATCTCCTATGATAGATATTTTTCTATTGATTGCTGATATCGAAAATCCCTACTCGCTGGGAGTTATGCTGTTAGATGTAAGAAAAGTTATGATGTACTTCGTACTGTTGGTAGAGTGTGATGGTGGGGATTGAATGGTGGCGCAGGTAAAGCTTAGTCATCAGACACCGTTTTCATTTTCAACAGTGGTTACCATCGTCTCGGTGCCACTCTACCGCATCCTTATCGATATATCAGAGAAGAGCATACACGTTATAAGTTAAATGCCGATCCAAGGTGAAATATTTTGAGATCTTTAAGGAGACCTTAGCTCGTCAAGCTAAGACAAAGAATAGTTTACAAATTGTCCCACCCCATTTTATCCTACATGTCCTATAATCTGTTCAATGAGCAGAGATAAATGCCCATATCCGTACACCATGACCTTTCCCAATGCATACAGCAACCAAACATAGACCCCTTTTTTAAGCATACACAGTGTTGTACAAGAGCAGCGTCGTCAAAACGGATCTCCTATCGTATAAACAAGCCCCGTGCATATCTCCTATATGTCATCCTCCCCAATAGGCTTCTTCTCCTTGTAAATCCTACCACCCTTCGTTCTCTTCTCGGGCCTCACGAATTTCGTACGGCTTCTCGCTTCCTGGATGCCCTGGAAGCCCTCTGGGCCCATGAGCACTTCGAATTCATTCTTCTTCGCCTTCTTCCCACCCTTGCCCATTCTCCCATCTCGGATACCCTTCACTTTCCCGCCTTTGCCCCCGTCTTCAATCGATCTCCCAAGTCTCGGTGACCTTAAAACCCTGGTCTTGGCTCCTAACGCCCAGAGATCCCCCCAGGCTGACTTCCGAGCATCGCGGTAGGCCGGCTTGCTGAAGCTTTTGGGAACGGTCCACCGTTCTAACTTGCCAGAGGGCGTGCATAGGTCTAGCGTGACATGTCCACGTCGTTTTAGAGGGGGCAAGACAGCGCGGGGGAGCGAAAGAGCATTGAACGTGACAGTGCTAGTTGCATCTCCACCAACTTCGGACTGGGGAAGGTCATGATCTTCGTAGCCCTCAAAGGCTTGGTCCGTGGCTGCATCGCCTTGAAGGAGCGGGGACTCAGCCTTCCTAGCATCGTCGCCACGTCGAACAGCTATATAACTGTATTTGATATCTTCGTGGTTCCGCAGCGACGCACCTAGAACTTGTTGTAAATAAGGGGGACGAATAAAGCGCTGGCTAAAATGACAGAAATCCTTTCTCCCGGAGCTGAGGCCTGGCGTTAGGTACATAGGGCACTTTGAGTGGTTGGTGCACGGCGCTATGATCATGCCATCTTCCTTTTCGGCGAATCGGGCTTTTTCTGATGCTCGTGATTCAATCTCGTTCTCGGTGGCAGTATCCCCTGGCGACGAGATATATTTCTCCAGAAGTTGCTCTCGGGCACCGGCAATCGCTTCGAAGCCCCTAGGCACGCCTTTCTCAATGAGAATAAGGACGCCTCCATTGGGATCTAGGAGAGACCAGAGGTTTTGCACCATATTCTTCCGTCGGAAATCCTCCTTTAGGCGAAATAGAGTATGCGGGGCGATAATAACATCGTAAGTCTTCCGGCCCTGTGCTGCAGCGCCATCAACATGTGCCGATGACCTAGACGAATGGACATAATCAGGAAGACGAGGCAGAAAGGTGGTGTTCTCCAACAGCCCTGAGACTCGATGCCGTAGGGTGTCGGCGCCGACAAGAACTGTCGTCTTCCCAGTCGGCGGATTTGGGCCACGAACGATGCCTTCCTCGCTCATCACATCCCATTCAGCTTGTGCAATTTCACGCCATGCCACTGCACCAGCTCCTCCTGCACCAGCATCCAGTACTCTGGCACTTCCATTTTTCCGGAGAAGTAGATCACGAAGCCAACTAGATCCCAGTCTCTTCCGAACTTCTACCAACGTGCCCACAACGGGGGCATATATACCGGGCATAACAGCACTGATATATGTATCGGCCTCTATCTCGGTCATCCGGTGCTGGGAAGCATCCAGCGCAATATGGGTTTGGGGGAGATGTTTTTTGGATGCCCGCGTTGATGGTGAGTTGGGAAGACCTGGGCCGCCAAACAGTTTCTCTGCTGCTTCTGAGATATGCTTCATACTGGTTCGCTCCAACAGCTCAGAGATGGGTTCGATGAGCTGTTCATGTGGCAATGAAATGGTCGTGGGGAAGGTTCCTGATCGGCCGGTCATGGTATGCGGATGTGTTCGAAGGGTATTGGAGTCGAGGTATGCATCTGGCTCGCGTTCTTCGCCCTCTTCATCCTCCTCGATATCTTCCTCGTATTCCTCCTCAATATAATCCTCCTCTTCCTCTTCCTCCTCAGCCGGTCGTGCTTCCATCGCAGCCATATCCTTCTGTAACCGCGCAATTGCATCGATCTCCCGTTGATTCCTGCCCTGGACGTATACTTCCTCACGTTCGGCCGCCAAAGCATTCTCATCAACGCCCAGGGCAATATCAGACACAGCACCATCCAATAACTCATTACCAGGGAACTCATTCCCCTGGGGACCACCCAAACCCAACGCATTTGCCACCTCACACACCTCTGCCAGTTCCTGAACAGCTTTATGAGGAAAGGATAATTCAGGATCGAGTTCAATCTCTTCAAACTCCCCATCTGCATTCTCCCTCAAAAGCACATTACGCACAACCTCCTCCTGAACCTCCTCCTCCCCACCCGGCAGATACTCCAAATCATCCGCCATCGTTTCTCGCAGCGGTGCCCCATACAGACGTTCATATAGTATGTATTCCTCCGCAGACAGATAATCCTTGGGCAGAGTCTCTCCAAACGTCTGCCGCGCCTCTCTCACCACCGCCTCGATATCCGGAACTGACGCGCCAGATAGCTGGGATTCCACATCCTTAGAAGATCGCGCCCCCGATGTAAAACGCCGAGTAGAAGCGTAGTGGTCAAGACGAACAGTTCGTTGATGATGAGGGCGCAGAGAAGTGCTGTTGTATCGCGCGGAATTATTCGTCCTCGGTCTCGTGAATCCGTTCTCGAATAGCGATAGTAGCTGCAGACGGCATGATTGACAGGCCCTTGGGACCTTGCGCGCCGTCAGCATGATGAATAGTCGATGAGGGAAATCGAGATTGGGGATTTGCAGGTTTGGGAGGTAACTATGGATGAGATTTTGGGAGCTCCCCAGACGATGAATTGCCTCAGGCTTCTAGGCGAGACGGCGGCATTCAACTAGAAAAATTAGATTTTTACATTGACGTGGAATCATATCATGACCTACAAGTCCTCTGTTGTATCAAGATGCAAGTTATATATCCTTTAGGTTGCTGCTCATTTAATCTAAAGGATTATTAGATGCGTTAAGAGCCCATAACGCCTCAGTGAGGCAGCATGCATCTCAAGTCCCTCTTACCCAAGTCCCTCGCCACGAATATTTCTATGTGCAGCTCCTCCATCATCTACTCAATCAGCAGTATATTTCCCAGTTCGTTTTTGCCATGTATACTTCGTACCATACTTGTATTACGATTTCATCGCGCGAATATTTACTGCCCATCTCATTACCCCTTTTCTTTGCGTATCCATCCCTCATTATCACCAGAGGTCTAATTGCAAGCAGAAAGCACCGGCGACCAATCATATGTTTGCAATTACACTACACCATGTACCTACCATACAGCTGCTTTGACCTACACCATCTATCTACGAAACTTCAAAACCGTAGTCGGAAGTAAGAAGGAGCACATCAGGAATAATAACCTAGATGTCCAAGTGTCGGCATAGTCATATGTTTATGTTTAGTCCACTGCCTTCTATTTACATGACCAAACAATACCCTAGCTAGCAGATGCAATTTTCTACGATTATTCTGAACATGGATAAGCAGCCTTGCGAGCTTGTTTTCAGTTGCTTGGGTTTTAATAGTATTAGAGCCATGTAAACGTTGAAGTTTCATTGTCAGCAGAGGCAGCGAAGCGCATCAAGTCTATGCAAAATGCGATCATATACCAGCAATGCATCTCGTCCAAAAACCAGAGCTGCACCATCAAGCGAAAATTAAAAAAGGTGTTTGCAAAGCGATATATTTGCAATCTCAATCCAGCTATCTACAATCAAGCCACCCTTCCCCTCAGATATCAACTCAAAGGAAAAAGGTAGCGAACCAGCAAAACTATGAATAAACAAAGCAAATGAGGTAACGGGCAATAAGTGCGCGCGGTTCAACCCTCGATATTCTCAAACCGACCGTGACTGTGCTGCGGCGAGTATACGACAAAAGGGGGCACCAGGCTTCTAACTCTCTTTTCTCATCGCATCCAGCAGAGCTTTTTCGAACAATAGCTCCACATTGCTGTCGACGGATGCACCGCCATAGAACGCCTCCCCACCGCGGTGGTCACCGAATAAAACATTTCTCCATCTCAAATGAGCTCAGATCTCCTTTCTCCTCGTCCCCTTAAAATATGTCCATCAGCTACCAAGCACAAAAAACACCAAGCTCACCAGGAGATCTCCGCGTCGCAAAAGTCGCAATATAGGTGCCCTTGGGGTATCAAGTGAACCGCGCAAAGGGCGAGAAAGGGGATTCAGCACAAGGCCGAAATAATAACGCACATCGGAGGTTGAAAAAGAAGGGCGAAGGTTGAAAGATGTGTTGAAAAGCGATGTGCGTGTATACGGGGTATGGGCGAATTGAAATATTGGTGCTTTTATGCGTTCGATTATTTCTCGTCGACCAACACCAGCAAAAAGACCAAGTCAAATGTCGTCGGAAAGGCTCATACATCAGATGCAACTAACGTGAAGCGCGTGAGAGCGAGATCGAGAGGGCGGGGGGCGAATATGCACAAAAGAGTAGGAGTATCAAGTCGTCAAGCCGTAAAATGTCTGCGTCGCGCAAAAGGCGAAGGAGACCCGTAAAGAACGAGGGCAGATGATCGCATCGTCGAGTTCGGATGAAAGTAATCGCAAATCGTGTTCGAGGTGGGAAATACCCAGTCTTCGCATTCCGGGCGGCAATTGCTGCTGCAAGGTACCAACAGCTGCAAGGTACCCGGCGCACAAACAGAATGCCGAGAGCTGGGTTACGGGATCAACGACACACTTCCCATTCCCACTCAACTGCTACGATGCGCTTTATAGCAAGGCGGCGGCCAACATGGCCAACAGACCTGCGCTGCCGGCGTACATGTTGTTCAGGCTCGATGCGCCGTTCGTGGGAACGGGTGCGAGAGTTGCTGAGGGATTGGTGGGGACCAGGAGAGAGCTGACGGCGGTGCCGGTGACCTTGGAACCAGTTCCAACGGGGGCGGTGGGGCCAACTGCAGTGGTAGAGTTGGTTCCGTAGGTCGAGGTGACGGATGCGACGACTCTGGAGACCGTGATGGTTTTGGTGGAAGTCGCGGTCGCGGTCAGGGTCGTGGTCGAGTCGCCTGGCGCATTGGCCGCGGGTGCGTCTTGCGCAAGGGCGAGAAGAGGGAGCAAAAGCCCGGTTGCGACAGTGGAGAGGCGCATCTTGAATATATGTCGATCGAACTGTTGGGTGTGTGTAACGGTGGTGCGGGAGTGTTTATTGTCGGGGCAACGATGCGATGCGACAGGAATGTATAGGGCGGATCTGAGACGGAGATCGACGAATCGAACGATATATTCCTTCTATGGAAAAGAGCGACTGGGCTCTTGTGGGATGGACGATGGTATCGTGAATGTGAAGTTTGCGACAATGGTAACTGTCGGATGCGACGAAGTCGACGGTACGGTATGGGGTATCTCGAAAGAAGGAGTGTGGTGAATACAACGTTCTTGCGTGTATCTGATTTGTGTTTGTTGTTTGTAGTTTGCTTTGGGGTCGGTTGAAGAGAAGGATATGGTTCGGGGACGAGAGAGCAGGAGACTTTGCCAACGAAGTCTGTGTAGATTGGAGGATGGACGATGGATGGACGATGTGGAGAAGCAGAAGCAAAAGCAGACGCAGAAAGGCGGCGACGGTTGGAGTTTTAGGGATGCGCTGGGGGGGATTCGGGGCGTGGGCAGGGGGAAGGGACAGTGCCACTCGACCCTCGACACACTTCCTCGGGGGACAGCACGAGGATGGGCACGGCAGATTGCGCGCTCTCGACGATGTCTGGGCACTACGATGTATTGGGTCAACCATTATTAACGCCAGGTACAGGTACAGGCACAGGTACAGAGTGACGCAAGGCAGCTAATAAGATTTTCAACAGGATCGGCAGCATATTATTGCCACTACTCTACAGTAAGGATGCCATCGCCCAGGCTGGATCTGTTTGTCTGAATTCGCAAATTAAGCTTCCCTTTCTCTGTTCTCTATTCTCCCTTCAGCTCAGACCCAACTCCAACGGATTCAGATCTTCGGCGCTTCGGTCTGCGACAGGTTGAAACATCGTGAGGCGGTTTACTGGTGGTGGTTGATTCAAACCATCGTCGTCTCCAGAGCGAGATCCGGAGCCGGTGAGCGAGGGACTCCAGCTCCAGGCCGTGCAATACAAATACATGGGCGACAGAGGGTTGCTACAGGGCCTCTAGAGCCTACCGGGCCTCATTCCAGGACCCCCTCCAGGCTTCATCTTCATCTTCATCCTCCATCTCCCATCTTCCATCGTCCATCGTCCCCGGGATCGCCCCTCCGTGCTCAGGGCGCCTGAAATTGCCAGAGATTGCGCCGCGGGAGGAGGGAAAAGCCCTAACTCTAACTCAAACTCTAACTCGCTGGCAGCCACGATTCATGATTCACGATTCACGGCCATGATGGATTATTGATTGATTCCCTTGCTGGTCGTTCGTCCATGGTCATTGTCTGTTGTCTTGTCCCTCTCTTCAGTAGTCCCTCATTCCGAAGTACATTTGTTACTGTCCTTGCGTGCTTCTGATCGATCTGCTGTGATCTGATCTGATCTGATCTAATCTAAATCTCCCCCTCCTCTCGTCACACTTCTGCAATCTTAATTTTGTCTTTGCGCCCAGGACGGCGCATGGATGGCGCTGGGATCGAGTGAAACTGTCGTCGTCTCACTGGCCCATTCTGTTTTTAGTGCGCGCCGGTTCCTGAATTGTGTGCAGCCAGCGCTGTCAATAATGTCACGGTCAACTGTCACTCCTCTGTACTGCCTGTCACTCTGCTTGCCACTTTGCCTGTTCCTGGCGGTGCCTGGCAGCCATGACACTGGGATCCCGATTCCAGCGCCTTGGGAAAATCCTTTCCTTCGTCTTCTTTTTTCTCGCTTGTACGGTTCTGTAGAGGGTTACATTCGCCACATAAGGTTTGGTAAGGTTCTGTAAGGTTTTGCGCTCCAGACTCGCAAATCTCCACAGTATTCCACTTTCCACAATCCACAGTGCACATCCGCTCGGCAGCCCACTGTGGAGACTCTGGGGAGCAATCGATCGATAACCACCGAACGATTGGCGTTTCTACTACTCGCGATGCAAAAGGAAAACTCGGCGGAAAATCTCTGAATGCGACTTGCCGTTCGCCACGTACTATGCGTCGCACTCGTGGGCAACGAACGAAGTAGCCCCGACGGAAAAGCCCAACAGCCTCTCCAGCAACAAACCAACCCAACCTCGCCACGCAATTACACCCCGAGGGCTGATCCTGAACCAGAGCCACGTTTTCTTCCAACGCGAAAGGATCACCATCCCAAGAGCCACTACTTCATACTACGTACAACACCCTACTGGTCGCGTGAGGCGTGACATAGACTCGACCCCGTCCCCGAAGAAGGATTGGCGGTAAATAATCAAAATGCTCCCGTTATTAATAAAAAAGCATTCGCGCCAATGTTACCACGGAAATTGCGACATAAACAAATGAGCATGTCCAGCCTCCAGATTGTCCACACATTTAGCCGCCGCGCCCGTGGGAGAGGAATGAAATCATCTCATTTGGCAGCCTTCCGCCAGCCAGCACCACGGAGTAAATGTACCGCGCCCAGCGGACTAATGGCATTAGGTACGAAAGTACTGTACGTACCAACTTGGTCCAAGGCAGATTACAACCGATATAATTTTATCAAAGGTGTCATCGTTTCCAAAAACAGCTCGTTTCGCTCGCGCTTGCCGCCCCGGAGTGGCTGGGTCATAGGATTCCGTCGAAAAGACAATTTTAGAAACGTGGTACCCATACTGCTAACCCCCCTTCGTCAACGCAGTCATAGAGGAAGCGCGCTCGCCTCCTCAGCCTCAAATAGACAAAATATCTTACTCTGCATCACAGTACTGTCTATTTCCTCTCCCTCAATTATCGTATCCCCCTCTCAAGTCGCATCAACCAAAAAGTACCGGCGCGTCGTCATTGCTCCCTACCCGAACAAAAGTAGTTCATCTCATTTCACATAAAACACATTTGTTTCCGCACATCAAACCGCAAATGCCGCACTTTCTCGAAGCTAAAAACAAACATGAGACGAGCGAGAGCCAGGGGATTTGAAAATCACTCATTTTCTACGGACCCGGACCGACCACAGCGTATATCGTGAGCATTGGCCCTTCCGAGTCTAGAATTGTCTGTGTGTGCATGGTGTAGATCAGTGTGTTGCGTGTTTGCGTGTTTCGAGGATCCATCGTGAAGTTGCAGTAGAACTTTCCTTGCTTGTGTATATTTAGGTGTTTCGTGTTTATTGTTTGATACTTCGGTGGAATGTAATCGAACTAGTGCGCGGGCTCCTCGTTCTCTAGACGAATTGTTCAGGTTGGTAGTGCATGCCTTGGCTTCTGATGGATAGTGCTTTCACATGAGGTAATAAATGCTATACATGCGCTCCTCATTCCAGCGACCCAAAAAGTCCGCCGTTTCGTCCTCCCTGCCGTTTAGCGCTCATACGAAGTATCCATCATTCATAATATTTCACAGCTCGAGGCATTCCCGTACTACTGCATCTTGTTGTTTTGCAAGTCTATTCATATATATTCTTGGCAGCACAAGTTCGCATGCCATGGAGCCCAGCGGTTAGACGATCCGATCTCGGGATCGCGAGGAATCGACCCTTGGCGGTTGGCGGGCGGTACAAGATACAAGAAGTTGGTACGCGCCCGTTGTAGTGAGGTTATTTAAGGGGCCGATTAACTGTGGTGTTTCATCGTGGGAATCTCGACAGTTTCTAACCACCAAACTCGGGTGGCCTAGCGCGGCCTACGTTTACTTAGGCGGCCAACACAAGTTTGGCTCAAGTCTGCTCGCCATGCGACAGCACAGCCAAGACTATCTCATTATACGGTATCAACTTTGATCGATATGGCCCGAGAGATTCCGCCTATGCCTAGAGGTCACGAGTCTGCCACCACTCTACATTCATCGCTATACTAATAGTTAAACTTGAAGTACTTCACAAAGTTTTTTACCTCTGCTTGTTTTACCCAGCGGTAGACATTAAAATATCTATCTACCTCTTCCTTTTATATCTTTCCACTTCTATCTATCCTCTTGTCTTTTCTTCAACTACGAAGTACTCGTCCCAATTATCAAAGGACACGAGGCTACTTTCGATAATTACCCACTCCTGTTATCCCTTCTACAATTTGAACCTTTCCCGGTTTAGACGTGTCTCCTTCGCCTTCATTACCTAGGTACTATAGTCTACGTCTTATCGCTGTTATAACTACTTGTACCTGAATGTCAAAAGTAATCAAAGCTGCTTTTGATAATTATCTACTCGTATTATTTCTTTTACAATTTGATCTCCGGGTTTAGAAGCACCTGTTCCTTTTTATTAGGTCCCTCCCCTCTTACCGTTTTGTAACTATTCGACCTAAATGTCACAAGCTAAACCTAGCTACGTTCGATAATTATTCATTCCAATCACCCCTTCTACAATCCGAACTTTTCCCGGTTTAGATAAATGCCCTCTTCTTCCTCCCCTCCTTCTTAGCATCCACACTAAAATAATCCGTTCCTCCAACTTATGCTAACTACCTAGGTAGCTAAGATCTATGAAAATTTATTTATCATGGCACTGCTGCTCTGTAAGTGTCTATTAAGTCCAAATTCATCTATGCATAGCTAATATGAGGAGGTAAGACTTGATGACCACAATCTGAAGAATGTCTATTGCAAGAGAGGCTTGAAATAGATTCATGAGAACTATATTATGAGGCCGACTGGGGAGTCATACATTTGTTACTGAAGTCAATCAATCCCCATAGGATCGCTTAGCATCATGCAGCCGCCCATTGTCTATTCTTAGCCCGATGGCTTCACGATCAGCTGGAGCGTAAGTCTCTAATTTATGTTTCTTAACACTAGTCCCCGAAATTCCTATAATGCATTAACAGATGTAACTAGAATCCGCAGTATCTTTATCTTTGGAATCATTGCCCATATTATCATAGCAGCCTCCTTTTCCCTTGAACGCGACTACACCATTCAGCCTGAGAGCCTCGTCCGACTTCGGAGACTCAGACTTATCTCAATACACTATTCTTAATCACCATGGCTCCATTATCTTTAGGGGATAAACTAAACCTCTATTCCATGATCGGAACATGGGTCGGCACCCTCTTCACGCTGGTCGGTCTCATAGCCGTAGTAGCCCAACTTCGCGCTCTCCTGAGAGGCTTCTCTAACTCTCGCGATGAGGTCGTCAAAGCAGCCGCAGGTGACTGGGCTATCTGCCTTCCTAAACTTGGTCGTATGGACACTGGGGTTATTGGGGGAAAAGCTCCCTCGTTACGGGCATGGATCCATTATCAGTACAACGAGGGGAAAGATATTGTCGTTTGCCCCTACCAGAGAAAATCAATGAGCGGACAATCGTCATGGAGTCAGCTTTTTTGTCGTCTTCAAATCCTTCCGGAAGACCTTCTGAATCCTGGACACCAGGATAACCACCCAGTAGCCGCTCCGCAAGTCCCCACAACGGCAGATATCCATGTCGATGGCTCCAAGATCTCCTACGGACTCCCAGCTGAGGACTTTGCTGCTCTCCTTATCCTCGCTGGTTTCTCGCCTTCTCACTTCGACCCGAAAGAGACCACTAAGAAAACATCACATTTAGGCCACATGTACGTAGCTCCCCATAGCGATCCGTTCACGCAAATCGCACAGCTCGATGGAGCGACTTGGAATACCTTCAACACGTTTCCTGGCGCGATGTGGCAGGGGAGATATTCAGACCGCTTGAATGTACGGCATTGTATTGATCTCGCTCTAGGAATTCTGCGGTTTGATTGTGCTGGGAAACCCAGCACTCTCCTCTACTGCCATGCCGATAGGGGGTTTGTATCGAATACTTCTTGGACGACAGTTCAAATTCGACGTAATCTGACTGAACTTACGGGAGGATCGATGGACGAAAATCCGATTTATGATGTTACGAGCGCAGCGTCCCCAGACTTTGTCCAACTGTTTGGTAGTCGTTGTCCAGGCATGAAAGGGCTGCGTTTTGAAATTATATTTCCACCAGAGGGAGATGAAATATTCAGGATCGCCTTTGGCTTGAAAGCGCTGAAGCCTTGGGGCCTACTGCCGGTCATCCCAGAATCAGTAGTCAGCACGTTTTATCCACATCTTCAAAAGGTATTTGCAAAGGAATCGCCTTCCTCAATCCTCATCTTGACCCAAAAATTCCGGGAATTACCGGCAACTACATACTTCAACATCCCTCACCGAACAAGAGCTACAATGGACTCATCTCTCGCCTCCCTATCTGACGTTGAGACACACAGTTTCTCCGGCCTTAGCGCTCGCTGCTCGCTCTACTACGACGCCATGATCTTCGTGTTCGAGAGCCACAATCTCAAGCTTGCCGACGTAGAAACCGCACTTGCTGCACGCTGCGCGACGAACCTCGCTGTCAAGACAGGGGGACTTTTTCAGAAGATATACAATGAATCCTATCAGCAAGTAAAGCCTCAGCAGTGGAAGGTGCAGTTTAGTGCGTTTATGAGAGAGTGTCTGAATGGGGAGCCGGTGGATGACGTGGAGCCTTGGGCCTGTGAGATTTTGGCGGTGTATCTGCATGCTTGGCTACGTGCGGCCAAGGATCTCAAGGGGGATTTTAGGGGAAATTTTAGGAGACGCGTGTTCCTAGGCTAGATTCCGTTGTTCCTATAAGATTTGTTGAATTTGGGAACGTAGCTAGCCTGAAATTCCACAACCTGTGGTTGATCACTATTAGAAGATTTCTTGGCAGACTATCTAAGAGTCAGCTTATTATTTGAGTACACGTAGATACTAACGAAGGAGTAGAAGTTGAGGTAGAGGAAGGCAGATTAGGTAGTATCTTACTAAAACTCTCCCCATGATTTTCCAACATCGTTAGAGACAGCCCCAATTTCACTCGACGCGGTGACTACATTGATCCAGGCCTGATTAGCTGCCATGACCATATGCACCTTCATTTACATCTGTCTTCAATTCGGTAGTTCAAGCTGAAATTTTCATTTACTGAGCGAGTACTGACCCGAGACATGAGTGGTCGCCCAAAACCAATTACTTAGCATAAAGACAAAGTAGAAACGAGAGGGAATAGATATGAAGTCTAAGCCATTTGCTGCCACTAGCATTATTTAAGGATTTGGAATGGTAACCTTTTTCAAGTTAAGAGAGAGAATAAGAAGAAATATGAAGGAATGGAAAAGTGGATAGTATATGTATAAGTTAGCAGCTTCTTTTAATCAGCAAGGTTCTTAGACTGAGTTGAATAGTTGTTATCATGAAGAAAGTGGCATACGTATTATTTGTCTATAAATGTGTACTAAGAGGAAGCTTGGAGCTGAGAACTAGTAGAAAGTATAACAACGAATACTTGAGGGACAGTTATAATCTTGAGATGAAATACAATTTGGAGTAACTAGATATATAATAAATAAATAATATACAACTTAGACGAAGAGAGTAAAAAAGTAAAAGTAGGGGTAGAATACCTAGGTATTATAAATCGATTCTCTCTCTCTTATATATTGTATAGAGTTTGTAAGCTTACTACTTTTGCTCGGGCGCTATGAATTTGCATGTCATTGCAGCCACAACACCCGTGACGATTGCCAGCATGGCAGTAAGGCTCTGAAGCTCAGGTAAGCCTCCCCTATACGTATTAGGAGTGATCAGAGCTCGATGGTGGAGCTACGGCACAATAACACTGTTGCGCTATTAACGGAGACTCTCTGCAAATCAGGCGCGATAGCGACAATGCCAACGTAATTTTCTAGTTGGAAGTATTGAGAGTATTCAGGGGTGGCCAAGGACCACGACCGATACACAATTATAGGAGGTGTCGATATATGCACAGATTTTGAGATACTTAAAGTGAAAGTACCGATCATTTTTCTCGGCACGTAGGGACGGAAGTTGCCCCTCTATTTTATTATGACTTTTGGCCTGCTCCCGAATTTCGGAGTTACCACACGAAGCTACTATCACCAAAGAATATGACTCTCAGTTTTGAAGATACAAAGCAGAAAGATTTCGAAATCAGCGCCACAATCATGCAGCCACAGCACTTCTCAGCGATGACGCCCAAGATATCGAACCACTGCATTCCCGTGTTTACAATGTATTCTTGGTCCTCTACGTTCTTTCAGTGCATAGATATTGTAACCTTCAACTCCAAGATACATATATATCTTGATCTCTGACGAAGAATGGAAGGACCTCGACATCTAACGACATGTCAAACGACAGAGCCTTTGAAAACGGCCAATGGCATTGAAACAGATAGGGACGACACGTGAATATATCCGCAAGGTTCAGCGTGATTGCATCGGAACTTGGCTGGGATGAGACTGCTCTGAAGTTCCACTTTTACCACGGCCTTAGCGACAAGGCCAAAGATATTATCTACCTCGAGGAACGACTAAAAACACTCTGGAACAATACATACAAAAAGCCCAAGTCATTGATGACAGACTCAGAGCGGGGGGAGGAGAAATGCATGACTTCCAGGCAGAGGGCTTGCTGAGTAGGGTAGAAAATATATTACTTCAAATCATGCAAACATTTCCAAAATTCTCCAATGCCCTGCTTATTAATTTAATCCCACCATGGCATGATTTGCCATTCTGTAGTTCTTATCCCCTTTCCGGTATCTTCTGTGCACCGAGCCACGCCGAAGTTGGACTTGAAGGGGTTGACTTCCCGACTACCACCGAGTTTCTCCGACTATACGAGATTCCCCGCTTGTGCCCCAGGTCTGGCTTGTTCAATTTCTCAATTTCTTCTTCCAACTCTCTTCTCTTCTTCTCGTTACTCTCAATCTCCTGCTTCCTCCTCCTGTCCACTTCCTCCTCCTCTCCAACTCGTACTAATTGTTCCCACTCTGGTATTCCTACCCCCTTGTGAATACAGATTTCTTCGAATTGCGACTCTGGCCTGGAATCTACCCAACCACCTGGAGGACCGACGGGACGAGCGTTGCCTATTTGTGGACAACTTCTTGCAGTGACACGTGGAAACAAAACAAATACTCTACTATTGGCAATATCAATGTCCTCCTCCGGTTTTTCGAAGCTTGCTGGGTCAAGAGTAGGATGTACTTGTAGTTCGAGCCTGTCGGTTTGAACAATACTACACAAGGAGATGGCGGACGTAGCGAGGTGGGTGAGGTCTTTTCGAAGAGTTGGATGTATCTTGGGATTGAGTAGGAGTGACAGTACCTTCATTATATTGTCCGTGAATATCTCCGCGCGTATAGTTGACGTTGATTGTGAGTGGAGACTGCGCATGGTGAGAGCCGCCCAAGTTCTTGCAGCGCGAAGGCTGCTTTTGCCTTCGTGGAAACTCTCAGCCAGCCCATAGTAGATTTGATTGAGTAGCGAAGTTTGATTTGGGTCTTGCACGGTTATCTCAGATGAGAATGGATGCAAGAGGATAGCTTGAAGCTGAGAGGAGATGACTCGTTGAAAGTGCGCAAGACAAAGCTCTTTAGAAACGATGCTGTTGGAAATAGGAACAGATATAAAATCGTCATCTACTTCCTCAATCTTGTCGTGTACATCGGCGTCAAGATCCTGACGTATATTAGCAAAATAACAATAGCATAAACTTGTGATTTTGGAACTATACATTAACTTTTATTTGTTCGACATATCGGGAAGAGATAGCATGAACGTCGTTGTGTATCTTGAGAAATTCGCTTTGACTATAAAGTGTTAGAGACCGTTTTTCGGTGTTTGGAGTGATTTGATACGTGCAAGTATTCAATCGAGTTGGCATGTAGCCCAAACTCATTCTCTGCCATCTTTAACTTTTGGCTTAAGTCTTCGACTTCTGTTTCAGAGAGACTCCTTAACTTTTCTACGTCCCTGCATCTTTTCTCAGTATCTTTCAATTTGCGTCTCTGCTCCTCGAGACCCTGCACAAGCTCGTCATTCTTGATTTCCAGATCCAAAATTTTCTTCCTATCATCATCTTGGCTTTTCTTCGTTGCCTTCTCAAGTTCTTCTACTCGCTTGTCATATTTCTTGTTATGCTCGGTTGCAAGTTTCGCCTTCTCCTCTTGTAGCTTCAAGAGTTGTTCTGCCTCTTTTGTTCTTATCATGTCCTCAAATTCGCGCTTCTCTTCCGCCAATTGCTGCTTGTGTCTGGCCACTTCTTCTTTCAAGACATCCAGTTCTTTTCTGTCCTTTTTAATAGTTGCCGCTTCCTTGTCTAACTCTTGCCTTTTCTCTCCTTCAAACTTTTGAAGGCTGCTGATAACAATGCTGTAATCGCTGCACTTCTTCGTCATCTCGTTAAGTCGCTGCCGAGTTGTATTTACCTTCTGAATTTCAAGTTGATGTTGTGTATAGAAAACAAGGACATCTTCCGCAACTGTCCGGCTAGCTTCCATCTTCATTTTCAGGTCTTCCACAAGGACAAGATAAGGGTCAAATTCAAAGTCAGTCTGCGCAACTGACGGTTCCCGACCTTCAGAGGTTACGTCATCGTGTCTGTTATTGGGGATGGCAGAGGTCCAATCCTCATTCCAACCTCTGTCCCGTCCCCTGTTGCCATTACTCTGTCTCGTAGACTCAGTCTCATGGCGGTAATCGTCGGCCGTATCCCACGGATCGATGCGGTCCTGGTGTTTTTTGCTCTTTTTCCCCATGCTGTATAGCAGCTCCTAGGTTGCACGGTTTACGTCAGATGAAGTCCTTCTCAAACCACACAATAATTTAAGACTACTCACAGAAAACTTTCCGTTTAAAGGCGCCACTCTTTTGGTCGTTCTCCTAAAAGGATGAGGAATGTGCCGCTCGACGGAGTCGAGCACTGATTCGAAAGGTGTGACTGTACGATCCTTTGCTACGGAAAACCTGTGATTGGGAGTTCGACCCATAGAACATCAAAATAACGAACTCCACTTCTCAGTTTTTCTAGGAGGACAGCTTGCAAGTTTGTGAAAGTCAAAAGCATTCAAGATAATTCAATGGACTGGGCAAGTATTATCGCTGCTCCCAAACCCTGCTCTGTCGATGAAAGCCCAAACAGCCTCAATGAGGCTTTACCAGCCTCATATCTCTCCAGGCCTTCTTATGACCGCTTATCCACAACTTTAGATTGGGTTCTTGATATGAGCTGTCTCTCATGAAAGACACAAAAACGAATCTTCGTCCACAATGTGACCAATACCACATACTATGCACCGCCCCAACGGCTTGATTCGTGCATCATACATGATTAGGTAACATTTTGACTGCATACAATGCAATGCAAGAGGATCCCAAAGGTGCTAAGAGTCATGATATATGCAGTGTGCCCAGCCGAGCTCCCGGATGTGGGTATGCATATGCATATGCCGGCTGAATTCCTATTTGTTCACAACCTTCGACAGCCGAATAAGAGTCTCCTATTTGTCCATTTAGTCTTGATTGAGTACGTGAGCCAGTCGTCAAGGACGTGAGAGATGGACAACGATTCATCCGCCCCTGTTGGGGTTGTGTCTCAAATCTTTCATCCCTATAAAACTAGGGTTTTTGTAACCTTTCATTAGCTCATTTCTAACTTAAAGGCACATGGTAGAAAATATATGTGTGTAATTATTTATCTTACCCACCAATTATATGGACTTTTCGTCTCTCGTGTTGCCCATGCTTGCTTGGACATTGGCTGTCTACGAAGTTCGGGAGCTGGAACAGACGTTGATGTGTAATTGGAGAAGTTGGAGCCGAATCACGATCTTGGCTCAAAATTGCTTAGTACGGGCCGCGGTTGTGTTGCACTGCAGCTGCAGACAGTAACTTTTCTGACTGCTCCTCTTCCCGGCCACGTTAACATTCGATTGTGGGAAACCCGGGAGCGCCACTGTTGGTAAACCTGGCATGTGGACTACGATCATTCGTTGTGTAAAAACATGAGCTGTTACTAATAGGATATTCAGCAAGAGATCTAGGATAAGACATGGAAAGGGCTTCAGGCGACAGATTGATGCATTGCACAGCTTGACCTATGTATTGGTCGAGCGTCCCCAAGTCCAACGCCCAATAAATAAAGCGGTAGAGCCGTGCTGTACAATAGTATTGTATGTGATCAGCTAAGCCTATGAGACACTCTTCACCGATAGCATGCAGACTTATGACAAGTCACCATGCCCTTTACTAGGTCGCTGACTATAGCTATTGCATCGGACGATGTCTGATATGCAAGGCAAATCAGGGTTGATTGCGCCATTTGTCTGTTGAAGGTGGTCATCATTGTAGGAAACTGTGCTGCGTATAGTATGTGGAGATACAAAACGAGGCATTCTGTGGAGCCTTCCTGACGGAGCGCTGCGACTAGTTACAATGTTTGGCTGGAGCTCGCATGTCGGACAGCCTCACGGTAGCTTGTACCAAAAGCCAAAACGTGGGGACCCGATCACCCCCCTCTTTTACCACATCCCCGCTTCGTCTCCGGGATCTTGTCGATCAGGCTGCGGGTGGCGCGCATATATTCAACGAGGTAATTCGCTGAGAGTCAGGTATTTGTACACTGAGTAGAGATACCATAGATACCATAGATACCATAGATATAATGAAATCAAAGTGGCCAAATCCAAGTGTGCAATTGTGCAGCCAATTTCGAATCCCTACTGAACCCCGCTTTTCGAAACAAAACTTCTTGGGGAAGTGCTACCAGGAGAATAATAAACCCAGCAACACCTCATCTTGTACTTCCACACTATGCATTTGTATCTTCGACAAGGCCATCATTCGCCAAGACATCACAGAAATGCCTTATATCAAATAGGACATCCAGTCAACCATCATGGCTGACCAATCTTATACAACTAGACTGTACTTCGTCAGATTACAAGAAGAGACGGCCATGCAGAATCTGTGGGGAAGCACGATCACCCGCGAGGAATTAAAGCAATCTATCAAGCGCCTCCGGGAGCTAGACCAGCTCCCGGAGATACCTAGAGACAATCTTGTGAACCTGCGAGATGACCCTACTCGTCGGTTGAGTCTTTTGAGAGAGCAAGAGATCGCAAGCAACTTAGCATTTCTATCCGCCACATCGGACGATGGCCTCAAGGTTATGGCTGTCTGCGTTGAGGAGCATTGCAACGGGAAAGGCATCACTATTCGAGTAGCGTCCAATTCAGGAGACTGCTCGGCCGTCACTAACGGATTCGACAAGCTTGCAAAAGTCTTGGAGAAAGCTGCCGGACGAAGTTAGTGTTTGGATCTGATTTTTAAGCCTTGTGTTAACTTATGTCTCATGGAACTTGAAATCTGAGGACATAGCGATAGCCTTCCGCAAGGTTGTTGACTTAGATCTATATCGAATTTTGACCCGCTTACGATCACGTCATGCGAAGATTAGTTGGAAAACGGCTGGGAAACGGGCTCTCGTCGAACAGTTGCACAATGCTCTCCATGATTCTTCGATCAGAACCACAGCAGCGTTAACGAAAAGCAGGCGTGAGGTACAAGATCTAGGAAGCCTATTTGCCCATCTCGAGAGCCTAACCGAGGTGGATGCCGAAATGAAGGAGGTTGTTGGGGCGATTGTGCAGCAGATCTATGTGTTCTCCTCTGCCACCAATCTCAAGTTAGCCCTTCGGACTTCAGCACTGGCACCCAGTTTGAAGGCACATCTGCCAGAAGCAATCGGTAAGCTAGGCCGCTACTACTCTGCTACCTCCGAGCTCGTATGTGCTGCAAGGTCTAGGACTTGTAGATTATTTGAGAAAGTTGAGGTGAAGTCGTTTGAGATCCAGCTGCCCGCCACTCTGCAGGACTCACACTGGAGGGTTCATGCAGAAATACAACTTCTGTTCTTCTACGAGATTCATCCTGACCAACCGCGGCCAAGGTGTATATCCTCTAGCAAGAGCGCTTGCTATCTGTGCAATCTCTTCTTTACCCTCCATAACAGCATTCATGTGCCTCGGACGCATGGGAGGCTGTACGATAAGTGGATTCTCCCGGACTGGCTAGATGTTCCCATAGAGTGTCACGAGAACCTTGGTCGCATCTGCACTATGTTGAAAACTACCATAGATCGCAAGATTCTGCGAGCATCGAGGTCAAAAAAGGCGAAGCGATATTGCTATCCTAATGAGAGTGTTGTTTTACCACTTGCATCCTGGTCATCTTCAGGCGTTTCTGGGAGTCTGTTGGATCGATCTTCAACATCCACGATCCAGCCACCACCTCCTCTTCCTAGCCAAGAGAAAGGCTCGGTCGAGGAGCACTCTCGGTGCACTCCAATGCCTCTGACTCCGCCCACAACGCCTCCGCGACTAGATCGCGATAGTAGAACTCCGTCAGAGACGAAGACAAGTTTAACCGCGCCTGATCCTAGGGCAGATACAGGAGGCCCACCAAGCCCAGGTCCTCTGCTTACTATCGACGAGATAGAGCTGCCATATTGCAAGTCGATTGATCTGACAACACCATCAGTCTTTTTGAGGCTGGAGAATCTCTCCCTCACCTTGGATTTCCTTCAAGTCTTTTCAGGTCAGTTGTCTATTACATGTGGAGAAGAGATTGCCGCGTCAAGGAAAGGGGATCGCATTATCAACATTCAAGATATTCCGACCACTAGTGAGCTTCAAATGACCTGTACAGAGGCTTCAAACGAGCTTACCTTCTGGCTGCGAAACTCTCGTAAGAGGCTTGTCTGCATTTCGTTTGTATGGAAGAATCAGACAAATATAACGACAAGGTGATGTCACTAGCAAGAGAAGAATGTTGTGCGCGCAGAGCAAATCTAGATTAGTGGGAAAAGACGGATGCGGCCAAGTTAGCAAAGGATTTAGATACGGCATGCTTGGGATATTAGGCCCAGTATCCTGACACACCCATTCTTAAGATACAAAACATCTTCTCAAGGAGGCGACAAGCCTGTTCAATCATAGTCCGAATCGTTCTAGCAATAGGGGTCATATCTTCTTCGGTGATATTCTTTCCTCGGTCTTGATAACTTGGTTTTCCTGCGCTCTTTTCCCTTCGCAGTATATCCATACCACCTTTTAGTCTGATCTTGAAAATCTGTCTTCAACCACTATACGCCCTTCTATCTTGCTTTCTATATCGCGAAATTCCCTCTCTCTGTAAGTAGATAGTTATTCTGTTGGAGTAGATAGACACTTCCTCTTCCTAGTTTTCCATCTCGGTTTCTTTCTAATACTTTTCTTCCCTAATACTAGTTATCTTAGTCGTTAGAGACTCTCTACTTTATCTAAAAACTCAGTAAGCTTTATATATATAATTATAATACTTAGTAGCCTATGTAGTTTAGTCGTTGGCAGAGTCTGTCAAGAACTCCACTATATGTATAAATGCATTACTCATTTACACTTTGCATCTTCTATCCTATATATTTGTATTATCTCTGAAGTCAATTTGCAAGCTTTTGATCAAATTGTAGCCTTAGGAGAGGCTAACTACGAGTGTGACGAACAACCCAACCGATGCCTTAATTCTTATGTGGTTAAGATCTTGGGTTACTGACAAGGCTATCTCTCTGATCTTACTTATCGAAGGACGACCGAACCTTCTTTCCCTTATATCCCAACTACCAGAATCACTAGGACTCGTCAAATTTTGAACGAACTCTTAGTTAGAGTCGGGCTACAAATCTTGATAACGCGTTCACTTAAAATCCGTCCCAGAGGTTCTCTATGCCAGGGTCCTTACGCATCCCCCTTAACTTGTCAACTTTTCAATTAATTCAATCAAGTCTATTCATGTGCCTCACGGAACAATATAAAAGTTAATAAATTCAAACAAAGAAAGACATATTACAGGGCGAGCGCGCGCATAGTCATATGAGGGATAATAATCATATTCTCTAGCTTAAGCAATCGTAATACCACTGTTAAGCTTAGAATGGACGCACATCTAGGACATATTTAGCCCTTCTGCAGTAGAATCGCCAAAACACAAGAATGAGCCACGATTGTAATTGATGTAATATTTTCTTAATAACCTTATATGCGGCTTTTATGAAGTATAACCCCAATAGATAGCCATTGACTTTATTAGCTACGATTCATATTAATTTAGCCATGCCAAGGCCCAAGAGCGAGTAATTATTCTACCTCCCGGTAAACAAATAAAGCTGTTAGGAGTGAAGTAGCAAGAAACTTCGGATAGGAACATTATTATACTAAAATTACTATTGTTTATTATAATATCGCAACTGCTAATAAGCCTCTTCAAGGATATAATTGAATTCTAAAATCAACAAGAATGCCGCGAATTAATTACCTCTAGAGGAATCTCTAACAACAAGCGCGGTTGTATATCCTAGCTCCATCCAACTCTAATACCCATCTACTAATGCAAATTGACTCACCCCGAATTTCTAGTCCTCAACTTCTCCCCTAATTCACAACTGATACTTGTTGAAATCTTTAGTAGAAGTAATCATAGTTCAATACGAACTCCGGATTTTATAATTTCAAGCCACTTTTTACTGGTCTAGCTTCTCTCTCTTGAATGAGCCTTTTGCTCTATTCAACATATCACATTGCTTTGTGCTACTCAAGCCTTTACCTCTCCTCGGCTTAGCCGCTTACGCCTCAATAACCCCTCCTGGTCCCTTACTACCCTCGAAAGGTTTCCTTCCTCAGCCTCTAGGGCACTTGCTCCTATGTTATTCCTAACCTTCTTTTGAGGGAACTCGCCCTTCAGCTCCTGCCTGCGCTTTTTATACCTCTCGTACAATTATTGCTTTTGTACGCTTGTTACCACCGATACCCAGCGTATACGTATTCTTCCGCTATAGCCAGTCTGACTCTCTATTTCTGCTTTGCGTTCTCCTACTTTCCCCCACTCTAGCTCTTGATTTTCCTTCTTCACCTATGCCACCTCGCCCTCAATGCCACACTTCGCTTTCTGATCCATTCCGGTCAAAGTCGCGACCGTATTCTCCAGTCTTGTTATCTCCTCCCTTTTCTCTCTGCCCTTCTTTCAGCTGTTCGAGTTTGATTTCTAGTTGCGTCAACTATTTGAAGCTCCTCCATATCTGATGTTAGCATCGCTTGAAAGTATCAATGTCTTGGTGGGTATCTCCTTTGTCCTGAACAACATCACTGACAGCCCTAGGTAAAGTGATGGAGGCCGACCGTTCCCAGCATACATCCCTGTTAAGTGGTTTCCGGCACGGTCGCCCCTATGCTTCCTTTACTGTGTGAATCATCTTCATATAACGACCGTCAAGGAATCCCCATAGCTGGCAGCTACACCGAAATAGAAAACCTCATCCTTTTGATCCATCTGATTATTACCTTTTCATGGCATACCAGTTTTTCATCTGTTCAAGAGGAGCTGTTCGTCCGGGATAAACCGAGGCTGACTGTGCTGTGGTTGAAGAGGTAGGTGGCGTCATAGGTGGCGCCTGGCACTCCAAGAGGTAGATTATTGATTTGTCAATGCGAGGGCTGCGCATGTGCATATTCGAATCAAACCCAGGAAAGGTGATGTTTGTGATAATCGTCCGCGGAGATTTTTGTCTGCAGGTACAGCACATAGATGTTGCAACAGAACCTGTCAATCACGTACATACTCCGGTCTCACAAACCCCTTCCCCTCCACCTATTTAAAACACAGATCTTCACCAACATCTCCACGCCGATGCATACTGCAATTCCCATGTCTATATGCCCGCTCTGGGGAAACCATGCCTAACAAACCCAACAAACCCAACGATGATGCAACAGGCCAAGGTCGCAGCTGCTGTGAAACTTTTCCGGTGGGTACAGCTTGTTTGTGGGGAGAGGGGCGATAACGCCGAGGTAAAGCTCGTGATCCAACATCACATGTGTTGTGTGCCCAGCACTTACCAACCCACGCATCTCACCTACGTATGGGGAAAGATCCTCAAGGGCTTTCCCCAGATGGATGCGATGCGCTCCGGAGGATCAACTTCGGGTTCGGCGCGGGTCCATGACACCCCGCAAGCCGGGGAAACTGGGGAAAACATACATGTGAATTGCGGAGGGGACCGGGTTGATAAGGCTTGATTCTTTTGCTTGTATGTTTCATCTAGTACGGAGATAATAAGTACATGTCGCTATAGGTAAGGCTATTTAGGGGTTGAGCACAGTTCACTTTATTTTGTTGAGGTCATTGTTGAGGTCGCTGCAGATATGCGCACGGAATGTTGAAGTGATTTGAGTGACTTGAATTTCTCCTTTGGAAGCTAGCTAGCTATGCCCCATCATATCGATAGGGGTAAATAAACACATCTACTACATTGTACAATTCGCGGGTATCTCCGAAAACATAAATACAAGCAAGCCATTTCATTTCATTGTCTTTCGTGTGCCATCCACCAACCGGTACCACCCTTGACATAACAACCAAAAAAAAAACGGGCGATGAATGATGATGCCAACCCATGTCGTGCTTGCTGCGTGCGTGCTGTGCGTGCGTGCTCTATAGATGCTCTGCAATTTATCTCATCTTTCCCGGGGATTTTTTTTCCGCAGACGTTATTATGAAAAAGGCCCCCTGGAAAGCGAATATCTCTCATTAGGTAGAATGAACTTGCTCCCCAACCCCCCCTGTAAACACCATGATTTCCCTGGTTCCGTAGTTCGTAATAAACTGCTTAGGCGCTGCCGCTGGAGCTGTCCTTGATAACTTGCATCACGTTCATCTTGAGCTTTAATACGTTGGCGCTAAGTGCTTTCTCCTGTGAAGGTGTTAGAATATGATCATGAGGTATATTTTTAGATGCAAGACGCCACTTACGTAGTAAACCAAATGCTCTCCGTTGAAAATCGCATCGGTGCCGGTGATCAACAACTCAACCATGCCATCGCCGTCAAGACTGCCGACGACCTTGGCTTGGTCCATGGTTCCGAACAGAGGAAGGGTGTTGTTCCCTGGCTTGAGGGTCATGTCGTTGATGGTGGTGGTGCCGACCTTTCCGGCCTTTTCGGTTGAGAGAGACAAGCTTACGTTGCCCTTGAGGTTATAGTTAGAATACGAACTGTGCGAGGTAGGAAATACGGAATTTAAACTTACAAGTTGAATGGTCATTAAAGATGGGTTGGGGACATATGCGAAACCTTTGAGATTTTGCTGGCCGGGCTTGGCCAAGAGGTCAATTCTGGCACCGGTCACGTTGAAGCCCTTGAGCGCATTCAACCCTGATTGTTTGGTTAGCCATTGATAAATAAGAGTAGAAAAAAGCTTCCAAAGCGGGGGGGAACGTACCCTTGTATTTGCTAGTGGAGTTGTAGTTGATCTTTACGGTGGGGAGCGCGCCCAAGTGCAGCGTAGTCTCGCCGACCAGAGCAGTCGAGACGTATTCCTGGGCCACGGCCTGGGTTGCGAAATTGGTGAGCTGGTCCATGTTGTTGATCATCACCTTTGAGTCCTCCACGGCGACGTTGGACTTTGGATGCTGAACGTGGATGCTCGGCATGGTGACAAAGATCATTGGGGCTGCGCCAAAAGTGCCATTGGTGACGAGGAAGGTAGAGGCGTTGAAAGAATCGAGTGTTGGGGTGAATTTGCTGGGGCTATGCAGAATGGCTCTCTGGGTCAAGGTGACGGATGTGGCGGAGGGGTTGAGGAATTGGAGCTCGGTGAATTCGAGGGATGCATCATCAACGCCATCCTGGGCAATCTTGGGCATCGCAACATAAACGCTGGCCACATATTAGACTCTCGCCCGGGGAAAATAGCTATTGCAAGATGTTCCACTTACAGACAGAGCGCAATGATCAAGAAACTGGCACAGAAGATGATCAAGTGCACCCACCACCACCTGGCGCAATGGCGCTTGACCTTGGAGCCGGCGCCGCCGCGAGCCGGAGACACCTCCAGCTGCTCGACGTGATCGGTATTAAACTTCGTTTCCGACATGGTGAAAGGAGGGCGACGACGAGACTCTGGGGAATAGGTGAATTGGCGTGATGGGCGATAAGGAGGGGGAGAAAGAGGGACGGTCGTTGAAGAGAATGAATGTTCCAGGTCGACTTTTTGGAGTGGGAGCCAGGGCTAAGATGTAGTCGGGCGACCGAAATGAAAGGTGGACGCTATTGGGCTGCGGCGGAGGGCAGGATTTCAGGATACGGGGGAGACGATGCTGGGGGGAACAGGGGCCCGATATTATTATCAGAATCTGGGGACTGGCACCAGCGACGATTAGACTCAGATAGGGACAACCCCGAGAAAAAGTCTAAAAAGACGCGCTACATGGCATGGCAAACCGACTGGGGAAACATGTCCGGCGCTGGGCACCGGCGGAGGTTTGGAGGGTTTGGGAGGGGGGTCGCATGTGATGCCGAGAGGCGAACTGGTGGGTGGGTTCGCTCAGGGACTGAGAGACAAGCAGGAAAGTCGAGTCTTACAGACTAGAGCCCAGATAGTAGGTTATTAATTAGAACAAACATCGACTTAATCAACTAGAGCGTAGAGCTACGGGGTTAGTGAGCCAAGTGCCGCCCGCAGGCCCGTGGCAATAGCCCCGTACAGTACATGATGTAGGTTGCAGGTTGTAGGTTGTCCAGGGCTTCCACTCTCCTCATCTATTTCGTACTACCGTGCCAGGTCGGGAATACGCGATAGATGGGGCCATCTGGAGAGCTCTTTGACGACTTTGCGGAGATGACGCCAGATTTTGCGCTCTGGGGAAGGAAGCCTTTGTTTGTTTTTGCTTCACAGGGCGCGGTACGCCGCAAGCGTAACTGAAATATGATATTAACGTCATGCCTCGGGCCTGTCCTCCCTCGTACTTCGCATCCTGCCCAATAACAGCCCGAATGCGGCAAAGCATCGATTCAAACGGGCAGCAGATCACGATACAAAGGGAAAACAGCCAAGCGGGACTAGCGCTGTCCATCCGCCGGGGGGAGCGACTGGTTCGGGGACAATTAGGGGCGATTAGGGGCGATTAAGGCCCATTCGGGGCCAAGAGGAGCTGATTACCATGCTTTAGGGGGGCTCACAGCCTGTAGCCATTGGCCTGGGCAGCGACCGTGGCCGTGAGAGGGGGGCTCTCTCCGCAATCCCCATCCCAGGGCCGGAGTTAGCGGTGGATTCAGTACTGACTTTGTGGTGCTCGGGGGGTTGTTTGGCGGTGCTTAGCAGCCTCTGGCGGGGGCCTCCAAGCCCAATGTGACGGGCATCCCCGAGGGGCGCCGGGGGGGGGGAAACGGAGGCGCTGGG